CTTTTTAGTTATAGTGTTTATTAATAGTATAGTAATTTTTAAATAGTTTTTAATTATTTATCTAACATAGCCTAATAGTCTAAGAAATTTTTTTACTTCTTTAACTATTATAAGTTCTAGCTACTCTAGTACTTTTTATACTTTAGCTAAGTTAATTTTTATTTTTTCTTTATTAATTATAAATCTTAAGTATTCTATTTTAGTAACATAGAACTTATATTTAGAGAGCTATAAGTAAAGTCTGTACTTTCTAAGCTGTTCTAAAACTTTTTATACCTTCTGTACATAGTCTTCTAGGGTGTCTTTTAAATAGATAAGGATGTTATCTAAGTATACTAGAGTAAAGACATCTAAATAAGGGTTAAGAGCAGTATTAATAATTTGCTAAAAGGTTGCTAGAGTGTTTATTAAGCTAAAAAGCATTACTAATAATTTATAAAGCCTTTATAAAGTTTTAAACACTATAAGCTACTTATCTTTTTTTTATATTCTTATTTTATTAAATTTATTTTATACATTAAACTTTGTAAAGTACTAGGTTTTTTTTAGTTAGTTTATAATGTTCTATATAATTAGTAGAGAAAACTAGTCTTAGATTATGTTATTATTTAAAGTCTTATAGTTCTAATAAACTTGTATTTTTTTTTTTCTTTTTTGCAAAGACTACTGCTAAGGCTATAAGACTATAACTTTTTTAGATATAGCTTTATGCTAACATCTTATTAACATACTCTTATAAGGCCTCTTTCTGTGCCCTAGTTAAAGGGCAGAGCTTATGCGTCTTTAAGTTATAATCTTTTATTAGGTTAATAGCATAGTTTTAAGGCTAGTGTAGTAGTAGTTTTCTAGAGTCTTCTAGTGTTTTAAACATGTCCTTGTAGTCTTTATATTTAAGCAGAATTTAACTTTCTTTTTAAACTTGTATAACACTAATCTATTCTATGTTATTATCTGCCTTAATTTTTTTATAAGAGACTTTTTTAAGTTTTTTTTTTATTATTTTTATTACTTAAGCTTTTAGCTCTTAGTAAGGGAATTTCTAAAGCTTCTTTTTCTTAAAGTAGTAACTGCTACTCTGCTTAGCTTATTTATAAACTAGGCATCTATTATTATAGCATGCTAACTAGGTTATGTGTGCATAGTTGTTAGAGGTTTTTATAGTTATAGTTCTCTAATTAATTACAGGATTGTAAGTTCTAAGCTAGTTATAGCCTAAGATTACATTATATTTACCTTTTAGTTTAAGTATGTTTATAAATCTCTAATTTTTTATGTTAGAAGTTTTAAAGTTTTTTTTATAAGTTTCTAGGTTAATCTATTCTTTACTATACTTAATTAATAATGTATTAGTAAGGGTTACCTTAAATAAGTTTTTTTTTATGTAAAATAGTATACCTTACTTATCTACCTAATTTTTATTTATAGCAGTAAAGGTGTATCTGCTATCTATAAGGGCTAATTTAGGCTATTCTTTATACATAAAAGTGGTTGTTAGGCTATGTCCTGCCCCTTACTCTACTATAATTACTGTAGATATGTTATGTTTAACTTTTTTATTAGAAAGAGAATAGGAGTTAATGTCTTATAAGTTATTATTAAATTTATTTTTTTTTTTTTTATAAGTTTAATGTTCTTAATTATAGTAGTTAGCTACTTTACATTTATAATCTTTAACTAGATAATGTAACATTAAGTAGTCTTTTTTTCTTACTACTTTTTACTAAAAGTAGTAGAACCTGCAGTTTTTTTATTTATTACACTTTATTTATAGTTCTTGCTTATAAGGGGGAGCTGTCTAACAAGTGTAATAATTTGTAGTTTTGTAGGCTAAGGCTGTTCCTTGCTATAGGCAACTGTTGTGGTTCTTTTTCTATGTAGGCTACTATCCTGCTTAATGTTTGTTATCCTAGTGCTTAACACAATATTGTTGTGTACACTAATACTAGGGGTACAGACAATTGTTAGGTCTATGTAATGTGTTAAGGGGACTCTTCTAAGTCTACTAAGGATATTCTTTTGTTTGTACTAGCTGTACAGGGTGCTCCTTCTACTAGCACTTGTTTGTGCTATAGGTGCTGCTTCTGCAGAGGACACATTGTCTATAATTTTGTTGTACTGTAAGAGCTTTTCTAGAGATTGCTAGGCTAAGGAGCAGTGTCTTAGGTTTCTTAGGTGCTAGTTATAGTACTTTAAACTTAGCAGGTTTACCTAACTACTTTAGCTTTTAATCTTTAATCTTAGTAAAAAATTACTATTATTTTTTTTTATTTATAATGTTATATTTAACTTTAGCTATCCTTTATATAATGTTAAATATTAAGTAGTTGTTGCTAATGTTTATTTAGTAAAGCAAGACTATATAGTTACTTAGGTAGTTATGTAGTAGCCTACACTTCTAGCACCTGCATCCCTAAAACTGTTAGAAAAGCTCTCTTGCTAAAGTACTAGAAGTCTAGTTTTAAAAAGGAAACTATTTTTCTTTTTTCTAAATATTTATAATATATTCTTAGATCTAAGTCTCTTTTTTATATCTTTTAAAAATTATAAGGTTCTGTAACACTATATTAAAGCTACTAAAGTTTTAAATAACTACTTTTTAATACACTTTAGGGCAGTTATTTAAAGAGTAGTTTTTTTTATATTACTAGTAAAGTTTATTATCTAGTCTTTCTTATATTTCCTTATCTGTAAGGCTATATTTAGCAGTAATAGCTTTTATTATTATAGTAGTATTTTTATTCTCCCCTTTCTAGAAGTTTAGGTAGTTTTAGTAGAAGTGTTCTACTTTTTTATAGTTTAAGTAGGCTTTATTTTTTAGCTATTTTTATTATTCCTTTGTTAAAGGCAGCTTATTATGTCCTAGAACTTAGCTTTTTTTAAAGAGGGGGCTTTATATATACTTTACATAACTAAAGTCTATTAGCTTTTTATTATATTATAAAAGCTTTTTTTTTTTAAGGATAAATTCTAGCTTTTAAAAAGTTCTTTTTAATTTCTTTTCTTTTTTATGTTTTTTATAGTAGTTATTATAAGTTATTACTTTTTTAATATAGTCTTTAAAAGTAGTTAGTTAGTCTATGTGTATAAACTTATCTTTTACTTTGTTATTTAGTCTGTTATAAAACATATAGCATAAGGCTTTCTAGTTGTTCTATCCACAAATAGCCATTTGTTCCCTAAAATGTGCTGCATAGTTCTAGACTAGTCTGCTGCCTTGTCTTATATTATCTAGTTTGTTAGCTGTAATTCTTTTTTTATCTAGGGTTTTATAAATAGCTAATAAGGCTACTTTAAAGTTTTTAACACTGCTAAATATTTCTTTAGTTTTAAAGTTAAGTAGTGCGCTATTAGCTCTAAAGTCTATCTAATTATTAGCATAGAGTTAGAACTAGATTATAAGGGGGCCTTCTAAGTGTAATCCTATCTAGAAGATTATTTCTACATTAGTTTAAAATGCTTCTTTATTATATTGCATATAAAGGTAGCATTTAGTAAAGAATAGTTAGAGGTCTTTTAATAATTCTTTAAAAAGCTTTAGAGGGGCTAGTCTTAAAGCCTTTTTAGCTGTAACACTTACTTTATTTATTAAGATATTTTAAACTTTAGCTAGTTTTACTTATAGTTTATATATTTAATAAGCTTAAGTAGTTACTTTATAAAAGTTAACTAAAAGCTAGAAGTTTTATAAGCTTATAGTTTTTTAGTAAAAGTTAGCTATCTTTTACTTAAGTTTTAGTAAGTTGCTAACTTTATTACTAATTTACTAAAGTTCTTTAATGTTGTCCTAGATAGAGTTAATCTATTTTACTAAAACAGCTTTGCTTTAGGTAGGAACTTTTATAAATTTTAATAGCATAGTGTAGGCTATGTTAGAATCTAAGTTATGTTAAAAGGTTACTATACTTTTTAAAGGGGGTAGTGTTTAATGTTATAATCTTTACTTTATAAAGCACTTAGGTCTAGTAATATTCCTAAGTAGAAAGTAGAACAGATAATAAGAGGCTAATCTAGTAAGGTGTACAGTCCTACGTACAGGCTATTAGGCTAATAGAGGGAGGGAGAGTGACTAGATTGTAGTTTGCCCTATGTGCAGCAGTAGAGAGGCTAGGGTTAAATAGTCCTGTTAGACAGAGTTAGAGGTATATATAGTGTAAGATATATAAATAGTATTACAGCTTTTTAGAAAGCTAAATGCTACTTAGTCTATATAAAGAATAAACTAAATATTAAACACACCTTTTAAAGGTTATTTAATATAAAAACTTATATACATGTGTTAGGGATGCTAAGGGGAGTTAGTAGAGTTTATAAAAGTTTACTAAGAAAAGCTTCTTAAGCTTTCTTAAACTCCTAGTAACACGCAGTCTACCTTCCTATTAGACAGAGCATTCTTCCATAATCTTAGGAAGCCGTGCTGCCTCCGTGTCCTCCGGCTGGTCCGTAAGCGAGCCCTGCTCCAATTCAGCTAGATTGTTGAGCACTGCTGGTGGGGTTACGCTGGTCCAACCGTAGATCGTAACAAAGTAGTAGCAGCAGTAAGGTTAACTTTACTACCCTATCCTCTATAAAATTACCCTTAATTTCTTATTAATCCTAGCAACCTTGTGTAAGTGCGAGCAGTGCTTTTTACAGGCTAAGAAGACTATTACAATAAGGAGGAATTAACTATTAGTGTTAACAATAGAGGCTCTTTAACTGCAGAAGAATTAGTTACGTAACAACGCTGTTACTAGTAAGCTAACTAAGCTTACAGAGTACATTAAAATAGTAAGATTAACAACAGTAGATCTTATAAGGGGTATTACAACTTCCTAATTAGGTATAGTCTTTAGCTTTAGCGCAATTACTTTATAATACTTTAATATACTTCAGTTACTGTATCCTAACTGTACACTGACGTTATATCCTCCGTACAGTTAGTTAGTAACAGCCTCCTCTTCCGTAACTGTACTATACAGCCTCCAAAAGGCTCCGTAACTAACGGTTGGACACACTGCTTACGAGCCTACAACATCACGCCAACCATGGACTCCAACCTCTTCCTCACAGCCGCCACCCGCTGGATCGGTGACGTAGTATTTGACGGTAAGTTCCTTCACCAGTTACCATAAAGTTCTCTCCATTCATCCAGTCCTTCTAACCAATCTACACAGGTCCAAATCACGCCTTAGCCCAACACCTAACCAAACACACCGACAAGAGAGTATACCGGTACATCTTTGACATTCGGAACCCATTTCCCGGCCAACCCTTCTACCAACTCGCACATCACTGGGTGGATGTATACTTTGTTTTCCGCACCTTTCAATTTCGATACCCCACCGAAGCATTGAAACAGATTTCTGACCAGCATGCACGATTGTGGGTGACGTTTGCAAATGGGAAGGCGCCTTGGAAGGAGTATCGGGTTACGGAAGGAAATAGCAGGGAGGTGGTCATGGTGGCAGATGAGAGAGACGGGTGGGTGGAGAGAAGTGTGGCTGAGAATGAGAGGCTAAATGAATGGAGTTGGAAGAGGTGTGAAAAGCTGTGGGAATCCTGGGGTGCGCAGAACGGGAGTTGGTTCCTACCGTTGAAGATAAAGCCATTGGAGGGAAGGAAGCTAGTGTGAGTGCGCAACACCAGAAGGTCATCATGGGAGTGTCAAAAGCTATGATGAGCCTCAACAGGATGCAACCAAGCTCGATTACCTATCCTAATAATCGCCCTTTCGCACCTTCTCATCATATCCCAAAACCGCCTGCAGCAAGATCTGCGCTCCCAGAGCACAGTGCTCCGGGCTAGTGTACTCGTTGGGATTATGCGAAATGCCGTCCTTAGAGGGCACAAAGATCATGCTTGTGGGGCAGACTCTCGACGTCCACGCACTATCATGGCCCGCTCTAGATTTCATATCCATGATCTGATTCTCGCTGACTTCCTTTAGGGCTGACGCTCGTACCGCTTCGATACATTGTGGATGAAATATGGACTTTGGAAGTCCCCATGTGCGCTTTATCTCGTATGAAGTGCCGTTGTTTTCTTCTTTGATTATGGTGTCGAAGGTTTTGAAAATAGTCGTGGCGAGTTGATCCACCATTTCATCTGTTGAGCACCGGATGTCCATGATAAAGTCTACTCTAGCAGGAATAGTGGCCTGACTGTATGTATCACAGGTAATGACGCCCACAGTCGCAACACCAAGCTCCGTCTTCCTTGCTGTATCCCGAACGGCGGTAATGAGGCGCGAAGTTGCTACTAGTGCATCCGAACGATCTAACATGGGCGTGGTTCCTGAGTGGCCTCCCGCACCTGTGACTTGCACCGCGTACCATTTCATGCCTTGCACTGAAGTCACAACACCCACTGTCTTGTTTGCGCGTTCTAGAAGTGGCCCTTGTTCGATGTGGAGCTCGAAATGGGATTCTAGTCCATTTTCCCGGTAGTCACATGGCGTTGATCCTAGGTATGCAATATCTTCTAGCGCTTGCTTCATGGATACGCCCTCCTTGTCTTGTATCCCCCAGCATGCTTCTAATGGTGTTGAGCTCTTAGTGCTCCATACACCAGACGCCATCATCGCGCCCGGAAACCTTGCGCCTTCTTCATTCGTCCAGTCTATCAGCGCGATGGGGCAGTATGTCTCGACCTGGTTCTCGTGGAGAGTGCAGAGGACTTCGAGGGCTGCATGGACGCCCAGGATGCCGTCGTACCTTCCTCCTGGATGCCCATTAGCTACACCCACTTCAAAGATGCGTAGAAGGACCCCTCGGCGTACCTGTAGGCTGCGTATCTAGATGACTTCCCATCGCAATCGGTTTCTTGTCTTTTGCCGTCCCTGGCCGGATTGCAAAGATATTGCCCATCTGATCTATTCTAACCTCACATCCCAGCGCTTTGCATTCTCCAATGAGCCAGTCTCGCACCTTTTTGTCCTCCTGAGTGAGAGTCAACCGACTCATCCCTGTTGACGGTGCCCCCAAAGCGCCCCATGATGTGCATGTGGATTTCAGCATGGAGTTGAGTCGTTCAGAATTGATTTTCAAAGCGGCCATGGTTGCTAAACACGGAATTGAGGCTCGGCGAAATCGGTCCGCGTGCAGAGCATGATGAGCATGATGAAGATGTAATGACAGACAGATATAACTCCTCGAACTGCCGAAATCCCGTCCGTGGAGTGACTGGGGCGGCCAACTCCGATAAGCTACTCTCTAGAGGTGGATCCTTGCCTGCACTCGGCGCGGGGGGCAAATGAGGGGCAGAGATAGGGGACCACACCTCAATATGCAAATCACCCATCTGACGATAGCTACGTTCTTGTAATGGCTTTAGAAATCTATTTGTCGGTTCGATCTATTATATACGGTTCACTGACCCTTAGTGTTGGCGTTCTGGGCTCGATTCACCGCTCCTGCGAAGTATACCCATGGCTACTGACTATGATCTCACCATCGTGAATGGAGTCGTTGTAACCGACACAGAGATTGGGAGTATGATGTTGCGGTTAAGGGCGAGAAGATTGCGAAGGTCGTTCCTAGGGGAGCATTGAAAGGTACAAAGGCTGCGAAGACGATTGATGCCGAGGGAGGCTATATTATGGTGATTGCCATCATCACTAGGGCCGCTAAAACAGAAGCTGACCACTTCACGTAGCCGGGAGGTGTAGATGCGCATGTACACCCTGATGAACCTCCTCTCTTCGGCAAAGGCTCGACTGCTGACAATTATGAGACCGGTATGTGCAGAATCCAACCCTCAAGAGTTTTACCTCAAGTCTTCTCAGGAAGTCGATCAGCGATATGCGGAGGGACAACTACAATGGTGACATTCGCTCCTCAGAAGAAGTCCGAAGACACCCTGCTCGACACCCTCCATGCGACTCATGCCAAAGCACATGACAATTGCTACATAGACTACTCGTTTCACTTGATCATCGGCAATCCCTCTCTAAACGCACTCTACGAATTCAAGACCCTGCGTGAAGAAGGAATCTCTTCGCTGAAGATATACATGACATATGAAGCGCTACAATTAAATGACAGACAGATTCTCGACGTATTATTGGAAGCCAGGAAGCAGAAGATTACAACAATGGTGCATGCGGAGAATGGCCAAGTAGTTGATTGGATTACTGCACAATTGGAGAAGAGAAAGATGTTCGCACCAAAATATCACTGCACAAGTCACCCACCCATGGCTGAAATTGAAGCTACATATCGTGCTATCAGTCTGAGCGAGTTCATCGATACTCCAATCCTAATCGTGCATGTTTCGACGCCAGCGGCCGCAGCCCACATCAAGCAGGCGCAGGACAAGGGCCTGCCGATATACGCAGAGACTTGTCCGCAATATCTATATCTAACAAAGAAGGACCTTGATCAACCGGGCTTTGAAGGGGCGAAGTGTGTGTGTAGTCCACCACCTCGAGAAAGTGAAGCAGATTGCGATGGCATCTGGGATGGCCTAGCGAACGATACTTTCACCATCCTTTCATCCGACCACTGCCCATTCCGGTACGATGACGACGTCAACGGAAAGAAGACCTCCATCAGCGAAGATTACCCCGTCGGTCACTTCAAATACATTCCGAACGGCTGCCCAGGCATCGAAACCCGTCTTGCGTTAACCCTCAGCGCTGAGCGCCTCGAAATAAAGAAATTCGTCCAAGTCACCTCTTCCAATCCAGCAAAGCTTTACGGGCTCTGGCCGCGGAAGGGAGGGCTCGTTGAAGGTGAAAGCGACGCAGATATCAACATCTGGTATCCACCGGGCAAGATGCAGGAATATTTTCTGAACAATAAGATGCTGCACCGTGAGGTAGATTACACACCGTACGAAGGGAGGAAGATGAAGCAATGGCCAAGATATACGATTCTCAGAGGGCAGGCGGTGTGGGATAAAGAGAATGGAGGATTGTTGGGGAAGAAAGGCTATGGAAAGTTCATCAAGCGGGACGCGAGTTCGTTGGCGGGCCGAGGAATCCGGGAGAATGGGACATACTGTTGTGAAGGCGATGTTTACGGTAATGAAGTGGAATCGTCCTTGACAGTTGCTCGTGAACTAGAGTTCATCACCGAGAGTGATGCGTGTCCGAAACGGGCTAGTTCCCTCGTACCCAAAGTCATTCGAGCTTGTTGAGCTATCCAAGCATCATCACTTCCACATCGCTTTGGCAACATCCGAGTGCGGCCAAATACACTCCCATATTCCAAGTAGCGAACACGACGTCCTAGGCCCTTGTACCAGTATATTTCCCATAGTCTACGATGATCCTTCTTTGGCCCCTCACAAAGCGCGTCTTGTTTACTTAGCACGCCTCTGTTTCTTTGAGCCTCACAGAAAGTCGGTGGGCAACCCGACAGGCATTATTCGTAAGCAGCCCCTAGAGCTATAGTGCGCTGGACATGTCATATTTGAGCTAGTATTTGGCGCAGAATGTTCCTAACGTTCCTAGCACCTTACTCTGCATTAAGCCTTCCATCAACTTCCGTAGTCTTGCAACGAATCCAATCCCGCAGCAGCACATCGTTCACGTTCCGCTATCTCCCGCCCTGCTCGATTTCTGTGGTTGAGACATGAATAGGTCCGCCACCAAGCAGCAATCCCCCATAGCCCACCGCAACCAACCTATGTTCTAATAGTCCTTGCAATTGCATAATGTCGCCTGCTGATGCTCATAAAAGCTTTAGCATCATTCTCTTTTTAAAATTTCTACTGCTTTGTAATCTCTTCTCTAGTTTCTTTATTGCACTTAGTCACACCTACCCAATTGCCTTCTTCCCATCCGCGGGGTAGAGCACTTGTCCAGTCGCGATTTGAATCCGAAGCCGCACATTATTACTAAGGGAAATGGCATGCTTGTTCCTACCACAATACAGTACAAGGGCTTTACCTACTTTCAATGGGTCTACCATAGAGATGAGTTCCAACCCCTCGTTCAAGCAGAGCCTCTCAGTCCTCCCTATTATACCTTCCAACGCCAGCTATCACCAACAATTCCATGAGGTATTCACACATACGTAACGCCTAACATTACGCCGACCGAAGCTATGCGGATTCGTACAATGCCATACCAAATCTCTCCATCTTTTTCATTCCCACAAAGGAAATCTTCTGAGCCGCACAAGAAAGCGACGAGCTTTCGAAGGAATAATTTCCTACTGCCTTCAATCTGTTCTCATCACGTCATCAGGATCGGGTCGTAAATATCGAGAAGTTTGGGAAACGAGCTGTGAGCGATCCGATCTTTGAGTGGGACCTCGTCTAGCGGGGCTGGATCCTGTTCAAGATTTAGCCCCTTAGATCGAACGCACAAGCTCACAGAAACTGGACCGTATTTGCGTAATACGATGGGAGGCTTTTCATACCGGCTGAGGAGGGCCTATCTCTTCGTCCTTCTGTTCCTTCTACCTCTTTGAACGCATGGCCAAAATTGGAAAAGGCTGACCACTAGAGCGCCAGCAGGGAGTAGTGTATCCAGGACAAACTTTGATGTAGTGAAGAGCCGGGAATCGTTGGAGTTGCGAACTTGAATCGAAATAGTTATTGGCATCATCGTCGCTACTGTAATTGTTTCCGGGTCCACGGTTAGCAAATTGGTCCCATTAAGGCCGAACCAAAACGTGCGGGTTGAGTTGAGCAACACTGAAAATGTAGTACATAACCCCGTGGTTTGATCCAAAGCCTTGACAGAGGTCTACGATTTCCATCCCAAGCCCATTTCTACGAAGACGAAGTTGCCCAAAGGCCCCGAGGGGCTTTTTGAAACCCACGCTAACAGATATTCGTTCTCTACCTCGCCGGATGCGGTAAATATGTATGTTTCGATGGCTTTTGTATCGTCTAGGCTCTCAATTAGTACTAGAGTTGATATGACGAGATACCCGACACAACAGCAGATTTTTAAATCAGTGGAGTATTGAGGAAAGTCCACGCTTCTCCTTGCCAGCTCATATCAATCCGAAGTACGAAGAGAGAAGTGGCCAGAGTGCACGCATTAATCCTTCAAGAACTTCATAGATTGCACAGCCCTCTTCAACTTACCAATGGCTTACATCACTGATATCAATAAGACACTCTGGATGGAACTACGTGATGTACTTTCACTTTTTCCAGGCAACTTCCAATAGGAGCGTCAAGCCACTTGCCGATACGATGCCGCACAGCCACATGCGCTTCAACTTAGTTCACGCGCACCTTCAAGCCTCATCTCTATTATTCACTGTACATCTTGCCAAGTCTTTTCTCTTATTGGTTTAAAAAAGAGCCGGATTAATGTCTAATTGGCCTATAAAACTTTCCACCACTTTTGCAAATATTCTAGATTTTTAAGGCAAATAAATATATTTTACTAGGTCTATTACTATATTCTAGGTGTTTTAATGCAATATTATAATGCCGTGTTCTGTTGTTGGTGGGCTAAAGTTTGCCCCTTTGTTACTGTTCACAGTTTTAAGGTGTCGCCAAGCCGGAATCGGTATGTCGGCGTCTGTCTTCCGAATGTCAAACCTGACTTTGCAACTGACCGACGCGGTGCTCCGTATGAACATTGTCGGCGGCACGGGAGATTTGTTCGTCTATATCGCTATTCTTCCTTTGTTATTGCTAAATTTTCCTCATCCAAGCTTCCGAAAAGGAAGGCTCATACCTGCTCGTCTTTCCATCACCATGCTCCCTTCACTGAATCGAATGCCAGACCAAGCATGGAAGCGATGGGCACTCACCCTTCCTCAGAGTTCTTGCAAATTTCTCATCAAGTCCTTGAAATCCCTTACCCTTAAACCCTACAAATACTGCACCAAAACCGTACTCCGCTGGGCAGGCAGAAAGAAGTACCCCATTATTGCATACACCAAGAACTCCAAAAAACGTTCCCCTCCAGTTCCTCTCCCTCGTCGCAGAAAGCGCGCTCTCAGTCTCTTATCCATACAACGGCCGTCTTTCTTTAGCAAACTAGTACCGGGCAACCAGCAAACCGCAGATCAGAAAGACTGCCTCCTGCTCACTCGACTCCCTGCTGAGATTAGAAACCAGGTCTGGAAAACGGCAATCGGAAATAACATCTTGCACATCATACCTAGCCTTGTGCCTAGTAAAACACGGCCGAATCGATATGCGCTCATTGATGCTGGCATTCCTTACCGCCTAGATTATGAGCCGTGCAGATGGGATGAAGAGTTCGATTACCCTCGACCAGGTCTTCACAATCAGCATCTTGCTTGCGCGATTTGGATTAACCCGAACGGAGAGTTGTATTTTTCTGCGCCACGGGCGATGATGAATGGGGACGGGGATCTAGAGGCCAGGTTCTTGAGGTGGTGGCGTCGGAAAAATCGGATTTTGGCGCTCTTGAAGACGTGTCGGCAGGTGTGAGTACCCTCATTTCAGTTTGAGCTCCTTAGCTAGAATTAGGGTGGGAAGAGAAATGCACATATCACGTGATGATACAGACTAATGCCACTACACAGATACTCAGAAGCGGTGCACTTACTGTACAGCGCCAATTCATTCGACTTCTGCTCTCTAGAAACATTAAGACAATTCCCCACAACCATCCTTCCGCATCGTATGAACAGCATTCGCAACGTAATTCTCCGCTACCAATTCACTTCTTGCCAAGCAGGCTTGCGAGCTGAAGAGAAAGCTAAGTGGCGAAAGGCGTGTCGCGTTCTTAAAGCGATGGAAGGATTGCAACGGCTTGCTATAGATCTTGAGGACCGGCGAACCGGTGGCACGACTGAACCAGGGGAGATTTTGACTTGGCTAGTTGATGTCAGGGTTGATGGGGAGTTTGTGGTTAGGGTTGGGTGGGGCAAAGATGGGTGGGAGAGGGGAATGGCTGGAAAGCTGCCTTTCACGGTCATTAGGAACGGCGCCCTGATGCACTGAGAGAATGTAGTATTGATGTTTCGTAAGGGACGTCTGCACTCCATAGAGACATGAAAGGGACAAAGGGAAGGCAATGTCAGGAGCGTGATGCTATTGGTGGTTGGACAGGACATGGAGAAGGCTGGGAGGTATGTCTTGGCGCAGTCGATCTCGCACAATCTCGCACGTCAGGTCGAACGGATCAATTCATTCTTGGGGGGTGCAGCATCGTCCGCTCTCACAATGTGTGCCTATGCCGCGACTAAGAGGTCAGAATACCTTCCATCTGTGCTCAATTGCGCTCATACTCACGAGTTTGTGTCCAGGGTCCATCGCAACGAGCTCGAATCCCCGGCATCGTCCCCGGGCTCCTCCCCTGACCCCACCCTCACCGCGCTTCTGCGCTCACGCGCCTGTCAAGAATACGTATTCAAGCCAGTTCAGTCCGATACCAGCGAAGGCGAAGCTGCAGCTGGGGGTGAGGACGATGAGACGGAGCTCCGACTATTTGCTGCACCGGCTTCATTTGCTCCTCAGTCCCACAAAATCCGACTCTCATCGCCGGACGCCGCGACCGGAGAGCCGGTGTTTATCGTGAAACGACCCAGAAGCTATTATTTCACAGAGCATGTCGACAGTGAGAGGCTCTCCAAGCTGCAGGCCGCCGCCATAGACAGCGAGACAGTCATCAAAATGTCAGGCGAACCGTGGCCGGCATGCGCTCTGCCCTGGAAGGTTCAAACTATCTCACCCTCTGGGCTGAAGAAAGGGGTTCTGGTCGGACAGCCTAGAAGCCTATTTACTGTGGAGGAAAAGGTACCCAAGAGGAGGCGGAAAGGGAAGAAGGGCAGGATTGCGCTCAGGAAGATGTTGCAGGCGGCAAGAACCAAGCAGAGCGAGCGGGAGGAATTGGCGAAAGAAAAGGAGGAGGCGGAAAGGGAAAAGAGAACTAGGAGGAACCGAGAGAAGAAAGTCAAGAGGAAGGCCAGGGAGAAGGCGAAGAAGTCAGCAGAGAGTGAGGCCAAGACAGCCGAGCAAGACATAGGAGCTGTGGGCAATGATTCTTCAACTTGACATTTCATCTTCTTTCCCCAGGAATACCAACGCGTGGACTGGACCATGTGTCCTGATCATGTTCGGTCTTGGTGATCTCTCTGAGCGCTCCGTCTCTACCTTCACCATTTTGTGCTTCAGATGGGCTCGCTTTCACTCCAAACGCACCGTTGCCTCGGCCTACATATACTCTTCTCCACCGGAGCACATCCGACTTTCTAATCACCTTCGCTGCCACCGAAACAAACCCAGACAACCACTCAGCTCATCGCGCAGTACCGAGCGACTAGTTTCGCCCATCCGAAACAATGGCATCGCACGACGATTCAAAGCTCGATCCACTCGACCAAGAGTTATATGATCTAGTAGATCCGGGCGCTCATGAAGGCCCAGATGATGGCCCAGATGATGGCAGCGACGAGATGGCCATTGATCCTACCCTGGAAGATCCACCAGAAGACAACATTCTCCAGCCAGCTTCTCTGACGGCGGAGGGCGCAATTGGACGGGACTTGATAGACGTCGACAATACTTCGGGTAAGCACAGCACCGCCAAATATATTCCAACAGACCGACGTCAATGACCGTTCCTCGTCTGGTACTAACTTTTTTGTAGATACCAGTGACCATACCGCGGAGCCGCAGTCTAAAATACCTGACATTAGGGCCGATCCTGACACCGTTCCCGACAGCTTCACTGCCCGCATGCATAAAATTCCCAACTTGCGCGCCCAATTCCTCGCCTACTACAACGGTTATTCGTACGCAGATGAGCCCATGGAATCGCATCTCGAACGCGCCAAGCGCCTCGCTCACGCCTTGCTCAAGCACTACTACCCTTCTTGTCAGGGCTTCTCCGTCGAACCAACTTCACTCGATGACATGGCTAGGCATGGGTGGACCATAGAGGAAAAGCAGGTTGAGTACCTCGTTGCACGTGGGAATAAGAAGAAGAAGAAGAAGCTCCATACTGTGAAGGCTGAGCCCACCTATCACACTATTCCCAAAGACCATATCGCTGGTTTTGTCGTCAAGAAGCAATATGTAGTTGACCAGGGTTACGGAACTGAAGCCAACGTCAATATCCCCCACACCTATCTTGCGATAATGGTAGATGACCTCACCAAGATGGGGCGCTGGCAGTCGATGCGACAGGCAGATGTTCACCGCGGTGATATCTTGACATATTCACTCGGCGTGCAAGCCAAGGTACAGAGAGGGCCAGGGATTCTAATCGTCGGCAATTATATTGAGTTTTATCAATACAACAATGCTGGACCACGGTCATTGTTCATGTCGCCGTATGCAAAGGAGCACTGGTCCCTTCCAATGGATGAATCGAACATCATCCTTGTCAACCAGATGTTCGAAGCAGTGGCGATGACGGATATCGCGTATCAAGATGGTATGGTTGGTGAGGGAGTACGCAAGGAACCCAGCACTCTCTTGTGACAGATGGCTTGAGAGTATTTTCTAGCTCGAGAAACTTAGCAAGCAATTGGGATGTTGGAAGTCATTTTCATCCCGTGGCGGAATTAGCCTTAAGAGATTCATAGGGCAATCTGGCAAAACAATCACGAATCCTGCTTAATCAAGCTTAAGGCTTAACTATTGATATTGAGTGACTATTCCGTATCACGACCCATGGTTTGTATATCTGTACCCTGGAAAAAATCAAACTGCTCCCTCCCTCTCCATCTCATCTTCCCCTAGTTTCCCCTCACAACCACATATCTGGCCCATTGACCCCCCCTCAGCTTCTCCCCCACATATCTGACCTTCTCCTCCATACCCTTGGGCAGCCTGCCCTTGCAGCCGTCCAGGGCCCAGAGACAGGCCGTCTTCATCTCCACCCAGGCCTCTTTCACTTCCTTCTCTACCTTGACCTGTTTCAATGTCCCATGTCCGTCGCTAATGCAGTTTGTCACTACATTAAGAGAGGCAACCGTCCTGGCCCTAGCTTTCTCTACGTCGTCAGAGGCCAGTGGCAGGAGGAAGCGAAACGGGGAGGACGACGAGATCCGCATCTCCATGCGGTTGAATTCGAATTCGATAGGTGCGGCAAGGTGAGATCCACAGCTATTTGACGCAGGGCCAATAGCTAGACGTGAGAGGGCTGGAATACGGTTGGATAGTGGTTGGATGGGGGCGTCGGCCTGACTCACAGCGTCATGGATCGACATGTCTGCGCCGGCTGAGCGACATAGTTGGGTGGTGTAGCTAGACGCGTTGATGCAGGTTTTGGCGTATGGTTTCGCGTGCTTGGGCGTCAAATGTGCGTAGACCATTTCTACGACTTCCTGACCAGACTTCTTGTCGCAGGCGCCTCGGAGTCGGAAACAGAATGTGACGAGGGCGTCCATGGTGGCGTGCAGATGCGGAGTCCAGACACGACTGGGTGCGAAAAGGATGCCGTTGTATCCCCAGTACGAGACATAGGTGTTGAGATTGTAGTTTAGGAGCTGCGACTCTGTGTCGGTGAAGGTCGCGGTGATCTTTAGCTTAGTTAGGTATGTGGTGAAGCGTGACAAGACTTGGAGACTGTTTTTGCGGCCAAGAGCAGTTGTTTGCAGCGCTCCGGTTGCAGCAACACTAGGGTCTTGCTTGAGCTTGAAGAAAGTGAAGACCGAGTGAACAGTGATACCGGCAAGTGCATTCCTCAACTCCGCGGTTGTGAAGTTAATGAAGTACAGCAGGAAGTGAAGAACTGGCCCGTTGTGCCAGACAATCTTCTTGCGATGCCCTTCATAAACCCCTAATTTAAGGATTCGGTCAATGACGACGTTAATTCGGTTTACAGCTTCCTGCGCTACTTTCGCGGTAGCTTTGTCGTCGTACTTGCCATCATTGTCAGGTGTCTTCGCGTTGTTGACACCTCGGACGACAGCGATGTTGGAGAAGACTTTCACTTTCCCATTTAAACGCTCTTGGCCTGGATCGCGCATGATATGCTTGACCATATCACACACACGGATGAAGTTGTCACGGTCTCCTGTGCTCTCCTCTGTAAGGACGACCATACCAGCGGGAACATAGTTGGCGGGGCCAGTCTTGTGGGGGACGTATGTCGTAATGGAGCGGATTTTGACGATGACGGTAGCTAGTTGGAGCAGATTGTCGGCGTCGGAATCGGTCTCCCAGACGTGGAGATAGTTGGTGTTGTTAATCACTTCTAGTGTTTTGGTAGAAAGCTTGTCGAACTCGGATTTGTGTTGCCCGGGGACGCCTTGAGCCGTTTTACGCAGACCTTCTAAGGTCTTGGACCAGGGGCTGTTGAAAGTTGACTGGGGAGGCATTACGAATCGAACGTGCATTTAGCGCGGTTGATACTACACGTTGAGATTAGCGAAGGTCTTTTTGGATTAATAAAACGCCTAGGCAAGTAGCTGCGACGTTAGTAGCGTGAAGAGGTTCGATGGTGACAGCAGTACTGACAAAGGGAATGACTAGAGGGTTAACCAGTCAGTCAGGTGATGCCGCGGACGACAGCGTGTTCGCCATAGAATGAAAGCCTAGTAACAGATGTGTACGCGGAACAACGTTTCAGCAATAAGTGACTTTTGCCGCACCCAAGCCATGCAGAAGACAAACTCAAGGGAGGTATTCACTCTCTCCTCTTCACATAATCCCCATTACAAACGTACACGTGTCGCTGTGTTTTCTATGGCGACCAAATTGAAGCAGAGATATACCTAAGCCATTTTCTCCAATCAAGAGTAATAGGGTTGAAACAACGAGAAACACAATTAAATATACATAACGTCCATAACACTGACCTACGCTATTCCAAGTGCTCACGTACCAACCCCACCGCCGTGCTTGACCACCTCCTCTTTCTCGAGCTTCTTGACCTTCCTACTGAGCAATGATCTCAGCTCCGGGCTAATTACCCTTGTCTCTTGCTCTCCTTCGACTTGTTTACCTTTATCTATGCCGGAAGCAGCGCCTTCCAGCCTAGATGAGGAAGGTAGCGGTGATGTCGGAGGTGACGTTAGCGATTTGCGCTGTCTAGCTTGGGGAGCAGCTGGGAAGTTATCATTCTTATCGATCATCTCTACAGTCTTCTGGAAGCGCCGGAATAATGACTCGGCACGAATAATAATATCGTGGAGGTCAATCGTTCCTGAGAGCTCATTCACTAAGTCGGTCGTTAGCACCGCATATTTGCAGGGGCAATGCTTGGCGAGTGCATGGTAGAGAATGTCACCATGTCTAAGGGGGATCTAGTCATGCATACCGTACTTCAGCACCTCATCAAAATGCTTCAGGTGATCCATAATCACATCCCGATGCTTCTCCAAGATAGCGAGTGCAAGGAAGATGTGGAAGTTGCTGCTAAGGAAGTCGGTCCACAGAGACTCCCAAAGTCTCAGGATATCAACCCATTGGAACTCTCGTTTGTACCAAACCAGGAGCATACGGAAAAAGAAAAAGAAGTTGGTGGAGTCAGCCGACTGCAAGTGGACGTAGAGTTTTGGGTCCATAAGCTGAACGAGATGATCGAGAGTGAGAAGTTGCTCCCGCATGCCAGATTGATCGCGAAGAAAGTTCCGCTCCTATATGTCTTGTCAGTATTCGACCACAAAACAACAGCATACCTAAGGAGCCATCAATCCGATTGCAGATGCAGAGAGCCATAGAACCAGGCGTAGAACTCGGCCGTTTCCTGGAGCTATGAGTTAGGGGTACTAGAATTCTACAAACTCACCATACGGTCCATAAAGCCAACAAATCCCCAGAAGGCTGCTGCATCGTCTTGCATGACAGCATAAATAGGGGCTAAGAGATCGCTCATGCCCTGTACGTAACCAAGATCCTTGTTGTACTCATTGTAGGTCAGAAGCATATCCTTCATCTGTTCGAGATGGACATTGGTTCCAACGCCGGCAAACGGGGAATCGGGGTCTGGGTGGGGCGTATCTTCACCCATGAAAATGGGAATGGTGCGGTCAGTTCGGTGCACATCCTTCTCTACAGCACGAACCCCATAGGATGGGGAAAGTCAGCCAGGTGGAATGTGCAGCTAGGGAGCCTTGGGGACACATACCTATTCTGTTCTTCTGCTCCTTCCACCATTCTTCTTGTTCAAGCGTTTGATGGCCTTCCAGCATCCTCTCCCACCAGGCTCCTTTGAGTCGGATGTACTCATCGCGCCGGCTGTTCATGTATGCATGGCGTTCGTCTTCTGAACTATCCCATTCATAGACGCCGAGAAGGAACATCCAAGCCTCCTTTCGTACGCCGTCGTCAGGGTGTAGTCCGCCATGGAATATCCTTTCTTTAACCTCGTCCGGTGTGATATGCAACCTACCCGTCCTATCGAAGAATCCTCTCCACTCCTTCAGCGTAACAGGCTTTCTCCGATCACTCATAGACATCTTAGCTACTTCCATATCTAGGATCTCGAACTCGCCAACATCGCTGTGCTCCATTGCAAGCACATCCTTGGCAGTCCATATCCTCTGGTTGCGCTCCCGTTCGCTCTGCTCGGCAATGCCCATGGCCCATCTTGCCAGATATATCCTAGCGCTGTCGAACTCCTCTTGCAACACCTGCACTTCTGGGTTCTTCATCAACCGTCGGACCTGGGGTGGAATTTTCGGGTTGTCGGCGACAGCCTGGGCCGTCCTTCGAGTGAATGTAGTGACTTGGCTGAGCTTCTCCAAGAAGTTCCATCTCGCCTCCTTCAATGCTTTGGTAACCGGGTCCATTCCACCATCTCTTTTGGCAGGGGCCTGGGAAGAGGAAGCTTCTCCCGGGCGGCCACCATCGGCACTTGTTCTTGGCGATTTCGAGGCGGGAGCATTCCGACCAAACGATCGCTTGTCCTCTTCAGAGGGGTCGATTAAGTAGATGCTCGTGTCGGCCCCGGAGCGCTCGACGGTGACATATCTCTTCAGCCATCGCAACACTTCGTCTCCACCCCAAAACATGCCACCGCCATCGCCAAACGGGTCGAAGCTTTCTCTGGCCAGTTTCTTCCGCTGCAGAATGGTAGACTGGCACTCACTATCGTGAAAGAACAAGGCCGGGAAACTATCCCCTGCCCGGGTATTGACCACCACACTGCCAAACCACCATCCTATACTAGGTGGCCGGACTAATAGGGAATAAATCTCACTGACGGGGACAGCGAATGCATATGTCCCGATTGCACTGCTATGTGTCGTAGTTGTGGGTGGCGGGGGAACGAGGTAAGACTGCTTTGGGGGGGAAGAGGAGTCGGACAGGTCGACCTTGACATAGGTGTCGTATGCGTCGCCCAAAGAAGATTCGGGAACCCAGGCAAGAAGCAACGACGAGGAGTGGACGCTTTTTGCAGAGGAAGACGAGGTGGGACGGGCATCGTTTAACGTGGGAGGGGCTTTTTGCTGCACCAGAGCAACAAACCCGGGGATGTTGTCCTTTGCGGAGGGCGTGGGATGCACGTAGACCTTGCTCTTAGTATACAACAGCTTCACGCCTCGTCCGCTGGCCGTGTGGCGGATCGTATTGTACTCCCCTTCCTCGTCGTCACTCAAGTCGTAGAAAGAAGCCGACGGCGATGGGGGGCTTGGCGGGAAAGTGGGCGAGCCCATGGCGGGGAAGCTGGGTGGGCAGAGGGAAGAAATAATCAAATACCTCCTATATATAAATTTCTGTGAATCAATATGGAATAAAGGGCGGTGTTGGTTGCGAGGGCATAGGGAGGACTAGTGAAGGTGTTGCACAGCTCTCGTGGTAGGGAGAGGCTCAGGCGCTGGTCATCCATCACACGTTCGCAGATGACGTTGGGATAGTGGCGGGGCTTGCAGTGCAGGGTGCGCGTCCTGCATCGCCTAGCCCTTTCAAGGTATCCGGGCCACAACAAAATAATTCAAACCAAAGCGTCATATTAAAGGTATACTCGTATATACCGTAATTGACAAGCCATGAACAAAGCCTACGACCGTGTGATGCGCGGCCCACTCGGCAGACCGACGCGACCTCCTCCACCAGGCCGTCGGTCTTGCCCACCACTTGCACCGTACCCGTTGCCCCCATACCCTCCCCCTCCGCCGCCGCCATATGGGTCGTCTCCGCCAGACCACGGCGCGTTCGCAGAGACGTTGTACGAGTTCTGCTGCCTTGCGCCCCCTCCTCCTGCAGAATATCCGCTGCTGCTGTCGTCGGGGTAGGGTGCCCTTCCTCCTCCCCCGCCAGGCCTGTCAAAAGGGCTTCGCATTCCCCCTGCGCCTGGAGTTGCTGCCGGACTTGCGTTCGTCGAGGACGCTGCCCCCTGTGCCGGACTCGTTGATCGTCCCGAGCCCCATAATCGAGCCTTCAGCCGCTCCTGAGCACTGGTTCCTGACCCGGAGCTTGGCGGCGGTGATGGGTCTGCGGGAGGGCGTCCGAAAGATGAGGCACTCTGATAACTGCCGGCGCGCTGGCTAGGAAGAGGCCTGCCTTGAATTTGGGGTTCTGGCGAGTATGTGTCGCCCATACCCGGCCGGCCCTGGAATCGCCCGCCTCCTCCACGACCCTGTGCTCGTCGTAGTGAAAGGGGTTCTTGTTGTTGCTGCGGTGGGGGTGCATCCCAGAGATCGCTCAAACCGCCGCCGCCACGACCCATTTGAGCCGGTCCCGGCTGTCGTCCGGAGGAGGACACAAACTGTGCGGGCGCGACCTGGGGGGCTTTTGGATCCGGGGGGAGCCATGGCGGGAATGGCCTGCCCTTCTCTGTATAGTACGCTCGTAGCACTCGCGAAATGTGGGTATCGTCTTCGGTATCGCCGTCTGCTTCGTCTGAGAGGAGCGTCCGCCGCAACGAGTTGTATCGTGACGTTGTGGTCGTGAGGAGGTTGTTTAGGTACGACGACATCCTGGCTGCGAGTGAAAGACTCCGGTAACGGTATAGTGCGTGGATTTGTGGGCTTTATAAACTTGCCGTGCCCTACGCAGAGCGTTGGGGAGAGGAATGCTGGCGAGGGGGATGGGGATGGGGATTGGGCGAGCATGCAAGTGGCAGTTGCAGAGCGCCAATTTCAAGCCGCGACAACGCCAAGCACAAGCGTCACCTCCACCCACGACACCCATCATCCCCCTACTCCACCATGGGCGACGACTTCACCCAAATTTCAGCCACCTTTCACTCTAAGAGCCCCGCCTCACAGAAGCAGCATAGTCCTCAAATACCTGTCCTGGCTCTTTTTGCATACTAGCTTCAGCAATGCCATATTCAGATGCTCTTTCTCAAAATATTCCTTCTTCGATCTCGTCACTTCCGCAACTTTCTGTCCTCCGTTGCAAACGCCGTTTCCGTTTCCTTCTCCGTTTACTGGATTGAGACTGGGCGAGGACGTTGCAGATCTATGAAACAAAGTGAAACACCACTGCTATGTCTTGACTCTCAACCTCAAGTTGCATGTCCACATCGATTTTCCCCTTGACGATAAGACCGAGTACTCTAATACAACTATATTTCACAGACATCTTTCAGGTTCCACAAGAACGATGTACCCACTGCTCAACTTAAATCCTTCCTGACCCCACACAACTCAGATAACCCCGAAGCCATTGAATGGGTTTCAACAGTTGTTCATCAGGTTTCAGAGGCAGTTCAGAGTGAATCCGCCACGGCCCTTCAATTAACTCACTCCAAATTTTTTTTTTTTTGGAACATGTCAAACTGTTAATGGCCATAAGGAGAGTAGTCGAATAGAAACCAACAAATGATAATCCCATAATCAGGCAGGCTTCTTGCGATGCCTCCATCCCATGTTCCTCCTAGACTTAAATTTTCTATACCTCCTCAAATAGGAATCGTAACATGCGAAGTCCGCAGCTTCACAGCATATATACAAGCTACATGGCTGATTCTATCACAATGCCCATTGCTATAATGAATTGTCGCTCTATCACACCGCAAATCGTCCGATAATACGAGCACGATTCAGAAAAAAAGAGGTCGGTCCTCTCAACGATTGCATCTCCCCCCCCCCCACGACAAATAACACATTCTATGGCCATCATTCTAGCTTTTCGCTACGGAATACTAAGATCTTCGGAATCCACCTGCTCGGCCACAACTTCACCGGACGGACTACCAACACCAGGCTAATTATAAAATTCGCCCAGAGTTGAGAATAGATTCCACTTTCAATGCTAGAACAAGTGCGTGCATTTTGTGAGAGTCAAGGTCTGGCGCTTCCTCATGGCGGGAATGCCTCTAGATAGCCTGGATGTCACGACCGATCTCATAGAGTTGGTAGATTTCCTGACCGATATATTGATAGCTGTGTCATTTCCAATTTCGATATCCTATCAGAAATTGAAGAGATTAAAATTATAGTGTTAGCAACGCCATACGATGATCCTGCCAACCAGTGACCCTGCCGATGGCGAATACTATGAAGAACCACATTCAGGCAATGCGTATACCGGATATTAACAGCAGCAGCAGGCCAACCCAGAACCCTATTCGAAGAACACAGACCGCATATGCGTATGCATAGGCCGGAGGCCATCTAGCAACTCCTTGAGATAGGGATAAGCCTGATACCTGCTAAAGGCAACAATTGTGCATAGTCAATGAGCGTTGTAGTTGAGCCTTTTTTTTATAGCAAACCAGGGACTAGTACGTGAACACCGTTGTGCATGTTTCAAGGTCAAGAGCTGACTTTGAATTACAGGCAAGAGTACAGCTGCTCGTGCCGGCGCAAAATGCTTTGCTGAGCTTGGGCACTTGAGAGGATCAATTATTCATATCTCTACTTAGAAAGTGCTGAACGCAAGTTCCCGTACCTCATTACCAAGTAAGCTAAAGGGGTGTGTAGTCGCTATGGAGGAGCTTGTAGCCATCCAGATTCAGCCCTTTTTAAGAGGTGAGGATGACCTCCGTTAGTCACTATCCAGAATGCTCATCACTTAGTCATAGCTGCGTGTATTCTTGACTACCTTATTTGCTTGATAGGGCAATATATTACTAAAGATTTCCGGACTTTCATGGACCATGAGAAAGGGACAGAGATATTCTTCAATCATGACCCCAGCATGCACAGCAAAATAGAAATATAGGTCAAGATTGAAGGCTGAGAGCGCCTTGATGACCCATACACGCGAGCTTTCATCCGTCGCACTACACGATAGAGGGCAAGACGGCCTTTGACAACGTCCGTACGCTTCGAAACGAGCTCACCAAAGTTTCTCACCGCTACTCTTTGTGTCTTCACAAGAACGGAAAATCATAGGTAGATCCAACGACTGGTTGCTAGAACGTTTAGACCTGCTAGGCACCGAGCCTGCCCATAAGCTTGAAAGGATTCCGGGTTGGAATAAACTCCAGGGCACAATCAGCCTTATAGCCGTCAAATATGAACTTAAAGTGATGATTAACGGAGCTCTACGTAGTTGTGGGCGAGAAATGATAGGAAAAGCATCTGTTTAGTTCCCCCTATTAGTTCCCCCTAAGTATTTCCTTGGCCATGGAACAGGCAAGAAGGTGGTTGCAAGGCTACATGGTAAAAGTTCAGCAAACATTAGACTCCTTTCTAGTGAGGATGTCATCACATCGGCTACAAACTTCATCAGGTCCATTCCTAGAGCTTTGAGGAGTAAACTAAAAAACTGTGCTTCAAGTGCAATAGGTAGAGGCTCAGATGTAGGCCTACACCCTCAGTCCTACTGACAAGAATCGCAAGAAAAAACAGGATAGGTATCGCTTTGCCATGGTCGACACGATGGTGTCTGGGATACAGAATACACTAGGTGAAGATCGCTGTGTGATTCTCCTCGAGTATACAAGATGAAGAATGTGTTCTCAAACACAAATCTAGGACCAGGTCGTCGCTCCCTGGAATCGTTCACTTTCGAAACCTCACTGTCGACGAGCTCAGGAAGATTCTGGACCTCAAGCTCCAGAAAGGGGTTGAACGGCATCTCCGAAGCAAGATTACCTGCAACCAAGTATCTAAGTTGTGAGCGAGATCGCTAGAACCATGGTAACGGTAGTATAGTCGACAGCTGCTTAAACAGAGCAAAGACTAGTCACCAAGCCCGCATGTCCCGCTTTCCTCCATCGAAACGTGGCCAAGTCGACATCATTTCCGAGCCCGTGGATTTCGATCTGGACTTCAACCCTACCAAGCACCCCCCAGAGGCATTTTAAAGATCTCCTCTCCGATTTTGCTGGTTGTGACGGAGTTTCCAACGCCTTCGAGCAATACGAGACAGTGTCCACGGAATACGTCTACGGGTTCAATCCTCAGGGCCAAACCAGACCCACCACCCTTCACCTTGGTATTCAAGGGCAAACTAGGAACGGGCAAAACAGCAGCTGGACAGAAAAGTGGCCAATTATTCTATGATCTCAGCTTACTCTCCTTGCCAGAACTCATCGAATGCTCTTAATCTTGTCATTTTCTATGTTAGAAGATAAGATGCAGCAGAACTCGGGTGTAAATAAAACGGGACAAGACCAGGTGGCGATACAGTAGCTATATGATAGTGTAACCTTACAAGAGCACAAGTTATGAGAGGAGTTATTATTGTGGACTAAGGGTCTAAGGAGCTTTATGATTTATATAGTATTGATGGACGCCAACCCCAAGGTTGATTGGGCAGCCCACCGTAGAGCCCTTCCCGCTTACAGGTAGAGAGAAGGGATGTATATTGGTAGTGGTTTTCTCGAGTACACGATGCTTCCGATTGTTCCTTTCAATATGCATATTCAGAAGATCATGTCCTGCAGGACGTGGGATCAAGCACTTCCATCACATGTCGATGCCTACTTTCACGTGATAATGAGAAGCACAACAGATTCTGCCGACAGCGACCGCCTTCAACCCCTGGTAGACACTGCTATACCCCTCGTTGAGTCTTCCTCCCACCTTGGTTCCAGCAAAATAATGTGGTCATTTCACTGTACTTTCTGCTGACGTCTTCTATTCATTCCCTCGCCTACAGTGTTTTATGTCCTTCTCTTGCCGTTCTGTTCTCCGTTTCGCAGTCTCCACACTGTGTTGATTCCACCATCAGCGGCGCCACTCAGCCAACACCTTCCTGCCACCATGCAATCACGGCCTTGATATGTATTCCATTGTTCACTGAACATTTCCACAGCCTATTTTTCCCCCTTCGTTGCCGAAACCAGCCTTCACCATGCGGGCATCCAGCTTAGCCATCAGCATCATCTGCGGGCCTGTCGTCTGCGTCTACGTCGCCTTCGCAGCATGCTTCTGTCCTGGCCGTTTGCATCGACATTCCGAGTCCGAAGATAAAAAGCGATTTGAACGTCGGCAGAAGATGGCGCCACGGCCGCTCCCTGTTCGCCCGCCCCAGCGACGCCTCACCATTCCCGTCGCGCAATCGGCTGCGCCGGAGAAGACAGACTGCTGCGCCGAGTCGAGCCGTGGGCACACGCTGGACCAGAGTCAATCGCGGCTCTTGCGGCTCCCTTTAGAACTCCGGGAGATGATATACCGATATGTGCTAGGAGACAGCACAATGCATATGATTTTGAAGGAACAGAGGCTCGGCCACTTGAGGTGCAAAGCCCCGAGTGCTGTCGAATGTCCTCTCGGCTACAATGGCCTCACTTTGAGCCGGGAGTGTTGTTGGGGCACCGTTGACAGCGCCAACATATGGGCACCGATGAGTGGTGTCATGGAACCTACAGATGGCAATATCCTTCCTCTACTGCGCTCCTGCAGGCAGGTGTAGGCCTCCCTCCTTCAAAGATGCAATTAGATGATCGAATCTAATATAACACAGATACTCCGAATCAATCCAATTCCTCTATTCGACCAACACCTTTTCCTTCTCCGATCTCGACTGCTTACGCTACTTCTCCTGCACTACTCTCCCGCACCGCTTTGACTTGATCCAAACCATCGATCTCGAGTGGTGCATGTCTTGGCCTATCTACGACCCCATCGCACAACAACTTCTCCTCAACAACCCTGCTCTCTATCCTCCGAACGACGAGGCGACTTGGGAAGAGACTTGGCGGATAATCGCCAACATGCCCAATTTGAGCTTCATCAGGGTCAGTCTGTTATACTTTGACGGCTTCAGGGATCCAACATGTGAAAGCAAGATGCTGGCCCCTTTGCGGAATGTCACGAGACCCAGAAAATTTGAGGTTCATGTTAGCTGGAGTGGGGATGAGGTTGTTGATGCGCCATTTCAGTTGATAAGGCCGATACATCCGGACCCGAGTTCAGATGATGACGATTCTTGGTGAATTCCACGCCATTGTCCCCTTCAATTGCCTTTCTTCAATGTATCAAGGTGTACATATTTCTTTACCGGCTATTCGGCAGGTTCTTCAGCATGGCCCTTCGACCTAAGGCCATGTAGTTAGCTCGATTTTCACACTTTTTCCATGTACATCTTAGAAACACGATCAAAGCTTCGGGCTGCTTCACGCGGGCATGAAAGTGACGGACCTTTGAGTACGAGGGATCTTACAGATGTACGATAAACGTATCGTCTTTTTTTTTGGATCAAGGGAGGGTTCTTTTATTTCCGGTTCTGCATTCAACTAGGCTTCTCATTTTTATATCTTCTAGATGACAACTATCTTAGGGCATAACTAGCGTGACAACCCGTTAAACTGAATTCTCATTCTGTGTGCTCCCTCTTCCATCCTAGCTCCACTATGCTTGTCTTGTTAGCACTGGGAAGTAAATGTACTCTCTACTCCACCAATCAAACACCCAAAACCTTATAGCAAACCTTACTGGCGCCTTTCTGTCTCTTGATATTCCTCACAACCACCTTGCCTACCTCACTCAATTGCCCCACGTGGGTGCAGCCGCGTACTTAGGCTACTGCAGCTCCAATATGGACCACCCTGACATCCAGCCCGTTCCCGTCCTGATCCTCCTCGCCCATCACACGCTTTAACACAACAATGCACTTCTCCTTCGCCTCATCTTCAGTCCAGAAGTAGATATCAACAGGGCCTGCTATATATACAGCAAAGAGAGAACCGCAACCAGGCCTTTATATCCATGGCAAGAGCAACAGACAGCACTTTAAACAGTAAACAAGAAAGCGATCCCTAATCTCAGAGGCATAAAAGCGCCAGCAAGGAAAGTTGCAGAACCGTTCTTCCTCGCCAATCCCGCCATGAACTATGGATCTTCTCTTATCCTTTTGGCATTTTCCGCGCCCTTGATAGATTCCCGGTAGGTGAGGTTTTTGTCCGCAGAGTGGGTGTTGCTTTGATTTTTGAATTGGATGGAGAGTTTTTATGGGACTTTATGGACTTGAAATCTAAATATGTAAATGGGCACAAAGGGGGGGCGGGATTCGAAGAGATAGGTCCTAGTGTCAAAATGAGTAAAATGAGCTCACTCCACGAAGAATATTGGGTTGGTGTTTGCTTAGGGGGAAGGTGCCCAAGCCGTGGGGGATTAGAAGGGACGTACGCTAGGCCTAGAGTAGGTGCGTGGTATGGCGCGCTTCTTACACTAGCCTAATTTAGAAGTTAGTAAACAATGTGGTATTTGCTCGCGTGCACACGACGAAGAACGTTAGGTAGTGGTATGGAAGCTAACTAACTCAAGGCTACCAGAGGCAAAATTCAATAGGGAAATAGCTTTGTAAAATGGGAGTATGTATTCGGAGTAGTCAAAGGCAAGTAAGGTGCGACCTATGTATACAATACGCTTACAAAAGCCAAGCTTCCATCCACGTCCCCTCTCATCTACGTCCCCCAACAAGACTATTCTCTCCAAGCCAGGAAATAGTTATCTTGTTCCTAGCTTCCCACCTACTAAACATCTAGCCAGGACCTGCAAGGTTGTAAAAGGTGCCGAAATAAGAACGAAAACTTTTATGACACGTGCCTTAGCACCATGCCTACCCACAACACCATGCAATGCAATCATACAAGCATAACAAAAAGTATAAAAACGTTCGACACAAAACGGAGAAAGAAACCGGGGTATCTGTGCGTAAATGCCTTTTCCAGAAACACGGGCGAAAGGTGGAATAGGCTCCTCCCAGAGACGTAAAGCAGCGCAAAAGCCGGATTAGAATTTTTTTTGGTCATCACAGCGCAATATCTTGTTGGGACCCGCCAGTGATACTACTCCGACTCGTTCCCTCGCTAATAAAAGTAGCGACGCTGGTGCGCTTGAACGTCAACGCATCGCTCTTAGATGGCGGGCTTGAGAGGCTTGCTCCGGGAGTAGTATTATGCGGAGAAGATGGGGAAGAAGCGGTTGGGGCATCTCTAGCTCCATACCGCGTCCGAAGTCGCTCAAGCTCGCGCAGACGGTTGCGCCAAGACGAAACCGATTCGCCTCCCTCGCGAATAGACCAGACTTGGGAGAAAACGCATGCGTTTATGGCTATGAGGCGGCAGTAAGCCGCCAAATGCGCTCTACTAATAATTTTGCTCTCGGCGGCAGGCGAAATGTCTGGAAAACCAGGCTTGGGAATAACTTGGACTTTGTAGTAGCGTTTCTTACCGTCTGGATCCGTATCCAGACGTCTGTCAACAAAAGACGCTCGGGACTCCGGTGTGATGACAATGTAAACGTAATTAAAGGCCGTAGGGAAAGTGTCAAAGTTATATGGGAAGCCAGAGTCGTTAAAGATGATGTTTACAAAGTCATTACCGATATGGCGCTTCTTGTTCGCATAGGTCATGTTGTCCTCGGGATTGGTCGGCATCATGGTCGTGATGTGGAAAACCAGCTCGATGCAACGATCTCGCCAGCAGAAAGTAAATTCTCCATCGTCATCATTGCGAGTGTCCAGTCCGCCTGTGTTGAATTTGGCACCTTTAAGGCGCACGAGCGTGCCTAGGTCATTCAGAAAGGACGTGTACGCCGCAGATCCTATATCATTCATCAGTATCTCCCTCTCTTCCATCTGCCCCTCACCAATATAAATCACGCCAACTTTGTGGCCATCTACAGTAGCATTGCGGTCGAATGCTTCAATAGCGCGGCGTGTCATGTCATCGTCTGGCAATGGAATCGGAGGGTCCACTAAATTCAAGGGCGCATAGTAGGTTTGGAAGATATCGTCAGGCAGTATGCCGATATACGAGGAAGTCTTGAAAGCTTCCGCAGCAAGGCCAGTGGTGAGAGGAACTTGATGGCGTGGAGGTGGTGCAAGCAGCGGGCGATGATACAGGTAACGAGTTCCACACTATGTTGATAATTAGTAAATTCAGAGCAGAATGTGCACTCAGCGGGGGGATAGTTACGGGTCTCCTGCTTGTGATCAACGACACGCCCGTTCTAGCCCCCGTCTCGATAGTCATCAAGCTGTGGCCTACGATCCAAGTCTTCTTCCACACTTCACCGTCAGTCTCCTTTGCAAAGTTTGGATCGCGTATAGTTTCGTCTCGATCCGAATATGCTACCATGTTCATCATATCTACAATGACTTGCCCTTGCTCTTCCATAACCTGATGTCCCTTACTGTCAGTATAGATAAGGTTTTTGGTGATCCATGGTATTTGTCTTGGTCGGTCCTCCATCTTCAACCCCATGAACCAGAACGTAATGACATGATAGGCGAGCGAGTATACGTATTGAGGTAGATCATCTGCTGCGGCCTTGGCTTTCATTGACGAATTCTGATCTGAAGCCGTCGCGAAATCACGTGAAACGCCGCTCTGCCAAAGAGAGCGGTGACCAGGCTGCGACGCACTGGCGGCAGCGGCACGTTCGCGCTGATCTCGGACATGCTGTAGATAACGGAAGCTAACACCAAACACCATTTTGAACTCATCTTCCCGAAAATTCTTGTAAAGATCGGGCATACGGGCCATGGACGTGAGAAACTCCAGGATATGGATAGCCGTTGTAGGCTTTGTGATGATCTGAGACATTTTCTGAATGATATTGTCGAGTGACTTGCTCACCGAGCGCGGTATTTCATGGCAACAGACAGTAAGGGCATGGATGCACCACTTTGCAGTTCGGTCCCATGACCCAATTCCATGGAGAAAAGTCTTTACGAGCTCGTCTTCCTCGCTTTTCTCGTACTCGTCATGGTAACTGATAAGGACTGTGAGGATGTGGAACAGACAAACGGCAACATCTGCTTTCTTTAGCAACGTATAACCTGGAGGCTCATGAAATGTGGATCCTCGAATTTGTTCGCAAGCGACGCTTCTCAACATTTTCAATTGCGGAACACAGCTTCGTACGAGTGCTTGGTTAGACAGCTGCGGGCCAAGGTGGACTAGTATATAGCTGTAGATTTCCCAGTCTGACGCTTTCTGCAGCAAGGAAATCACCAACTCGAGCCACAAGGTGACCTGAAGGTCGAGAAGATCATCGCTGAGCGGGTATTCTTCATCATCAATATGGGCAAAGACCACACGACTAGATTGGGTAGATGGATCTTCGGGAAGTCCTTTAGGGCCAGGGTACATCCATAATGGCGGAATTGGCTTGGAGACACGACCAGTAGCATTGTTATGGCGACTAGTATGCCTGCTAAGTGAAGAGTGAGGGCTGCTGCCGGAAACTTTTCGCTGTTCCCTCCACGAATTTTGATCCTCTGGTCGTGCTGGATCGGCGGGTGTGCCATTGTCAAGTTTATCATAGACTACTGCTGTTTCTGCAGTACGACACAGAACTGTGGCAATAGTTTCACCTTCCGATGAAGCACTCACGATAAGAGAGTGGTTGGAATCAGCCCGTAGACGGAAGAGTAGTTTGAGTGCCGTTAAGCGAGCGTCACTCTCGCATAAATCAGAGCCCGCGATGTATCGAAGGATGTTGTAAAGGAGAAGTGTCTTTCGCGCAGACTTGGTCACGCTCCGGGTGAAAAGACGGACAAATGCGGTAGCAATAACGTTACAGGCTGATCCCAGTGGCTGACCCGGCTTAGTAAGAGGTTGAGATGCCCGAAGATGAGAAGCGGTCCCCAGAGAATGAAATGATGCTCGGGGTGCTTCCAATCGGGTCTTCAATAAGTCTATCGTGTCCGGGAAATTGGCGTCAGGAGCTCGATCAGCAACATCAACAGCAAAATCGACGAGTGCATTCAAGACTGTTACATCTTCTTCTGCTTTAATGTTGTCCAAGAGAAGAGCCGCGCATTGCAGCACATCATCACCAACGCAAAGGCCATCGACCGTGTTGTATGTCTCTCGTAAGACTTTGACGGTAGAGATCCGTAGCGACTGTGGCCTCGTTGCATCCTTAAGAACGCCCTCTACCAACCGGCGACAGGCTTCCAGCCAGTGGCTATTTGAAGGGTGGAAGTATCCTTGTTCGGTATAGAATCTGATCATATTTTCGGTCGTTGAATCGTTCAACCGCTTCGTGACGTGCATGAAAAGCTCCATGACGGCAGATTTCTGAATGAGATCCATGCCTGTGCTGATCCCATCTAGGCTGCATAGGATCTGCGAAAAGTTATCGTCCGACAGTCTCCGATACGCTGTAGGGCCAATTGTGGATGAGTCAAAGTTAGACACGCTCTCAGGTTCCACATCTTCGGAAGCTGCTTTATTCGATAGAGCTCCAACATTACCTAGGAATCGATCAGTGGGTATAAAACAAAGGGGCGAGTACCAACCAGTGACGTGGGAACCATTCCCAGCCGCGGACGCAGTTTTTTTGGAGACTGCTTTTTCCGCCGCTGTTTTTGCTGCGATTGCAGTTTCTCTGTCGTCTTCGCGTTCTGCACACGTCCGGATAATATAAATGAGATCACTCCAATCTGCTTCGCTAAGAAGCAGATCCCTCAATTTCTCCTCGGCCAGGATCGCGGCTATTAGACCCATGACGAAGGACTCTTGAGTTTTGTGTTCCGTCTTGATAGAAGACTTCAAGGCAGGGAAGAGCAAGGATATGGGGACTATAGGGAGTCCATTACGTCCATCTTCCAGTAATAGCAGCTGCAGGACCTGGATTACCCCCCGATACACGCTGTATTGGCGGCTTTTCCTGATGGGACCATCAAGGAGCGTTTTCAGCAGCGATGAGACTGCTGCCTGGCCGATATGGGATTTGAAAAGATTGCTTAGTGTGTTCCACGTTTGCTCCTGGAGGTCGGCGAGCTGGCGATGGATGGCGCAGAGAACCTCGAGGCAGGCTTTGAGGGCGTTCTTGGGTACATGGACGTAAGTGATGATTGTGTCGAATAATTTGATAGCACATTCGATATCGCTTGGCTGGGTTGTCTCTTGGCAGATGCCCATGACCTTGTTAAGTAACAGTTCGAGATCATCCTCGCTGAATATCTTGGAGTTGAATCTGGAGATGTCGATTACATATTGAAAAAGCCGAGACATGTTTTCAGCCTCTTTGGCTGGCTGCTCCACGCTCTTCTTCCCTTGGGCCTTTCGGGATGCATTATAAGCATTGCGACTCTCTTTAAAGCAAGAATCAAGAGAATTGAGGATGAAGGATGCGACGGACGTTTCGAAGGCTTCGACATTGCGGCCACCATTAGTCAGGATGGATACAGCCTGGAGACGTAGGTCAAAGTTCTTATCGCCCTCACGAAGCGCAATCGCATTGAAAAGGACATTTCGCTCGACGGGAGTTAGATCTGACAGGGCCGCGCAGCTCTTGAGGAGCATATATCCTGCCTCAACCCCCTCCGCAGCTTGCTCGTTGGCGAGAAGGTGACTGCCCGCAGCCCATAACGGAAGCACATTGCGAACAGGGTATTCTTCCAGTATGCAGCATATCTTGCGAACCGCCAGAGCCCTGTCGGACAGTGGAAGGCTACCGTGCAGCTGCGCGACAAGAACGCCCAGCTCTGGAGGGCCGCCCAGCGCCTTCTCATCGTCCACGACTATGTCTGGAGGGCCGCCCAGCGCCTTCTCATCGTCCGCGACTATATCTGGAGGGGACTGCTGCACATGGCCATCTGCGGAGGCAGCGCGAGCTCCTGCGACGGAAGCGGGACGGCGATCAGACCCGAGAGATGGCATGTCGGGGGGGGTCGGGCTCTTGAGGCGGCCACTAGTAAGGGACCTGAAGGCGCCAAAGAGCGCCGACGAGGAGGTGCGTCTGTCGGGCGTGCGTGGGACATGTCCTGTCGGCGGAGGCATATGTCGCGGCGGGTGCGCTGTTCAAGAATAGAACCAGCAGCGATTGTGAAACTATAGGTGCAGACGGCAGAGAGGTGTACTGCAGCGAGAGAGGTGGAGAGGGTCAGTCATGGGCGCTGTGCTTGGGGTGGAGGGGGGAGAAGCTCGATGGCTGGCGGGGGTGGAGGAGCCCATCTACCTAGGACGACGAAGGACGAGGGCGAGTGTGCAGGCGGATGGGAGGAGAGAGGAGGGATGAGGGAGGAGGGAGGAGGGAGAAGGGAGAAGGGAGGAGTGGTAGAGCGGGCAAGAGGTCAGCGGTCAGCGGTGAATGAAGGACATGGTGTTGGCGAGATTTGTCGGCTGGTGGAAAAAGGAAGAGTGAAAGGGTCGTGTCATGGGAACCTGGAAGCCGACAGGGCGGCGCCTCATGAAAATCTGGGGTCGGTGCACAGGCTAGCGGCCCAAGCTGTTGACGTTTTTCCTGCAGGTCCCCCCCCCAAACAATACACAACCCATACACCACTACACTCACCCAACATCAGCCCAGCACCCACCCAGCACCCGCTCCACCGCGCCGTCGCACCCCCTCCTACTCACCTTCCCTGCAGTTCCTCCGGTGCCCTTCCCGCCCTCGCCATGGCGAACCTCCAGCCCCTCGCCGACCTGTTGCAAGCCAGCCTGGACCCCCGCCAGAGCAAGCAAGCGGAAAAGACCATCGCCATGCAGCAGACTCAGCCCGGCTTCTCGCTCGCTCTCCTCCAGATCGTCGCCTCTGAGGCGTTCCCCCCGACGACGCGGCTGGCCAGCGTGCTGTACTTCAAGAACTTCGTCAAGCGCAACTGGGTGGACGAGGCCGGCAACTACAGGCTGCCTCTTGAGGAGGTCGCCGCCATCAAGAGCGAGCTGATCGGCCTTATGGTCTCTGTGCCGCCCAATTTGCAGTCCCAGCTCGGTGAAGCCATCAGCGCAATTGCGGACAGCGACTTCTGGGAGCGCTGGGACACGTTGGTCGACGACCTGATTGCGCGTCTGACCCCCGACAACCCAACTGTCAACAACGGCGTACTCCATGTCGCCCACTCCATCTTCAAGCGCTGGCGTCCACTGTTCCGCTCCGACGACCTTTTCACCGAAATCAATCACGTCCTCTCCAAGTTCAGCACCCCTTTCCTGACCCTCATGGAGAACACCGACTCCGTCATAGCCAATGCAAAGGACCCCGACACCCTCAGGAACGCCTTCACTACCCTCAACCTGATAATTAAGCTCTTCTACGACCTGTCATGTCAGGATCTGCCCCCCGTCTTCGAGGACAACATCGCCGCTATCTCCAGCCTGTTGCACAAGTATCTCGTCTACGACAACCCGGCACTCCATTCTCAAGACGACAGTGAGTCCGGCATCCTCGAGTTCATCAAGGCGGGAATCTTTGAAGCCGTCATGCTCTATGTTCAGAAGTACGAGGATGTTTTCGGCTCCCAGCTTAATCAATTCATCGAGAGCTCTTGGACCTTTCTAATGAACATCGGCCTGGAGACGAAATACGATATATTAGTCAGCAGAGCCCTCCAGTTCCTCACCGCTGTTGCAGGCACACACTACGCTGAGAATTTCAACAGCGAGCCGGTCCTGGTTCAGGTGATTGAGAAAGTCATCCTGCCGAACCTCACGCTACGAGAATCTGATGTTGAGCTCTTCGAGGATGAGCCTATCGAGTTCATCCGAAGGGATCTGGAGGGCTCTGACAATGATACGAGACGGCGGGCGGCTACCAATTTCCTCCGCCAGCTGATGTCTCGCTTCGAGCAACTAGTCACATCAACGGGCAAGAAATACATAGATAACTACCTTCAGTCCTACCAGAACGACAAGAGCAATTGGAGATCCAAGGACACAGCAGTCTACCTCTTCTCCGCCATTGCCAGCACAGGGACAGCCACAGCGGCTCAGGGTGTTTTGACAGTAAATCCTCATGTTGATGTCCTTGACTTCTTCCAGAAGAATATTGCGGGGGACTTACAGGCGGCCGACGCTGAGCCGATCCTGAAAGTGGATGCGATAAAGTTCATTTACGTCTTCCGCAGCCAGATGACCCCTCAATATTGGCACGCAGCATTCCCCCTTCTTGTCAACCACCTTGCCAATTCAAACTATGTCATTCACACCTACGCTGCTATTGCCGCTGAACGAGCGCTATTCATGACCGACAACAATCGGCAGCCAATTATCCCCAAGGACGATGTAGTGGCAGTGTCCAAGGACCTCATCACGCATCTTTTCAAGCTAATCACCAAGAACACCGCACCCGAGAAGATCCAGGAGAACGAATTCCTGATGAAGTGTGTGATGCGAGTTCTCATCTTCATCCGGGAAGGAGTGTTGCCTATCGTTGACATTGTCTTGAACAGCTTCATCAACATAACCAAAGTCATCAGGCACAATCCCAGCAATCCTCGGTTCCAATACTACCTTTTTGAAAGCATCGGAGCCTTGATCCGTTTCGCTGGACCCACCCAAAGCGCTAACCTCGAGACGAAATTATATGATCCATTCGCGGCCATCTTACAGGAAGACGTACAAGAGTTTATTCCTTACGTTTTCCAGCTGTTCGCCGCACTTTTAGAAGCAAATCCTTCTGGTCAATTGTCGGAGTACTACAAGTCATTGCTGGAACCCATCTTGATGCCCTCTCTGTGGGAGTCCAAAGGAAATGTGCCCGCCTTGACTCGGTTGCTTACAGCCATCATCGCCCGTGACGCAACAGATATTGTTGCACAAAACCGCGTCGAGCCAATCCTAGGTATCTTCCAAAAGTTAGTCTCGTCTAAAGCCCATGAAGTCAATGCCTTCGAGCTGATTGAGACCGTGATTGCCTGTATCCCTCCCGAAGCACTGCAACAGTACTTTGTTACCATTGTCCAGTTAATGTTAACTCGGTTGTCGAGTATGAAGACAGAGATATTCCAACAACGTTTCATTGCCTTCTACCACTTCATATCTGCCCGCCAGGACAAAGGCCTTGGCGCGGATTTCTTCATCAACGTCACGGATCAAGTCCAGCATGAGTGAGTGGCATTCTTCAATCCACAAAGACCTTGATCCAACCTACTAATGCTTCGCTTAGCGTCTTCAAGCCCATTTATCTCACGATTATTCTCCCTGACACTCAGAAACTCACCCGCCCAACCGATCGCAAGACTGCTGTAGTGTCCTACACAAAGACTCTGACTGACTCGCAAGCTTTCGTAGACAGGTAAGTCTGTTCATCCAAAGAATCCTGCAGCATTTCATTGATAGTCAACCAGGTATCCCAAAGGTTGGGGGTTGACATGCCAACGACTGCTGGAGCTCCTGCTAAATCCACCCGTTCCAGCTGCCAACGATGATATCATCCCGGATGCAGACGTCGATGACGCTTCATTTGGAGTTGGTTTCACACAGCTGCATACATGCAAGAAAGTGCCGCGAGATCCATTCCCAGAGATCGAAAATGTGAAGACATGGGTGAGAGAGTACCTGAAAGAGGCGAATACTCGGCACAATGGCAGGATCGTGGTCCTCGTGGAGGAGAGATTATCCCCGGAGGTCAAAGCTGCCCTCTCAGAGTATCTTTGAGAGTTGCAATCTTGGCAACAAAGTCCGCAAAGGACCAGAGTTATGTTGAGACCTTGGGGAAGAATATTGGAGCCTAGATTTCCACGGGATGGCATGATAATTGTATAGTTTTGGGACTGATACCAGAAAAGGGACAAGCTCGGCGTACTGGTAGATAGATAGGTAGGTCGTGCCGGAAAGGAAGACATTATCTATATCCTGTTGTGAATGCAAAAGTCGATACCTAAATATTTCTTCACGTATGACTATAATGTGAAGCCCTTGAAGAATGCCACAGGAATGACAACCTTTCGGAAAGAAACGAGAATGACGAGTCTTGGGCATGGCAAACATTGTGGTCTAGTCTGCTTCAGGAGGATGTTTTATTAATTAAAGTTTGAACGAGTCCCGAGGTCCAGGGTGTGCGTGTGCCAAGATCATGATTGGCAACCATTTCGGAATGCTCGTTTAGACAACAAACCTCAACGAGACCGCGAACATGGCCGCTGCACGCCTACCCTTTCTTTGGCCTATTTTCTACCGTCCGCTCAATTCTCCGCAAACAGCATCCCGGATTGTGCGTCGGGATGTGCGCTTGTCGAAGGACGTAACTACCGCGGCCCGTAGGGCACAATCGAGGGTGGTTCAGAGATACGGCACGGCTCAAGAGCCAGCACCACACTTTCGAGAGGCAGAAATTTCTGAGGAAAAGAAAGAAAAGCCGGCGGAACTCGATTCTAAAAGTCCCCGTGCAAATGCTGTGGAAGAAGAGGAGGAGGAAGGGGTGCTCCCACCTTCGTCCCCCTCTCCTCCCAAAACTCTCGGCGGCTCTGAGTCCGTTTCTCAGTCCACATCAGACCCTCTGCGGATGCCCGAGTCGAAGCATCTAGATACAGTTCTCCATATGCCGTCGCCGGCAGAGGAAGAGAAACAGAAGCCACCCCACCTCAAGCCCCCGCCCTACGTCCATCATTTCGATACATATAGCCTCGTAAAAGATCTAGCCAAGAGCGGCTTCAATAAAGAGCAGGCCGTCACGGTTATGAAAGCTGTCCGAGGAATCTTGACTGATAATATGGAGCTAGCCCGCGCAAGCCTAGTGAGCAAATCCAATGTTGAGAACGAGACGTATCTGTTTCGGGCAGCATGCAGTGAGCTGCGGACCGAGATCAGTAATAACCGGAAAGGGGAGACAGAGAAAATGAGGACGGAAAGAAACCGGCTACAGCATGAGGTTGATATCTTGAATCAGCGCTTAATGCAGGAGACCACAGCACTGAAAGATGAATTGAAGGGCCTCTTTGATGATAGAAAGATGGCGGTCAGGCAAGAACAAAGGACTATGGAGACCAAGGTAGGTCTGTTTTGTGCGGATCGGCGCTACGGCTAATAAGAGGGACAGATTCAGGAACTAAATTACAAGATCACGGTCGCATTGAATTCGGACGCAAGAAGCGAGGTTGAGGGACTGAGATGGGTGCTGACCAGACGAGCCGCGATTGCCATCGGAGTGTCCGCGCTGATGTTATTCGCGGTCTTGCGGTATTCGAGTTATGTCACACATGCTCAGTCGGAGGAGAGGAAAAAGGCTCGGGAAACTAAGCCATCTCCTGACCAACGAATGTTGAATCCCGGCAATCCCAACTCAGAACCTCTGGGCGGTGAGCTTCTAGCTTCAGAGGGAGGGGCATCACTGGGATAGACGAGCGAAGCCCACAGTATATTGAGCAATTGAGGTAGCATTACCCTCAAGGGGCTATATCCATCCAGGTCCACCTAGATCCACCTGGTCTCAATTTCTTCCCGACAATACATCGCATATCTATAATTTGTGCTTCTTTTCCCCACTTGCAATCTTCCTAAATTCCTCCTTGGTAAAGGTTAGCTTTATCCTTACGATTTCATGGCCATAAACGAATGCAAGGGACATACCTGAGGCACACCCTTCAAAAATCTCTGCAGTCCCGCAAATACCTCCTCCACTCCCTGTTTATCCAGAACTTCCATTTCCGGTTTCCGAATTAACGCCTTGATCTTTACTAAGCTGTCGCTGTTCAAATGCTCGCCCAGCCGATCATCCACTTCCTTCAAAACTTGTTCCAAAAACTTGGGAGAGTCCTTGGACCCCACGTCGATCACTTTATTGACGAATCCCGTGTGCACAAGCTCTCCGCATGTAATTCTCTTACTCATTATGAGCGCTTCGTTTGCTTTACTAATGCCCAGCCTCCGCACAAAGCCTACGCTCGCATTTCCTTCGGCCACGAGACCCAAGGACGAGAAGGGCGTCAATAGAAACGAATGCGGTGCCGCGTAAATAAAGTCGGAGAATGCGATGAGGGCGGCAGAGAGACCAACTGCTGGGCCATTAAGAGCCGTCACCAGGATCTTGGGGTGAGTGTAGAAGGCGTGAGTTATGTGAAGGTTATTGGAGACGAAGTTTTGTAGCCAGTACCGTCGGGTGTCACCCGAGCTGGGTTGGGAGCCGCCAATAGAGACGTCTGCTCCTCTGTATAGAACGGAATGTTAACGTCTTTAGATCCAGAAGCATCAGAATAGTAAATATCCACCAAACACAGGCACTAAACGCATGTGAAAATAGGTAGAATCTTACGCGGAGAAATACCGCCCCTTCCCTGTGAGAACGGTGATATATATATCATCCCGTGCTGCAACTTCATGCATGCACAAGGCAAGCTTGAAGTAGAGATCTTGGTTCAGTGCATTGAGTTTCTTGGGCTGGTTGAGTGTGATGATGGCCACTTTGCCGCGGTACTCGAGTTGGATGGGTTCTTCAGCCATAGTAATACAACATTCGAAATTGACTCTGGGGAGAAGGAAGAGAGAGGGAAGAGAGGGGGAAGATTACGAAGTTGAAAACGTGTCAAGGAACTAGGGAGAGGGGCGCGAGAGAAACTTAGGGATAACTACTGCTAGGAGCAATGCTTTGCGGTTGAGCTTTAGAAGAGCCGAGGCACGGAAAAAGTGAGCCTTTGATAGGCCAGTGAACAGATTATTAATCGTACCGCCCTGAACCGCACGAGGGGTGCGAGGACACTGAAAGAAAGGATCATACTATAAGTCACATATGACTGGCAAGTGGATTCCTTAGCTGTGCGAAGTAGTGCTAGCGGAGAGGGGAATCCTTTCAAACCAATATACCTCTGCCATTGCCAAGAGAATCTATCTGAACCCCACTGTTTCCGAACCATCTGCGAATTGTTCACGAACCATCTCCACGCGGATATCAACCTCACGAGATCTGCTTTCAGCGACAATATTCTCCCCGCAGCTCCCTCGCCTCGCAGTCATCAAAATGGGTGGCCCTAATCTTGAAGTCTTCAAGGTACTTCCTTTCCTCCATTCCTTTCCATTCCACCTTCCCTTCCCCAGGAGCCAAACTCTAATAACTGTTATCTTAGTTCGGCATGTACATACTGTTCCCAATAGGCATCATGTACTACTTCGGCACGAATCTCGACGGCAAATTCTCAGTTCCGGACTTCTGGCCGAAGGAGAGTCAAACGCACAAGATCCCGTACGAGCGCGAAGAGATTGCAAAGGAACTGGAGAGGTTAAAGCGGGTGCGGATGGAAGCGAGACGGCAAAGGGATGAACAGGAGGCGAGAGAGAGGGGCCAATAGGGATGATTTCTGGGCCAGGAATCGAAACGCAGACACAGCGAAGAGACAACCAATGTTACCTTTGCTGTTCCATGAATTGGTCCGAAGGTTTGCATCACAACGATGTGCATGGTGAGATCATATCCTGGGACAGAGGCGTTTAGCGGGGCATACGGTAGCACAGCGTAAAATTTTCTACATTGCTGTACAGTAGTGTACACTATCATACGAGTATGCGAGAACGATATCTACACGGCTACTTTACTCTGGAGATCCGCCCACACGTCATCAGACACGGTTCCCTTTGACCAGTTTGTGTATATTCCTTGGATACCTGTCACTTCCTGCAGCTCATCCAAAAAACCATTAAACTTCTGCGCCGCCTCTTCGTCGTCCAAAGCCACTTTTGTGTCTTCGTTCGGGTCCCAGATGATGTCACTCTCCTCAATTTCCATGTCGAGCGTTTTTGCGAGTGACTCGGCCGTTGTCATAGTCCGGGCAGGCTCGGTAAACAGTATGACCCTTCCCTGGTCATCTTCAACTACATCCAGCGCGCCAGCTTCCAGTGCTGGCTCCAGCATTTCATCAGCACCAATGCCCTCTTTCTTTTGGAATATTATGCGTCCTTTCTTCTCGAACAGATAGCCAATTGGCGACACAGTTCCTCCGGCCTCCTTTATGAGGAGGCGCAACTCAGCGAGGGCTCGGAGTTTGTTGTCCGTCTGACACTCGATGACGGTCGCAACCGACGATGGTAGTATGGCTTCCAGGGTCACAGATTCCAAGGCGGCGCCAGTAGCTGAAAGGCCTTGGCCGCGCGCAATTGCAGCCTCAATGCTGCTTTTAGGAACCTGGTTTTTCTTGGCAGTGGAGATGGCAAGTGCAAGTCGAGGGTTCATGTTTGAGTCTGGACCTGCCACTATGAGGGAGAGCAGCATAGAGCTTAGCCATATAATCACGTGTGCAGGACCGAGTGTCCAGCTGAGATCAACATACATTTAACTGCATTGCAGATGTCCTTGGTGAGAACGGCTCGCTGCCTGCTTTTTCCGGCGTCGTTTTTGGCCTTGTCGTGCTTAATAGAGGCCCATTTCCTGTCCACAGTCAACTCAGCTAAAGGCTCTCCAGAAAAAGCACATGTCCTATTCCATAGTGTGCAACGTACGAATGGCCGGACCATAGCGGTGCAGAGCACGAAAGGCATCGCGCCTGCCAAATCAACGCGGGCCTATGGTCCATGCCGTGCGGAGGGGTAGCCGCTCGATGGCAAGTGCGATGAGGGAGCCCATGGAAGCTGGAGGAGAGAGAGAATATGGAGCGGGTCAGGCGGCGCTGCGGTGCAGGTGATGCCATGCAGGTGGACTTGCTGAGGCTATCGGAGGCGTAGTTTCATTTATCGCAGTTCGAAACAATTTTCTGCGAAGCGGTCGGCTTGGCGATGGGCTCCATGGCGGAGGTGACCACGAGCTCCGCACCTCTCCCAAATTCACCGTGGTGGGCATTCTCTCGACCAAGACATGCAACGCCGCCCGACCATGTGAGTCGCACGCTCCCATCGCCGTTCTTCCGTAAGCTGAACCGTCCGCGAGGCTTGTATAGCGACTGCGACCATGGCAATGCCCCCGCAACCCCCCACAAACGGCAGCGGGAATCCCGAGCTCGACATCCCCAAATTGCATGCACTCCCTTCAGAGCAGCAGGACCTGTACCTGCTGACCTTCACATCCGATCTTGCGCGCCATGTCGCCTCTCTCGACGCCGATGGAGCTTCTTCCCATCAAATCTACGTCAAGAAAGAGCTTTTCCAGATCATCACTCTGCCCTCCCCGGCGCCAACGAGGGTAATTCGCAACAATTTGGGTAGAACCTTTGCGGCCATCTTCCAGAAGGGCGACCGAAAGCTCCTTTTCGAGTCCATCAACGAGCTGGTGGCCATCCTCAATGCCGCAGGAAAGAGCGACCGGGACGTCAAGGCCAAGCATGCCGCTGCCCATTGCTTGGGTACTGTCTTCGAGGCTGCAGGCGATAGCGCCATCGGCCTCTCCACCCTGGCTGCTGCGTCTCTGCTCCGTCTAGTCAAATTCGCGCAGAACCACGCCGGGCTTAGAGCGACCTTGTTCAAGGCTATTGGGAGACTCTTCAGGGGCGTTGGACCTTCTGCCGATGAGGCCGTAGCAAGAGATGCGTGGAAGCAGTGTCGGGCCTTATGCGCAAATGACAAGTCATTGCTCGTTCAGGCGAACGCATGCTGGTGCCTGGAACAGCTTCTTCGAAACACCTCCTATTTTGACAATTCCAGCGATTTTGACAAGCTCTCAAACGCCATTTGGAAGACCATCGAAAGTGGCTCCCCAGTTGTTAGGCATGCGGCTGCGGCCTGTATCAGCGCTGCCCTGGTCAAAAACTACTCTGAGACAGCCCCCGTAGAAATACCTTTAGCCCGATCCAAGACAATGAGAAAGAAGAGTAAGAAGCAGTCCCAAGTTGATGGTGATGAGGACACCATCGAGCGACCCGGATCACCTGCTCCGCAAAAGTCAAGCACAAAACTCTCCTTTACGATATCCACTCTATTGAAACAACTGTCTAATCACTTCTGCCGGCCCGCGACTGGCAATCGGGCAAGAGCTGGTATTGCAATCTGCTACATGAAGACCCTGAAAGGGCTAGGAGAACATGTCGTGGAGACAAAATACGCGGATATTGCGCGCCACCTTTTCATAGACCTCCTAAGCAACCCCAGCATTATCCACAACCGCTACCGTACTCTGAGCGCAAGGAAGTATATCTCTGCGATTTTGGAACTCGTAGTCGGTCGGGAAATGCTTGGCGAGTCTGGTCAGCTCAATGCCGCCAAGTTCCTCGTCAACGACATTCTTAAAGATTATCCACAAGTCCTTAAGGAAAGACCTGAACCCACAAAGCAAACCTTGATTGGGGCACTGAGTGCGCTTTCGTCGTTGTTTCACAGCCTTGGATCTGCTACCAATGCCATCGCGGACACCTGTAGGGACGGTCTGTTGCAGGTTCTCCAACACCCAAGCTATACTGTCCAAGTCTACGCATCGTCATGCCTCCGGTCATTTGTTCTTGCTTGTCCTTTGCAATTGCTTCCATCCGTCACTATATGTATGAACAGCGTCAATCGCGAGCTTGGTTTGCTCGCAGGTCCGCGCCAGTCACCAAGACGATGTGTTGGCCTTGCCAATGGGCTTTCGGCTGTTTTGAGCACATCAACTGCTCAGCCCTTACACGGATCGGTCGATGTGAACTCTCGAGTCTTGTCGCAAGCAACATCGCTTCTAAAGTCGAGCGGAAACTCCGACCTACGGATATCATCCACTCAGATTCAAGTAGCCTGGATCCTCATTGGAGGTCTCATGACCTTGGGACCGAATTTTGTTAAGATACATCTCTCTCAACTTCTACTTCTTTGGAAGAACGCCCTTCCGAAGCCTTTAAACAAGGATAACATGGTTCAGCGGAACGTCTTGGAGCTAAGCTTCCTCGCACATGTCCGAGAATGTGCTTTGGGGTCTATACTGACATTTTTGGAATTCAACAGTAGATTGTTGACTTTGGATGTAACCAAGAGGCTAGCGGCAATGCTGCAGAACACTACCATGTTTCTGAATACGCTGCCAGCCAAAAAGACCACCGACGACATCTCCCAGCGGCTTTCACCCGCTCTTCAGCTCCATGATTTTGACCTCATGGTTAGGCGGAGAGTCCTCCAGTGTTACACCAAGTTGGTGAACCTTAACCCAGCGGGAAGCAGTGAAGTCCTACTCCAAACCAACCTTCTTCCGTTCGCAGTTGCGTCTTTCGCCGATCCTGATAACTATACTGCAAGTTCCTTAAGCACGGCCATTGCCAGTTCAGCAGGCACTTTTGACAGCATTTGGGAAGTCGCTGATAATCACGGCTTTGGTGTTACTGGACTGATCAGGGGCTTCGATATTAAACCATTGCCAGGAGAGCATTCCACCAATACCCGACATCATTGGGTCACAAGGAGGGGCGCAGAGGCTATGGTTGATCGCACCGTAAGTCCAGAAGTTGTTCCCTACTAGCGTGCAGTCATGGCTCACCTACAACAGCTTCTCTCCCCCATAGTTGGCGCCCTTGAGCATGATTCCATCTCTCTTTATATTGGTAACACTAGCGATTTCGAGGACTTACCAGACCCGCCTGCAACGGAAGTTGTAAACGCAGCATTGCAGCTTTTCGCCATTGCCCTCCCTCTACAGACTCCTAAAATTCAAGAAAGCATTTTAGAACAATTAACGTCGTTTCTGTCAGCAAACAACCTACAGCGAGACAGCTACCGAAAGGCTGCAATGATGGTCAATATAGCTTTCGCTTTGCTTGCCGCTTCCAAGGTGGCAGTAAAGGAGACAGGATCTGCCCCTGGAGATCTAAGAGGGTCGGCAGTGGAGAAGGTAATGCAAGAACTGCTACATGTAAGTAACTCCAAAACAAAAGTATTCAGTTGGCGAATATTAACCATTGATTGAGGTCTTCATCGTACTTCCTGACCCTTATGTGCGCAACCTTGCAAGTGAGGCATTAGGTCGTCTTTGCAATAGTTCAGGGAACGCATTCACCTCCTCAGAAGTCAATTATTTAGTAGATCAAATTGTCGCGAACCGAGAACCAAACGCCCGGTCTGGATATGCTGTCGCTCTAGGCTGCATCCATTCACAATTAGGTGGCATGGCCGCCGGATATCATCTCAAGAACATTTTGGGGATTCTGATGTCATTGAGCAATGATCCACACCCAGTTGTCCACTTTTGGGCTTTGGAGAGCCTCTCCAGAGTAGCGGACTCTGCCGGATTAACCTTCTCCAGTTATGTCACGAGCACACTAGGGATGTTAGCGCAGTTATATGCGGCAGACACACACAACGACCAGTCCGCTTCTCTAGCTTCATCAAATCTCGAAGTCGATCTCCCTTCCCCTGCCGTCGTCGCTCGATGCATAGACAGTACTATCAACGTTCTCGGCCCTGATCTCCAGGATATGACAAAGGCGCGAGACATGATCATGACTTTGGTCGGTCTATTCAAAACAGAGGCCGAGGAGCTAGTTTTGTTAGAAAGTCTTCGATGCCAGGAACACCTCTCGCTGTATGCTCCTGGCTCTATGGAGTTCACTGTCTATGTGAAGCAGCTACAGCAGGCTTTGGACAGTAACTCGGCACAGATAAGGGACATGGCCGTTGATGGGCTTCACAATTTGATGCGACGTAATACAGATGAAGTGCTCCGAACGGCGGATCCGGGGCTTGAGGATCAGTTGTGGCTTGTCCTTGACAAGGATGCTCAGCACGAAGTCGTCCGGAACATAATTTGGAATTGGCTCCAACAAACAGGTCTAACAGATACAGTAGCGTGGGTACAGAGATGCCAGACAATACTCACAAGAACAAAGCGAGTACCAGAGGCAGAAGGAGCGGCAGAGGCGAACTCCAAGATCGGTGTTCCAGATTTACAAGATGAAGAGGTTGCCGGATTTGCCGCAACCTCTAATACTGCTGGCGACGACGCTGGTGGACCCACTCAGACCAGTCAGGAGTTACTAAAGTGGCAAGTGCGTACATTTGCAATGGATTGCTTGAGCGAACTTCTTGCCCTCGTTAGCAGAGAGGCGATATCGAGAGAGAGCTCACCATCCGCCATGGCAATGCAGCAAAGGATTGCCGATGTTGTTCGTATCTCCTTTTCCGCCTCAACTGCTGGCGTAGTCCAATTGCGGATACGCGGTTTAAAGATAATCGACCAAGTCCTTAAGGTAAGCATCTACCAATGCATTATTTAGAATCGGTGTAGCTTGCTAAGGTGTCTTTATCCCGTAGTTGTTCGGAAAAACGCCAGATCCCGACTTCGCAGAAGTTACACTCTTGGAGCAGTACCAGGCACAGATTGGATCTGCACTTACCCCGGCCTTCGCGGCAGATTCTTCGCCAGAGCTAGCAGCAGAGGCAGTAAATGTATGCGCCACATTCATTGCCACTGGTATTGTGACCGATGTTGACCGGATGGGTCGAATTCTCAAACTGCTCGTATCAGCGCTCGAAAACTTCTCAAGTACGTTGAAGCTCATTGAATTTTTTTATTTTAAAATCCGGTGCTGACATCACCGCAGGCGATTCCGAGACGGCAGCAATCGGGGACCTCAGGGGTCTCAGTTCAAATGCCCAGATCATGGTCAAAATGGCAGTTTTTTCTGCCTGGGCAGAACTTCAGATAGCCAGTGCCGAGCAAACATATCTTGTCGACGTTTTAAAGCCCCATATCGCGAGGTTAACTCCTCTTTGGCTCTCCTCTTTACGCGAATACGCGCGCCTAAGATTTGAGCCAGACATATCTTCAATGGGTTCGGCATCCCTATCTGGAAGTCTCGACACCATCTATGCAGCCTTGAATCGGGAGACGTTGCTCAAGGTATGCAATTCCCACTAGGTCTCCACGAATCCAACTAATATCCACAGTTCTATCAAGAATCATGGCTGAATCTTGTAGACGCCATTGCAAGTCTCATTGATGAGGATAGTGAATTCGTCTTCGATGCATTAGATGGTAGAACCGAGCCGTCAGCCCCCACCACAAATGGCAAGCCAAGCGACATCAACTATCGCGATGAGCCTGTCGCATTCTTTTTCGTCTTGTTTGGTCTGGCATTTGAGGCTTTAGCTGGGCGACCTGGAGACTTGCAGGCTTCTAAGGAACAGATTCTCGAGATTTTGCAAGCTCTGAAGAAAATCTTGCGTCCAGCAGTTTCAGGACATGCGATTTATCAAGGGGTTGTATTTTCAGAAGCTATGGACATGCTTGATCGGCTCGTCTTGACAGAAGGGCTGAGCGTTCAGGCGGTGATCGTCGATATCGCCCGAAATCTTTGTTTGGGACATCCATCAGCCCGGAGAAGTCAAGGGTATTACTCTTTACCCTTCTACGTACATAGTTACTGATAACTTTACAGTGCAACGCCTGCAGATGAGAATCTCTCCGAAGATATAGACCAGCTTTTCGAATTAACAAAGATCATCGTCTTGGTGCTAGCAGGGCTAGTGCCTAGCTTGGATGGCTCACAAACCGGAGGTGCGCATGAGTCCTTTCAATCAAGTCCCCTGCTAACGGTCGCTCCTCAGCCCGATACGAGCTCAATGAAGAGGCAGTTACACTTCTAAACACGGCGTTATCCTCCCTTGTGGATGCTTCTGAAGTATTCCCCTCCATCATTAAAACTGACCTTCACGCATGCATCCTCCACATATTCACAACTATACTTGGAACTGGGGTTTGCCAAGCAACGGTTGTACCCCAATCCCTCCCTATCTTAAAACGCTTCGTCACTAGTCTAGCCTTGCATTCTCATACGGGTTCGGATACTTCCACTCAGCTCCGAGCGACCCTTGCAAGATTCCTCGCAATTCTCAAGCATGCTCAACAAAGAGAAACAGAAGCCGCTCTTCCGTGCGAGAAGAACACCATTCTGGCCACCACTCTTCTCCTCAGCTCCACAGGACCCGCTTTTGACCCCGGCGACCCGCTTCTCAAGCAATTTGTTGACGAGTTAATCGACTGCTTAGGCAATCGCATGACTAGTAAAGTAGCAGCTGGATGCTGCCGCTCATTGCTCCTCATCCCGAAGAAAGGGCCTGCAGAAACCTCATTGGCATCGCAGCTATTTCCACAGATCCTTTCTTTCCTCGCGAACCCCTCTGACGTCGAGGGGTTAGATGACAGTCGCACCACTTTAGCGCACACAATTGTGTTGCTAGTTCCTACCCTCGACACCGCGGAACAAAGACAGATAGCAGTTAGACTTGTCATCCCGGCGCTTCTATCACGAGCAAGCAATGAACCCAAAGCAACCATCGAGACTGCTACAAGGCTGCTTGAACTAGCGGGTGCGGATCAAGCGGCTTTTCGAAGTGTCGTTTCTGGGTTAAATGCAGAGCAAAGAAGCTTTATGGAAAGCGTACTTAAGTCTGGAAGTGTGGGGGCACAAGCGAAGAGGAATGAACAGAGAGAAGAGGTTGGAGAACCAAGTATTGCATTGAAGATGGATTTTGGCAGTTGAGGAAAGATGAAAACACATCGATCATGAGGCAATGTCTCTACCGAAGAGAACTAAGCTTGCTTTTTTCTCCAATGCTATAACACATTGCCATCCTTCATGCTGGTGAACTTTTCAATAGGCATCATCCGCTCACATACTCTGCGACCATCCACCTGGGATTGAAACAAGCCATACATATCTCAACCAGTCCAATCTCTATTTATGCACTTCATCTCCCTTCTGACTACATAATCTACCTTGGAGAACGGCAGCCAAGTATAGCCAGTATATTATATCAATACTGCTTCGCTCGCAGGCTCGCTACGCAATAAAGCGGGAGTTGAGAGACTTCAATTCATTCATGATCCTGAATAGGGGGCGCGTAGATGACGATTTCTAGGTCAAAACTTTGATATTTGCCTATATTTGCGCTTCATGGTTCTATTACACCCCAAGTTTACTCTTTCGATGCGCTATGTACGAATTCACAGCTATGGGACACTTCAAAAAAGGATGCATCTTAACGCACTCGAGATTTCGCTCAACATGATGCGATCAGAGTTCCGTAAGACCGGGAGCTTTTAGTACCGTGATTACAGAGATTTCCATGTCCCGAGCCTACACCCCCAATCGCTCCCTTACCGTGTGGTGGTTTTGAAACAGTTCTCCTAAATATGGGTACCACGCACCGACTCCATTATTCCTTCAGATACTGACCATCTGAAGAGTAGAGAATAATTGAAGGGTATCAGAGGGTCAGCTATCGACTTATCAGACCACTGGAACTTTTCGGTAGTGTTGGCTCTCCAAAATACGCGCTCAGGTAACTAGCAAAAGTATCCAGCTACAGACTCAGACGGGAGCCTCAGTAAGTGACCGAAATCCAACACACACACCCAAGCTAATGTGCCCGAAACATATGCTTACAGCGTAAGGAAAAGCAATTTTTCACAAATCTCCACTCATTAGCATCCACTGCGCGGGTCTTGCCGCCCGCGTTATTGCACCTTCATGCCACCGGGAAGCTCCGCCAGCCAACCCTCCAAATTCTCGTTAACATCTACCTTCTTAGAGCACTGGTTCCCCTTTTGTATTGTCTGCGTTGTACCCACAGGACAATTTATGTTGTTCTGCAGGAGGTCACTGTTACATTTGGAGCCTGCATCCATGGCCTTTTGCAGAGCATCACCTTTCCAACCGAAGACGTAATCGCCGTGAACTCCATAGCCAGTTGGATCGCCAAATGACCAAACAAATGGCTGAGAGCCATCTACGGGCCATAAAGCTTGATCATTGAACGGCGTGGTGTCCCAAATTGTCTCATAGAAAACTTGAGGAACTGTGACAGGATGAGTACTTGGGCACTTTCCGCCAGCTGTTGTGTTAATTAGTATCGTGATTGTGCTTTGGGGTTGCTTGTACTTACACGGATATGCAACATGATCCTGATGGCTGGGGCTATCCAAGTTCTTGCCATCCCAGCAGGTTGGAAATCGGATACTAACCATGATCCCCACTTTGCATGGCTTCGTCGGAAAGTTTGTGGTCTCACCGCCTCGTGTCGAGCCAGTTTGTAGACACGTGTACGTGAGCATGGGATACTTTTTAATCTGAGCCGCAGTCCTGAAAGTTGGGTCTCCGACTGTCATGCGGAACCCTGGCTTAAAAGCAGTGACCTTGCCACTGTTTGGCCCAAGGTAGTAGACAGTTTGTCCGCCGTTGGCTGCAGTGTACCCGAGTGGATTACCCTTGGTCGCAAGTTGTTTGAAGGTACCGTTTCTGGCACGGAAGAATAGCGTAGCCGTCCAGTAGTTGGAAAAGTCGTCGGCTGGTGTGCAGGTCGTGCATGTTGCGGTGCTGGGAATGTCATGGGTGTCGGGATTCATGCTGACATTGAAGGCATTCCCTCCAACGACCTGGTGAAGATGCGGGGACGGATTTATGCCAGGATTAACCAAGCTGGACGAAGGCGAAGTATTAGAGAACTAGAACTCAGACGAAAATATGAACTCCAGGATAACTTACGGATCGAGACGCTCGACAACGAGTTGTGAGCAGGAGAACCTCAGGATAGCCCCCGCATCCACGACGAACGGAATGCCAGTAACAGCTGCAAGAAGAGCAGCCCAGTGCATATTCGAAGTGGAGAGCTTTAGTAACTAATAGAAGTAGTGTCTTGACGGTGCAAATGGTTTTTGACTCCTGGTTTTGACTTCATATTGCCATAGCCGGGAACTTGTGGAGCTATATCATAGCTCGGCCTAGATAGATGTAGCGTACGCACGCGAAAACACGCCAAATACCGACCTGTCGGCATTTTGAATCGCAATATTCGTATAGATTGCTTCCTACATACCAAAAGCCGGTTTGGTGCCACGAGGGCGAATCAGTGATAGCCTGTGTAAGTGCCGATGGCTCCTCGGGTATAGTAGAGCATATATATATATACGCCTACATCTCAACACCTGGTCGCCAAACCGATGTTCTGAAGTTATCCAGCTGTACACAATCCAGGTTTAGGAACAATGCTGCAAGTTCCAGCAGTTGGTCTATTTCACTAATAGCAGCAATAGCCGCGAGTTACTTGTGCAAAACAAAAAAAAACTTCAGGATTATTGCTAAACATTACGGCAGGGATCCACATTGGAGAGATAGTGCTTCGATCAAAGGTTAAACTTTTCGCAAGTTTAACTCAAGTTCCCAAAATTACACTAATCGTGCAGAGTATAGTTGCAGAGTATCTAGCTTAAAAATAAAAAACGGGTGAAACAAATTTATTATGTATATTAGAGAGTATACAGCCTATGCTAAATTTATTGCGTATGTTGTGCTAGTACGACCGACGTTAACATATATTTCTATATTGTGTGTTAGGGCTGTGGATAATAGAATACATCGTTAATAGAGTGAATGAAAAAGAGGAGGCAAGAAGCGTACTTACAGGGAGCTTGAGAATAGGTTGTTATAAAAGGAATCGCAATCACAGATGTTTTGGAAGAAGGACTCCCGTCAGTAAACGCGCGTTGTTCGGAGACAGTGCAATGAAAGGTATAGGTAACGCACGAAGTGTGAGAAATGAAATCATTTGTTTTGATGTACACGGTTTCTAACTAATGGCAGTAGCAGTAGGTATTTAAGGCTATGAGATGCTACAATACCACTCTGATAGAGACTACATCTGCTTAGAGGGACTAGAAGCCCAATCAAGAGTTACATCGTGGGTGGTTGCGTCGGAGGGATTTAGAAGATTGGTGGTAATTCTAATAATATTTGCTACGTTATTTATGTCCTCCAAAGTTACTGCTCCGCCTTTTTAGTCCACTCAAGCTCGCTTAGCAGACATTCATTTCTATGAAAAATGTAGGGCTCGGATCAGAGACCACTAGGAGACACGGTTCCAACTTACCGAAGAAGAACTATTCTAAACGTTCTTTTCAAAACCCCAGCCTTAATATCGCCGAGGACACTGATTGGGGCAGCAACCTCGCCGAGACCAAACTCTTCCGTAGATGCGGTGTAGGTGTAATTGGGATTATATGCCCTAGACTCGATCTAGTGGAACAGCATGCTTTTAACCATTATCTTTGAGTCGATGGTCTCTCCAGTTCAGTACACGCGTGCCGTACCGAAAACGGCCTGGTTGAAGTCATGCTTGTTTCCGAAGAACGCATCGGAGGGACTAGTGGACAGGAATCCTCTTCTAGTAGGATGGAAAGGATATTGTAAACTAACCTCATGCTTGCATCGTGTTCCGGAACCCTAAGGCGGCTGAGGTGGCCGCTATTGGAACAATGGCTGGCAATAGTATTGGAAGCTCAAACCTATGCAACCAATATCTCCAAAGGCACTTACAAGGTGAAATATGGAGCATTGAGTTCTGGGTTGAGAATTACGGCTCACTCCCACATAATACCTGCTAGCATCTGGTTTAACAGGGTGTAGTACGTTTAACACATTTCACAATGGCACATTCAAGTGAGCCGTATATTCGCAGAGATACGCCGGCCCTTATGGCTACTAGGGTTACAGATTTCGACTGTAGTAAGTTTAAAATAGAAATTCTTGGAGGAATAGTTGCCTGTTAGCTAGAGCTAGGTTAGTACGGGTTTAGTTAGGGATTTGTAGCACTGTTAGATGTGTTCTTATAGCCAACAGGCTTAGACATTTGTAGCACCTCCATAGTAGTTTAAAAGCGTGTGCTATCCTACTTAAAGCTTCTTTAATCCTGTTTTTCTTAATCTCTACTAAGGTAAGCATTTTCAACTTCGTCTAAGCTAGCTGTTTGAGGTATACTTGTTAAACCAGGGGTTTAGTCTTATCTCTTGTATTCTATAAGGCTAGCATACGTTGCTTAGAGAAATTAAAATCTTTGCTGTTACTATGTCACGAACGGGTCTACGCCCGACCATATGTATCCATATCGGGCATGATTAGACAAAGAGCTGCTTGCCGGAAGCAGCTAGGTCCAGTGTGTCCAACCGTTAGTTACGGAGCCTTTTGGAGGTTGTATAGTACAGTTACGGAAGAGTCAGCTGTTACTAACTAACTGTACGGAGGAGATGACGTCGGTGTACGGTTCAGATACAGTAACTAAAGTATTATAAAGTAATTGCGCTAAAGATTAAGACTATACCTAATTAAAAAGTTATAATACCCCTTGTAAGATCTATAGTTATTAATCTTACTAGTAATAGTAATGTTATGTAACTAATTCTTCTGCAGTTAAGAAGCCTCTATTATTAACACTAATAGTTAATTCCTTTTTATTATAATAGTCTTTTTAGCCTATAAGAAGCACTGCTCGCACTTACATAAAGTTGCTAGGATTAATAGGAAATTAAGGGCAATGTTAATCTTAAAGGTAATTCTAACGTTATAGTAGGCATTATTTAGGTGCTCCTTAGCCTAGGTATCTTGCATATGCTTTAAGGGAGTTGCTTCACGCGAGGACAGCCTAGATGGGCCAGGTGAGGCCATGCGGGCCTTCTCTAAGCGTCGGGATGAGGCAGCATGATATATCTGGGTGGCAGAACGGCTGGATGAGGCATGTGAGGATGAGGCCCGCGAGGATGGGGCCTGCGAGGTGGTAACACGCTGAGATGACCGCGTTATTGATTAGGATAGGAATTAGGACATCATAATAGGCAAAAGAATAAGGTAGATGGCATAGTTGCTAAATTTATTAGAAGATTGCTAACAAAACAGGCACTAACAGCATTCTCCGCATTAATCTCTGAACACAAGCCCCCTGGCCCTCAGCAACCTGCCTTTAACCGCCTAAAACCACTAAAAATCCTATATAACTACTGTAAACAGTTAGTACAGCAGCCTCATGTATAGTACAGTATACTGAGTAGATGCCCTGTACGTACGTACGTGACCAAAATCGCTGTACTGCAGTACTGTACTATTAGGTGTACTAACGGTTGGACACACTGGCTAGGTCTGGAATAAAAAGTAGACTTTATATAGCAGAACCCCAATTCAAGGAGGCAGTGGGTCATCTAATGAATCACCGTGCAGAAGGCTGAGCTCAGCCTGTCTTCCAGTGTATTTCACAGCCAATTTGACATGCTACTATTATCGTTGTCCTAAGAAAGCTCTCCTACATATAAGAACGCAAGTACCAATGTTTACTTTACAAAGTATTCAAAGAATGCTTGCCATAATTTCACGGTAAACTGGGACGCACCTCGGACTCTCCCCGGAGAGCTCTCGGCCCGGCCCCGGGCACATGATGCCTCGTCTCGTGCTTTAGTATATATATATCCTTTCTTGAACCCCTCGGTCTCCTCAAGGATCTGTCTATCAATACAATCTTATACCCCCTTCTGTGCTTCACGCTTCTTGCCTACTGTGCTACCACACTTAATTCTAGCTTATTGTTTCTAATTAAGTAGAACAATGGGTAGCTTAATAGTTAAAAGTTAAGAATAATGAGCCACGTGATCTAATCATCCAGCCACAAAGCCACAGTGCCAGCCAAGACATCAAGCCCAGAACCACGAAGCACTCGCTACGAGGAAGGATGTAGTTAGCCTGTAGCCGATACATGATTCACGTTGCAACCTCTTTCCAATCTTGACATATATCTAACATTGTGACACATCATAGGTTCACTACCAACCCCACCATCTTATCGTCGCTTGCGTCACGCCTGCATCATCCCTCCCCATCCATCACATAGCATTAGGGCTCAAGAACTAGCAAAATAAAAATATAACAATACGTATACCAGAGTATGTATCATAAAATACATAAATATCTTAAAAAGCTTAGTAGACGAAGAACATTCTGCCTGTAGAATAAAGTTGGCCGGTACAACGCGCTTGGCAATACGGGTAAGAGAAAAGATAAATGGACATATAAGATGAGAGGTGTTTTATATTATCTTAATCTCTTTGCAGTTATTCTTTGTTACTAATAAAGTATTCTATTATTAAATCCGAAAGAAATTATTTACCTTGAATAAAGGGCTGAGAATTGCGCACAAGTGTTATCTACGCCCTTACACTTTGATCTCATTACTAACTTTACTTTCTAGCAGGTTACGGCATAGTGCCGCTACATGAGATCGCAGCATCTGATAGCATCTTATTGTAGCTTGGTTGTAAACCCGAAGGGTGATTGTAATAAGTAACTCTAACCATCTAGAACCTTAGAATTGATGTTATAATTTAGCTAGCGAGAGGTGCCTGGAACCAAGTGACCTTAAACTTATAGTTCACAATTGTAGCTGCATGGATGAGGACGGACAAACGGGTGCAGCATGGAAAACGGGACACACGACGGTAAGCATGGGTGTATGCGGATAGGAGTAAATATGATTGCTCCAACCAAGAAAAATCCGTAAAAGAAGAAAGAAAACCGGTGATCAACACAAAATGGCTAGTGATAGGAAATCCCACCTCAAAAGAAGACCAGCGAACCTGAACAATCTTGGTGAGTAAGACTGCGTTCTGCCACCATGTCACCGGTTCCTTTAAGATGCAGGAGTTGCCATCGACACACAAAGAATCCAACAGGGAAAGAGCATCCACCATTCTAAGCCATGCAAAGGAACACTGAGAAATGATGGGGGGCAGGCTATGTGTGTTTGTGTTGGGGGGAAAACCATGAGCATTAAGTACCGCACCGGAGCAAACACCCACGCCTGGAACTATCATATCATCTTGTCAATATCCGTGCCCACCATCTTCTAGCAGCAACCGCCACCGGAACCGCTCTGTACGCCCTGTCCTTGCCCAATTGGCACCGTTGGTTTGTTGTTAACGGTCGTCGTGCCCATGCGCTCCTTGATCTGGCGGGCCATGGTCAAGAAAGCCTGCTCGACGTTGGTGGCACTCTTTGCCGACGTTTCCAGGAATGGGATACCAAGGCTATCGGCAAATTCCTGCAAGGCATAATAAGTATCGGGGTGCCTGAAAGTTATACACGCCAAGTCAACGCACCTTTGCAACAGTGTATTCAACGACCTTCTTATCTGCCATGTCGGACTTGTTCCCAACCAACAGCTTGTTGACACCCTCGGTAGCATATCGGTCGATCTCCTGCAGCCACTGCTTTACATTGTTGAACGAGTCCATGTCTGTGACATCGTAGACAACGCAGATACCGTGGGCGCCGCGGTAGTACGAAGAGGTGATAGTCCGGAATCGCTCTTGGCCGGCGGTATCCCACTGGGAAGTATGGTCAGTAAAGTGAAGGACGTTGTGATTTGCGGACACGTACAATCTGTAGTTTGACTGTCTTGCCATCGAGCTCGATGGTTCGGATTTTCTGCTCGCTAGTTAGCGGACTGCCAGCCTGACAGGCAGCAATGCCGTTGCGTTGTACACACGAAGTCGACACCGATGGTAGAGATATAGCTCTCCGTGTATGTGTCATCGGCGAATCGAAGGAGCAAGCATGACTTTCCTACACCGGAGTCACCGATGAGGAGCAGCTTGAACAAGTAGTCGTATCTGGTTGCGAGCACCACGTCAGTGGGAGGAGTTTTAGGGCGAGAGCGGAAATTCAGGAAGCATGAGGCGACTATAGAAGAGACTCTGTAGGTAATCAAGTTAGCAAGATGCAGCATCTACAGCCGATATCTAGGTTGCGGAAGCGGTGGCGCTGGGGTTGGGCCCCAGGTTACGTACCACTCTGGATTCATGATGAAAGTTGTAGGACAGGAAGACGCTTGGGAAGCTGGAGGCGGGTGCGTTTGAGGATGGGAAGAAGCTATTGCAGGTCACAGACCGTGGGGTGCGCGTGGGTATATGTAGGTAGAGTGTCGGAGAGTGTTCAGGTGGTTTGGATGCGTTCGCTTAGTCAATGGCAATTTGGCCCGTGCGCTTTGACAGGTGCAAGCACAGAAGTCACGCTCTCTATGGGTGCCGTTCTCTCGTACTGTTGCCTATCTTGTGAGCTTGGAGAGGGGCACGGCAGCTCGTTTCGTGACTCTGATTTGGGCTATGATTCTGTGTGACTGCGCAGAAGACTCAAACGCAGACCACACCAAGGCTGCCCCCAGGCAGAGACGAACAAAGATGCACGTGACCTTAGAGACCAAGCTAGGAGGGGACCCTCCGTCTCACATACCCCCTTTCCATATGGTCCCACGATCAGACTTGAGAAGACTCATCGGAGAAATGGAGGAGAGTTTCTCAGATCCAAAATAAAGAGTTAAGATACACTGGTAAACTGTTTTCCCACAAGCCAGCCCGGAATTTACATATACGCCACCTACAAAGCACGTAATCCGTAGTCCTACCCTTTTAATACACCTCGCCAACTCCAAATCAGAAGACGCCATCTACATCATCCTGTTGAAGGTCGGTATGAGGGTTTGGGCCAACCAGAACGAAAACACGAGCTTAGGACCCGTCATAAGAAGCTTCGGCGTCAGCCCTTTGAAGAATGAAGTCCAACCTTCATTCTTAAGCATGTTGGAAACAATCCGGAAGCCGCTCTCAGGGTTCTCAAAGTTCCTGTTTTGAATTCTCGTCTTGATTACATCTAGCGGTGCCGACACGACCAGGGATGCACTTGCGCCGGCGATTGAAGCAACAAAGTTTTGTCCCCATGTAGCAGCGTTGTAGTCATTCAGTTTGTAGAGATATTCCTTAGCGGCGGCCGAGCCTCCAAAAAGCTATAAACGGGGTTAGGTACGTCTGCGATTGCGGATAGGTGTTGGATGACATACTGCAAACGAGCCAGGCGCGTTGCGTGCTGCTGTCCAACCCCAGCCACGGTACAGGCCGAAACCCTCGTCGGCCACGATTCTGAACAGCCCCCGCCCTCTGAAGGCTTCGGGGTTGGTTTGTCGTTTGATTTTTAGAACATCTAAAGGTAATATCACAATTTCACCAATGCCGATCAGGCTGCCTGCAGTGGCATGCATGATCGCCTTGCCATTGCCTCGTCCAAAAGTGCGATCGAAGCCGTCTCCGTAGTTCTTCGCTAGAAAGTCCCGTACAAATGGCTGTCCGCCATATTTGTAGACACGTTGGAGCACCTATTAAAGTCAATCCGTTGCGTTGTATGAGCGTGGCTGGATGCGTACCTTGTACGCAGCCGCGTACCCCAGACCCGGAAACAGAGACAGGAAGCGGGCGGGGATCGATGCTTGGGCGTAGTCTCTGAAGATGACCGAGTTGAGTTGCGAGGCTGAGATCTGGTCGAGGACATCGGGTTAGTCGCGTCCATGATGGGTGCCAATTGCGGGTCCTCAGGAAGGCGTACCTTGCCGTAATTGCTCATCAACCGCTTCGCCGTTGTATCAACGGGATGGAAGACCATCAGCTCAGCGATGCCAGCACATCCTGCGCCTAGAAACCTTGCCGCCGTTGACTCCTTTTTGAAGTCTTTCGCCGACGAGTGAGTGCCCGCGACCACTGTAGCAGCTTTGGCAGCGGCCTCGGACGCCGATGGGCTCATTGTAGGCAGGAGGGGCGGCAGCGGCCCAATTATTCGCAGAGGTATTTGTGTCTGGCGCGGGAGAGGTGTGCACTCGGGAGGGAGCGTTAAATAGACAGGATCCCGACTTCAATGGCGTTCTGGAGATACTGACCAAAGCTAACCTCGATCAAATGCAAAAGGTTCACGCGAAGTTTCGAAACTTTTTCTGCACGGGCCATTTCCGTAGGTCATCGCAACTGCGCAGGCCACCTCAACAACCTTGGAACTTCTCATCAACGTCATTGGTCGTAGAAGCATTGTATTTGAAATCTGCCTACCTGTGGAGTCCGCTTAGGTAAGACTCACTACTGTGGGTGATAGTATTTTCTTCTGGTGATTCTCCCCGAAGCTAACCACCTGTCGAGTCTTTCGATTATTTAGTGGCGCCTCCCATTCGTCCTTCTTTAGAGTAATTTCAGTGCAGACCAAGGTCGCGAGCGTCGATATAGGACCAAGCGTTGCACTTTTGACAGAGAGGATCGTTGATGTACGTACGTACGTAGTCACGTTCATATTCATGCGGCTTGACCACGTTCAACGACTAATCGATAAGTTGTCGACTGGGGCAAACCCTCTTGCAAATCCTCGAGCAATTCGCCCGCGACACAGCTTCGAAATGGCGTACGCGTCCATGGGGGTGACGTCGTGGTCTTCATCCAGGGAAAAGGAGCCACATCAAGATCACCTTGCCTCAGGCAGACCTCATATGTCGTCTCGGAGCTAACGATGATTGTCTTCACACCAAGCTTACAGGCCGCTTCGACGACATTGGGCGTTGACGTAGTGTTCCCCTTTAAACACTCATTGTCTGGTAGAAGGTGCATAGGTCGCAGAATGAATGACCGCACCGGCCGGTCTGGTGCCCGGACCTTCATAACCTGTAAAGTTGAAGTGGTGGTTAGGGCGTTAAAGACCTCACCGCTGTCGGGGAGGTGAAACCCTTGGGGATCGGGAAAAGGAATGAGAATTGAGGATTTTGTGTCCTCTCTGGAGTAGCTCATGTATTATGTAACCTTGCCTGGCCTACCTGTGAAACCCATTCGGTGACTGCTTGGTATAGAGCTCCTCGTGAGCGAATCTGTGAGGCGAAGAATTGGTGGAGATCAATAGCAAGATAATTATTGAATTGCTAAATTCCAGGACCTGTTACTGCAGTTCCCCTGCCAGCTGCCTGCTGATGGTGGAAGACCTCGGATGGCTTGTGCGTTGTGCGTTCACTGCGAGATTAATTGAACATGGATCTTAACGTCATTTTCCCGCTTATCGATCTGACATCTCAACTCCGCATCGTTGCGCCAGACATTTTAGAAGCCGATACTCCAACGGCTGCACCAATTCGAAGATCCATCACCCTAGCAAGGCTTTCTGAGGGCAGTTCGCATTATTCCTATCTATGGGCACATATCCGTACAGATGACCGCCGGGCTGATGCGGAGGTTTTCATCGTCCACCCGCATCCGATCTCCTCATTTTTCACTTCAATTCTCATCGCACCACCTCACTGCGCCGAGGCTGCTGGGCCTGAAGCAGTATCAGAGAACCATCGCCGACTTGCGCCCACGACAGGCTGCCATCTCTAGGACATGGTTTACAAGCACGACAGCTTGCCCGCACCCTGAATCGCAGACTAGCGATCATCCACAGCCCGACGAGCGGACGCTGAAGTTGGGAAAGAGTATGGGGACTCTTTATTTAGAGCTGAGAAGATGCTAACAAGCTAGTAGCCATACGAATACTCCACGACCGGCTTCCAACGCTGCTGGCATCCCCACTGCCGCAAGAGATCCTGTCACCCCAAATTACCCTCCACCTTTTCCCTTCAACTCATCCGCACCTCCCTACCGTAAGCGGCCGGCTGGGCTATACGGCGGCTTTGTGGACCGCTCCTGTTGCGTGGGGCAGGGTCCCGGTAGTGGGCAATGTGAAGCTCATGATCCTATCCGAACGCATGGTGAAGAATGGTGGCACGTCCACACCAGCACACCTACATCACGAGAAGCTGATTGTCAAGTGGAAGACGTGCGGGAAGGCAGACAAGAAACAGAATGGACCAGCCAGTGAGGCAGTTGAGAAGATCACCAAGATTGTGAGGAGTTCCGCTAAGGAGGATGAGGAATTCTCGGGGCTATTTCTGTTCGAATTTGACGAAGAAGGACGGATTGTCAGCCACACAATCGAAAATGTTGAAGAGGGAGGCAGTTGGGATAGGACAGCAAAGGTCATCAGTGTCACTGACTGGCTGCTGGGCCGCGCATGGGGTCGTAGGGGAGAGGAAGGCTCCCCTGGCCTAGCTTATGCAAAGAACGAGAGGCCAGATGCGGCCAGACGTCGTGAGGGGAGCTGTTGAGGGGAAGCGAGGCGAGGCTTCGGTGCGACTTGGGTTCTCTCATTATTCCTGGATTGCATCTTGTCACCTAACATGGGACATGGCAGCGTACTTTAAGACAGAAATCCACATCCTACTAGCGCTCACCTTTATTCCAGCAAGATGCTTAACAGATAGACTGCACTCTAGTCATTTCCCACGTTTCGTGGTAACGTGTTGTTTTATTCGGCACGCCATGTTTCTGCTTCAGAACGGATGGCTTTGTCAGCGAGCGATCATGCTGCCTGTATAATCCTGGAACTAACCACGAGGGATTGGCTTCACTGTTGGATAGCGTCTAGCATTAGACCCCACACTCTGCAAACGCATGCACTGAGGCCGTGAGGAATGATCATGTGGGGGTCAACGGTCGTGACTGGTAGGCCGCCTCCCCCGGTGGGCACAACATGAAGCGCGGACAATGTGTGTTTCGTGGGCTACTGTGATTGGCTCCACAAGCACGGTCCCAGCGGAAGAGCCCTGGAGGAGACGAGGATGTGCTTTCTGGCCGTGGCTCTTAAATGCACGTCTCGCTGCTTCGAAAAGTAAACCTTCTCTGCCCATTGCCATCCCATCTCGTCGTGCGGCCACGCCCTCTGCTTTTACTCGGGGACTGCATGCACTCCGACCATCAACCGTCGACCGTCGCCAGCCCCCCGACTTTCCGCCTCCGCCGCGCGCTGCCGCCTGCTTTGTCGACAGCTCCCCGCCCCCCATCGCACAGCAGCGCGGAGCTTCAGCCTCATTACATGCGTCTCAATCCATCAACAAGACCCATTTCCTAACTTTCCTATATCATGGCCGACCTTTCTGCGGTCGCAGACCCCAGTATGCCACCGCATTCCCCCTGCCTGTTGCGGACACATAGCTCACTGGATTGCAGACCACACCATCAACCTCACACCCGAGGAGAAACGAGCATTTAGCTACCTGTTCCAGCAGGCTGATACCGAGAAGCTTGGTGTCATTACGGGCGAGGTTGCGGTCAAGTTCTTTGAGCGAACCAAGTTGGCACCGGCTGTTTTGGGTGAGATATGGCAGATTGCTGATACGGAGAACCGCGGCCTCTTGACCTCGTCCGGCTTCTGTCAGGTCCTGCGTCTGATCGGACACTACCAGGCTGGAAGAGACCCATCGCCAGAGCTTGCCTCCAGACGTAACCGACACCCGCACTTTCTGCGTGATAATAGCTGACGCTTCCCAGCTGGCCCACTGCCCAAGTTTGAAGGACTCACTATACCATCCGCTCCCCCTTCAACATTCTCCCCTCCCCCGGCGGCTGGCATCAAACCCCAGATGAGCGGTGGCCCCGTCCGGGTGCCGCAGCTGACGCCCGCGAAAGCCGCCGAGTATGCGTCACTTTTCGAGAAGTCAGGGGCTCAGAATGGGATACTTTCGGGTAATGATTATTTAGATGCCGTTGGCTTGGTACTCGGCTGATTTCCATCGCAGGGGAGAACGCTAAACAGATCTTTGAGAAAGCTAGATTGCCCAACGAAACTCTGGGACGTATCTGGAACTTGGCCGACATCGAACAACGCGGAGCGCTCGGTGTGGCCGAGTTCATAATTGCTATGCATCTCTTAGCATCCGTCAAGACAGGCGCTATGTCGCAACTCCCCAATGCCCTGCCCGCAGGGCTCTATGAGGCGGCATCTCGCAGGGTTCCACTTCCTCCGCCAGGAGGACGACCGAGACCGGATGAGCCCATAGCATCGATTCCTCGGCAATTCAGCGGTGCCGGCCCCCAAAGGAATCAAAGTCCTATGGGGAGGCCCTATGGCACTCCGCCTCAATCCGCTCAACCCACCGGAAACGATTGGGCCATCAATGCTCAGGAGAAGGCTTCATACGATAGTCTCTTTCACAAGGTGGATACAATAGGCCGCGGGTTCATAACTGGAGATCAAGCCGTGCAGTTCTTCAGTGACTCGGGTTTGCCAGAGGACATCCTCGCGGCTATCTGGGACTTGGCCGATATCAATTCTGAGGGACAACTAAGCCGGGATGAGTTCGCAGTTGCCATGTACCTAATAAGACAACAACGCAAACCTGGAGTAACGCTTCCGGCAACCCTACCCCTCAATTTGGTCCCTCCTAGCATGCGGAACCAAGTAAGGCCTTCCCTACCCATTGCGGCACCAACGCAAGAGGCCCCGCCGTTTGTGGCTCCCCAACCGAAATCTGCGGCAGAGGATCTCTTTGGGCTCGACGCATTTTCCGCCCCCGCTCCCCCACAAGTACAGCAATCCACTGGTGGGTCGGGCTCCTTCGGCAAGCCCTTTGATAATGACCCCTTCTCGAGCAAAACTGCCTCCCCAACCTCGCCACACCCATTCCAGCCTTCTCCGCGCAATCCGACATCTACATTCAAACCTTTCATGCCAACCTCTTCGTTTGGACAAACTCTTACTTCACACTCTACAGGAGCGTCTGGGTCTTCAGCTACACCTTCTCGCGCAAACCCACCTTCCGCTATGGAAGATTTGTTAGGTGAGAGTGACCCAGAAGTCAACAAGAAGCTTACCCAGGAGACGACGGAATTAGCGAACATGTCAAACCAGATCGGCACGTTGCGGACTCAGATGCAAGAGGTTCAGAATAAAAAGATTACCACCGAGAATGATCTGAACGGCGCTAGCACTCAGAAGCGTGATCTTGAACTTCGTCTCTCTCAATTCAAGTCACAATATGAACAAGAAGTCAAGGCAGTGAAAGCTCTTGAAGATCGACTTGCTACGTCTAGAAACGAAACTCGAAAGTTGCAGCAAGAGCTTGCTATGATTGAAGGAACACACCAAGACCTCCAAAGCCAACATCGGCAAGTGGGGACAGCCCTAGAAGTGGACCAACGTGAAAATGCAAATTTAAAGGAGCGCATTCGTCAAGTAAACATGGAAATTGGTCAATTGAGACCCCAGCTTGACAAGTTGAGGTCCGATGCTCGACAACAGAAAGGCATGGTAGCCATCAACAAGAAGCAGCTAGCGACGAATGAAGGCGAGCGGGACAAGATGAAATCTGAGATCAATGATCTGTCCAAAACAACTGAGGAAAGCTTCCGCATCTCTCAAGGGCAGGCTCCTGCCGTGGCTAGTCCCGCCACCTCTACTGCAAGCCATAGCACTAACCCATTCTTCCGTAAGTCTCCTCAGCCGTCAACCGACAACACAATGTCGCCTTCAGGATTCTCTAGAGAAGGACCGCACAAGGATTTCGACAACGTTTTTGGTACAGCTTTTAGCTCGCACCAGGCTCCTGCTCCTCCCACTTCTTTTAGATCGGAGAGTCAGTCTCAGGTTCCGACGTTTTCCGCACCGTCCGGACATTCCGTCCGTTCTTCAGAAGGCCCGGACGTACCAACACCGTCAACATCTCCGCCACTCTCTTCATACCAGGAATCTCCCCGAGCAGGAGAACCACCAGCCCCTCCGGAGTCACGACAATTTGCGTCAAGTTTTTTGCCGCTTAGGGATGCCGTTCCACGGTCTGATTCCTTCAGCTCCTCGGTCAAAGTCTCCGCTCCGGCAAGCAGATATGGTGCACCAGGAAATGAAACACCCACGATCTCTAAGGCCTCTCCTTCTGGAACTCCTGTGCCGGAGAAGCCTAGCGTGGAGCGTTCTGACACCTCGAGAACGGACACTGACGCTTACAACACTTCTGTTTTTGATCGCAACCTCTCTACATCTCCCGTGGCTAGTACAAGTAGCGACGCTCAGAGGTCTGGTTCAAAGGCAGAAGAACGGAGAGATACCTTCCCAAGCTTTAGTTCGGCGTCAGCAAACCACGATATCCCTGGTGCATTTCCCAGGGAAACAAGCTCACCTCTTCAGCAAATTCCAACAGGGGAAAGTAGCCTCAGCAATCAGAGCAAGAGCAACAACCCCAGCAATCGCACAGATCCGTTCGCTTCTGCCGCCAAAGAGCAACCGCGTGGGGGAGCCTCTGCGAAGGTTGACTTCGATGCGGCCTTTGCTGGGTTTGGCACAGGTCACCAGTTCCAAGACTCGAGCTCCGGTGTAAATGGTTCGAAGGATTCGGCAAGCAAGTTCAACAAGGAATTCCCTCCAATTGAAGATCTTGCTCATGACGAAGATAGCGACAGCACAAGCGAGCAGGGATTTGCGGATAATTTTACTTCTGCATCACCACAACAGCATCGCCCGAGCGTTGGGCAAAATCAGCAGCCGCAACCGCAACCGCGACCAAGCACAGGCACAACAGGCGGGGATTCCTCTAAGGATGAATATTTCAAAGCACCGCCTCCAACAAGTCGCCTCGATTCAAGCACGAGTGGGTTACCTTCGCCCGGAGCACAAAAGTCCCCCCCTACTTATGACCAGACTGTGAGTTCGAATAGCAGAAGTGGCACTAACCAATTCCCGCCGGAATTTGGGGGACTTCTACCCTCTCGTACGGATCCTACTTCCCCCCCCTCCGCGCCCCAATCCCCCGAAAAGTCTTTCAGTACACCAGCAGGCGGCCAAGGAGGAGCATTATTCGGTGGATCAACGTTCCCTAAGCCATCCACTACATCACCACCCCCCACGGATACACCATCATCAACTGTTCCATCCGATGCCTACCATTCGGCAGTATCGTTTGGCACCGTCGACACCAACAAAGGCCCATCCCCTTCGACCAATGCCCCCCAAGGGGGCAAGCCATCCTTCAAAGATGATTTTGATGCTGGCTTCGATGATCTGACGGAGGCTAAGGAGGCTGATGACAAGGCTGATGACGACTTTATGCTTTCCTCACAACATCGCGAAGGTTTTGATGAATTCAATCCCGTGTTTGACTCCCCAGCTGCGTCCAAGTCAAATACAATGGCTTCTCAGCAGACTCCTACTGGTAAACCGCATGGTGAAGACAGCTTTAGCGACTTCGAGCACCTCTCACAAAGCTTTAGCCAACCTAAAACACAGCAACCCGCTGCATCCTCTTCCCAGGATTGGGATGCTATTTTCTCAAGCCTCGAATCTCCTCAGACCGAGAAGGGTGCTCAGCAGACTCCAGGCGAGCTTGGCAAATCCGTTTTCGATACTCTGGATAAAGAAGACGCGGCGGGTTCCTCCTCAAAACAACCGCAAATTCCTCAGCTTAGCCGCGCCCTCAGCTCAGGCACAGAGCACGATGACCCCATTTTGAAGAAGCTGACGGGCATGGGCTATCCACGAACAGACGCCCTCGCTGCCCTCGAAAAGTTTGACTATGACATCAACAAGGTCAGGAACACTTCCTATGCCCTGCTGTGGCTACGCTAACAGGCCTTTAGGCTGCAGACTACCTAACCTCAGGTCACTAAATTGAAAAAGGGCGGACTTGATGTTCTTTCATTGTACGAATATTACCTTGACCCACAGCTTGTCTTCTATACAGTTGGCATAGTCCCCCATACCCTTACCATGTTTGTTTTACCTTACGGTCGGAACCAGAGTGCATGCAACGGGATTGGATTGGTTGCCTTCTCCTTGTTTACCCTCCCTAATTATTCGTCATTTTGCGGCATTCGTTTACCACAGCTGGCGGGTTTGGCTTTAATTCTGCACATACTTGGTAGTTAATTTTACAGCATTTCTTGCACATATGTCCCTCCATGATGCAGCATCAATTCTAAGCGGATCGTGATGACAGGAAGGCAGCTCGATTTACCTTTGCCACCAAACACAGCCACCGCCGCCACATACTCCCTTTCCAAGCAGGTTCTTAACGTCGCAGAATTCCCTGGAATGCAAGATTCAGTGGATGTGGACCTGGCGACCAGAGGGCATCCTTTACGTCACCTTCATTGAGCTTTGCTATTGGTCAGAACTCCTAGTGATGCTGAAGGTCTGATTGGATGGACTACAATACAAAAGCCGGCATGGAGTGTGACGCGTTCCACTCTCCTCATGTGAGGGGATAAGGCATCTCGGGAAGAAATCAATTTACCAACCTTAGATCATTCATATATAAATCAAGATTTGACCTTCCCACGTCCTGCTATCCACTTGGCATCTGACCCTTAATCAGCTACCTTCACACCCCGCTTCCTTTGTTTCCGAGTACCTCACAGCTCGTCAAGATGACGGATTTCGCGCCTCCACCTGTAAGTTGTCCTAGCTAGAGGTTCGGCATCCCCTCACTATCTGCAGGGGCCGCCACCACCAAAGGCGCCAAAAGGGTGGAAAGTTTTATGGAATGGTGAGTTGTTTCTCTCGCGTTGTTAAAGGCCAGTCAAGCTAACTATGCACAATTCAGACCAGTACAGCGAGTGGTTCTACGTAAACATTTACACCAAGAAATCGCAATGGGACAAGCCAGATGAGCCCGTGTATCCTCCCGGTGAAGCGCCAGATTCTCCTCCACCATCGTACGCTGCCCCTGCATCGTCACCAGGACTTCTGGTGGAAAAGGCGAGGCTAGGAACTAACAATGCGTACTCGGATGCTAGGGCTAGGCAATCAGCGAACGATATCAGCGAGGATGAAAGGTTGGCGAGACAGTTGCAGGATGAGGAGTATGCGAGGGTAAGCGCGCATTCAGCGTATGGTGGAGACAGGGGTGCAGCGGATGCATACTATACGCAGGGAGGCCCGCCACAGCTGGGGCAATATGGCTATGAGCACCAACAGGCTATATATCCGAATTCCTCGCAGACGGCGCACAAAGGAAAGACAAAGAGTGGATTTTTGGGAAAGCTGCTTGGGAAAGCTGCTTGGGAAAGCTGGAGCTTCTCACTCAACCCCGCAATACGCGCCATATGGACAAACTACACCCGGGGTGTACTATAGCGGGCAGCCTGGCTATTACACGCAGCAGCAGATGTACACACAACCAGTTAGGAAACCGGGGAGGAATGGTATTGGCCCCAGTGGCGCTGCGGCACTTGGAGTTGGTGGTGGCTTGCTTGGAGGTGTCCTTCTCGGTGAAGCGATCGAAGGAGCTGCGGACGCTGGTGATGGGGGTGACTATGGTGGTAATGGGGGAGATTTTGGAGGCGATGGCGGGGGGGATTTCGGTGGTGACGGGGGTGGAGACTTCGGGGGAGGTTTCTAGATCGCCTTCCATGGCCATCTTTGCAGTGTTCGTTTCATCTGCACGCACACTAGTGCAATCCAACGATTCACTCCATGATCCATGCCCACAAACACTTAGCGCGGTCATCCTTTGTTACCTTCGTAGGGATTCGGCCGACGGTACCGCATCAACATCTCACCTATGAAGTATAGTCAATCCTGCAGCCAAGCCGTCGACACCAAACCTTTAATTTATCGTTGCGCCACATGCACATCTCTATCTTCACTTCATGTGAGAATTTCCAAGCCCTCCAACCTTCCACAGTATCATGTCCTCGGATCTCCATAGAAGAAACATTGTGATTATCGGTTCGAATACTATCCCCTCTTCATCAACGCAAGGCTCATTACGCTGACGCTTGGCGGTCCAGGTGGGGGCATCATTGGCTCCACAACTGCCTATTTCCTCTCACACAATGACAAGTTTGATAGAGAGCGAGATAGAATAACGCTATTAGAAGCTACCAAAATTGCGGGCGGTGCTTCAGGGAAAGCGGGAGGATTGTTGGCGTTATGGGCGTACCCGAGTTGTCTTGTGCCGTTGAGTTATCGGCTGCACAAGGAGGTACGTTTGTGCTTCTTCGATCCTTTCCTTTAATGGGTATCAGGAAGGTTTTGGAGAAGATAGCGCATTGGAACAGGTGGAACAAGAGCGTCGGGTCGGTTTGTGAAGCTAGAGGATCCTCCGATGTATTCTGGAGATGTGGGGTCAAACATCAGGAAGCCAGTTTTAATTAACAAATTCTCCAGCTAGCAGACAAACACGAAGGTGCAGAACGATGGGGTTACCGGGCCTTATACTGTGGCCAAATTGACGCGCGAGGTCGCCTTCACTCAAAGCCAAGTCGCTCGTCAAACAGCCAATCCGTGCCGTTGCAGAAGCGTTCCGGTACAGCCACCAGTACTACTTACTCCACAGTCCCGAATGATCTCGACTGGATAGACAGGGAAAGTCTATCCTCTTACGAAGAAATGGGGAACCCCTCCACGACTGCGCAAATCCACCCTTTCCAGTTCACTACGTCAATGGCATCCCTAGCTGAAGAGAAGGGAGTGAATATTATTTTCGCTTCTGCAATTTCCATAAATCAGGCCTCCGGTGCCGTAAAATCTGTCACGTACAGGCCTAAAGATGGTAGCGAAGAGAAGAAGATAGAAGCAGACACTGTGGTCCTAACAGCTGGTCCCTGGACAAAGACTGTGTGGCCAAGCGCCCCAATATCCGCACTTCGAGCGCACTCTGTAACAATTCGTCCATCGAGACCAGTCTCTGCTTATGCACTTTTTACCTCTGTCGAAATTCCTAAGGGAGATGGTAGGAGAAGCAAAATCGTAACCCCAGAGATCTACGCCCGTCCTAACAACGAGGTGTACGCGTGCGGCGAAGGTGATACGCTCGTACCCTTACCTGCTGCGACCGATCTCGTTCAAGTGGAAGCTTCCCGATGCGAAGAGATCGTCCAGCAAGTTGGTTCCATCAGCGATGAGTTAAGGGATGGAGAAGTTACAGCAAGACAAGCCTGCTATTTACCGAATGTAACCCCGGGCGGAGGTCCGATGATCGGAGAAACGGAGGTTAAAGGCCTATTGATGGGTGCGGGACATACTTGCTGGGGAATTCAGAATGCGCCCGGGACAGGGAAATGTTTGAGTGAGTTGGTTTGGGATGGCGGCGTGAAGAGTGCGAATTTGAGTAGTCTGGATCCAAAGTTATACATTCGGCGAGGCGAGGAAGAAGGCACATGACATAATTAATCATTTACATGGGCGAGAACGCTTTCTATCTTCGGTGGTTTATGAGAGATTAATTTGGTTTGATATGGGTACATCCAGTGCCATTCAATAGTTGCACCAGCGACTTGGTCTTAGTTCATGAAGGAATCCTACAGGAGCTGAGTAGGGGTTGAAGTCTGCTTGTTTTTGGTGTTTCTCCTCATTTATACTATCATAACAAGGGCGTGAAGCGATTATAGTCTGAGGGTATTTGCAGAGCAGCCAATGCACTTACTTATACTCTCTCATAGAACAACAATATCATCATCGCTGTGGCTTTTTAAGACTGCATCCTATGAAAAATTATACATAGTAGCCCAGTATTGCCCCGCCACTGAATATGCTCGAGCAGAGCAGAGCCTTTATGTTAGTATTTGATCTCTTCAGTATGACACCTCTAAAACAAGCCTGCGTTAAGGGGGAACTATTAACCTGATCTCTTCTGTAAACCACTTAAGCAAGGACTTAGAAAGTGTGCAAAGCCCACCTACAGATGACATATCCGGACAATTTAATATTAAGGCCAACTATGACCCAGTAACTTTGGATAGATAGTGGAGGCCTACACCGTCACACCTATGAAAATAATATGTGAATGTAATGAAGGCCATTGCACATAGAACTTATTCTACGAAGCCCAGACAGGAGCTTGCTTTGAAGCATTAACTTTAGAATTAGGTACCGAAATACCGATGGCTGAGCATCAGACTTAGGATAATGGATCCACATGACACTGGATCCCTCCACATAATAGCATTCAGAGACGTATATATTCTTCACTGGGCTGTGGGGCATTGGATGAAACCCTTAAGTGCAAGCACGCCGCAAGGGAATGCTGCGGAGAGGGAGAGGCGGCCCGTTGCTGATTTTGTCTGGCGATTACGCATATAGTCCTTTAATGTATCATGGATATTTGGCGACTAGTCTGTGGCAGTGCCAAAGGAGCGGGATACAACGCCACGGTGCTACATTTCGGGCCTGCTTTCTGAACTTGATCATGGGTTACGGTGGCAGGCTCCATACTTAACAACAGGGCTGAATCGTAGTGGCAACGTACGATAGGTACATAGTCGGCAGGGAGTCCTGAGATGATGGTATATGGAACGTTGGCGATTCTCTTCTTTTCGAGACCCATGACTTGAGCTGATGTGATGGTAATAGTAACACGCACAAGAACCCCGTAGTGATCTTATTGTCTTCTCCATTGTTCATGACAAACCCACGATATGCCATGCTAAGAGAGCAACGCAAACAACAAGTATGTCTTCCGCCCGTAATCCGAAGCGTTCTTTCTCATCCTAGACATCATGCCTTCATCCACACCAGATGCCTCTTCCACAGCTCTCACAAGCTCTTCAAATGGCTTCCACTCGTCCAGAGAACCCAAGTAGCGATAAATATATAACATGTCCAAAAGCAATTGTTTTAGCCGCTCGCTCTTAAGCTCCTTGTCTACTGGCAACAGGTCTGAGGCATTGCTTTTTTCTGCTCCTTGTGGCTCTGGTTCATCTACAGGGCTATGTGAACTTGCAGTAAGATGCTCCTCTGTGTTGATTACATTGAGTGTCTCCTTCCAGGTTTTCGATACCTCATCAAGCGCCATGGCCTTCAGAACATGAACGCTATCTGGCGCCCACAAATCGGGACCGCATGCTCCCATGCTCTTCACTAGTTCTTGAAGAAATCTAAACGCGCTGGGAGATGGCTGTGCGGGTAGCGGGGGATTTCCTTCCCACAAAATATGACTCTTCGACCGATATTTTCTACCGGCAGTGAGCACATTGTTGTAGGCGGCCAATGCAGGCACTGTAGTTTTTTTGGCAAGGGAAGCATGCAATGGTTTGAGCAGCTCAGCAGTGAATGGCGATGAAAGCGATGCTGATCTGTCATGGAGCCTTAAGCGTGGAATGCGGCCTGCGATTTCTCGAATGACGCGGAGAAGAAATATATGTTGGGGTAAGGGAGAGGTCTCCGCAGACGATGTCAGCTGCAATATAATTTGTATGAAGCTCTCCCGAAGACTCGCTAGGGAATCAGCCAACGCCACTTGCGTAACTTCTTCTAATAAACGAGGGTCGTCGTCACTGAGAAAGCTTTGCTTCGAATCGAGGCCGAAATCGTCATCCAAATCATTCACATCATCGGCAAATGTGTCGTCCCATCGGGTCTCTCTCATGCTCTTCACTATTGCCTTTACCTCGAGGACAGATTTAACCCAGTTATCGTAAGTTGCTACCACGCGTATCACTGCTTCATCATGTCTCTGGTGCGTATCGAGAACGGCCAACTTGAACGATTGTGCCCCATCGCTCAAGTCTATCGGAGCGGATGGGATGGCCCAGAGAGATGTGTTTCGTTTATCTTCTGCTCCTGACCATGCGCGTAGCATCGATGTGAGTTCGAAAACCACGGTTTGGAGAGCCTGTGCGCGAGAGCGGACAATGGTCCTTAATTGTTCGTTCATCGCGTCTCGTAAGTCATCGAGCACAACTGCGGGCTCTAGCCCTGGCATCCTGGAGCCCGAAAGAATCCATGTCTCAATTAATTCTTGTCTTAGAGAAGCAACCTCTCTTAGGTCCTTCGTTTGAGATAGTGCTGCTTTGGTGCCTTTCAGGAAAGCAGATATTGCTTGCCTGGACCATTGACTAAGCAACTTTTCTACCTCGGACCGCTGAAGTTCATCGTGACGAGGCCACGGCGTATAATTGCGCGCCTCCTCTCCTATCCACCGGTCATGTACGTCAATATTCAGTTCGTGTAGCGCTCTGACTTCTGGGTCTTGCGCTAACGGCTGGACTTTGAGCTTGGCCAACGATTCCGCCAATCGTCGCGGAAATATAGAGAACGTGTCTTGACATGTCTGTAAACAAAGCTTGAGGGCCCTGATCCCGTTTTTGGCGAGATCTGCGTTGCTCTGAAGCGACTTGACGACTCCTTCCAATCTAACCCCATGGAAATGTCTCAATACGTCGGTTGGGGTGGAGCTGGTGGCGAGGGAATAGGCGCACAGGGTGTCTACCAAGACCACCGTATCCGACATTGTGCTTGCAAGATGTTTGTCTATTCGAAGTAAAAGCTTCCGCCGCAAAGCACTCAGGCGGTCTCGGATCTGGTTTAGGAATGGAAAGTCGGTTTCGGAGTAAGAGAGAGCCTTATGTAAGAGGCGAGATATGACCAGGATCTTGGCAATGAGCAAATATGAGGCGTCTCCTCTCATCAGCCGACTCATGACAACTGGGCAGTTGTGAAGGACCGACAGCTGAGAAGCAAACGTGTATCGTTCGCTATCTGGAATTCGCAGTCAACCAGTGCGGGCTCGAATAGCACAGGCTCGAACAACTAACCACGATTCCGGATTTGACCATTAAACTTGGCCGCGTTTCTCGAGATTCGATCGACAACCCGAGAATTGCAATTCTGTCCTACTCTTGCCAACTTAGTTTCCACTTGCCCCATCCTCAGCTCCATGTCAATTATGGTTTCGGCCGTGTCGAGGAGGCTACGGTAGCTTGCACTACACCGTCGATTAGCATTTGCATGCATAAGAGCAGAGGGGAGAGGGCACTCTCACCCCACCAAAGAGCGAAGCTTCTCGCGGTTCTCACCTGCATTGGAGCGGAGTCGGTTCTCTAGCTTTCGGACGACGGGAATTGGGTGCTGAAAAGCGTCTTCCCAGCTTTTGAAAGTTCGGGGGTCGGGAGCTTCAGTTGCCATGTTAGGGTGCAGCCCTAGGGCTCAATTCTTGGTAGGTGTGTATCGGCGTCAATGTTTCGCCGCTGCAATTTCATCAACTTCCATAGCTTAGTCATCGCTTCAAGACCTCCCGATGCGGAGGGTTTCACTTTTCGGAAATCAAACAGAATGCCGGGTAGAATAACTTAAGTATATTGGGCAAGTGGTATCTACTGATGAGTGGCTATTTTTCTACTCTTCTCCGCTTTCCTGTGCCTTCTGCTGTTCGGCTAGTGCTTGTGCCTCCTTCCATTGCAGCGCGAACTCCCTGAGACTCCCCTCGCCCCCTCGGCTAGCGTCTACAACATCCTTAGGAAGCTTGTGGGCGCTATATTGTGGGGTTGTGAAGCCGTACGCTTCTGGGTCATCTCGGCGAACCAGACGGAACTCCGGACGTAACAGGTCGATGATATTTTCTTCAGCTTCCCTCTCGTTTCCAGAACCGCTAGATCCTCCCTCTGCTGAAGATTCCCGAGCACTTTCCTCGACTCTCGATGCAAGAGGTTCGGGCAGAGTCAGGAGTTCTAACCAGCCAAACAGCAGTGGATCCGTCCTAGGAGCCCACGGATTGAAGTCCATTAGCCAGACGCGGTTGTGCGGTGGGGGTACATAGACATCGAATGTAAAGTTTGCGTCGGGGAAGGTATCCCGAATTCGCGCGTCAAAGAACTCCTGGATAGCTTGTTGCAGCCTGTCTTGCATTTTGAACAGGAAATCGAAATGGTTCAGGTCACGCTGACAGAGAGCTATCAACTTGCGATTGCGGACAAAACAGCGGAATTCGACGGACGGATTGAGAGTAATCCATTTACGGAGGACGAGATAGTACGGGACTGAAGGAGATGGAGGAGGGGGGCCGTCTCCATCGCTCCTCTGCGAATCTTCGTTGGTAGTGTCGTCAAAAGCGTGCTGCAGATCATGTGTGACGAAATCGCTCGATTTTAAAAGAAGGTAGATGTCGTTTGGGGTCCGGCATTCTATGCTGTTGGTTGCTGCGATCCAAGTAGCATCCTTCGGCGCGGACCAGTTCAGTTTTGGGGTGACCTTTCCACCCAGCTCTTCAATCACGCGCTCAATGGCTTCATGGGTGTCGCGCCAGTTCGCCGAAGGGTCGTAGTTGTCGTCATCGTCATCCTCGCCTTCGTTGTCAGCGCCTGAAAAGATGCCACTGTCTGAATCGGACCACTCTGCCGCGTCCTGGCTCTCAGGAGGAAGAACTATCCCGTCTTCCCGGAGATAGCTGAGAAAGGCTTCAGGGAGGGGCACGAGGCGTGCTTTCGGGGTAATAGTTCGATATCTGGTAGTGTGTTAAGCTTTGCTGGCATTGAAGCGGGCGCGTAGTGAAGACGTACTTAGGATGCCAGCTATGATAGGAGCAGTTCAGAATGTGAGTTTTAGTCACGGGAGGGAAGGGGAGTTTCAAATGTCTACGACCCTCTGCAGGACTGCCAGAGTTGGTGGCGCTCATGGTGGATCAAGGGTGAGAGATGGAGACAAAAAATGATGGTCTGTCTGGGGCAAGCTATATGCAACGAACAATGACTCCTCCATAATCTAGTCGAGTTTATACCCAGGTCTGAGTCTTCCCGTCGCAGCCACCAGCGATGAATGTGGTGGGGCAGGGACGTGCGAACGGTCACCATCCCGGTCCCTCACTGCAGCCACCGCCACCTCCCCAGCACTGCCAGTATCATTGCCAGAGCACTCAATCATGACCCATACATAGTAACTCCCCGTCGCTCCCTCAACTGGCTCTCCAACATGTCTTCGAACGTTGGCCTCTCCACTCCGCGAGGCAGCGGGACCTCTGGCTATGTCCAGCGTAATATGTCTCTGCTCAAACCTCGCGACAACGCCGCGCCATATCCCAAGGACTGGGAGCAGATGAAGCATCACCAGCGCCAGCCGGACAAGGAGATTCTCGAGCACGAACAGCGTCGGGAGATTGAGGTCAAAGTCTTCGAGCTGCGCGACAAGCTAGAGGAGGAAGGGTAGGTGGTTCGTGATGAATGCTTGGGCTCCTTGCTAACTCCGCGAAGAGTCGACGAGGACGATATCGATGACCAGTGCGATTCGCTCCGCAAGAAGCTCGAGAATGAGCGCAAGCAAGGCAAAGACTTTGGCCCAAATGCACGCAGGCTTAAACAACACCAGGTTCACGACCTTGCAAAGGCAAAGATTGAAGAGAGCGAGAGGCTCCGGAAGGCGCTCGGTATTTCGGCAGACTATGAGGAGGGCAGTCACTGGAGAAAACAAGAGGAGCGCCTAAGAGAGTCGCTAGTAGGGAGAGAGAAGGAACCGCCTGCACGACCCACCAGAGAAGTGGAAGACGAGTCTGATTGAGTGCTTCCCGAAAAGGCCCCGAAGCCTCATATCTGCAACCACATTGGGTAGATCCCTTTGTGAACTTAGGGAGAAGGGCATGGTCCTAACAAAGAATGGATAGCTTTTGATTGACCACTCCAATGGTGTGATCCGATTGCTCCCCTACTTTGGGTTCTCTTAACAGCAATTTGATTGCATTGCAATTTGATTGCATTGCAATTCACCTTCAGACGAGGTATGGACTAGTTGGTGCTGGAAATCACCAGGCCGTCAGAAGGAAGTGCAGACCATAGCCCAATGTGTAATATTTTCTCCGATCTGCATACCATTTCTTCAATTCCTCTCGGATTTCACCATTTTAGATCTTCCCTCTCCCTGCATCCCTACTACAAGGGAACAGAGGGCCGAAGGGTTAAATGTTGTGTTCTATTGTTTGTATAACCTCTCAGCAGTGTTCTGTTTAATTGTGTCGATCAAACCCTAATTGGGTTAGTAGATTACTGACGAAGGAAGCGAATCCTTCTAGGCACCCTTAAACACTAACATGATAGCTGTGCATGTCCACGTCTTCCACCCCAGCGCACCTGTACTTTCTCTTTCTCTGCCGTCTCTTGACTTGTTTTGCATTCGCACCATTTTTTCTAAGACCACGCAATGCTTCTTGAGTTTGGCTGATACAATTGTTCAGTCAAACTACTTTGCCTCCTATCAACACTACCTTAGAGACTTCCGCACCCCCCTAAAAAAAACTTGCTTAGCAATGAGAACTTGTCAATTATTCTTATCTCATCACTCTACCTTCCGACGACCTAATCCTGTCAAGATCATGTTGTTTCCAACTTTTTTTGCTAAAGGGACGCGATGGCTAGCGGCTGAACTTGGCCTCAAGACCATAGCTTCAGCCGGAGCCGACGTTTACCTACTGATGATCACTCGATATCTCAGATTAGTAGCGTATGGAGCTGTAGCGCTGATCCTCGCCCTATATTTTGAGGCTTTGGGCTTCTCTGACGGACACATTGGGCTTTTCATGACGTTAACGCTGCTTGGCGACGTTGTTATTAGCCTCCTTCTTACCCTAGTGGCCGATTCGCTTGGTAGAAGAAAGACACTTTTATTGGGTGCATTTATGATGGCAGTCTCTGGAGTAGTCTTCGCAATCACGAGCAATTACATTGCTTTACTGATAGCCGCCATCCTTGGTGTCATCAGCCCAAGCGGAAACGAGATTGGACCCTTCCGAGCGGTGGAAGAGTCGACATTGGCGCATCTAGTACCACAATCTGGACGACCAGATGTCTTTGCTTGGTATGTCGTTCTAGCTGCGTTGGGAACATCGACAGGGCTAGCAGTGGGTGGGATCGCAGTTGAGCGGTTCCAAGCCATCGAGGGTTGGACAGACGTGGACGCATACCGAAAGATATTCTGGATATACATAGCTGTGGGGTGTCTTAAAGCTATCATGACCATACTCTTGAGTGGTCGATGTGAGCCGGCCAGGACGCAGACAGAAGAACAAAGAGTCCCAAGAATGCAGTCCCATGAGCGCGAACCTCTCCTCAATGGTCACGAATCTCCACCACACAGCTCCACCACGAGTGTTCAGACACCAAAGCGCGGCAACCATTTTACCAAGATCTCGAAACCAAGCCGTAGAGTCCTACTTAAGTTGTGCAGCCTATTTTTCTTCGACTCGCTTGGAAGCGGAATGGTTCCCTTTTCCTTAGTCAACCTATACATGGAGCGAAAATTCCACCTTCCGAAGAGCAAGCTAGGTGCAATCATGTCGGCGACGTGGTGAGCGTTATTTTACCTACTCTCAAACAAGCCTGGATTTGACTTTACTTTAGGCTCATTTCAACGATCGGGAATATATTCGCCTCCTCTCTTGCAAAGCGAATTGGGCTGATACAGGCAATGGTTGTCACACATCTCCCAAGTTCGATATTCCTGGCACTTCTCCCCGTTCCACGAACGCTTTCGTTGACTATCTGCCTCTTGGTCGCTCGTGCGTGCCTCAATTCTATGGATCAAGCCCCTCGGTCTGCATTTCTGTCAGTTGTTGTATTACCGGAGGAGCGAACGGCAGTGATGGGAATTGTCAACATACTGAAGACCTTATCCCAAAGCGGAGGCCCAGCTATCACCGGGTTGCTTGCTGGTCAAGATCATTTTTGGGTGGCATTTGTTTGTGCTGGCTCAATGAAAGCCGCATACGATTTAGGTCTTCTAGCCTGCTTCGCTGGGAAAGCCCGGGAGGAAGAGCATTCAACGGGTGGCTCGGAAGCAGCTTGGAGTGACAGGGTCATTGGTACGGTCTCTTCGGATTCGGATACAGAGCCAAGTGATAGGGAAGGCGAAGTAAACACAAGCAATGACGCAGAGTCAGACTCTGTGCAGCTTAGCGTAGGATCTGAGGAGAGCGAAGCTGGCAGGAATGCATTTCTTCCTTCAAAGCCCAGCTCACAGAGGTAGCGTTCCTAGAATATCATGGCTTCTAAATCACGCCTCTCCGAATGATGCTGTGGATAGAACATGATCTCGGATTGATCGAGGTGTTGAACTTGAACCTGAACCTGGATCGGCCCGGCGATCGGTTTCGCTAATCCGAACCAGCTTAGCGTAGACCCTGCACCAAAGCATTTCGTTCCCTGTCGGTCCGTTTTGCGATAAGTCTCGCCAACGCTCACTCAGCGCGAGCCCAACAGTCACCATCCCTTTTCACCTTTTTCTTCCTTCTTTCTCCTCGTCCTAGGCCTGTCGCTGTGTGCTACCACATTCTTTCCCAGTGTTTCCTTCGCCTTTCCCGGCTCATTTGGCGTTGAGGTTCCGTCTTCGGAAGATCTGCACCGACATTTCGTACTCTTTAGCCCTATCAAACCGTTGTTCCACTTTTTCTTCATTCTAGTCCGAGTAACAAACGAGCCCAAAATCACACTACAGTTGCTCTTCTGTGCTACTATCAGCTGTGCGCCTTACTCGTCGAGCATCAGTGTATCATCAAATTCCCGACAGGAACTCCATGTGCTAGTGATGGCGCCAGCCTTCAAGAGCCGGTCTGGAAGGATACTGTATCTAGATGCCTACGACTCCTTCTCAAATAACATTGTCGCACTCGTCGAGCAATGCATAGATGTCAAAGTGGTCACTATCCGCATCGATGACCCCCGCTTTACCAAGGCTCCTATAGAATTTGTAGACTATCTCAAAAACTTTGATGCGGTGATCGCGGGACCTGGGCCAGGATCAGCGACAAACGAAGGAGACGTTGGTATTATGCAAGAACTTTGGAGATTAGACGACGCGGACCTGCTTCCAGTTCTCGGAATATGCCTTGGCTTCCAGTCTCTGGCTACTGCGTTCAGCGCGAAGGTCCATAGGCTGTCAGAACCGAGACATGGCATCATTTCGGAGGTTCTACATAAGAGACAGTCCATATTCCGTGGCGTTGACCAGATACTGGCTACTCAATACCATTCTTTGCAAGTCAATATCGAACATTCCATACAGACAAAGCGCGCCGTTCGATATCCAGCGGAGCTTTGGAAAGCCACCCGGAAGTGTCCGAAATTGGAGCCGCTGGCTTGGGATTTTGATAGCAAACTAAACGGTGCTGTGCTGATGGCGACAAGACATTCAGAGAAGCCTTTTTGGGGAGTCCAATTCCATCCGGAGTCAATATGTACAAACAGCGAAGGCATTCGCATCGTCCAAAATTGGTGGGTGGAAGCTCAGACCTGGATTCAAGAACGCTTCACAACTCCTACCCCGAGGAAAGCTTCCCTACTGGACTCTCCAAATCCACCTATGACAATGCAGCACTTCAGCACCCTCCTCGGAATGCAAGACTTGGGTGAGCTTGAAGGTTCTGTGAAGGGTTATAAACGAGGGAAATCAAATTCAGTCATTCTAAGCAATTCGTTGGTCGATCCAGCTACTATAGCCCATTTGATTGCTTACGGAGATTCCAAATCTCTTCCAAATCTTTCTCCCGGTGTGGTCCACTGCAGCACAACTGGTAGTGGCCAACTACAAGTCTCGGACGTATGCGAACTCTTAGGAATTGTGCAGAATGAGGCTATCGTTCTAGAGTCTTGTCTACAATCCAATCTTCTTCCTCTTAAGGTTAGCACAGGCCGGTACAGTATCATTGGCCTCGTAATTCCAGGAGAAACGCTCCGACTACACTACTATGTGGCTACGCGAACGTTGGAACTACGAGACGGCAATGATAAAGTCTATATCCAGACAATAGTTGACGATGTTTGGACATACATCGAAACCATCATATACTTCCTCAAACCCAAGTATCAGCCTAAAGGACCCACCTTTGCTCCATTTTGGGGTGGGCTTATGGGCTATGTGTCTTATGAAGCCGGTCTAGAAACAGTTGATGTTGAGCCCTGTTTGCCCTCCTCGAAAGACCCGAGAATTCCAGATATATGTTTCGCTTACATTACTCGTAGTGTGGTTTTCGACCACAAGGTCAAGAAGCTATACATACAGAGCATAAGAGGTCGCGACGACGATGTTTGGGTCCAGAAGACACTTGAGCAACTATATCAGGCCGTTCGCCAGAAAAGTCAGTGCCCCACTCCGAGTCCAACACCCGCACCGGACACATTCGATGCAGACGCCATGCTTAATAATTATTTACAATCCTGCGAAGCGGTCACTACGCCCCGTTCTGAGTACTGCGAAGCCGTCGCCAGCTGTCAAGATTCCATTGCCAATGGTGACAGCTATGAACTCTGCCTGACTTCACAAAACATGATACATGCACGAAAACCTTCGACTTGCCAGAACACAAATGATAATAACGAGTTGAGTTGGAAATTATACAAGAGGCTCGCCAAGCAAAATCCAGCACCATTCGGTGCATATATGCGGATTCATAACGTCCACATTCTGAGTTCGTCTCCTGAGCGCTTCATAAGCTGGGACCGCAACGGCTGCTCCCAGTGCCGGCCCATTAAAGGCACCGTGCGGAAACATCCTAGTATAACCATCACGGATGCAAAGGCCATCCTCAGTTCTTCCAAGGAGCGCGCGGAGAATCTCATGATTGTCGACCTTGTTCGACACCAACTCCATGGCGTGTATGGCCCTGGAAATGTGCGTGTAAGCCAGCTCATGGAAATAGAGGAATATGAGACCCTGTGGCAGCTTGTGTCCGTTATTGATGCGGCCCCCCCTGGAGTAGAAAAAGCGAAGACGCCGGATGAGTGGGAGGAGCCGCAGGATTATGTATCGGGGACGAATGCTGAATCTAGGACTGCGACGTACGGATTCGATGCTTTTGTTCAAAGCCTACCACCAGGAAGCATGACTGGTGCGCCAAAGAAGCGTTCCTGTGAGCTTCTTAAAGAAATAGAGAAAGGACGACGCAGAGGCATATATTCTGGGGTGTTGGGATACTTGGACGTCGGTGGTGCAGGTGACTTTTCAGTCGTCATTCGCACCGCCGTGAAGGTTGACCAAGAAGGGCAAGAGGGGGAGGATACGTGGCGTATCGGAGCTGGTGGTGCGATTACCAGTCAGAGCACCGCGGATGAAGAATTTATCGAAATGGAAGGAAAGTTTCTCAGCACAGCTTCGGCGTTCCGGGACACATTCATCCGACGTTATGGCGGTGTTAGGAAGGATGGATCTGATAGACCTCTACCTCCCCTGGCTCAGTCGCCAGTGATTTTGGACTACTAGACTTTTAGACACCTCATGTGCGCTGCATCATTCTTCAACGAACATGCAGCAACCAGGACGAATTCGACTTCGTCCCCTTTCTCTCTCTAGCCACTGCGAAGACATGTGTAATCTTCAACCTAGCGCAAATATCTACATCCCCTCCCTGGGAGCTATTGAGGTGCACCACGATCATGCGCGACGAGTCTGGCCTGACTGTAAACATGACCCAGGGCAACGCTCATAAGCCTGCACAAAACACACCAGCAAGGGGAAGCTTTCTAATCATCTTTGTTTCCAATCCCCGACGAGCTGCTCTGATACTTTCCCAGACTCAGAATAGCGCATATCTAGGCGCAGAAAACAAAGCGCTTTGCCCTGCAAGAAAGCCTTTGATCACGTCCAGAATCAGTAGCTAGCAAGGGCAAGCATCTAAGACCTCCATTTTAGTTATTCACCCAAGCAGGCCTAAGTAGGTTTACAATCTTTCAGTACCTCTGCTCGCCTCTTCCTGTCTTAGCTCTCCGGGCTGGGACTAGTTTACGTTGTGCACCGATGGAGGTGCTCTAACTGCGGAAGAATGGCTATTAGCACATTGTGCCTTAGATGAAGTTAACGTGGTCTACCGCCCAAAGTAATTTGCTGACTCTTTTTGAATGCAGACTCTAAAGTTCTCACCCCATTTCATCCAAATACAGCGAAGGAAAGTAGTAATCACTTCTACTTCTATACTAATCCACGAGAGAACTAGATGCTTTTTTAGAGAATTATGGAACCAACTTTACATTGGAGAGCTACATCCACAGCGGGCCTAGTCTTCCGATATAGGTAGAAATATTGCTTCTAGGGTTGTTTACATTGGGCTCTGATTTTGAATTAAAGTTTTCAAAATAGAAGTAAAGAGTATACACTCTTATCTGAAGGTAAGTTTTGAGGTAGGTAGCCTTTGATTTGATATAGGATGTGAATTGCACGTGCAAGACCAATCCAGATGAAGGAGTAGTCATATTTGCAAACTGTCTTGAAACAAGTCTCTAAGCTATCTAATCAGCCAAGGTCAAGATACAGGAGTCTTACCAAGATGTAGTCGCTCTATCCTCACCCCCTTTCTCGCTCTCTTTCACCTCTCTCATGTCCTCCTCTCCTCACTCCCCTTTCTCGCTCTCTTTCCCCCCTCTCATGTCCTCTACTCACTCCCCTTTCTGGCCCCACCACCTTTCCGCCTCCTGCTCCTTCCAGGTATCAAAGGCGCCCTCAAAACGGGCCTTCATGGCCTTCTCGGCCGCCTCCTGCCACCTCTTGGTGAGGTATCCCTCCCCAAGGTCCTCCTGCCACTTCTTGACGTCACTGCGGAAGACGGTGGATCCAAGCTCGAGTTCCTTGGGCTTCTCAACCCCGCTAGCGCCGTCCGCGATCCGATTCAGGAGGTGGCAGTTGCTTAGCGTGCTAGGCAACATCGAGATGAGGTCGGCTTGATCCAGGGCACCGAGGACGTTCCAGGCGGCAGCCTCCATGAACAGGTGCTTAACCCAATTAGTATTACATAGTTAAAGGAGAAGGTGGATATGCTTACGTAGATATCGGCGGTAGCGAGCCTCGACTTGCTGTTCGTAGTGGCATAGACTGGCTCGAAGGCCTTGCTACCCTTGGGAGCGACACCCTCAGCCATCTTCTTGGTAGGCTCCTTGATATCAGCAAAGCGCTCGGGGGCCTTGCGATTGCGTGTCGGACGATTTGAAGCGGGGGCAGCGGAGAAGCGAGCCTTGGGAGCAACTTTGGTGCGCTTGGTCTTGATCGGAGATGGCGTGAAGTCGTGGTCGGCGTCGACGTCTTGAGAGCGACGTTTCTTGCTGGACACGGTGGACATTGGAGACGGCGGAACGTCTGAAATTGGAGACGACATGTCGGATAGTGGAGAGCATTCCTTTGAGGCAAGTGGTGTGGGTGATGGAAGATGGTTGCCGTTCGGCGAAGCAAGAGGGGAGCTAGGTGTCGTGAAGTTCGTTGTCTGGGGGGGAAGAGGATGTTGGTCTGGAGGAGCACCTGGCTGGGGGAGGAATCTGTCTTTCTATTAGGCTGGAAGGATCTGGAAGAAGCAATTGGCAGAATTATTATTTTTCTCAATAACCCTGTTGCTGCGAGAGTCGGAGATGGAGCGGGAGTGAAATTTTGAATAAGAGAATAATAGCAAGAACAATAGCTTTGAGGCGATTGAATAAGATCGATGTATTGTGAGTCACGAACGGGGTTTTTTCAAGTGGGAATCCAATAGGGAGCACAATAGCTAACTGTAGTCCCGCCCTCACGTGATCACAGAAAGTGCAGAGGAACCCTAGAGGGAGTGAAGATGGTGATGTCATAGGGCATTAAGAACATAAAAAGAAAGACGTACCGCACTGGGAGAGACATAGTGGAAAGGTCTCAAATGAACTTAGGGAGTAGAGGGGTTGAGGAGTGGAACCTGTGGTCGTTCACTGTAGACGTTCGCTAGGGGGGGACGCAATTCTGGAAAGTCCAGGACCTATTTAGCTCTAATCTGTGTCTCCGGCGGTGCGGCTCCACAGTCTTCGATTCTTTGGTGGTAAGAGACGGGGGATTGTTGTTCTCGTTGCTGATGATGGACAAGTCGTAAATGTCAGGCAGTCGGAAGTCTGAAGAATCTGGCCGGGAATTGTCTAGGTGTTTGCAAAACACAGTTCCAGCTTTGAGAAGGCGCCAAAAGCTCAAGGGGCCAAAGGCAATGGAAAATCAGCATGAGCTCTGGGCTGCGGCTTCCATCAAGCGGCGGCACAGAAGCAAGTGGGTGGGCGGAGTGGTGGAAGGTATCGGAGTGGGCCAAGCATGTTGTCCACAACCGTTGTTGCACAGGGTATGGTGGTTTCCAAGTATCCGTCAGCCTCAGCCCGGAGTGCAGAAGAAAGACATGTCTTGTGCAGAGAAAAGGCATGTCTTTGCTGCGTAGTGTGGGAATTTGCTGGTCGGTGGTCAAAGCTCCTCCGCGTACATTCCCGCTTCACTGAAGTTCCGGCCAAGCTCGACGTCAACACGTAGCCTCTGCAGACCCGCCACCGCGCTCTAGAAGTTGTACGCTTGCACCGGCGCAGCAGCTCTCTGGGAACCTTATCACTCTGCGCGCATAGCCATGATTCGGCACACGCTGATCTCGCGGCTTGACGGCGAGTCCCCTCCCCCAGCACTGTTCCGCACGGCGTGGACTGACAACGGCCAGGCCTCATTCTGGCGGCCTCGGTGGACGACGAAGAGGTAGACGCGGAATTTAACGAAGCCAAAAGCAAGATCAAGCTCGTCCTCCGCCGCTTGAGCCGCAATTCAGAGCCCCAAGCAAGCATAGAGAGCGGCAATTACACGTATCAGTGCGCTCTCCCTTCCCTACTGCGACCAAGTCGCGCCCATTGACTCTCCACAGCTACCTGATTAACGACAACCTGTGCTTTATCTGTATATGCGACCGCTCCTATCCTCGCAAGCTTGCCTTTACATACCTCTCGGACATCAGTTCCGAATTCACAACCATCTACACTCCTGCACAATATCTCTCAGCCTCATGTCGACCCTATGGCTTCGTCGAGTTCGATACCTTTATGCAGCGCACGAAGAAAACGTACCAGGATTCGCGTGCTACCCAGAATCTGGACAAGCTGAACGATGAGCTCAAGGACGTTACCAAGGTCATGACGAAGAACATTGAGGACCTGCTGTATCGGGGCGATAGCCTAGAGCGGATGGGAGATATCTCGAGCAGACTGAGGGAGGACAGCAGAAAATATAAGAAGGCGGCCGTGAGGATTAACTGGGAGCTGCTTCTAAAGCAGGTATGTTCAGCGATCCCTGGCTCGCAGGCCTCAAAGGCAAATATCTGACTGACCACGGCTGTAGTATGGACCGATTGGAGCTCTTGGATTCATCATCATCGTCTTCATCTGGTGGCGGTTTTTCTGAAGAGGCTTCATGCAAGGCATCTTAACCTTATGATTTAAGATTATGCGCGGTTCTTCTAGGAGAAGGAGAGGGATACCATAGAAGGCACAATAATACCCACACCTCATCTAAGTTTGGGCCCTTAGGCACGACATTGTTGCTGAATAAGCGACCTCCACTTGCTTCCCGCCGCGTTGAGATGACTCAGATGGTTTCACGTGCAGCGCTTCCAATTGGCTCAGTCTCCCATGGTCCGCCCATCAAATCTCAGAAGCCGGGGACAGCTTAGTAGGCCCGCTGCCACCAAAGCTAATATACAGCATCAGGGGGCCTAATGCGTCAACGTAGACGTATTAGCCCCCTTCTAGTATCCGCCTTCCCTGTTTTGGTATTTAGGGCGAATACAAACCCAGGGAAGACAAGAATGGTGCTGACGCGGGCTGTGCTTCCTGGTTGTCAGCATCGTGAATATATATCGTAACGAGAGCTACTTTCCTACCCCGACTTCTGATCTTGAAGACCGAAGGGACTTCACCCCTGCTAGGCGAACCTTGGAAGATTTGATGTGTACTTGCTTGGACAGCTTGTTAAGACTTTACTGTGCCTTCGACAGCCTCAGACGTTTGCAAAAGCCCTTACATCCTACAGCCGATTACCATGTCGAAGCCAGTCATCGTTGTTATCCCAGGCGCTTGGCATACCCCAGCAGTCTTCGAACCCGTGAAGAGGAAGCTCGAAAGCGACCATAGCTACACAGTTCTTTCCAGCAAGTTGCCCTCTGTTGGCAGTAACCCTCCTCCCGAGGATCTTTCCAAGGACGTCGAAACATTGCGCAAGCTCGTGACTGAGGCGATTGGGAACGGCAATGATGTAGTCGTTGTGCCCCACAGGTGCGCTCCCAGTCCTTGTCCTCCACAGCATGTCGTCTCTTAATATCTTTTGCTGACTCTCGCATAGCTGGAGTGGGATTGTGGCAGGCAGCGCTCTGACAGGCATGGGAAAGAAGCAACGAGAAGAGAATGGTGAGAAGGGAGGTGTAACGCGGATTGCGTTCATGTGTAGCTTCATTGCTCCAAAGGGCGTGAGTCTACTGGACGCTATTCAGCATGTGATCCCAGATTGGTGGGAGGTTAAGGTAGATGCACTTCTCATCACCCTCCCCCTAGTGTCTGATTATCAGATAGGAACCTCACACATTCGCCAAAGACGCTGAAATTTTCTACAACGACCTCCCGGTATCTGAGCAGCAGCACTGGATGTCCCTTCTCGAATCCCATGCGTTTGCAACCAAGAAGGCCAAAGCAACTGCGAACGCTTGGATGGAGATCCCGAACTCATATCTGATGTGCGAGAATGACAATGCGATTCCGATTTTCGCACAAGAGCTGATGGTCAACCAGGCCAAGCGCATGGGTGCCGAGTTCGAAGTAGAGAGGATCAAGTCCAGCCACAGCCCATTCTTATCTCAGCCGGATAGGGTCGTGGAGTTCATCCGTCGTGCTGCTGGGGAGAAGATTTGATTTAGATGACGGAGAGTGAATGGTTCGAGGAGCGGTCCTCTGGCCGAACCGAGTCTTCAAAGTGTCTCTCGACAGGGAAAATGCGGATTACATGAGCCTTGCCTCTAGATACGTATATAGGAACACCCTCCCATACATCTAACACAACCACATCCCCTCTACTCTACGATGTCTCTTTACAAACAATTTAGTTCAAGTATTGAACCCTTGTAAAGTAAAGCGGGGTGCAAAGAACACGCGGGGCAACACCTTTAACTCCGAAACAGAGCTTCGCCCCACTGGCAACCCCGACAGCTTTCGGATCCCCAATAGCCTTCTCCACTCTTCGTACTCCAGTCCCCTGCGGGACTCAGAGCACCTCTTTGCTTATCATTATTTGAAATCCCAGTCAAATAAATATGCTGATAGCCCTCCCTACATCCTCTCTCTTACAATTACCATTAATTCAACCCTCCCGTCATCCCTACTACGCTTCACATCATGACCACCGCTCCCACAGCAGACTGGCAAACAGTCGCCGCCTTAAAGCGCGATGCTCTTTCCAAAAAGATACCAGTGGGGTGGCGCATACCTTCCTCAATTCTGGACCAGGTTTCGGAAACATCAACTTTGAACGTCCTAAATATCCCCCGTGAATGTGGACTTCTCACAGAGCAAGAGCTAGAACTAACCGAAAACTACGATGCTACAGCTTTGATTGAGTTGATGAGTGGCGGGAAGGTCAAAAGCTACGATGTGACACTTGCATTTTGTAAGAGAGCAGCCATTGCGCAACAGCTAGTGAACTGCTGTACCGAGATTATGTTTGAGGAGGCACTTGTTCGAGCGAAACAGTGTGATGATTATCTTGCGAATGAAGGGAGGCCAATGGGTCCTATGCACGGTCTACCGATTAGTTTGAAAGTATGTGAGCGAATTCTCTTAGTGCCATGCATGGATTCTACAGAGATGCGGCTTTCTAACCGAGGGAATACCATAGGATTCATTCAATGTAAAGGGCATCCACACCACGATAGGTTATGTGTCCTTCATCTCACACCCACCCGCAACATCCAATTCCGTCCTCGTTGACATCCTCTTTCGTCATGGCGCTGTCTTCTATGTGAAAACCAACCTACCGCAGTCCATGATGACGGCTGACTCGCACAACAACATCTTTGGAAGGACCCTTAACCCCAACAAGCTCTGTCTCACAGCTGGCGGAAGCACGGGTGGCGAAGGGGCGCTGATCAAAATGCGGGGATCAGTGTTGGGATTGACAACTGATGTCGCAGGTTCAAACCGGATTCCCGCACTGTGCAATGGAATTAGTAGTTTCAAGCCTACAGCAGGCAGAATTCCGTTCGGAAGGAAGGTACCTCCCGGTAGGGTGGGCAGTCCCGGGAGTATACTGCCGGTTATCGGGCCGGAAGGGCATAGTGTCAGGGACTATGAGCTCTTCATGAAGACAACAATCGATAGTGAGCCCTGGGATTTCGACGAGAATACTTTAAACGTGCCATGGCGGCGCGTTGAGCCCTTCAAACGACCATTGAGGTTTGGTTTAATTAAGGGACACCCGAAGAGGCCACTTCATCCGACTATTGCTAGGACATTGCACAGTGCCGCGACGCTGTTGAAGAATGCGGGACATTCTATGTTCCTGATGGATGAGAAAATTCCAGATCTGTGGGATAATGCCTTGTTGACATGGAAGTACTTCCTGTTGGACCCGAAGAGGACCCCTGTTCAGTATGTCAATGCATCGGGAGAACCCTGGGTGCCTTCGATCAAGACAACTGCGTTTCCGGAGTTGGTCGGGTGGCAGGCATCGCTGGATGATCTGTGGGATATGAATGTGGCACGCGCGAAGGTGTTGAAGGCGTACCATGACTTGGTTGTGGAGAACAAGCTCGATGCTATTCTGATGCCGGGGTATCAGGCAACGGCGGTCCCACATGATACATTCGGTGTTCCTATCTACACGATGTTGCAGAATCTGCTTAATGTGAGGGAGGGACATTGCTGAGAAGACCTTAACTGACGTGCTCAACAGTACCCTTCCGGAATCTTGCCACACCTACAAGCGAACAAGCAGTTAGATAGACCGTTTATTGATAAGAACGCCGTGTACGAGCCGCCCTGTACGTCCTTTCTAAGTACCACATGCTTGACTCTTAGCTAACATGTTTCAAGATGACCCGGAGATATTAGAAGGGGCACCTGGGGCAATTCAAGTGATGGGGAAGCCGATGAAGGATGAAGAATTGGTGGAGATTATGAAGGAAGTTGAAGACATCCTGCGAAAGGCCTCTTAAGCAACATTAGATGAACCCAATCAATAGTGTGTCATAGACGAGAAGGAAATAGTGGTATACCTTTCCATTCACGGACCAAATTCCTCGACGTTGTTTCACTACACATTTTGCACTAAGTAGTTAATCCCGCAATTAGATGATCCTTGAGCAAAGAAGGAAGCCTAGGGATACAATCAATGGCAGAGAGGGGCTGACGGCCTCTGGTTTGCGTCAATACCGTCTTTTACGATACTCATTGTCGGGAGACCTGCTCCGCCGTCGTTGGAGCTGCTCTTTCGACTGTGGTCGCTCATCGTCAGCGTACCGTCTGGGATGGCGATCTTCGTCTCTTTGCCGGCGGTCGCGGCTTCTTGAGCGGTACCCATGTCTGTCATGGTCTCGATGCCTCCGCTTCTCTCTGGATCTTGAGCGGTCTCTCCGCCTGTCATAGCGTTCTCTTGACCTGCTTCTAGATGGCCTCCGCTTTTTGTGGCCTCTGTTTCGGTCGCTGTGTCGGTCTCTGCGGTCGCGGCTTCGTTCACGCTTGCTTCGATCTGGATCACGCCATGCTTGACCTTCTAAAACATCGCCTTCTCCCCCAGGGACTGCACCAGCCCTGCCGCTGTATCCATTATAGCCGACGCCTTTCGCGCGCTCCTCAGGCCCGTCTTCGGCAGCAATCTCAGCCATAGCGCGTTCGACATCGGCATCGCTTGCCTTCTTCCCCAACGGCGTCAGATTCGCGTCAGGTACTCCGCGTGTTGGAACCGGAAGGCCCATGGCTGCCAACATGGCATCTTCTTCAGCCTCTTTTATGCGGCGTTTCTCTTGTGCGAGCTTTTCGGCAGCGGACTGCGGGTCTGGGTCGTCACCTCTCGCATACCAGTTAAGATCACGACCGTTTTGCCAGCGGCCGACAGCTGTGGATATTATAAGCAGCCGTGGGAGAGAGATCGGGGGGTGACATACGGGCCATCAAAGAGTGGCCGAGATAGTTCTCGCGCTGGGCATCCGTCTTGACGTCTTCCCATTTGAATTCGGCGCGGCCTCCGCTGCGACACAAAATTAGCGCTCTAGTGTTTCGAACCAGAGGGGCCCTACGTACCGGCTGCCTTCTTTGCGGACAGTCTGTACAAGATCCATGGTTGTGGTTGCTGCGGTGTGAAACGAAGGATGGTTGTGATGCGGAAGGTGCAGGGTAATCGCCGAGGCTTGGCGGCAGGAGCTCCCCGCGTCGGTTGAGCCTCAGCCCAATTCGCGACCTCTACCTCCCCTTAGCTTCGGAGGGCTGGACATTATAGCTATGGCCTCACAACCACCTCCGCTCGATGAGCAGGAGTGGAGCAGCCCGGCCTCGTTTCTCGAGCTTCCGGGCGGGAACCTCAATTCGGAATCGATACTCTGGTACTTCATGAACTCCATCTTCTACGAGGCAGGCGCGAACAATACGGCTGTGGTGCAGACTGCCCACCAGTCCCAGAACCAGCGCATTCTCAGCAGCCGCAAAGCTTTCGAGGATGAGCTGAAGAACATGCAGGGCACCGCGTTCCTCGTTGCCGCCGAACCCCAGGCGCCGGGACAGCCGTGGGTTATTCAGAGGCAGCACCGGGAGAAGGTCAACGAGAACGGCACCTCGAGGATGCATGTGAAGGTGACGGCCACCTACTATACGGTTGGCGACAAGATCCTCATGTCGCCGAACATGCTAGATATCCTGCAAGCGAGAATGCTCTCTATCACCACCAACATCCAAGAATTCTTTGACTTGGGGAGAGCTATGTCGCACTTCGCACCTGCAACCGGCCACACGTACCTGCCGGCTTCCTACGAGACCACCAAGGCGGCCGTTACGGGTTCGGCGAGCCGAGCTGGAAGTCCTGGCGCTGAGTCTGTTGCCGACGGCTCCCAGATGGCGGTTGCGCAGCCTGCCGAGACCTCCATGACCGAATACAACGACGACTTTTTCATGCGCTCATTGAACATGGTCAACAGGTACGGCCACGAGTTCATGGACGAGAACCCTCTCCAGGGCGAGCCCGGCGCCTTTGTCTTCACTAGCACTAAGGAACAGGTCGACGCAAGGAACAAGGCTCAAGCTGCTGCCCAGGCCACGGGCGCTACGTTGGCACTCCCAACCAAGCCGGCGGAGGGTGAGAGCGCAGTAAGCACGGCCGCTCCAACACCAAAGCCTCTTGCCGCAGAGCCACCGCCTAGGAAAGGGAGCATTGCAAAAGTGCCAAGGCTACCTGGGGAGAAGAGGAGGAAGAGCAGAGGCTTAACAAGCCCAACGAGTCCAACAGGATCACCGCTATAGCCTAAAGGGCTTGTATTGTCTTTGTAATGTAATGATACCCGACAGCAGGTTTTGGCGTTTGGGATAGGAAAACTGTGGGAGCTGCGAGGCATTCGTGTACCTAGATAGAGTAAGGGACATTAGGGAAACATCGAAACCTCTCTGGTAGCATACAGATACTCATTGCGCTATGACCCCCGTTCCATATAAGAATTGCCTATACGTTTGAGGCAGTCATGCGACTACGTACGCTGCTCTTCTTGCTTCATCCCAAAATCTAAACCAGCCCTATACTCCCACATTCCAACCTCCATGACCCGTCAAAGCCCTCAACGCTAAGGCGAAACCCCTTCGTCCTCGATCCTCTTCATCTCCTCACCACGCCCACTCGGCACATATATAAGCCCATTCGGCACATCTCCAACATCTCCAGCATGCTTCCCATCTCTCCTCGTACGCCGGCTCGTGCCTGTCATAGATCTTACACAACTCCAGCACTGAGATCTTTTAGACTTCTACTTGTTTGTGGGAGGCGTCTGTATAGATACGTCCGTGTTCGTCACAACAGCCAGCGCGTATCTCTTATGTCGAGGGTTGATTTGTGGAGCGCAATGATCCTGTAGAAGAGAGCGCCAAGGTTGTCGGCAATTCCATACTTGCTGACGGGAGATTGAGTGAACGGGTCTGGTAGTAAGGCGGTGATGTAGTGAACTCCTTCCTGCGTAGCCGCGATGTCGTCCATGTTATAGATGTGCCGGCTCCAATACTCAATGCTGTTGAAAGCGCCGCTAGTGCGAGGGATGAGACAAGGCAGGTCCATGAACACATCTATCTTCGGTCAGTCATTTAGTGCAATTAGATCACTTCACTCCTCCCCCTGATAACCGGAGTCTCCACAATAACATTCGCGTAGAAACCGTCTCCGCTTCAGCCTCCATGGTAGCATTCGTAACCCCCGGCTCTTTCATAAAATTCATGTCCCGTTGATGATTCTATGGACACTGTGAGTAATATCGTATTTTTGACTTCGACTTCCCGATCCATTCGGCGTGGTGAAGCCGCAACGGAAGCCCTTGCCCATCGAGAAGCACGAGCTAGTTCCAGCCATGACGGCCAGTAAGCTTTGTTTGATGTCCAGGCGTGGGAGCCAAGATGCAGGTACAAAGGTGAAGCATGGTGGGCAGTTGGAAAAGTTCGTCACCACATCACGTAATAAATGCAAAGTGAGCAAAAGTTTGAGTGGGTAAATCCAGGTTCAGGTCAACCTACCTGAAACCATGGATACGAGTCTTGACTAACTAATCATCCCTCCAGTTGAATCGAAATTGAAGAAACCCTTCCAAAGTCCTGTCCATCAGTACAGTTTGCAATGCATCCCATTGGCCTCAGAAGACAAAAAGGGTTTCTTTCCCAGAACCACCCATGCAACCTGAGAATTCCCCAATGCTCCCAATTCGCAAGTAACAAAGGAAAACGAGCCAGCGACAGGAAATTCAGGTTTGAGTAGCAGACGGGAAAAAGGGAAATGTGGTATCTCTAAAGCTACAGACTGGTAGAAGAAACCTGAAAAAAGGTCGAAGGCTGAAAAGTGTTAAAGGGTTTTGATCTGTCCAAAAGAAAAAAAAAAGGGATGAAAAGTGTCAAGACTACAAGTGGAGGTCATTCCAACCTCCAACCCACTCCAGGTCGCCAATATCATCGTCCAAGAGGTTTGGATGCTGGCGCCAATCCTTACTCACACTCCAGTTGCCCTTTCGTTCCAAGACGCCATTGTCGAGATGACTGGGGCCCCAATGAATTTGACGTCTCCAGCTACCAGTCCGGCTTCGCTTCCTGGCGGAGGTCGGCGTAGGTTGAACTTGCTTTGGTGGTTGTTTTACAGCCTTTTGGGGTGTTTGCTGCTGACCGCGCCGGCGGTCACCAAGAGCGGCCCATTTGTCTACAGTGGAACGCTTTGAAGGAGGCGAGTAGCGAGGCACGGTAGGTGTGTGCTCCTCGAAGATGAAACCGGTATATTCGCTAACACGCTCATCCACACGACGGTTGGTTTTGGGGGAACGGCTCCTGCTGTTGTTGACGATGGCAGGGTTCTTCATCTCGGAAAGACCGCCACGCGGAGTGGAAACACCTGACCCGGACTCGGCTTTGTCCCACTGCTTCTCCTTCTTGAGGCCACCGAAAGGAGTATAGCTATTCTCGATCTCAGCAATGGTATGTGCTTCTTCTTCTTCTTCGTCCCAAAGATCGCTCCAGCTCTTGGAGATAACATCGCGCTTCTTGCCAAACACTGATGCCAGGCTGTTGAAAGGTCTGGCGGCATTGGCAGGAAGAGAGCCAGAGATTGGTACGGGCCTAGACCGGGCAATTGTGATCGGGGCGGGTTGGGCGACACCAGTAGATTTGAACGAAAGCCCCAAACCAGAGTCGACGAATGAGACGGTCGAAGCATTGTCTGGTTTGATGTCGAACCACTCGTGGCTTGACCGTTCAGAACCAGGGAAGAGGTCCTCTGAATACACTTCGGTGTCTGGAATTGCCGACAATTGACGGATAGGTTGAGGTGGGGACATGGCGAGAGCCTTGGCCCATGGGAACGACCCACCCTGATCCAGCTGAGGCGTGGAAACCGAAGGAGTACGAAGGGGCTCGCGGTTCGCACTGGCAACAACGGGCTCCCGCTCTTCGGTGCAAAACTCATCAAGACTTTCGTCGTCTGTGGTGAAGCTAAGGACGCGGTAGAGAGCCTCTTTGACAAAAGACAGGTCGCGCTTCTCGGGGTCGATGGCCAAACAATGAACCAAGACCTCGAAAGTATCTTGGGACATATTCGGGAACACATCGAAGAGTGTTTGTCTGTCAAGGGCAAAGTCCGCGTAAAGAGGATCCGAGGCCGCCGGAATAGCGAACGGATTGCGAGAGAAAAGAACATTCAACAAACAGATGCCAATAGACCAGATGTCCGCTTTGGCAGTGGAGTAGCCAGCGTTTGATGGGTCATATTGCTCGGGAGCCATATATCGATCGCTGCCCACAGCCACCTCGTAGGACCAGGGACTTGTAGTTGCGAGCCCAAAGTCACCAAGCTTCACGGAGCCGGATTGGGAGAGAAAGATGTTCTCCGGCTTAATGTCTCGGTGATAGATGCCATTCGAGTGCATATACTCGACAGCATCTACCAATTCAAGCATAAAGTCGCGGACGTGCTCGGTCTCCTTTGGGCCTTTACCTAGACGAATAGCCTCATATAGATCGCCGTTCGAGCAGAACTCCAGAACAAGATAGGTGTGATTCTGTGTTTCAAACGATTGGAGGAGGTTCACGACGTTGGGGTGCAAGCCCATGCGAAGGTGGATGGCAAGCTCTTCTGAGTGTTCGTCTACTGCGAAGAGAGAAGGGCAGGTGTTGGCAGCTGACGTCTTGGTGAGGCATTTGATTGCAACGTGTTCGCCGGTTACGAGGTCCTTGGCCTGGAACACCATACCGAAGGACCCATGGTTGAGAGGAGAGATTGTTTCATATCGTCCATTAAGCACAACACCCTCCTTGAGCTGGTTGCGCATACAATCCATAAGGGTGGCTCGAGGACAGATAGAGGATCAGCTAGCCAGAGGTTCCGAAAATAGACCCGATGGCAGAGAGCCGGAGTGCCAAAGTGGAAAACTGACAGCGGATGAGATGTGAGAACGCCAAAATAAGGACCGGAGTCGTAATCAAACAAAACGGTTGATCGGAGAACCAACCCGTGAAGCGAGGAGCTATGGCACTTTTAGGTGACGACAGAGCTTCGAGGAAGATAACAATAAATGGATATGATGGAAGTCCGGGACGAGAGAAGTAAATCACAAGGCAGAAGTGGTGTCGTCAAGTAAACAGGCTGCAGGTGCAGTTGGCCGCTCCAAGGAATCCGAACACAAGATAGGAAAAGTCGTCGGGAGTATGCACAAAGGGTCCGTCGACGGGTAAAGACAAGGAAATGGTCAAGAGAATGTGGTGCTCATTGAATGTATTAATTTCGTAGGGATAACCCGGATCAACGAGCGGTGGGAAATGAAAAGAGGGTGTCGTGTGGAGGTTCTGGACGTCCGGAAAACAGTACGAGAGGAGATCGCTGCGTGATAGAAGAGGAAATCGTGACACGTGGAGGGGCGTAGGATGAGGTCGACAGGATACGGTTGCCTTGGTCGAGGGTTATCGTCGAAGCGTGAGTCAGCGGCACAGGCTCACGGAAGCAAAGGATCGGCGAAGTCCGAAGGTGCTTTAGTTGGCGGCTTTCACTGGAGGAGTGGCTTGATCGATAGGAGCATCAAACACGCAGTCCAAGAAGCTGAAGAGTGCGCGGCTTATGGGACGGACTCGGTGGGTGATGGGACGGCTCAGAGCATTGATGAGGGGCGTGTTGAGGTCCGATGATCGCCAGCAACAGGTAGCGTTAACACATCAATGCAAAGTCCGGAGGCGACGGATAGATGGTGGAGTAGATGAGTTGGGTGGTGGGCAAGTGGAGATGGATGAAGCTTGCGAGGAGGAGAGGCGAGGGAGGGTGCGTTGTTGTTGCTCGTCTAGCAATGCAGCAGTGGTTGCGAGGGTAACGAAGGAATGGGCGGCGAGGCTATTAAGGGCAGGAAGAGGAAGGAAGCAGGAGGAAAGAGGACAGAGGACAAGAAGGAGGGTGCTGGTTGCGCAGACGGCACGACGACGACGAGGGAGTGGCGGTTGTTGTGTTATTCAGGACATGGCAGTTCGAGTTGTGGTGGGTAGAGCAAGCTTCGAAGGGTGCGAGGGAGCGGTAAGTGTATATGGGGGGGGGCAGTGGCCTGGGCTGCCCTTGCACGCACTGCTCGGCGAGCGAGGGCTTGAATTGGCGGTGACTGCTGGGCTGAGCAGCCAATGGATCGTTCTTGCCTTTGTTGGACGCGTTGGTCGGCACCCTTGCAGGCGCACTAGGCTGAAGGCGGCATAAATCAATGTAAAAGTAGTATCTGGGCAGTGACGATGCACACCCTGGCACTAGCAAGCGCCACACTGGCAGGTCTCGGTCCAATAATCGGACTCTCCCAGGCCTGGCCTGTTTCTGCGCTCTTCTCTCCTCTTCGCTGCGCTTCTGCCGCCGTCTCCCATCACTTCATTGCTCGAACCCGTGGACAGCAACTGATGACCAGCCCCGTGGCATGTCCCATTCTTCCGCTGAGCCCTTTCACCACCGTTGCGTGATGCTCGTAGCCCCGACTCGGCTCCTGCGTGCGGCATGCCGTGGGAGACTCCAAGCTTGGAGACTGCGAGAAATGACGCTGCCCGGACAAGCAGCGCGCGCCTGAAACATGCTCCTTGCTTCACCTCCCTCATCGACCATGGGCGGACAGGGCTTCTGGCGTGATGACAGGAACCTCCACCCTGAGTCTGTCCGCCCACCAGATCCGCTGATCGCGACACTCGTGGGTGCTGATCAGCAGAGACGTCAGCCGGCTTTGACTCTCCCCAACGCGCCGCGTCTTGTGAACGCGCAAAGCCGCCTCAACTGCCAGGTGGCCTCCAATTGGCCTTAGGCACCATTATACTCATCCATCATTCTTAACAGTCATCCCTCGACCACACTAACCCCTCGCCAGCTTGATATCGCCATTATCGTTCATCTCCCAGACTCACCATTATTTCCCACCCCGCTGGCTCTTTGATTGCCTTCATCCTATTACTGTGCGTTGATCTCTTCCTACCTGTACGTCTCAGGGGTTGCTTGGCTGCTTTGAACACCTGTCCCGATTCAGTAGGCAAGCGTTTCATTCATGTTAGCGCTCGCCCCACCCGAGCCTTCTTTGGTCTGCACCCCTCGAGTTCCGCATCAGTGCACGGCCAGCGGGTAGCAGCCGCAAATGTCTGGGGAAAGCTCCCAAACTTCTGTCGTGTTCTCAATAATAACCGCTTGCAGCTGAGCCTTCTGTCTGTCCAAATGCAACGCATATCGTGGCTCCTGTCGACGAGCAAGAATATGACTACAGCGAAGATGAAGCAAAGTCGGTGTAGACGGCTCTAGACAAATGGGCGGCAGTGAAATGTTTCCAAGCGTATCCTCTTGTCCCCTCAACTTTTTGTTTGCTTCTCCGGCCTCGGAACTCGTCCACAACGACCTGGTCGAAGTTCTGTAGTACAAAGGTAGCCACGCCAAATGCTGCTTCAGAGATGCTGCAGGAGGCGTGCATAGTTAGCGTGGGCTAGACATGGATTGCCAGGAAGTGCACGACGCTCTCGCCACCACCAAAGCACACTCGAGAGCGCTACTGCAGGTAACATGCGTTGCCATGCCCACTTCGTCCCTGAGTTCTGAGGGCGGTGAAGCGTGACAGCAAATATCCGCCAACAACTCATCGTATTTTCGGCCTTTTCGACCTATGGCATTTCAAACAATTTATCGACAAGGGACCAACCAACTCCTTCATCGAAAGAAAGGAAAGAGGTGGGCCTCCCGCTACCGCCTCAAAGTTTATCTGCATGTCGACACATGGAAGTCCTGGTGTGAAGCGGTCACACAAGTCAATGAGTGTTCCCTAGCATCCGATTCAGTGCGCCCAATGGTTGGTGAAGTTGTGCGTTCCGCCATCTCAACGCTCCAGCAGCCGAACGAACAAAGAAAACATAAACTGCAGTACAAATGAAGGAAACAACAAAGGCGTTCACTCAGGCAATCTGCGCTTCCACCCTCTTCGTTCTGCCGTCCAACATGCAAATTTTTTTAGGACCATCAAGCCTCGTCTTCAAGGTTCGCAACTGCCAGTTCGGCAAACTAGTTTCTTGCTCGTGGTCGACATCTACCACCACTCGCAGTCTCTTGACCGCTATGTCTTGATTTTGCACCCTCAAATCCACTTCAAATATTTGCACCAACCAGCGCACGACGCCGACAGAATTCCAGCTGAAATAGTTCATTGATCAGAAAATTTTCCCCTTCACCGCCCCTCACCGCTTCCATTAAGAACAATCCACAACAATCAACAACAATGTCTGCCGCCACGCTCGACCGCGAGCGATGGAAGAACGCCGATACTGTGCTCCTCGACATTGGTGAGTTTGTCGCACAACCCTCGCTCTCGCCTTCGACTTCTCTTAGGAGGGCAAAAGCAAATTCTTCACACAGCCATCCAGCCTTCCGAGCCTGCATGCGGCTGGTCTGGTCTGGTCCAGGCCGCCATTCGATGCACAACAGAATCACCTTGGCAAGACACCACGCGCCATCTTGTTGTTGCGTTCTGCTTCTGTCACCCAGCTGCTACCCCAGATTCTGCTCGCGCCACTGCACATTCCACCACCCAGGTGTCGTGGCTGGGCCCAAAGACAGGCGAAATTGTTACTCAAGACTGACACTTTTCTGCTTCTAGAGGGCACCATCTCAAGCATCTCCTTCGTTAAGGATGTTCTCGTAAGCTTAGCTTTCTTCCCTGCATTTAGTCATTGCAAGCTGGCTTCATATGGCGTTTCGTCCAACCCCGCAATTGGAGGGCGTGTGATCAACTCTCTCCAGCTCGAATCGGACCACAGACGGCCCGCGCTTCCATTTCTCTGGGTCACTTCCGGCAATCTTCAAGCCACTCATTTCCACTTCAAGCCTTCGCTCTCTCCTGAACTTTGCTTCCTTTCGTGATCTCCAGTCTTCTGTTATCTGTCACGAGGCCTCTCTGAAAGAGGGGTAGCTCCCGTTTTCCACTCCATACTCACGATATCGCAGTATCCGTATGCGCTGGAACGTCTCACAAGACTAGCCTCCGACTCATGGAATGACCCAGCCTTCCAGGACCTTATTGTGGGGTTCCCAGAAGAGACACGGCCAGATGCCGAGACGCTCATTTCGCACGTCGAAGATCTGACGCAGAGGGATATCAAGGCAGTGTACTTGAAGCACCTGCAAGGTAGGTTCTTCTTGGGTTTCTTTCCTTCGGAACTTGCGTTTACGTTACTTCTTGGACTACATGGACTCCATTTCCAGCATTCTCAGGGCCCTTCCCTGGGATGTTCACCACGCAGCCGCGATCCCCGCTATATGATGGAGGAGATCGGGGTTGTGTGATAGGATGCTGCAGAGCCAACCGGTGGGAAATATCCCTGTTATACTTCGCTTCTGCTTTTACAGTACCCTAGTGGTGCCGAGTCGTTGCTCCTCTGTGCCATCATCATTAGTCGTCCACATTCGTTTACCGCAGCTATATCAGAATATATCTATATTATCCCGTTTCACGTCAATTACATTTCACGATAATATTAAACATTCCCACAGCCCGTCACTATAACTAATCATTCCACAGGCATCCTCTGGAAGACCGGTTATAGCAATGGCGACCTCAAAACCCCGCTCTTTGACGATGTCACCCCAACACTGGAGTCTTGGAAAGATGCCGGCAAAACACTCGCCATATTCTCTTCTGGTAGCGTTCAGGCTCAGCTCCAGTTCTTCTCATATGTTGAATGTGGATCAAGTACGCAGAATCTCAACCCTCTCTTTTCTGCGAACTTCGACACCGTGACCGCGGGCTCAAAGCTAGAGAAAGACTCATATGAGAATATCTGCCTCAAAATTGGGAAAGAAGCTGCAAAGGTTGTCTTTCTCACCGACAACGTTAAAGGTATGTTACTTGTGAGCTCATCCAGTTGTTTAAGGACCCGTGTACCGTTCGAGCAACCTGCTGTCCTCTACAGACACTTGTTACACCATGCCTCTTCATGAAACAACCGTACTCGCCCTCGTGCTTCATCTATTTCCGAAAGACAATATCTCATTCTGCTCCCCTCATCCCAAAATCATCGACCTCTTTAGCCTAGGTTCTTGATCTGCAAACACTCTCCAAAGGCTAAGCTCGCTACCAATCTTCTCCATTATCTTGCGTCTTGCCATTAACTTCCCAATACCGATCGCCGCCTTCTTCCCAATTTATAAACCTCCCTTCTTTTCACCATGACTAGCTCGAGTGGACAGAACTAACGATAAGTCGCAGAGGCATTAGCCGCTACTGCTGCCGGTATCTACACCATCCTCACCGACCGCCCCGGCAATGCACCTCTTTCTGCCGAAATAAAAGAGGAGTTTGCGGTCATTCGGAAGCTGACGGACTTGCCGTAGTCCATTTATGGTCTTGAAGAATGGCCTAAGATGAGTGGTTGGGTAGAGGACATTTCAGGGGAAAGGAATGGAGGGATGAAATATGTTTCACATGCAGTGAGAGACCGAGTGAGGGCACATTCTTTGCTTAATCGGCCATGAATGTATCTTCCAACTAGTGGCTCTCATGCTAAATAGACACCCGTTGTCGCAACTATCACGAAGCAGATATCCAACAGTATCCCTTTTCCTTTGCTACACCAAAGTCAAGCCCTCCAATGGCGGTTTGTAGAACCAGAGCCATGTTCTTTCCTTAATCGACATATACTTAGATCAACCATCTGTAAAAGCACAGAAACAGCGCCATGTCTCCTCTCTCTTCCACCAACGTCATGAATGTAGCACCTAACTCGAAATGTGACAATTACTTGCTCGAATCCTTCCTCACCTCGCCCTCGACCCTCCGAGAGTTCATGAAATCCCATTTGCTATGCTTATTAAGCCACTTTAAGTCTCGTAGTTTTTTTCTGGTACTTCAAAAGACAGGAATCAACCGTTCCTTCTTCATACTACTATACCTCTCTTCTCAAAACTTGTTCCACATTACGAAATCTATACATTCAGTGTTTTGATCAAATGCCGAAACCCATAGCAGGTCATAGCAAGGAGCTTATTTAAGATAGAAACTTATATCCTCTTTATCCTCATCTAAATTAAATTGCAGCGAAAAGTTTGACAGGTCAAGCCCACTCTATCCCACATTCGGGGCGAATATGTGGTAGATATCGAGAAAGTTATAGAACCACCTATTTGGCCTACTATAAAACATAACAGTAGACATTACTTAGTGCTATGGATTACCAGCTAGAGTCTGATTTTAGATAGAATCTGTATCCCCTTTATATTCTTGCACAAATACTCGCGCGAGATGGGACTGATAGGACTAATTACACTTAGTTCCTATGTTTATGCTCTAATGATGCACACTGATAGGCTTATGTACGCTTGCTTTATTTTACAGACTGGTTTAGAAAGAGATGAACTTGTCAAAGTTAACTAATAGAAATAGTACTAGCATCAATGGGATTACAAAACATCATAAACCCTTTTCCTCTCCCATAGGGTGCGTCAATGGCATGGCCTTTAGTGGCATTCCTCCTAGGGCCATTCTGCCTTCATAAAATGGTTCCTGGATCTGTCCTTTGCGGTACCGTCGTCAAACCGTGTTTGGGGTATAATTCAATATAATCGTATCCATATACTAAGAGAATTAATCCTCCAAATTTACGTTTAGCAATATTTCAGCTCAGCTGTGGTTGGTGTACCTCAAGTGTTGAAAACATCACACGAGTGATTTCCACAGACCTGGCAACTGCAACCACCTGACAAGAGAGCAGAATTTTGTCCATTTCCCTTTGCTAACACCCGTGTATCCTGCCACCTTCCCGCCAGATAATGTCTCTAATCCTATCCCTAGTTGCCGCTTAAAAAAAAAAGTGAATAAAGAGGGAAACATAAGAAAGAAAGAAGGAACAGGAAACTAAAGTGTTACAGTTGGACATCTCCAAAGTGCTAGCCCCCTGAATCTGGCATTTTCCCTTGTTCGCTTCCACTCCATACCATCCAACACCTCGAGCTATCAGCCACGTATTACGCTCCTCAAGCCGTTGAACACCCCGATCAGCTTATGCAGAGGTAATGGTGGTTTAATCCGTGATCCTCCAAGTGCTGAACCACTTCAAATGACTCCACTGACTGCTTGGTCCCTCCATGCCAAAGCAAATTGCCCTAAACAGCCAGAAAAGGCCCACGATAGCCACATACAAGGCTCCGAAAATCGCCCAATTGATCTGTTTATTCAATTTCCTCGTTGCCCAATCCATACAGAATCCCGCCGTTAAGATGGCAAAGTACAGGGCTGGGTAATAGTGGTGAACGTATGTTACACGACCCATGGCGACGAAGGGGAGGTAGTGCAGGAACCAACCAATTACGGGGTATACACCAGCGTAGTGAATTTGGTCAATATCGGCAGGTTTGAGGTCATTGTAACCACGCTGCCAGCGTATAAGGTACCAGAGGACCATTATACCGAAGATGCCGAGGCTAGCCGTGCTGCCCCAGTACACAATTGGGTTGCCTAGGAGGAAGTATTTGACGACTAATAGCTTGATTAGCATATAACACACTGCGAATGAATATGAGGAAACTTACTCTTGTCATCCCAGCCGCACATGCGAAGACCAACATGGAGCAGTGGCCACTGCCAGAACTGGGAAGCGAGATCATCCTGCTTGTCTGGGTCGGGGACAAGGGCGTTGTTGGATGTCATCATTGCAACGTTGAGATGGATGAAGTCTTGAAGAAAGGGTGATTTATATGACCCTGGATCACCGGGAGGAACTATAAAGCCGTTAACACCACCCAACGTGCACTTGAGCCAAAACACTTACGCTTCTCGTTCCAGTGACTCTCGACGTTCCAGTGGGTGTAGACGTCTCGGGGATTATTCTCCTTCGCGCAAGTCACCTCGATTTGCTTAAAGCCCCACTGAGGCAAGTTGACGTTGCCGGCTCGGAGGTAGCAGCCAAGGTCGGCATGCCTTAACCGGAAGGCGGTAGTCAACGTTCGGAGCTTAGAGTAATCCCTTGAGGCAGCATCACGAACAACTTCGACGACCCAGTGGTCCTTGGTATCGCCAACAGTGGTATTGCCGTAGCAAGAAACCTCCCAATCCGCCTTCGTGACGGGAGCGGCAACCTGGTGTGAGTGGAGATTGCGGCCGGTCTGGGCATGGATAAGACGAATGGTGTCGCCATTCCCAGGGAATCGGAGCTCTTCCTCAGGTTGGTACTCAACATCTCCGCGGTTGGGGTAGAAAAACCAGTCATTGTTAGCATCCTTGTGGTGGTAGCAGGTGATTTGTTGCTGTGTAGAGCCCTCGGGATAGGTTTGGTGATGAGAATGAAGCAAACCGCCTCCATAACCCATGTTCTTCAAAGTGGCACGGGAGCCGTAAGCAATTTCAAGTGGGCTGTCTTTGCCGACCTCTGTACCTCGAAGGTTAGCCTGGAAAAGAGAGCTCATCTGAGCATCTCCTGGCCCGCTATTCTCAAGTACAAGGAAATGCATGTAGAATGAAAACATGTAGACAGCGAGAGGAATCATGATAAGCCCAAACACGCGGAAAGCCAAGTGCGTAGCTAGCTCAACCTAGGAAAGTTAGCAGCCCTCCAAAATTTAGTAGAGAATGCGCAATTACCTTGGGCATTTTGAGATCTCCAAACTTGTTCCAGAGATCCTCGATCGTGTACAAGCCAACGAGGGCAGTGCAGAAGAAGCCGACCCATTTGACGCTGCATACACACCCGATTGAGACCCCGGTCAGCATCAGCCACAGACCCCACTCAGGAGAGAAGGGGTCGTGTTGGAGGCGATGAAATTTGGCCCAGCAAAGAACTGTGGTAAATGTGAAGCACAGAAGCATCGAGTCCAGCAAAATGAACCTGCTAATGGTGGTGTACGAGTTCTCGAAAAGGACGGCCAAGGTGACCAGCCATACGGTAGGTCTCCGGAAGTTCAACTCCTTCGCGGTGAAGTAGGCCAATGGAACGCAGACAGCTCCGAAAGCCGAGTTAAAAAGACGCATGAAGGTGTAGTTGAGTTCCTCGGGATAAGTCTCTCCGGACTTGAATTCAAATGACCCGTTATACCCAGCGAGATATCCGGACAAACCGACCAGCATTTTCCCCAAAGGAGGGTGGACATCGAAGTAAAACTCGCGCTTCAGGTAGTGGGACCCGAACTTTCCGAAACTGCAATTCACGTTTAGACAACTGCCTTCTAGCTAGACAGGAGGGAGTGCTACATACTGTGCCTCGTCCCAGGTAACTATCGGCGACAGTCCGATTTTCCACATGCGGGTGAAGAAGGCAAGGGCCGTGAATAACAACGGGGCCCATATGAATTCGTACTCGTCGAGGCAGGAGATGATGCTAAAAGGCTAGACATTATACATTGATTAGCGGGAGACCGGGCAAAGGCAAGAACGAAGGCAAGGGAGAAGGCAAGGACGAATCCACGAAGGGGCATCATACCTTCTCTTTTGACTTCTCTGAGACTGGTGCCGCTGCCGCGGAAGGCCCAGTGGAAGAGGCTTGTCCAGAGATATTTCTCCTCCGCAGCTCCTCAGCCTGAGCGTGGCCGTCCGCGCCCGTGGTACGCGCCTGAGTCGCCATTGTGGATGGCCGACTCGCAAATTTAGTGGTTGCTCGTCAGAAATGGCTGGGCGAGAGCAGATGCGTGCGCAGGAAGAAACGTGTTCGCAATGGGGTGAGGTGTTCGTTCTTTGGGGGGCTGAAATTCGTCACTCGAGTTCCGCTGACGGAATGGTGGAAAACGAAAGGGGAGAAGAAGAATATTACAATGTTGAGTCGGTGCAAGAAGTCATGAAGAATGTGCACTCGCGCGTTGAGGGAGAAAATGCGCGCCCCTCTACAGCTGTTCGGCGATGAAGGCAGGAGGTGAGTGAGGGCCTGCTACCGAAATAGAAATTCAAAGGTGATGCTGGAGCTGAGCAAGGGTGGTTCGCTAGCCCGGTTCGGCAAGGGGCTCTTTCCAGGGAGCGTGGACACCTGTCCGGACCTCTCCACCTCTCCAAAGCCTCCTCACGTGAAAATAATCCTCCGAATAGAACATGGGTCCACGCAATGCTGTCGTTCATGGCTTGCACTTCTGCCCGTTCATCCTTCCCCGTACAGTGTGCCTTCGAAACCCTGAGTTTCTATTCGTACCTCTCTACATAATCCTATCCTCCCAGAGCCATGAATGCCAGAGCCCCATTAAATTTCAAGTACGAATACATCCAAAGAGCGAGCTGGCTTCATCTCGCCGAGTCGCTTCATTCACGCTTTACGCCCTCTACCGAACCGGTCCTTGCATGCCACTGGGAATATTCATATAATGATCCTGCTGCGCTGCTCAAGCGCTTGATATCTTTGCCAACTCCAGGTTAGACGACATGGAGACATGGCAGGAAATGTAAACACCAGACGCCTCTGTCTCTGCCTCATTCTTCGTCATCCTCTTGACCTACCTGTTTGTATTTACCACTCGAACTATCACCCTCGCCGTTGCTTTTGCTTCCTTTTATGATGTTTGAAATCCACCCACCGATGCCCTCTTTGGCATCCGACTCTTTTCTGTGCAGTGACTTCCCGTCCTGACCCTCCACATCATCAGGAGGGTTGATGTTGAGCCCGGGAATGGCACTGTCTGCTCCATGTTGTCCCGATCGGATATCCAGCGAAGGAACAGGAGACCCATGCCCGCTGAACAGGGATTCCGCTTCGGCCAGGGTGGCTGGGGTGGGCATGACTGACGTCGCGTCTCCAAATAATGAATTCATGTCTTCAAGGCGAACATTCGCAGTTTCGGGATAAATAAACCAGACTGCCCCGTGTCAGCATTTGGGCCGGGACTTTCGAACAAAAAATATTTTATACTTACCAATAACAAAGCTGACAGCGCAGAAAAAAGCGTGTATCAAGTACAATCGCCACCCTATGTGCTCTTGCAGAATAGGTGTCATCTCTCCAACCAGCCAGTTGAATGCCCAATTTGTCGCGGTACTCAAGCTGGCTCCCTTGGCGCGAATACTAAGTGGAAGGATTTCTGGTGGATACAGCCACGGAATCGGACCCCAAGATGCGCCAAAGGCTGCGTTGTAAATCATGACAAAGATAACGACAAGATTTGGGGTCCAGTCTGCCTGGAGATATATGAAATAGGATATGGCAGAGAGTGATATGACCATGGCAACTGCTCCGGAGAGGAGAATTTTGCGTCGACCTAGCGTATCGACAACATACCAGGGCGGGATAGTAGATAGTAGGTAGGTAATAGCGTTGATGCCGGTCATAAGGATGGCACCACGACCATACCAGCCAGCTTCCTCGAAGACGAGAGGTGCATAGTACGAGATGACGTTGATTCCGTTGAGCTGTGCCAGGGCCTGGGCGGACATGGCAATGAAAACACGCTTGGAGTATCGCTTGAACATGTCCGAGTATGATCGCTCGCCCTCCTGGCGCTGCAGGAGCACATTCATCTTAATCTCACGATACTCCTCGCGTGCCTTTGGGTTGTGAATGTCTCCTTTCCCGTAAAGATTGGCAATTACCACAATGCCTTCCTCGTCATGATCGTTATCTAGGAGCCATCTGTGGTATGTTTAGCGACTCAGATTTGCACAGGAGTGAGACACTAACCTGGGGGACTCGCAGATGAGCAGACTGCCGCTCGCAAGTAAGGCACCCATAACACATTGCATTAGCAGAGGAACCCTCCAGGCCCAATTGCCCTTGATATAGCTACAGAAGTAGTCCACCCATACACTTGCGGCATATCCAGTGATGTTCCCCGTGAATTCGATGCAAGCCAGCTTCCCCCGGTTGTGAGGGGGCGATATCTCCGACTGGTATACTGGCACAATGGTTGAAAGAGTCCCAACTCCAAGACCGGCAATAATTCTCCCCAAAAGCATCATCGGCATCCCATCCGCAAAACTCTGCAGAGCTCCCCCGACTACGAAGATAATGGAGCCGTATAGAATGGTTCTTCGACGGCCTAAAAGATCGCCGATCCTTCCTACTAGTAACGAGGATATGAAGGCTCCTATCTCCAGAATGGCGACCATGGTACCCAATTCGGCACTTGTAGGCTGGTTGAAATAATCCTTGAAATCGGATCCTCTGCATGCAAATGTCAGATACGCTTGTACCAGGGAAGGGGTTCAGGGTTCCGCACGTAATGATTCCGGACATGACTCCCTGGTCGTAGCCAAACAGAAACACGCCTAATGATACAAAAACGCTGGTGAAATAGCTATTCAGATCCGTCAGTGGAAGTTCGATCCTACGCAGCCTTGAGAACCCACATCAGCTTCTTCCCATGCAGCCCGTGGATACGAGAGGGGCCATCGTTGGGAGCCATGATGGCAGCGAGGATCTGCTCTCCGCGAGAGATGGTCCGAGGCCCTGGGTCGGGTATTTCAATGTCCTCCTTCCGGAGGGCTTCACGTTTGAGTGCCTTCTCCCTGGCGTCGTCCTGTGAGTGGTATCGGACTCGCTTCTGTTGAGGGCGGTGCTTGGGGAGGAGAGCACCGTCGAGCGATTCGCGCAGGCGAGCACGAAGAGGGTCCTCCTCGTCAGCGAGCTGGTCGACTAGATCGCCAGTGTCACTCCAGAGAGAGAAGTCAGACTCTGGCGTGGCGGTGGAGAAGGAGGACCGCGGGCTGTTCTTGTCGTGGTCGTGTAGAAGATAAGCCGAGTCGGAGTCTCGAGGGCGCGAGGACGACGAGAGAGTGTGGAGGGGGATGTTGGCAGGCCTCCTAGTGTTCGACGAGGAAGGAATTTTGACGACTGCGAGGGCTGAAAGGGAGCAGCCCCGACTCTAGCAAGATGTTGTTAAAGAGAGATGCGGCACGTCACCGGGTCCAAAGAGTCCAACCGGGGGGGGGGGGGTGCAAAGGCGTGGATGAGTGTTGGAAAGCCAATAGTGGCCAGGCGGTCACATTGGATTAGGTGGAGCGGTGGGGACGGGGACGTGAGCACGTAAATGGATGTGTGATCAGAAGCAGCAAAGCAGGCGATGCATATGCTCAAGCTCGCTGTGTTTCTGTCAGCAGCGCCAAGCCTCTTGACAGCTTTGGCCAGGCTGCACGGTGCAAGAAATCTTCGATAAGAGTTTGCTGTAGAGTATGGGATTCTCTGGGAGCATGCAGCAGGCAGCTCTGGTGCCCCAGGAATCGCAGCGGACAGCGCGGAATGTTTCCTGCCCTCGACCTCTGCACGGCACCTTATCCATCTCCTCGCTTCACGTACGAAGATCCATGGGGCAGCAACAACATCTGAAGAACACCGAAAGAACACTTGGGCAGCATCTAGGCACACGGAACCGCATTTTCCTTCCTTCTCAACTCCCGCCACACTCGGCTGGCTTTCCAGTCCCTACACGTGGTTCACGTGTGGCCTCGTGACTTTACGATTCCCCGTCACGGCCGTGCTGGGCATTCCTTAGGCAACTCGTGACTGGTGGTCTTTGCTGGCAAACGAAACCACTGGTCTCTCAGCCTCTTCTCCTGAGCGCGTGCTGCATGAGGCAGCCAATCTTGCTCGACAGGGTCATGGCTGCTCTTTAGCACATCGTGAAAAGGGATGCCGACCGAAGGCGGATGCATAAAAGGTGACGATGCTCGTATCTCATGCTCGCAGGCTAACGACGCTGGGGTAATGATCTGCCCGTTCTGCAGCGTGGGCTCCAATGATATCATAAGCTCTTGGGCAATGGGCATCGCGAGAGGGAGCCCTGCGAGATGAGAACCAAGCCTCCTCACTGGTGGCCGTGGCGTGCCGAGTCAAGAATCTGGAGTTGATGTCGCTCTTTCGCCTGCGACAGCCGTTCTCCCACGCCGCAGCCGTGTCGGCGGCTCAGCACCGCGCCCGATTGCTTCCAAGGGTTGATGGGGGGGGGCATCTGGAGCGTTAATACGATGGCGGCCAGGCTCCGCAAAAGGGAGGTGGTGGGCTTCATTTCATGCATTCACTCGCCGTGAAGAAGGCTGAAACAGCGCGCACGGCCCCTTTAAATAGAACGCCCGCTCCCATTGGCCAGCTCGTCTTCTTCATATTGTTTCGAAGGCTTGGGGCAACGAGGTTGCTCTGGGAGAAAATCCCGGCTTTGTCCCCGGCGGTGCTGCATCACCTGGGCTGTCTGCTGTTTCCTCCATTCCGCAAACTCAACTCGACATCATCGACTCACGAGCGCTTCACACATCGCCGGTATCGCCGACCTCACCTCTACGTCAGACTCGTGCGTGCCATCATCGCAAGCAGTCGTCGTCTCTCCACCGACCTGCTAGCGGCCCTCTGCCCTGGCCCCAGCAACAAACCTGCAAACCTGCGTCCACCAGCCACTGCCACTGCAGCCAGCACATCAATCACCCCTCTCGGGTCGAAATCTTCTGCCACGATCCTTCTCCACGTCCACAGCCATTGCCGCCTCTAGTGCATGGCAGCTTTTCACTGCTCCATCGCCGCGCACCCAATTCCGCATATCAATTCGCATTAAACCTCGCTTTCGAGGCGACGCGCCAGCCGCAGAAGCGGTCGCTCCCCAGCTATGCCCGCAACCGCCTATGGCAACTTCCACGACCTCTGTCGCGACACTGGCAATCTTGGGTCTACCTTACCAGGTGCGCATTCGTCCCCGTCCTCCGTAACCCTTCTCAATGACATGTCTCGCTGACTCTCCACAGTATGTAATGTATGTCGCAAGCTCGTCCCCGAACAATCAACTTCTGCGAACGACCCAACGCTGACCATGGTCCGATATAGCTCTTCGACCAAGCTTCCACGCGATTCGGAACGGGCTGGAAAGGCTGTAATCTGACCGGCATACCGCTGAATGGCCACAATCACCTCACCAACCTAGGTCCGTGTTCTGAGAATGTAAGGCAGGAGTTTAGGGCTGACAATATTTAGGCTCGATACTTCTTTGTGGCATTGCAATTGTCGCCTCCATGTTCTTGATATGGAGATCAGAACGAAAGAAGGCAGCAGTTGGTCGAAGGTCAGAAATTGGCGCATCAAAGCTGTCGAGGCCGGGTATTGACTGCGCACAGGGAGATGCAACTTTTTCTCGTTGGCTTCATCATCATAGAAATCTGTGAAATCTTCACAGTCGGTGGATTCCCGCTCAACAGTGTTGTGCGACGGGTATGTCGGTGCGCTAGTGTGAAGCTACGCTCTGTCTGACATAGTGACAGGCTTTCACGGCGGTTCATATCGCTGCCATTATTGCGACACTCTGGATTCTAATGCTGAACGGTATCGTTGGCTACCAGCTTCTTGACGACGGCACCCCGGTGTCAATTGGACTGATGATGGTTTCTGCTGCTTTGATCTTCATTGGGACCGGGTACATCGCCCTCGACACAGGTTTCAGCTGGACTAATTACTGGGATGACACATTATCGGGGAACAATCGCGCGTATGCACTCTACACCCTCTATCAGCTTGCGCCCTTGGTGTTCCTTGTCGTATTCTTCCTCCTCGAGGCCTTCTTGGTGCTCAGAATTCTAGGAGAGAGAAAACCTATGGGTAAGAAACCACCGGCTATTACCCAAACTTTCAATTTGCTAACGACGGCTGCAGTGTATCTCATTAGCGCGGCTCTGCTGTTTGCCCTTGGACAGATTTTCCAGTACGTGATCAGCGTCCACATTTGCAACGGTACAAATGGAAAGATTAATGGAGGCCTGTTTGAAACCCTATTTACCTTATGCGCTGTTGTCACAATTTGGGTATTCTGGTCGAGCATCACGGAAGACGACTGGCCAATGCCAACGGTGGCAGGTTCAGGAGCGTATCAGTAAAATGAGTTACGAACATGTGCTTGGGAGGAAAAGGTGAAGCTGTAATGTTTCCATAAGTTTTCTAGCATAGCGTATACCACCTTTGGAGGTTCCTTTTTGGATGGTCATCATGGTAGCAACAGCTCATGATGAGATACACATAATGTATTGTAAACGGTCGAAAGTGTTGCTCAAGAACTCGTACATTGAACACAAGGACGGTTTTCCGAAGCCGAAGTCATGCTAAGTTCCCAATCACGTGCCCACGTTCCACCCAAGGCTTCAAGGTTTCGGAGCATTAGAACGTTCGTTAGGTGCTGCAGAACACACGCCAGACACCACCACTATGACTTACCCGCCTCCGTTGTTAGTCACATATAAATATTGATGATGGTGGTCGCTGCAGCCCCTCAACCTCTCTTTGCTTTTACCTTTGATAATCCTCCTTTCACTAATTCCCTGTTTGAAGGTCCTAGATCCTTTTTGCCAGGGACCGGGCGCCCAACCTCGACCCACCCGGAACACGGTTCCACCCTTCAAGCAAGAGCTAACCATCTGTGTTGGATTTCAATATTCGCAGCCCGTCGGTGTACCACCTCCACTCCCGAATTCTTCAATCCACTCTCGCCGTGCAAGCACATCTTATCTAGCTTGCTGCCACTGAACGAAGAGAATGGCCGATTCGGACTACGAATACATGGAGGATGCGTCTGATGACGAGTATATTGAAGGAAGGGCCAGGTCTAGTACACGAGTGCAGACTTCTCAGGCTCCAGGAAAGAGACGGACGCATGAAAAGCCCCGGAAGCCGCAGGCTTGGGAGACATCTAGGACTGTGGCAGCTACCGTCACCGCCACGACCATCCAAGAAGCCGAAGATGGAACGATACAACAGAGCGTCCAGGAGCGAGAGGAAGAGCGGAAGAGAAAACGGTAAGTACGCTATTTATGTTGTTGGGTCTAGCCGGTTGGAGCGAACTACATCTCTCCGAAGTCTTCCGTCTCTCTGTGTTTTGGGGTCTCGTCACTTGCACAGGTGACGGGTCCGCATAGTCTATCGGCCATTGCTGCATGATACTCGGGCTATTGCCAGACATACATTTCATCACTCGCAATCATGTTGAGAGGCTCACAATCCTCCCCTCGTGGATCCTCGTCGCATCGTGTTACGAGGAGGTGTCGTCTACCATTGTCGCCAGAGGAACATTTCCAAGGGCTACAATGAAGACGAAGTCTACGAGCCTGATTACGCAAATCCCTATCACGGGCAGGAAACCCACTAGTGGCATGGAACTCAATTCTTACACTCACGGTTAAATGTGGCTGACAGAAACATCCAACCAGGCTGCGCAAAGACACGAAACCATTCCAGCGAGGAATCATACGGCATGTCACCCTCATACTTGACCTATCCGAGGCCATGTTAGAGAAAGACATGCGCCCTAACCGGTATATTACCATGATTAAATATACTCAAGAATACGTGCGCGAGTTCTTCGAACAGAACCCCATTTCTCAGATGAGCGTGCTAGGGATGCACGATGGGATCTGCATCCGGGTCTCGGAGTTGTCTGGTAATCCAGCAGATCATATCTCTGCAATACAGGGCCTCCGGTTTCCAAAGAATCCTAGAGACATCCCAAAGGAGCCGAAAGGATCACCCAGTTTACAAAACGCCTTAGAGTTGGCCAGAGCAACACTTTATCACACGCCAAATCATGGAACTCGAGAAGTCATCATCGTCTTCGGTTCTCTGCTTTCCTTAGATCCCGGCGATATCCACCAGACAATCAGAGCTTGCGCGCGCGATCACATTCGCGTCAGTATCATTGGCATGAGCGCCCGGCTCAAAATTTGTCAGGAGATTGTGGGGCGCACTAATTCCGGAGATGAGAGCGAATACGTTGTTGCCACGGATCAAGAGTCGCTGCGGGAACTCCTACTAGCTACGACAACTCCTCCCGTGATCCGATCCACCCAGCCAACTACTGCTGCACCCACCGAGTCCGCCGCTGCTCTTATGATGATGGGGTTCCCATCTCGGGTTGTGGAAGATGTTCCAACCATGTGCGCCTGTCATGGTGTTCTTACAAGAGGTGGATACACCTGCTCGAGGTGCAGCGCTAAGGTCTGCAGCCTCCCAGTTACATGTCCCAGCTGCCAGCTCACTTTACTGTTGTCGACACACCTTGCCAGGAGTTATCACCATCTCTTTCCTCTTCGTAATTGGGTTGAGGTCAGCTGGGCACGCGCTAGGGAGAAGGGGAGCCGAGAATGCGTCGGCTGTCTCTCAGCCTTTCCGATACCCTCAGAGTATTCATCAGACAGCAAGGGCGGACAGAACGACGAGAATCACCACGAAAAGGCAGGCAGAGCTGCCCGCCAGCAACAGATGGATAAGGAAGATTCCGAGGAGCAGAAAGCAAGTGAAAGCTCAAGATACGAGTGTAGAGCTTGCGAGAGCCATTTCTGCGTAGACTGCGACGTGTTCTGTCACATGGTCCTTCACAACTGCCCGGGCTGCTTAAGCCAGTTCAACCAAATTCCAGAGGCACAAGGCGATGGCGATGTAACTATGGTCGGCTAAAATGGAGCCTAAAGCAAAACGAGCACATTTATGAGGCCTTAGAGACACTCCAAGCTCAAAACGCCGCTTCGGAAGAGGGTCGAGAGGAAGAAGAAGTGAAGACCAGAGCGAAGTGGGACCTTGGTGGCTCCCTTTGTTGCGATGGAATTCCCAACAAACTCGTCGGTACAAGTCGAGAATCGGAAAGGGAAACGAGATAGTCAACCTCATCCTCTTCTTGCATGTAGGTCATTGAATACTGAGTCTCTTGGCACACCTTTTCCTACCACCAAAAGTCGAATTTTTATATCTCTTTTGCTTCACTTCCCCTTCGCTTGGCCATCGGTTCTGAGCCCAGAATCCCTTTAGGTGTTGTGACCAAGCGGCTACGATAGTCTTCTTCATCTGTGTTGGTTCGGAGGCCACGGCCACGCTACCCTCGCGCAATCCCGTGAGCAACAGCCGGGTCCACAGAACTCCAGAGTGTCTCGGTGTGAACAAATGCCGAATTCGACCCCACCATTGCTCAACACGAGCGGGCAACGTGGGGCAATTCCGCTCACGCATAATTAACTCGCAATCGCAATTAGCAAGAAAGCGGTTGGGATTCCGAGAAACATAATGTTTATCAAGCCGACATCGCAGCTATTCTTTGCCCTTTACTGCCTCTTCTTCCTTTCTTTCCTCCATTCAAATCTCGTCTTCACAATATAACATGGCTTTCGAGCGATTGATCCGATTTAGCGCGGATGATGGCAAAACCTACTACGGGAATCTGACAAAAGAGACTCCGACCCTTGAGATCGAAGGCTCAAAGGTTGAGGTACTGAGTGGAGATGTTGCGACAGGATTCAACAAGACAGGCGAGCAAGCAACTGTGTCGAAGGTAAGCGTAACATCTACAAGCGTAGCTCGAATAATTTGATGTCTGACGCTCAGGAGTTACTCTGTCCTTTACCTAGAACAAATATTGTCATGTGCATAGGACTAAACTACCGTCATCACGCAGAAGAGGCAAATGTACATGTCATCTACTCATAGCCAAACCCTATCCATCCCAGTTCCTCTAACAACCACAGCTTTCGATCCCCAAATTTCCCACAGTTTTCACGAAGCCTCCAGATGCGCTTACCGGCCCTATTGACGCGGTCCCCATCCACCCAGAATGCCAAAGCATGTTAGACTACGAGGGCGAACTAACCGTGGTCATCGGCAAAGACTGCAAGAATGTTAAAGCCTCCAATGCGTTTTCTTATATACTCGGCTACACTGTCGGCAACGATGTATCAGCCCGGAATTTCCAGCTTCCCGCCGACGTCTCCGGCGGGCAATTTGGCTACGCGAAGTCGTTTGACGGATTCGCACCCATCGGTCCTGCTATCGTCAGCACGAGCATCATTCCCGATCCGCAGAAACTAAAGTATACGACGAAGGTCAATGGAGAGGTGAGGCAACAGACAGGTACAGATGATATGATTTGGACAATTGCGCAGATTGTGGAGCATTTGAGCAGGGGCACGACCTTACGGGCTGGCACGGTCATCATGACTGGCACACCGAGCGGTGTTGGGTTGTTTATGAATCCTAAGGGGTTTGTGAAGGATGGAGACATTGTAGAAATTTATGTCGAGGGGATTGGGAGTCTCGTGAATAAGATGAAGTTCGAATGAAGTTTGACGGATTGGGTTTAAGGGAGGTCGCGATGAGTGGCGCCAAAATCAATTAGAAATGTACGTGTTACTGAATCCCCACCTTAGGCGTCATGCCGTTCTATTTCCTTTTATCACCTTTCTTTTGCTTCTGCACGATAGTCAGAGCGCGCTGTCAGCAATATCCCATCTACGGAGCTGTGAGAGGACGTCAAACTCCGTCAAACTTTAATTGTCCTTGTATCCAAATCTCAAATTTTCCATCAAAGTTGGGGCGTTCTAAGATATCTCACATTCGGAGCAGGCATCGGAAGAGGAGATGAAGCGACGTGAGGACCAGACTTACGTGGATTTGACCGAGCTCTGACTTTCTTGATGGTAGGATTGTATCAGAACAGAGTTCCATCATCATACTGATTGACGTGGTTCTCGTCCTCCATAACGGCCTGGAGCTTACCAGACTTTCTGCACAAGTTCGATCTGCTTGGCTATTTGCTGACGTGCAAGTATGGGTTGTCTCGGAGTTCGCGAAAGAGAAGTTGAGATCGGTTTCGTGCATCAGGATAAGATCTTCTACGTCGAGGTCATGTTGCGCAGAAGCATCTGGCTGCCGTCGCTGCCAATACATCTTTGACGAGGATTACGGTCAAGGTTACCTCAGTTTTGTCCCGGCGCCCGCTTCACTAGTTTCAGCTTTTGGATATTCGTGTGCTACCCTCCCGGCTCGCAAAAGGGGATGAGGCTGATCCCTTCCCTTGAACCTTCTTCTGCGATGATATCTTTGCAGTGTCGTCAGCCGATAGGCTGCCTTCTTTAGGAACCTCCCGGTACCAGTTTCTACCGCCACATAGCCTAGTTTGTGCATGCCCTTCTCACCATCCTTGACTTTCCGATCCTTTGTACGTTTTTCACTACCTCCTCCAACAGTGAGGTATTTTCGCGTGACTGTGGAACATGTCCGAGGAGATGAGGAGAGAGAAGTCATAAGAGTGTAGTTTTCTCTCCCAGTGGTAGCTGGATAAGCTTGATGTGGACTGCAATCTTACAAAAAAGGCTCAGGATTGGGGTGTCTCTAATATCCGAGCCCCAGGGCAGCCAACCACTTTGCTCGTGGAGGCATCGTGAACCTCCTTCAGCGGACCCGGCCCCTTGAATACTCCAGTCTCTCCATTTTAGCCTTCTCACAGATTAAGACTTAGGAGTGGGCTAGCTGAAACGTCTTGACCCAAGTATCCTTCGACATTTACCAAGGATTTCGGTGGGAAAGTGTAAACTGCCAAACTTAGGACTGAATTTAGGGAAAGCGCTAAAAGCCACAGCCTTTTGTCCAAAATTAGAGCCATGTTCGGTGAAGTGTGCTCAGATGCAGTACATTGGTACCACTCGATGGGCACTGATATACAGAAAGACTATAGCTAAAACGAGGGTTAGTGGGTAAGCAGGCTAGGGCGGATCCTTTACATCGACCATAGCTTTCATATATTCCTATGAGGGCTAAAATATTTCTTCTAAAAGACATACTAACAGCTTCATACCTCCACCGTAGCTGAACGGCACATATATCCCCTTCATCAAGACCGTAGGTAAACAGCAGATTCCGCTTCACAAAGTTACCCTCCTCCAGCCCGATCGCACCCATTATCACCCCAACATATCATTAGAACTCACTTCAGCTGCAAATGGGCTGGGGCTCACGACCAGACCGGGCCATACGGCTCAATCGCAACCTTCTGGAGTTCTTAGTCTCCCCTTAAACCAATGACTCATATCGTGTTGGAGGACGCCCAGACCCCTGTATAAAATCTGCGGAAAGTGGTTAAGCCGGATCAGGTGCACGTGGCGAGCGATGGAGAGGCGGAAGCAGATGAGCAAGGGTATCTTGTGGCTACGTCGAATGAGACAACGGGCATCGTGCTTTGGATAGACAGGCTCATTGCTTGACATGTCTTCTACCTGCATGTCAGTCACTAAGATTCTAGGGGACATTGTCGAGTAAGTCGAAGGAAAATAGGATTGTATACCCTAAAGAGCTGAAACGTTCAATAATGAAAGGGGGTGGAATTTGGAGAAAGAGAGTTGTCTTTTTTAGCTTCAGATGTCTAGAATAACCTTGCTTAGAGAGGGTGGTTTGATTCTCCTCGTGAAAAGGATCGTCAGGATGAGATTACGCCAAATCAAGATTTTCTGACACAAAGTAGGGGGGAACGGCGTCCAATTCACCCACTTCAACATAACCCATCCATTGTTTCAGCTTCCTTCTTTCTCTGGTAGAGAGTAGCAGGATTCTCCCAAGAACATTTGTTAAGTGTTATGAATGCGCTATTCCCTACAAGTACGTCATCGATCCATATGTTTATTATGGACTTAAGCGCCTCTCCTTTTTCAGCGGACCGCTAAAGACAATAATCGGTCTCAACAACTGCTTCTTCCAAAGAAACGCCATTAGAAGCAATCTCCCAGAGCCTATCTACATTCTATAGTTCACATAAAATGGAAAATGCACTCCTGTCACAACCGACGGGAAGCCAATACTTCCATCACTGTTAGAGACCGACCATCTAATCGTAAGAGTCGGCCTGATAGAACATTTCTTACCTGCCTTTTTAACTCAGCATGGTGCGGCTTGCGTCGGCTTCCTAGTCTTAGAGGATTGACTTTGGTAGGGCTAACCGGAATTAGGATTGGAGCAACATCTGGTTCGGCAGATACGCCACGAGCACCGATTACCAACATGGCTGCAGTCAGTATAAGAAGCCGCCAGAGCGGTTCTTGAACGTCTCTGAAGATAGGCTCAGAATGCCTCCGAGACATTGACCTCGAGGTGGAATGCGTCTTAGTTGCAACGAAAGGCGAAAATATGATGTAGTGTAGATGGAGCAAAAGTATGTCTGGGGAAAAATCTGTCCCAACAACGTTTTTCCAGAACTTTGAATACCAACTTTTGAAGGATTCACTCGTGGGGGAACGATTCCCCGCGAGGTACGAAACATTGACAATACACAGGGCCAGTAGGTTTCCTAACAGCAACTTCCCTCCTCCTCACCTGCCCTTAGGCCAATTTTCTAACATAGTTCAGTGCAAATGGAGAATACGACGCAGCCTCACCATCTAATCAAGTGGATCTACCGCAATCCCTATTGGAGCCACCTCTGGCCAAGCGTGCAGCCCTACACGGCTTCTCGATGCGCTCCGACACTACATTGCCTAATCCAAAGACTCTCCCATCAGTATCATCAGCAGTATCATCAGCACTGTCAGAGACAACAGTACCAACTAAGATTACCGCATCAAATCGAAGTATCCATACAGTTATGCCGTGGCCTGAAACCAAGGAATCAGAATGCTTGGAATTCCCATGGTATAAAAACCCAGCTAAGGTCCCGCTATCAACATCTAAGCTGAAGTATATCTTTCCCATGTAGTGAAACATAAAAAGGGGAATGTACATTTTGTGATGCAGCCCGATGAGAAGCATCCGGCCTATGACTAGACAGCCATTATTAGAATGGTGAGACTTAGCATGAGTAAATTCGAGTTCAAAGGGGAAAATGAGACATGAGCATCGAGTAAGTGGATCCCTATCGTCTTCCCTTCTTATGGGGCCGAAAATGAAACTTTCCCGACACAGGATGAATATCTCAAACGGGTGAAGCAACTCATTGGTGACGATCCCATTCCGGATCAAAAAACTCGACGTAGCCAAGTAATACATCGAGGTTATAGCGGAGTCGCACTCCCAAGGCGACACATAAGAAACAGCCCTTGTTTAACTTCCTCAACAGTAGTTCTCTTACTGATTGAATAAGCTTCTGTCTCACTGATGCAATCCAACAGCACCACCCTTCGCTGGCCTTGGATCTAAGACTTGCATCCAAGATGCATACAATCTTTCTTGCAAGACAGCCCATGTGGAGAAAGCCCTCGTCTCACTAACCATTCTCAACTCATTCTCACCTAAACGCTAACTGGTAAGATATGCAGTCATCACTCGCGCAAATCAAGGACTGCGAGACCATGGTTCCGTCCATTAAAGCCCTTGGGATGTTTGACACAGACGTAGCAATTCGATGTAAGTTCACTGAACTATCGGCTGGGATATCCTACGGAATCAGGGGAAGAGAAAACTGAAAGAGGAGATTAGATTGCTAAACTCGGGTACAGTGCAGTAGGCGTAGAGGTGATATATATTAGTATAGCAGTATTCCCTGGAAATTAAAACGAACTGCCGCCGCTACCAGGGCGCTGTCATTCACTATGAGGTCACGACGTACCCATGTAGTAGTCTGCCACATGCTTAGATGAACACAGGAGTGCCGGGAAAACAATTCTCGATCATCAATTTGGTGGGTCATGGTAAGTTTTGTTTGCTCACAAGCTTTAGAGGAGACGCGTGGAAGACCGCTGCGAAAGAGATTGAAATAATGTTAGGGTTGAGATATTCGTGTATTTGATTGGTTGGAAACAGGACTGCGAAGACATGTACATGGACTGGGAGAGAAGAAGAAGCATCATAGAGACGTCAAATTAATTCGTCGTATGGAGATCGCAAGGCATCCCTCGGACTGCGGGGAAAGGCTGGAAAGAGTGGTCAGGAGTATTCTGGGTCGCTACGGAAAGCCGAACCAAGGCAACTGGAAGCCAGGTTGGGACAGCAATTGTTATCAACAGTCTGTCACGTTGAAGGAAGCTGCGTCCGCCCGCTGTGTTTCCGTGTGCCCATGACTATTACACGACCTTAGATACGTCCATCCACAACAATTGTCACTCCCTTAAACAGGATACTTCAGCCCACCATTATTAAATACCACCGAATACTGCCACGTAGCATATGCAATCCTTTACTATGGCTTCCTCTAATATAGACAAAGAATCTCAAGCGCCCATTCACTCACTGCTCCAGAACGACAAAAAGAACCGAAACAGTGTGAAGTATTCGAGTCCCATACAACAAATAAAGGAAGACGGAGAGCTTGAATTGAGACTCTCCGATGAGTTTTTGGAGACTTCTAGTACCTCGGAGGATGCTGGAGGCTCGGCCGACGAGAGTGCGTTTGGGGTCATATTCGAAAATCCCCTTGGGTGCCAACGACATCAGCGACTCCCTGCCCGTAAAGAGATACGCCAGCATAGGCAACAGCTTATGCCCGGGAAGCGCAAGAGTTCAGAGGTGGAACTAGTCCCAAGCAAGCGCCCCTTCAGCACTCTTGCATCCAAGTCTGCAGTAGATCAAGGATCCGAGCAACGTCGGGACAGCGGCCCTGCTGAGAATTCTCAGAGACCTTCTACAGCGCCATCCCGATATCGATGCGGAGACCCTCTCTATGCACGCGATAGAATTGACAGCGCCATCCCTCTCTCAGGTCCTGAGGTTAAAGCCTTCAATAAAGCCCTTGATTGCATAGACGATCTAAGTGAATCCGCGGCGGCTTCAATCATCGATAGTTGCGAAGAAGGAATTGAATTCTATCAGCGGCATCCCGGGGAGGACCTTCTTTGGCTGCGACAACCATCTGGAGGATATCGGATCTCCGTTCGAGTACACCGTCTACCAAAACCCCTTCCACCCTTAGAGGGTATGTCACAGTGCGACCCACCTTCGCTAATCCGCCGACCGAGCGTAAATCTATGGGATATTTACCCTCCTCCATCAGATTGGAATTCTCAGATCTTGCGTCCTCGGGATAGCTTCACCGAGGCGAAGAATTGGGTGATGAATGTCACACGCACAAATGACCAGCAGGTTCTGGCGGAAGTTGTGGAGAAAATGAGAGCGCATGAGGCAAAATTCGACAAACAAAAATTAATGGGGGATAGAAAAGAGTTGACGAATCAACGTGCTGGTCTGGGGGAGCTCCTCCAACAGCCTAAGACAACTCCTTTCTTGGGGTTGATGGAGGAAAGGCGGACCGAACTTAAGAGGACCGAAGATGAGTATTTGATGTATGAAGAAGCGGAGAGTTTACAGCGAAGATGCGCTGAACTCGCTCAACACCTGGAACTTTTGAAGAGGGCTGGAACTAGGTTAGATTTCTCGCCTTCAATGGATCAAGGGTCCGAGCGGACACCGCCAAAACCGGGCCTGATATCTGAATTCTTAAAGATCAATCAATATATGGCCACGGGCGGTGACAATCGAGATCCCTCATCCTCGGGAGCAGCATCATCATCATCATCAGGAGACCAAGCTGTCAGAAGAGTGGCAGCTGCCGCGGCAGTCGCAAGCGGCAATATTCTGGACAATGGGGAGTGTGAAGTAGAGCCGCCCCGCGATTTTGAGTATTTGTTGGATGCGGACGAGAGAGGTAGTAACCTTACGATGGAATTTAGGAGAGGAGGCTTGTCTCATGAAGGAGACGAGGTTGAATACGAAAGTTTCCCATCGCTACTATGGCGGAGGGAGCAATTTGACACGGAAAAGTCTAAAAAGACCCTAAAGACTCGGTCACCTAAGCGAGAACCTGTGGTCATCATACAAGAGATAATAGGTACTACCTCATCTGGGTCACCAATGTCAATTTCTAGAGAAGACGGATCAACCGAGAGAGAAGAGACGTCTCATCTTAGTATGCCTACCAAAGAAGCATCGAAATCCCCACCCGCAATAGGCGCGAAGACCCAGCAGGAGGGCACTGCGGAGGGTGTATTCATGGTGGAAGAGCACGCTGTACCAGAGTCTTCTTCGCCTGGGTCTCCAATGTCTATTTCTGGGGAGGACGGACTGTCCGAGAGAAAAACGGTTCCTCAGCCTGACGCCGCAGTCAAATCGACATGGACATTCTCAACCACAGTAAGCCCCACAATCACGCAAATGGAAGGCATTGAGGATGCGGTTGTGGCAGAAGACAACGCACAGGCATTGTCCTCGAGCGCCGTGAACCTGCCCTCGGAGCCTACAGTCAGACCCCTACCAGCCTCAGAATTGGATTCGTTGGGAGTGCGACTAGTGTCGATTGAGGGCTGGAGGTCAATGAAGAGGTGGTACCAAGGGAGCCCGGGACAAGAGTAGTGGATTCTTTCTACTCACATATTTCCAGGGGTGCTAGGATGGCCTTCACTTCTTGGTTCAACAGCTGTTATTCCCAGTTGTAGTCCACAGACTTGAGGAGCATGAAGCTCCTGTTTGGACAAAGTCTCTTGTATGATGAATGGTTTGGTGGCCATCTAGATAGCGCAGGCTACGATTCGAAGCTGTCAATGTGGTCCACATGTCGTGCTTCATTCCCAAAACACACTTTTCATCTCGTATTCTCTCTCCTTTTAATTGGCCAGTACTCCCACAACCACCTTCCTAAAGCAGCCCCGCCGCCACTCCGCTCGCCGAGCCCGCGATACCAACATTTGATGTCCATCCTCAAGCCAACCTTCTTCTCCCGGCAACCTTGCCCCTTTATTCTATTCGGCTTCATGTCGTCCCGCGACGCTCTAACCCCCCGTTATCAGATACCTAGATATGCCCAGAATTCGCCCAGCAATGCCCAGGAACCGAAGCTTCAATGAACCTGCAGCTTGATATCACGAGCTGCTTGAAAGAGCAAGGAGCCTGACTAGATGATGGAAGCGCTCGCCAATGAGATTACTGGAAGGTGCAGCGCATCCTTGCTACTGAGCAAGGGGAGCAAGATGCTATGCTGGAAAGTTCCTGGATTGCGGTCGAGATCAGCATGGATTGGGCATTTCTTGGGGACTGTGGTGCTGATGAAGATTAATGAAGTCTTGGGTTTCTTGCCTTCTTAGAGGGTTATTTAAAGAGCTCGGCCTGGCGCGAAGAATGCTGCATGTCGTGTGCTGCGTTCTTCCCCCCCACTGTATTGCGATTGAACTGTCTTTTAGTTCATACTCAATATGAAGGCGGTAATTGCAATTGGAGCCCTTGCTGCTATGGCATCAGCAACGAGTGTTCTGCCACGGGGATATGGCCACGGGCATGGCAACAGAACATGCGAGTACAAGCCTCTCGTAAATGCTGTCAGTATCTCTTTTACCATCCCTAAGGCAAACATTCTCGTTAGAAATACAACTGAAAGCTCCTAGAAAAAACTCCAAAAGTCTATTGAAGGACCCGCCCTTCTTAAAGGCGCTCAAATTCTTCAAGACTTTGCTTACGCGTATCCTAAGCGTAATAGACTGATGGGAGGGAATGCCCACAATGACACTGTCGACTACCTAGTTTCAGAATTAGACGCTCTGGGCGGTTACTACACAGTCGAGAAACAGAAATTTTCTTCTCTCGTCCAGCTCAATGCTTCCGCTTCTCTAGCAGTTAATGGAACCACATATGAGCCTGGGATTATGGAATTTTCGCCGAGCGGGAATGTTGGCGCGCCCATTATTGTGGTGAATAACTTGGGGTGCGACCCGGTAGGTCGCTCTTGTGTACTCCTAATCCACAAAGGGGCTAATCCAATTTGAGATTTAGGCCGATTATCCGGCTGAAGTACTGGGTAACATCGCTCTTATCTCACGCGGGACCTGCGAATTTGGCTTAAAGTCTGTATACGCTGGTCTTGCGGGTGCTGTAGGCGCGATCATCTACAACAACATCCCTGGTGCTCTAAATGGTACTTTGGGTGTACCACCACGGCCTGAAGGCGACTATGTTCCCACTGTATCCCTGAGCCAGGAAGAAGGTACCGTAATCGTGAGTTTGATTACTGGCGGTGCTGCCGTGACTGCTTCGATCGGCGTGTTGAGCGTCATCGAGAATTACACCACCTTCAATGTCCTCGCGACCTCCAACTGCGGCGCGCAGAACACAACTCTTGTGCTCGGGGCCCATACCGACTCCGTGGCCGCCGGCCCCGGCATCAACGACGACGGCTCTGGTACCATTGGCATCCTTGAGGTCGCAAAACAGTTAGCCAAATATAAAGTTAATAATGCGGTACGATTCGGCTTCTGGTCAGGCGAAGAAGAAGGTCTTCTCGGCTCCACCTACTACGTTGAAAGCCTCTCTGCCGCCGAGCTAGCGAATGTGCGAGCATATCTCAACTTCGATATGATCGCCTCGCCAAACTATATATACGCCATATACGATGGTGACGGTAGTTCGTTCAACGAAACTGGTCCCCCCGGCTCCGCAGATATAGAACACTTCTTCGAAAACTACTTTGCCTCTGCTGGCGAAAATTTCACAGCCACTGCCTTCGACGGGCGCTCGGATTACCTCGCCTTCATTGATAATGGCATTCCAGCCGGCGGTACTTTCACTGGAGCGGAGGAAATTAAGACACAGGAGGAGGCGGAGGCGTTTGGTGGACAGGCAGGTGTTGCCACTGATCCGAATTACCATCAAGCGGGCGATACTGTGGAGAATTTGAATATGGAGGCTTTTGTGTTAAATACGAAGGCGATTGCGGCTGCGGTCGCGACATATGCAACGACTTTTGAGAGTTTGCCGCCCAAGGGGCTGGAGAAAAGAAATGGGGAAGTGAGGTGGGTGAAGCCGAGGAGCAGGAGGGGCGGGAAAACAGTTAAGAGAGCTCAGTGAGTGTCACAAATTTGTAGAACATCCTATGAAATTCGAAATAGAGACAGAAACCGTTATTGCCCTTTTCGAGACTCTTCATGTTCAGTGAATCTAGCGTACAGTCCTACTATGTTAGACACCGCCTCGGAGAAATTATCTCTAGTGTTGGAGTTCTGACAGCGTGTCCCCACTAGCCTTGAATAACCCACATGTGAATAGTCTCCCGCTAGCGGACTCATGTAGGGTTCTGATCTCCCTAATTCGAGGCGCGTGTTTTATTGTGGACAACTAGAGGTTTAAAGAAGACCAACACACTAAAAGAATATTTGCCATTGTCTGTTAAAAACTCTCATTCACTATGAACTTCCTTGAATCTATAATAGGCCTGTTATCTGATAAATCTAAGAGAAACAGCATAAACTGAAATCTAGAACAATGAGCGACTGAAGCAAATGAAGAACGTGGAGATGGAATCTATGGATTGCCTTAAGGTGGGGACGCTGGATGCTGATTTAGTTCTGGGTATCAATCCAACAGTTTGCTGGCTCCACTCTAGGTTGCCGCGTTTCACTGGATCCACATTGACTGTAGAAGGGTCCCAAGAGGGAATAGAGGAATGGGGAACGAACCGTACAGAGGGGAAGTCAAAATGCATTGGGATGCAAAGAATGTTCTAGCGGCAGCGGTCGTGCTGCTTTCTCATCCCACATTATATTGGATTCGTAAGTAGACCTGCTTAAGAGCAACGCGATCCACAAAAGCCTGGCATTCTGGAATCGAGTTCGATGTCTCTGAGCGTAGAGCACCAATTCCACACTCTCCATCAAGTTTCGACTCATACTCTGACCAGAAGATATTTGCGCTGTGCTGGTAATGCCCCGAAGCGAATACCTGTAGGTATGCGCTGTCACGGGGAGCGTGCATGAAGTCCCTGCCTGTGGGTTGTGTGCATGTGGTCGTTGGACAAATTGGAAGTGATGCCGTCTGGTCTCGATCTTTGAACGATCTGAGCGTGCTTCTTCTGGGTTAGTGTTTCGCCGATTTTGGGAGCCCTCTGGCTGTTAGCGAACACGGAAGATGAGACAACTTGCGCATTCAATGCAGAGGTTGGAGTGTTTGACAGTATCTTGTATTCTATGAGCGGACCACTCAATCTCGGTACTAGATTGAAAGATTAGTTCGGTCAACTCACTGTTCTGCAGTCGGTTCTCGCATACTGTGCAACGACCTGCAGCTTGAATGGATGTTGAGGGCCAATCAGCGTTCAGGTGCTCAAAAATAGAGCGAATATAGACGTTTTTGATAAGACTTTTTACTAAATAGAGCGGCGAATTCTAGTCTAAACGCGGGCAGCCGCGACCAAAGTTGTCTTTGGCATTTTCTTCTTCGCAGTACAGGGTCTTCTCTACTCTTTATATGGCCTCGCAGAATCTTGTTCCACGATGACTGCGGGGAATGCTGGCGCCGATTCTGAAACACTCATTGCTCGTTGCTTCCCGCGAACTAGCCGGATACGAGCTAGCTTCAGGACGGGTTACTGTTTCAGAGGCGGTGAAGGATCACGGGCCAGACCAGACCGAATTCTTCGCCGTGCAGATGATGGAACCAGATGTCACTGCATGCTGCTGCTGTTCGGAGCGCCTCAACGTCCGACGAAAACGTGCGGGGATGGCCGAGGAAGTAAGCGAGGGAATAGAGGAGGACCTTAAATGAAGGTTGACACAGGCGGCCGCGACGGAGGTTGTGAGGAGTGTTTCCAGCCGGTGTTCAGTGTAACACAATAGCAACACTGGGCGACCACTGAGGGAAGGCTGCCAGAGAGCGGCACCGGCTGCTTTGCGTCGGCATTTGGGAGACTGGCCGCGATCAAGGCCGCACCCAGGTGGAGGATGAATGCCCCTCCTTGCCTCTCTGTGCCTCTGACCACTGTCCAGACGTGCCGACCAGCGCGCTTCGATTGGTGCCCAGCACTCGCCTGCTTGTCCGCGAATGGAGAAGCATGCCTCATCACTGGCCGTCGACCAGAGCCATTCTTGCGTGGTCTGGGGAGAGCCCAGCGCGGCTGTCAAAAATTTAAAAAACAGCCAGCAGCTTCCACGGTTGGTGCGCACCACATGGTGAACAGACGACGGTCCAAATTTAGACGGGAGAAGAGGGTAGAGTTGTGGAAGTGCTGCGGGCGACTAGGTAGATGATGAGGAGTACTTTATGCGACGCGCATGGCCGGTGGTCGGGGTCTTGAGCATCGAGCGCGGCGGCACGAGGCTCGCAGCTGGAGGGCAGAACGACGACGGCCGTCCAGTCCACGCGGGTCACAATGCCCAGATGTGGAGGGAGAGAGGTTGGGCGCTGCAAGCTTCAATGTGCTGCACCGTCTCCGTTATTATTATGCTGGCCAGCATGTGCGGCGGAAGGCCGTCGCGCGGAGACTCGACAGCGCTGCTTAGTGGCGTGCATGCTGCAGTCTAGTCAGGTTCTCGTCGTTTAAGTGCTGGACCCTCGCTCACCCTTCTTGCACCCACCGCGACATGTACTCATAGTCTTGTATATCTCCATCCACGCAGCTGCTGGGCTGTCCGGCCGGTCTTTTCGTTTCCTTCAGTCTGTCCTTTACTGAGAGCCGGCCGCACCAATCCGGGCGTGCTACAGAGCATCTGGCCTTGCGCAGGGACCACACGGTGCCGCCAGCCAAGGCGAGGTACAGCACTCCCACTGCATCCTGGCGAACCCTCTCTCAACCTCCTGCCTGCGAGAAGTCCGCGTTTGATCGCAGCATCGAGGCCTCCGCGGGCTCTTTGCCCTGTGTACGAATTCTTGTGTGAGTACGGCTGCTCCCGTGCCTGCTAAATTTCGCCGTCGAGGTGTGCGCACCCGCCACTCCTCCTGCTCCTTTCGTCTCCCCTCACCGCCCTCCCCACCTCCCACAGACTCGAGACTCGATGGCAATCCGCGCTGACCTGGGACAAGAGCAGTGTATTTCTAGCATCATGGCCTACTCCGCCGGCATTGGGGAGCGTGGCGACGACATGCGCTTTCGGAACGCTCAATCCCCCCGTGACGAGTCATCCTTCGCCTCCATCACCTCCCCCCTTCGCAGCGTCGGCACCCAGATGTCGGCGCACAACGCTGCCTCGAGTGATGCTCGGGGCCACCTCCACCGCCGCTTTACCACGAACAATATCCCTACTCTCAACACTCCATTGTCGCCAATTGGGCTGCAGCGTAGACAGGCGGCTGAGCCGACCGAGTTCACCACCGCGGTAAGCCCTCGCCCGCTCTCATTGTAGTAGTTTTGGGGCATCACGAGTTCGACGGCTGTCTGAGGCTTTGGAGACGTATCGTCCTCTGATCTTTCTATTAGCTAGCTATTGTGGGACTGTTGGTGAACTGCCACTGTCTACCGTGCTGTCGTTCTCATTGCTGTTTGTCTTTGCCCGTACAATACGAATTGAATAAGAAAGTTAGCTGACTCGACATCGCCAAATAGACGTACCATAAGCTTCAAGTGGTAAGAACAAAATTTCTTTCTCTCGTTTTCTCTCACTTGATTGTTCTGGTGCTTCAATACTGCCAAATACCGCTACTCCGCTATTCCTCCACCTGCCAAGCCCTCCCTCCGTCTCCAGGGCTACCTGTATAAGAGACCTCCTCTCCCCCAACAACCCCCCTCTCCTCTCCCCACCCACCTACCTCAACTTCAACTTCAACTTTTCTCTCTACCGCCCGCTTCAGTTGCCTGTACAACTCTTGTCTCATTCTGAGATCTGAGTTTAATATATCCTATTCTACCTGATACTCAGGCCATTCTTACCTCTGCTTGCTCTCTTATTCCTTTGATCTTTGCCTACGCATATCATTTCCTCATATTTCCTTGTTTACACCTCTCGCGCTCACTCCACGTCAACAAACGTCGCGCTCTGAGGTTGCGTCAACTACTGACGGCTTCATAGCTCGAAAAGAAGAAGCTTGAGTACGAGTACCTGAGAGAACAACGACGAAGATTTGAAGCTGAAATGGAACTTATTGATTTACAGTCTCGCCGCGACGAAGAAGAGATCCACCGTCTCTCATCGGACATCCAGTACGGCAAACACAGCCAGCCCACCACTCCACCCGAGTACAACAACAGTAACGGTTTCCCGACTGCATTGTCTCGTCCCAACCGTTTCAGCATGTCTAGCATAACCTCTCCGCCAGGTATGACTGCCTCTACCCCTCGTGGCAGCCGTCCTACCTCTCAGATCACGTCCCCACCATCCAATGCCTCCACCCAAGGTACTGCCAGCTATCCATCCAAGTCTATGCCTGGTTCCCGGCGCAACTCTGACGAAGAAGGCGAAGAGTTCGACGAGCATGAATACGTCCCTATTAGCCCGGTGTTTCGAACGTAAGTTTTAACCCGAACCAGTCTCTCCATCAAACATTCGTTTTCTCTCACTCCACCTACCTTCGCTGCAATCCTTCCTCACAGTTACACAAGCTCCACAGTCTTCCGCGTGGTTCTCGCCTAGTCTGCGCGTCTGCCCATATTCCAACGCGTCCAACAGGCCCAAGATTTCTGATTTGAACTTCAGCTAACCTCTTTATCAGTAACAACCGTATGTCTATGCCTGTCACTAACCTTGATCGCGATGGTCTTCCGGACCTTGCCTCAGTTCTCGGTCATATCAATACTGCTGCCTACCTGTTTGGCGACGAGGACAAGCAGAACAACCCAACCGCCTCTCCGGATGTCAAATCGTACCTTCAGATGAATACTACGGACGACAAGTTCCCCATTCTTGTTCGTCGGGACGGCAACGGCAACGGTTCCATGCAACTATCCGCTTCATCCGCCGCGCTTGACCTTGCGCTGTCTCAATCTCCAGGACCGGAGTCTCAGACCAATGGATGGCCGGGTTATCGTCATCGCCAATCGCAGCAATCTCTCCCAAGTAACGCTCTTCGGAAGGGATCTCAAGCCGACGAGTCCGACATTGGTCAAGTCAATGGAAGTACCGTCGAGACGACTCCCACCAAGGCTATGGCCAATAATCGCCGTTCCGTTGAGTTTAACTTCAGCCCGTTTAACAACGACTCGAAGCGATCTAGCTACCACGCAAGCCCTTCCAACGGTGCTGTGAATGGTATGCCAAAGTTGCAATCGTCGTACTCTACTAATGATATTCCGACTATGAAGAATGGCAACGGTGTCAATGGTTCGGGCGCGGTCAACTCCCACGCTGAGCAACACTTGCACAATCACAATGCGAATCTCGGCCGCATCCCACCGAACGCCATGTCGAACCGTCACAGCCGTGATTTGTCTACTGGCTTCAAGGATCAGGATTCCCCATACCGTCCGTTGCAGTCTGGTCTTCATGCTAGTGCAGCCCCTTTCGGCCCTTCCATGACTTCGGCTGCGCCAATGATCGGTCTCACTACTTCCGCTATTGCATCACCGACTTTGACCCAGTACTCCTCGAGCTCTTCCTCCACGGCTCCATATTATGGTTACGGAGTGTCAATGTTGAACAATGCCATGAACGGCCTGTCCCTGGGACCGCAACTCGGTCCACAGTCTCCGTACCAGCAGGCTGGCATGTACGCTGGTGTATCATACTACAACCCATACGCTACCTATGGACCGGGAGGTCGCATTCAGGATAGCCAAGCTCGCGTCATTCAGAGCCGACGCCTCCAGAGTGGTAAATTACACTTCCGTTTACAAATATGACCAGACAGGCTAACTTGAACAGCAGATGCAAACCGCTACGTTAACTACGACCTGAAGACGATGCCACGACATGAGATCTACGTTTTGTGCAAAGACCAACATGGCTGCCGCTTCTTGCAAAAGAAACTGGAGGAGCGCAATACAGAGTACTTGGAGATCATCTTCAATGAGACAGCCCCACACGTCGTCGAGCTAATGACTGGTAAGTTCATGCTTGCACCAATGACTTCGTCGCGGCGCTGACAATTTTCCAGATCCCTTTGGCAACTACTTGTGCCAGAAGCTCCTCGAGTACACCAACAATGAGCAGCGTAACACTCTTGTCCGCAACGCTGCTCCATCTTTGGTTCAAATTGCTCTCAACCAACATGGTACCCGCGCCCTTCAGAAGATGATTGAGTTCATTTCCACTCCAGAGCAGATCGATATGATTATCCAAGCTTTTGCTGGCCAAGTCGTTGAGTTGATCCAGGATCTGAACGGCAACCATGTTATTCAGAAGTGCTTGAATCACCTAAAGGCCGAGGATGCTCAATTCATCTTCGATGCCGTTGGCCAGAATTGTATTCGGGTCGGCACCCATCGCCACGGCTGTTGTGTCCTCCAGCGCTGCATCGACCATGCGTCCGGCTTCCAGAAAGTCCAGCTTGTCCGCCAGATCACCCAGAATAGCTTCCACTTGGTTCAAGATCCATTCGGCAACTACGTCGTTCAGTACATCCTCGATCTAAATGATCCGGGCTTCACCACGCCTATGTGTCTCGGATTCCAGACCAAAGTGGCCGAGCTCTCCAAGCAGAAGTTCAGCTCTAATGTGATCGAGAAATGCATCCGCTGCGCCGACGCCGAGACTAAGCGCATTATGATTGAAGAGCTCATGCACCCCAACGAGCTTGAGAAGCTGATGCGCGATTCCTACGGCAACTATGTCATCCAGACTGCGCTCGAGTTCGCTCCACCGGATATGTGCCTTCACCTGATTGAGAGCATGCGACCTATCTTACCAGGCATCCGTCAGACTCCATATGGACGACGCATTTCCACCAAGGTTCAAGAACGTGAGGGTCGTCTGGCTGCCTTCACTGGTCGCACCACCTCTGGACATGTCTCTCCGCACACGATCTCAACGACCCAGTCTCCTGAGATGGCAGCCGCCTTCACCGGCCAACTTCCGGGCTCTTCCGCCTACCAATCTCCACCCATGTATACCTCCACAAACGCCTATGGCTCCAATATTGCCTCACCGCAACCCCACCGTTTGAGCAACCCGCCCCTTCCCAACCACCTTCAGAACTCTGTACAGAACCAGGCTTATCAACAGTTCGGCCTCCCCCCATCCAGTGGAATGGGCAACTTCTTCTAAGCGCCGACGCTAATGAGTCCCTTGACGACGTAACGAGTTGACGATTAACGGCCGCTCTTGCGAAGATACGTTACCTGGATACCACCATATCACTACGCTCTATCGCTACGAGTTGTCAATCTCACACGTTGGTGTTCGGTGGCCATTTCCTCAAGGAGCGATTTCTTTCACAAAAATTCCCAATCTTGCTTGCCTGCCATCAGGTTGCGAACCATTTCCAATTCATTTTGGATCCCAACATTGAACGATGATTGGCTTGTAGGCTTGTCTTGTATAGTATTCTTGCTCACATGCACTGCGGTCACTGTTCCTACATACACAAGCATTCTCAACGGAGCTTCGGACTATTTTTCGGCATCGCCAAGGCGCCACGGAGCGGTCTTACGATGGGATTGCATCAATCCATGGATGCTGGAACCTTTTTTTTTCATTACTTCCCCCGCTTCCTTTATCGGCATTCTTCCCCACTACTTCCAATTCTTACCCCCATCGACTTGCACCATTCCTTTCTATGCTGTCTTATTCTGCCTGCACAATGCATATCTTCACGATGGGCATCACTGCATTCCCGTTATTTGCTTGCCCTTGTTTCATGACATGAGCGGCATACATTCTTCCCTATTCTTCATGATGGCACACAGCGCCTAGGGCTTGGTTACGGATATACTCTGCGACTGGCTTTGGGGGGGCGGGAGGGCGGGGAGCTTCTAGCCTTCTCTGACGGATTTCTCTGAAGGACGGTGGACGGTGGATGGTGGATGGTGAACTGTGGACGAATGACTTTTCTATGCGTTGAAGCGACGTCTTTGCCAAACCAAACTTGCTCTTTCCAGCTTGTTGACGTTTGCAAATTCGTTGTGACACGCACACATTTTATAGGTAGCACCTTCACAGGTGGCAATTGGAACCATGATATTATTTGATCTTTGGCACACCAGATACTGAATTGAGCGGGGCTGGCGTCTTGTGAAGTAAGGTGTGGCTGCCAAGAGGCTTTTACGCCACCTTCCGCTCTGAGACAAGTAAACCGATGAGCGCATTCCAGTCCCTGTCGTGCCTGCCTCTCCCGCTCCCTCCGGCTCCCGACATCTATTTAGGCACTCGCATATCCCACCACCGACCTTCCTCTTCGCCCTCTTCGCCCCGTAAAAGCTCGACATATAAGTACTGCACACCCCGCTCAGCCCACCACCTTCATCATGCGATTCGCCTTGTTCTCACTCCTGCTCGCGCTTCTCGCCGCCTTCGCCATGGCAGTCGCACCTCAAAAGAGCGTAGTGATCAGCTATCCAAAAGACACCCCTCAAAGCGTAGTAGACCAGGCCATGGATGCCATCCGCGAAGCTGTACGTACTTAAGATGCGCGGCCAAGTCGATAAGCCTCTGATGTAACTACTTAGGGCGGCCAAATCACTCATACGTATAGTAAGTGCTTTGTCTTTGGTCTTCTGCTAGTGACAATATGCTAATGCAGCGATAGACATTATCAAGTAGGCCAAACTGACCTTGCCCGCCAAATGCCGTACTTACAGACTCATAGGGGCTTCGCCTGCAATGCACCCGCCGCTGTTCTGGAACAGGTCCAGGCTTGGGGCAGCGAATACAATGCACTCATCGAGGAGGATCAGGTTGTCACGACCAACAACAAAGAATAGACTTCGATGGCCAGATGGCGTTGAGGGGTGGGCGGAAACGTAAAATTGTACTTTTGTAGTCCATGGGATTCATACCTCGTCATACTTATGGTGTTTTTGGGGTGCAGGAGTTTCCTGGAAGGAATGCAGCTTTGGCAGGAGCTTGGTTCCCGGCAATCGTGCAGAGGCAGGGCCGGGCGGATGCTTTCGTTTTGCAGGAAACTAGGTTAATGTTTTTGTGGATACATGGATCACGAACAGAGTGGACGTTCTGACCTTGCGCTTGCATAACTATGCTGATGAAACATGATGGATTGGGCGACTACACCCGCTGATTCCCCGCCAAAATGGATGAATGGGCGAGTACGTGTTTGAGGCACGCGCATCGTTTCAGGCATGACCGAATGTCATGCATAGCATGCGATGGGCCTTCTCATACCTCAGCTTTCTCGCATACTCTTGCGCAAGAGCTCTTGTTGCCTTGTTAACTTGGCTCACCTTGCAGCAGCACGATCTTGCCGTTGTGAGTCCTTCTAGAAGCTCTCGGTTAGCGTCAATCCATTGCCGACCACCACCACCACGCGTCGAACAGCCTTCGCTCGCGCTCACCAAGCTCCTCTCCATGATTTCATCGCCCGCTCACCATGCATAGCCCCCATTCGTTCGACACTGAATATCCCCTCAAGATAACTACGAGCTTTGGCGGCTCATAAGATGGATGACTTCAGGCCCGAGCTTCTGAAAGCTCTCCTCGACTGGGTATGCACCGCGTTCAAGCCCCCTCCCAAGCCTCGGTAGTAACCCAGACTGACTTTCGGTATACAGGTAAACACGTTTGAGCTCCCAGGAAGGGTCAGCACATGGAATCAGCTCGAAGATGGCCAAATTCTGTGGCAGATACTGGCCGACGTCGACGCTGACTACTTCAACGAGTCCCTCCCCAACTTCGACGAGACTCACCGAAGAAGCTCGGATAACTGGATACCGCGATGGCAGAACCTCAAACACATCGAACGGGCCGTCTCGACATACATCCGCGAGGAATGCGAGCAGCTCCCCGTCCTCACCAAGCGCATGATCCCGGATCTGAAGACCGGCGCAAGGGATGGCGCTACAATGCTCACCGCAAAGCTTACAATGGGGGTTCTTCTTGCGGCGTGCTATTCCCCCAAGTCAAACCAGCGCATGATACAAGTCATGGGCCAGCTTGGGAATAAAACGGCCGAGACGATTGCAGAAGCGATCCAGGAAATGCAGTCGCTGGATTCGAGGATGGCTGCGCTCGGTGTCGATCAGGAATTAACTCCGGAGCCCAGCCATTCAGGCTATCGGACGCCTACGAGAGCTGTTTCCGGGGCAGGGTCCGCCGTCGAACGAGACTCGGGGTTAGAGCAGGAGGCTCAACTATTCGAAGCAACCCGGGACCGGAATGCCCTCAAGACACAAGTCTCTAAGTTGAAGGAGGAGCTTGAGAAGAATCGCGGTCGCATCTCACAACTTGAGGAAGAGCTGGTTGAGGCAAGGCTACATCTGGATGTCCGGGGGTCTTCACAAGTTTCTTCCGAAAATCTTGAGCAGCTACGAGCAGACATCTCTCGTGACCGACAGTACATTGCCGAGCTAGAGGCGGATCTGTCGAGTGCGAGGGAAACCGTGGAAAGTCAGGAGCGTCGGCTCGAGCGGTTAAAAGCCGATGATGCATCCAAGCAAGAACTACGCGATCAACTGCAGTTGGTCAAAGCCGAGCGTGATGAACTGAATCAAAAGGCGAAGGCAAATGAAAACCTGAAGAAAAAGATCCAGACCCTTACACAGGAGACAAAAAACCTAGAGACACTTCGCCAAGACTATCAGCTTGCCCGCGAGCGTCTCCAGGACCTCGAGGGCGTCGAGGAGCGGTGTATAGCGGTTGAAAAAGTCAACAAGGAAAATAGCCAAACCCTCGTTCAGTGTGAGCAGTCGATTTTTGAGGAGAAGGGAAAGAGGACCAGGGTTGAGCATGACAATCTGCTCCTAATGAAACAGCTTGAACAGACACGAGAACTCCAATTCAAAGCGGAGGATGCAAAGCGAGAACTGGAAGATCGCATCCGTGAACTTGAGTCCTCAAATCATGCTCCCCGTGGAGGTAGCCTCGAGGATGAACTCGCTCGGGACGAAAATGGCGATAACCTTGATGAACCATCAAGTGCGAGGACGATCACTGAAGGTCGAGTAAGCTCAGACGCAATTGCATTACAGCAGAAAGTCGACATCTTGAACGCGCGACTTAAGAAGCTGGAAACCGAAACGCTTCAGCATATGCAAGAGAATCTTGGGCTGAGATCGGACATGATGGCAAGTAAGGATGAGTCGACTCAGCGGTACGGGCTTCACTGATACAACCACAAATATGGTTCGGTAGTTGACATACCAATTTCAGGCCGTTTCTCGAGCAAAATCAGAAGCTCCAGGCTGCACAGGCTGACCTCGAGAAACTTCGTTGCCAACTTCGCGAGAAAGACCTTGAGGTTGCAGAGCTTCGAAATGACCTTAACAAGAGTGAGTCCCATTTGTCACCAAATGCTAGCATATCTTAACAGATGACCAAGAATCCGATGTAAGCGAAGAGGCAAAAGCTGAAGCTCGTCAAACTGAGAACGAGCGTCTCCTCGCATTTCAGCAGAGGACTCTGAGACGGCTTCGAGATCTTGAGCTTAGCAACGAGGAGAAGACTAGCCTTCTTCGCGCAGCACTTCTTAGCCGCGGCGACCTAACTCCCGAATTACTAGAGCTCAAGAAAGCGGAGACCTTGCAGCTTATTCGAGAGCAGATCGAAGGTGTCGTCAAGGCATCATCAGAAAGACAACCGAAAGTGCTCGACACTACCTCTGCAGATATTACAGATACAATACTGGCTTCTCAGGCCGCATTAGACAAAGCAAGAAAAGTAAGCCAAGAACAACTTCATCGGAGCACGCAAATTTCTGCCTCCACACCGGCGGTCTCGACCTTGAGATCGCAGGTGGTATCTTCCATTTCCCCTCTTTCATCTCCCTTCAGTGCTCGTAACTATCCCACCGATACGCATGCTACACAGGACAGCTCCGGAATAATGGGTCATCCTTCGACGGGTAACACAGGCCAACCGATATGGGGAGGGGCGTTGAAACCTCACAGCCTCAGGACGCGAAAGAATGACTCGAATGCGACGTCGGAGACGTTCTTCAGCCGGTGGTCCTCTTGTGCGGCAAGTCCTGGCCCTGGCACGTCTTCGAGCAAATCCCGCATTTGGAACATCTATAGTGTTATGGCATTTCCTTCAGATATGGGCCTCCCGCCCCCAAAACTTGCCGCAGTCCTTAGCTGTATTTCCTAATTGAACCGTTTGCTAACATAACGCACTAGGACCTTCAAGAGCAGAGAAATATCAATGACTCGCTGCGCGAGCAGCTTGAGAAAGCAAACAAGGAGGTTGCTGAGAAGGGTTCGGTAAGCGTTACGGCTATAATTATCCCTCTCATACCCCCATTTCTAGCTAAGCCTGCATATGCTTGTCTAATATTCACACAGGCCGAACTCCAGCAAGAGCTCGAGAACCTCCGTCGCGAGAACAAACTCATAACGTCCGCTTGGTACGATATGACAACCCGATTACAAAGTAATACTGTTGTGCTTCAACGAAAGAGTGAAGCGCCCAAGAGCTGGCTGGGAAGGCAGCGTGTTGCCGTCGGTGGGAATGGAAGCGCTCGGCGATAACACTGAGCATTTGAGTTGACCTCATAAGGCGAGTTTTTTCCCGCTCGGCAAGCTATTACATAGATAGTCTTATGACTGACACAGCATCAGCTGATGCCCGCCCCCAACGTGCTTCCTTCATCTCCCCTCATCGTCCATCTCCCCTTCCTGTGGTGCATAGCGTCGGCTTCTTGGTGGACTTATTGTTGGCATGGCCTATTTCTCAGATTGGCAGGATTATACGTATACACACGAATCTTCTTGTTCCTCCTCCATTATACCCACTTTTTCACGTTATTCCTGCATGCGGGGGGCCGTTTTGACCCTTCACCCTTCGGCCTTCTATCACGCATTCGGTGGTGGCAGCGGGAGCGGGCTTGTTGTAAAGTGTTGGGTTGGGTTGGGTTTGTGAATCCCTGGTGTGCCTGTGGGTTGTGGACTTTTCACTCATGCGGGAGCGGGATTGGTAGATTTGCATATGAAGGAAGGCGGGCAGATGCGTCATAGAAGATTTTGGCTTGATTATGCTTATGAGTGTGTGAGATGTGACTGAATGATCAGAGTGCGGATTTGCAGTGGAGCACCACGTACCTTAATGGTCCGAAGGGAGCGTGCCGACACTAGATTCGATTTACGATTTCAAAAGTGCTAGTAGTCGTGTTCAGTTGTAGTACGCCTTTAGCAGTCTAATATGTTCTTCCTGATCGGGCAAGACTTTCCTACAACTTCGCCGAACGGCCGGCTGGCCGCGTTTAGTTGATAGGAAATGTGACGGGAGAGCGACGGTCGCACGCCTGCAGCCTATCACCCTACCTTGAAGTCTATTGTGGAGGATTGTGTATCGAAGTGGGGACAAGAGAAGGGTGAGGATTGTGGTGGTGTTGCGAGGAATTGCCCAAGTGAATTCGGATTCGTGGAGGTATACCTAAGTGTCTTCCCGAGGTTAGCAGACCCCGTTGGTGAGATATTGGACTCTGATGTCTAGGGGCCTTGTGGAGTACTTAGGGAGTGTGGAGGTCGTTTAGGGGAATGTTTGGCTAGTATCAATCAACCCAGTGCTGCGCTGAACAGTCAGCTCAGGCGTAAGGCACTAGACAAAATGTCTCAACCGAGTGACTCTCTGCTATAGCTAGGAGGTAGGATATGGTAAAGGAGTTGGATCACAGCATGCACACGCAAGTCAAACGCCCTCGAGCCTGTCGAGGTAACGCACTGGCTGTTTCCGCCAATGGCCGCCGGACGGACCCATCTGTCCTCGGCTTCTTCCTTCAAACTAAAACATTCCAGAAACAAAAATGCGTTTCACAACCCCTTTAACAAAGGCTGAGCGGTGCCTCAGAGGCGATAGCGAAGCTGCAGATTTCTCCTTCCCTACTGTTCCTCCCTAATTTGGATTGATATCCTGTTACCTCGCGGCCTAATTTCCCGTTGATTACTTCTAAACTACAGATGATAGCAAATTAGATCCTAAAGGTAGATTGATCCCAGAAAAAAAATGCGATTCTGATATCGCATATCCTCTACAAGATGTACTATCAGCGTTATCCTTCCCGCACTCTATTGTGATCGAGAGTCCTCATACCATTTGGTAGATGAAACCGGACAGCTCGAGTTGCGTTGGGAATATAATGCGAAGCAGGAAACCCTATTCTTAAAAACATATCTACTGGAGTAGAGAGCGTAACGAAGACGCGTCTCCACATTGATGGTACCCTGTAACACGTAAGCTTATCGTTGTTATTTATGGAAGCGAGAAGAGAGGTTCTGGGTTCACTGTTATAAATATCTGTCTCGAAGTTTCGGAGCTAGGTTTTGCTGCCTTCTGTTACAGACGAAAGCAGGTAGGAGGAATACATTCAGCAATTGCCTGCATAGGCGATCAAGAAAGAATCGATAGGCAAGAAGGAATTAGCAATCTTGTCATCTGCGGCTGAATGGATTTCTATCGCATCTAATGACGGTCACTGCACGACAGAGGATCTTCAGAACACACCTCAGGTTCTGGAGGCCTCTAGCAGACGGGATCAATATATGTCGCTTTCTCCCAGAAGCATCACATGTTCGAGCCTGCCTCTTTGAACGATATACGTTGCTAACATCAACCTGAAGCTATAAGTCTTGTGTATTTAGAGTGGCCAAGGCTCGTGACAAACGTGATCGAGACCTTCAGCACACGTCAAAACTAAAAAGCAACACTCTTTGCGTCTCGCAGTGTATCTCCAATAGCTCCTCCACGTTCTCGCACATCTGCTTGATGCCGTAGTCATGCCATTCCTACCATCCCTACGGCTTGCTCACTTTTAGTTTTGTTCCATGTGGGGTAGGCACGCTGGAAAATAGCGCACTGTTCCAAAGCTGCTGAAGCTACATCCTCTTCGGGGACTCCAGCGATTCCGATTCCAGAGCCAGTTACATGGAGCCGCGTTCATCGAGAGAGCGCGCCTGTAAACGAGCGAGAGTGAAACTCTCATTGCTTTCTCTGGAGATCGCGTAAGATAAAGCAAGGGCTATTACATTGGCCGACGGCATGGGCGATGAGCCGGCTATATCAAGGTGGTATGCATGTACGATCGCTTCGGGAGAGGCGACAGCGGAGGGAAGTCGTGGCGCCTTCGACCTGACTGCATTCAATGTCGACGGTGGTGCCGGTGCACCAAGCGACTGGACGACTGGTGGCACATGAGTAGGCGCATATGAACAAATCTCTGCTGCAAGAGTAAGTTTGGTGGTCTTGACTGAAGGCTGGTAGTGTTGTTTAGGCTCTGGGGAAAGTCTGCAACTGAAGCGTGGGTGGGAGATGGCAAGGTGCGGGTGCATGTTTGCGAGAATACAGCCTTGAGAACATTAATGGGGAATTGCGGCGGAGGTTGTGTGACGGGCGAGTTCATCCTTGCAGTGTCGAACTGAGCTGATTGATGTCTGATCACGTACATTGCGCAGAAAGTCAGTTCTCTGGGTGAATTGAGGCACGATTCGCCCTGGTGCGAGACACGAGAGGGCAACGCTAATTGCAGGCTGAGTGCTGAGGTGCATAAGGTGTAGAAGGGAGGATTGTAATCTGTGAGATGTCAGCGAGATGTGTTGCCGTGAGTTCGTGGGGGTAATGTTTAGAGTAAGGGGGAAGAGGGTGACACATGACCATGTCTTGCCACTATCACACCAGGATGGTCTTCGACAACGAGGTCACCATCGACATCATTCCCCCTGACTTCTCTCGATTGCCTTCTAGAACAGTAGTTGTTTATTAGATTTGCATAAGTGGTCAAATTAATGCATGATATTAGCCGCACAGAGCCTTTGGTATAACTAGAATACTCGAGGCTGAATCAGATGAAGACTGCAGAGGATTCACGCCAACGTGTTACAAACAGATGGGTGGTATTCAGGGAACCCATTCACATTTCAGCTTTGTGCTTCTCTATCGTTATAGAGATTCTGCACCCACCGCTAGCTATAGTTTTCCATGTCTAGGTATGGGCTGTTCTCAGAAACCCCTGTTCCAAGGCATCGGCATGCCTGAACCCACCCATCAGTTCCTGACGCAGCTTTCACATCTCTCCGGAAACGATCTCTCCACAGAATATGTCGTTGTTGCTGTCGTTAGAATATCTTAGTCCGTCCATCTGGCTACAACTCCTCCATGTTTTCGTCTGTTAAGTCCAACGGCGGAAAGTCGCCTACCTCACATCGCTCAGGGCGAACAAAGGTGCCGTAGTTGTTCCCACATGTGAAGTATTTCTTACCCTTCACCGACCCGTCATTTTTACCCGTGGGCTCGTCGAGAGTGATACCGATCCACGAACCCAGACCGGGGATCTCAGGAACGGGACCGATATAGGAGATCGTACCTCGGCGCGCATCAGACTCAGGAAGGAGGCGAACGCGGGACGATAAAGTTAGACCTTGCACTCAAAGTTAGCCAACCATCTAAAAGGCCTACTTTAAAAAGCTAAGATGATAAGGTAAAGGTTGAGGAGGAGGGAGTAGTATGGAAAAGGATTTCGGCGTGGGAAAACAAGATGCGGGAAAGGGAAGGAGGAAGGGACTGTGAGATGAGCAGGAGTGGCCAACTGCAGTGCAACTGAAGCTGCAAAAGAGATGACCAAGTCAGAAGCAAGTCAATCCAACACCAGTTTGGGTAACCCGCCACGCGTGGCAGATGTCAGTCTTGATAGTGAGGCTGAGATTCACTCGTGCTAGACGGGGAGGGGCCGGCGATGTAGATTGCAGGAGATGCTCAAGATTCCCTCACAACAAGGGAATGATGTGCAGCATGGTGTCACTGACGATCCGCTGGCTTCAGCGGGCCCGCGAAGGCCCAGCTCAATGGCGGCCAACGCGGACCGTCCCCGAATACATTTGCGACCACGACGATGAAGTGGTCAAAAGGGTGCTCGTGCATCGGGATTTAGTCCCTTTTGGTAGTTGTGGTAATTGACGCTGGCGGCTGTCGCCTTGACCTGCAATATATTGAATCTCCTCGAGCTGAAATGGCATGATAAGAGCCAAAGCGAAACTGTGAGGCTGGTGGCAATAGCTCAGAACAGTAGTGAGGTTCGGCGAGAGCTGCACCGGGCAGAGAGGCTGTTTCCGGGGGTATGGATGGCGGAGCGTGATCGCCAAAGCATCCCTATGGATTGGGTGTATGATTGCCGAGTGGCAACAGTGCGAGGTGTGACGGTGCCTGTCAGAGCGCCGTCCAGCTCATGTTCAAAGGTACTCGACGCCATCTACTCGACGCCGTTACAATTTGCTCGGCTTGGCCAAGGCGCATCTGCAGCTGGCCCGAAACGGCAGCGAGCCATGACAAAGCCGGTAGGAGGAGAGTCCTCGCCGTATGATTGTTCTTTTCCAGTCATCCTGTGAGAAATTACCTCGTTTGTGACAAATTGCAGGATGAGACGCTGCGAATCCTTTCCTCGCGATCCATGGAGCTGTGAGCAACAATTGAACGAAAGCAAATAATATGCAAGCGTCCGTTTTGGGAAGTTTTTGAAGCATCGCCGTTGGGGACCGCTCTCTACTAACCACATCTCGCGAAGGGAATACGAGCATCTCCTGCAATGATTCTGTGCGATTGCATGTGCTCTATGACTTGCTTCTGCTGGTCTGGAAGCTCGCCACAACGCGTGGCGTTCAAAAGAGGCATGGTCAGCTGATGGCTCTGGACTTACCCCTCTCTTCAATCTCGCGTTCTATCGCCCGTATCTTCTGCTCTTCGATGCTCGGTGCGTTTGGATCGAAACGACCAAGTTTTTGCGCTTTCTTCCATGCGAGCACGCTGTCTGTCCGCGTCTCATACTCTGTGCTTGGCATGGTATACTTGGGCACAGATGACAGATCGGTGAAGTCTGTGCGAGCGGAAGGCGGGCGGGTGTCTACGACCTAGCAGCAGGAACGATCAGTACGGAATCATGCACGATGACGGTCTTCGCCGCTGGTGAAGTGTTGGGGAGGCCTTCACCGGCCGAAAATGGGCTAATATGCAGGGGATTCCAAAAGCGGAATAACATGATGTTAATGCGAGGCTGGCGGACCAAAAAGCAACGCAGCAAAACAGACAAAAAAGCATGAAGAGGTGAAGAAGAGAGGGGAACACGGTGGGATTGAGGGGTCCTGGGATCTGGCAGCACGATCTGATAACGGTGGCAAAGCAGCGGCTGCGCTCCCAGCACGGCGGTGCCCGCCAAGCCCTGTCAGGGTGGAATCCACCAACGCCCATGACAAAGCTGGAAAAGGCTGACGAGGGCGTTGTGGGGCATCAGCTCTGCAAGTCTGCTGCAGACCGGGGTAGGGAGCCTCGAGAAACAGGCTTGGCCCAGCGACGGAAGAGAAAAAAGCAACATGAGCAGCGTAATGAAAATGTCATGACTGTACGTGCGGCCTCTGGCAGGGGCCGCCCGCCAACATCCAAAACAGCAAAATGTGGCAGTAGGCAATACGACAACAAACCTTGGGCCTCTCAAGGACAAGGCTGCCATGGTCGGGGGGCTCCAGAGGGCGCCAGAGAGGGCGAGAAGGAGAAGTGAACTCACAGTGATTTCCGCATAGGGCTGCAACGGGAATGAGGACAGCTGTGTCTGCTCCTCGTCGGCGGCTGTGACCGCAATGCCATCTTGGGAGCCGACTCGCAGCGTTAGCTGTTGGCACGAGGCGGGGATGCCCGTAATAGGTTCAAGGCGCGACTTGAGGTGCGCTATGCTCCACGAAGGAGTAATCCGGCGCTCCGAGGACGAGTTGTGTGAGCTGATGAGAAGGGGCACGTCGGCTGTGGCCTGGAGAGACATTCTGGCACCGGTGTCAAGCAACAGGTTCGGACTCTGCCCAAGTGTTCGAGACTAGTGAGAGAGAGCGGGATTGAGGGCAAAAGGAAGGTAGAAGGGACAGGTGGATGTGGACGGAACAGTTGATGCGCCAATCCAGGGTTCGAAGGCAGGCCCTGGGAGCAGATGCAGAAGTGACGACGCCAACAAGGTCGAAGGGGTCTGGCAGTGGTGACTTGTCAAGCGTCCTCTGCTGGCCAGTACGAGGCCGATACGGACGGACGCGGTGGTGTTGGGGAGAACCAGTCGCTTAAACACGGCGGAGAATTTCCAGCACAGGTGGGGAGCACGAAAACGGCCGAGAAAAGCAGCTTAAACGAACGCGCAGCCTCCGCCAAGCTAACCCCAAGTGTTGATCACAGTGAATGTCTGAGAACAGAGGCTGCACCTAGGCAGTCTGCAACGCTGCAACCCCCCACGCCGCCAGTCGAGCAGCGTTCGTCCACCACTCTCCACCGGCGTGTCCCTTCTCCCAGCTTGGGCTGCGTTTCGACTGGGACGTCGGGTTCTGTAGGCGACGCTGGCAGCCAGTTGCTTTTCTCTCGCCCACGCGCTCAAGCTCACACAAGCCTACCGTGTCGTCGGCCAAGCCCGGTGATATTACACCCTAATGCCCATGGTGCCCCTTCAATGTTCTCATGCTCGGCACAGATCGCTGGAGGTGCTGTACATTCCATCCCGAGTCTCCGCTTCGGCCTGATGAATCCATCAGTCGCCGCCAAAGAAGCACAAGCACATAGCTTGCAGTGGCTCAGGACGGGCCTCACCGCCTATTGAACACAGCAATGCAGGCCAGACTAAAAATACAGCGTCGCCGGGATACAGTTCCTCCGTATCCAGATTGATGAACTGTTCGGCTGGCTGCGTGCTCATGGGATTGACAGCCAGCTGGCATCGCATACCCCAGATTAGGTTAACCAACCGGAGCCCCCACAGCCAGCCAGACGTCACAGAGGCGCGCTGGCTGCAACGAGCGACTTTGGGCCCTTCATATTGTGGCTCATGAATCCGCAGCCTAAAGCACCTCGACGACACGGATTGCTGGGTCCTGACTGGCCTGAGACCGGGGCTCTGGAAGAATCGTGTTTGCAGCCGCACACAGATTGCAAGGTGACTGAGTGGAGTCCATCATCAACTCTCACCACCACCAGCCCACTCTCGTCACTAAGCCGGTTTAAATATTATTCAAGAACACCGTCCCCGTGCGTCTTCACGGCCGGCTAATGCGCCTTCGGGCGTTTTGGCACCGATAGTGTCTGCGTCCAAACTTCTCAAACATCAACCAACATGCGAGCAGGTTCGGCCTGAATCAGGCAGCGTTCACCGCCTAATGCGCATCATCATTCATCCCTGATGGGCTCGGTTTGTGATGCAAGCTGGCAGACGGCATTTCCGGACACTGCTGCTGTCGTGGTGAGCGATGAAAGATGCCGGATGTCGGGGGGCTCTGATATCATAAGACGGCAACACGACAACAACGTGGCCCCTGGACACGAGACAACGTAGCAGCACCGCCGCAGCCCGGCACAGAGGACCTCTCACGTGGAACACGGTTACACAGACACTGTTGTCTGGCACGGGTGAGGCCGGAGCTAGGGCCTTGGTTCGGACGCAAAGCAGTAGCTTGTTTAACTCGCGTTGGAACCTAAACCGGCAGTTCACCGCTCCTCTGTTTGAACTGACGGCTCCATGTTTTTGCAACAGACACAGACGGTAGCGGCCGTCCAGGGCTGGGTGGCCAGGCCACAGCCGACATCGAGGCCTAGAGGGCCATCGGCAGAGAGCGGAGGGGATTTGGAAGCGAACAAGCTTTTCGGCTTGAACACATCACTACCTGCACCGCCATAATGAAGTCAGCGTTCGCGAGGCTTCTTTCGGTAGCGACTTTTTGGCGTCAGATAACCGTAGGGCAGCGAAGGATGCTGCAGATCTTGTTCGCCGCGCTCCGCCAACCTGCCAGGTCATCGCGCTTCTGCACCCAAGCCCGGCCCTTGGATGTGCGGCTTGCTTGACGTTCGTTCAGCGAATCCCTGAGGCTGTTCACCGCCCAGGACGTCCCGTGATTCGCTCCCCCTTCAAGCACCCCCAGCTGGCAAGACGTGATGCCGACAGCTCGACGATCATGGCAGCGTTGACAGCAGCTCCAGAGGTGCTGAGCGCTGTTTCTGCTGCAGCCCCGTTTTTGGAGAGCGCTAAGGCCTCAGCAGCGGAGAAGGGGGCAGCAAATGAGGCCTCAAATTTCAATATGAAGCAATAATGAAAAGGGCAGAGCCAGAGCACAAGAGTGAGTAATGCTGCCGCAGTGGGGGACACGTCATCGGCATGAGCTGCTACTAGCCAGGCCCGTCGACTGCTTTTTTGTTGCAGCTAACGTTAGTAATTCGATCTTTTTACTTTCTTTCCTTTTGGTGCTGGCCGGCGGTGGTTAGATCGACAGCAGGTGCAGAGACACTCTCCCTGATCAGCTGTTTCTGCCTCTATTTTGGTCCGTGGGTCATCCTCGCAGCCCGCACTGGCGCCGCCAACACAGAGTCAGTACCGGCAAGCCCAGCGTAAAGCAGACTTTGTAGAGTGTCAAGTCAGAGACAGAAAAGGGTGCAGCCTCCATCCAACTACCCGGGATCCCTGACTACCAAGGACGAGGCGGCGCCATTGGCAGAGGGATGCATGGTCATTACGCTCCTGGCCGCACGCCGCCACTAGTTCCTAACCTCTCTATTCACCATGCCCATTCCCTCAAGTTCCTCCAGACCTAATTCTCCGCTCGACAGGCCGTATCCATCATCACCCATCACGACAGTTTCTTCTTCCCCCGTCCTGGCTGCTCTGTAGAGTGGCTATGCACGCTTCCCGTTCAAGGTACTATTGGTCGGCCATGTTTCATAACCCTGCCCAATTGCCTGTCCCATTTCCTAAATAGCTCGCCGAGGGCAACCACTGAGAGCGTGAAGTCTTAACGGTACTTCCCAACTGGCTCCCTGGGCCTACATCAGCACACACAGTTAGACTCTATTCGAACCTCACGGCCGCCCGACTACGTCTCCCTTCTGTTTCTCGTCTAACGCTCACCACTGCATTGTTCCTCTTCGCTGCGCCTGCCTGGCTTTGTTTATCGAAGCAACACCCATCTCGCCCATTTCTTCCCACACTCGACTGGTGTTCTCTGTCACCGAACAGCCTCTCGACTCAGCTTCTCTTTCTGCCTGACGTGAATAGCCCAACGCCACGCCTGGAGCTGGACGCATCGCGTTGTTGCTCGCCGCAGCGTGTCCCCGCGTCAGGCTCCCATCCGGTCGAGAAACTTCGAAGAAACAGCCAGCTTGACCGGTAAATAGCCAAGCAACTTGTATTGATCTGGGTCGGCTAGGGCGCTCCGCGTTTATCGAGATCGATCTGGTGTGGTTCGTAGCTTACTTCTCCAACAACATCCACCATCACCAGCAGCTACATTTCCGTATTTCCAAACTTCTTGGATCCGTCCTAGTAGGAGAGACCCACGGAACGCTTCATCGACTTATGGGCTGGCTCAAAGCTAGCCCAACTCGCCTATCGTGGATATCAATCTACTAATTGAGCCTCGTGGCTCCGAGTCGCCAGCGAGCAAGAAGAGCTCGACTTCAGTAGCATCAACATCTACTGGAGCGACGAGAGCGTATACAACTGCGCCCTCAGCATATACGCAGTCTCCCGCATATGCAACCACATCACCTGCCTACGTTGCTGCATCACCAGCATATGCGACCTCTTCACCAGCTTATGGCAACTTAACTCCCGCCTACTCCACGCCCGGACCGATAGGCTCGTCATCACTAGGAGTTCCATCGATGCAAGGCGGGCCCGTTCTTCCCGCAATCTTAGAGCTACAGCGACACCCGGACCCCACGCAGCATCCCCAGTTCCGTCCGCTCTACACTGGCCCTCCATCTTCTGCAGGAAATCCCCCACCGCCTCCTGGACCAACGGAATCCCCTCCTACACAACTTATCAAACGACAAGCGTCCCAGACTCCACTTCCTGAGGAAAGCCCGGCCAAGAAGCAATCTAAATGGACTCCTGAAGAGGACAACCTCACTATTGAACTACGAGGCCAAGGGATGAAGTGGGACGACATCGCAAAACGTTTACCGGGAAGGAGTTCGATTTCATGTCGATTGCGCTATCAAAACTACCTGGAGAAGCGGGCCATTTGGGATGAAGAGAAGAAGAACAAGCTAGCGAGACTGTACGCTCGGTATGTACAAACCCACTCCCTCATCGCCAAGTTCCGCAGCGCAGAGTCGCAGGCGTTTCCACAAACCTTTGGTCATTTTCTCCGTAGCTTCAGGGGTTGCCCCCAAAGACTGAGCTTTGGTTTGCCACTGCCTAGCCGCTACCGCCGAACATTGACTCTCTATAATGTGTACAAGCAAGCATCGTTTTGCTTCCATCAAATACAGCTGACGAAGTGAGCGCAGATTCAAAGATCAGATGTGGCAGAAAGTCGCAACTGAGATGGGCATTCCCTGGCGCTCGGCTGAGTCAATGCACTGGCAACTTGGGGAACAGGAGATGAGCGCGCGTGCTAACGCCCCTGTCTTCCAGCTCCATCCTTCTGCAACAGGACTCAGTTCTCCCCCGCCAGTTTCTGTGGCTCCAGCATCACACGGATTCACACCAGCAAACGCCAGCCAACTGGTTCCTAATCCACCACTACATCCACAACATAATCCACCACCGCCACCAGGACCAATCCACGGTTATCACCACCGAACAGAGAGTAACTCGAGCCAGGGACGACGCAGGAATAGCTCATTCAGCCGGAAACGAACCGATGCACGATCTAGATCCAGTGTTCCTCCTCAACTTGGGCCCCCCCTTCCCCAATTGCAGCCGGCGTCCGAGGCCGACCTTATTAGTGGAGCAATGACAGCACCTACCTTGGAGACGCATTCAGGTGTTAAGAGGGAAAGCGAAAGTGTAGGATTCGTTGAGCCGTATCTGAAGAGGAGGCGCGAGGAGGAAAGTACTACTACCTATCGACCCGAACCGGACGCACGGAGTCAGGGAGGGCGGAGCCCGGATCGGTCTTCGCAGCGGAGTGGTACAGGGAGCGTGAGGAGTGTAAAGAAAGAGCGCGAGGAACCAGAGAAAATCTCGAAGGAGCCTGAGCCCCCGTCCACTTGAACTCTCGCCGGGTCAAGTGGCATGCTTCGAAGATTCGTCGAACATGTCCGCTGTGCCGCATAGCGTAGTTGACATGGATGTAATTTGCAAGGCGTCATAGATCATGGTAATGAAGGTTTCATAAGTGAAGAGGCGGACATACACACTCGGGCTGGGACCGATAAGAGCATGGACATAATAGGGTTTGCATACTAGGAACACGCGTTGGTTCCAGGTCCTCGAGCCATTTCAGACATACGCACAAGTCGGGAACGGGTTCAGGTTGCATAACGACTGAGGAACATTTGGTCTATCTTCAATCATTATCAAGCGACAACGATTGTGGCATTTAGCGCTGGGCGGGTTAGTCTCTTGCTTTTCTCACTTTATTCTCATCTCGTCTTACAAACATCATAGCGGTGCGGTGGCTTTGGGCTTATCAGTTCTTGCTTGTTTTATACACTCATAGGCGGTCATGATTGTGCATTTTCCAGCGTTTGAAATTTTTGTGTTTTATTTACTTTTCTTTTCTTTTTCTTCCATCATTATCCTCTTCGGTACGTTTGTGCATTACGAGCGAGCGAGCGAGGCGGGACGAACCGTTCCCAACTGATTCATTCCTGCAAAGAAAAATATCCATACGTTTCTCTTTAATTGATCATCGGATCATTTCAAGACCACACTCAATATTAGAAAACCGGTAGCGTCACAGCTCCGTTGGTGCGCCGAATGATTGTACCCTGAAGCCGTCATGGCTATGATTGTAGACTAGTTCCAGCAGCCTGTTTTGTTGTCCTTTCCTTTCATTTCCACCTCTATTTCTCTCTAACGAATCTCATACCTCAATTATTTTTTCCCAACGCACGCACACACGCACACACGCACACACAAGGCATTCCCCCCATGCCCAAGGTAAGAGTCCCATGCAATTGTGGCGGTGAATTGACATCAACATTTGCCGAGATATTTCCAGCGCTTGCGACCCTAGGATTGATCGTTGATGACGTATCCGGGGGCTTGCAGACAGAAGACAACAAAAGACGCAACCTACGTGGCTTGCTGCGCGTTGAGTTGTCATGATGAAAATTCTTCGTTTTTGAGCTGTCCCTGTCCTTGACTTCAAGGTTGTACAGCCTCATGTGTCGGACAACGAGTCACGTTGCATGAAGTTGCTTGAACAAGCACGCATCCCTTTTCCCTCGTCACATCTGACCGTTACGCAATGTCGCTTTCGCTCTTTCGCCGGTATTTGATCAGGATCAACCCTCGATGCTGCGTTCGAACGGTTCTTGAAAGTTCGTGAACGGTTCGGGATTGTTCCAAAGCGTTGAAACCAAGAGGGTTAATCCTTGTTTCGGATTATGCTGCGCGACTTTTTGGCGCGACCTCGCTTCAGCTATATTGTGGGTGTGAACTTCTAGAATGTCAATGCTATAGGCTATAGTTACTATGTCGATTTAAGGTTGATGAGTTATTAATTAATAGGAGGTGTCTAGAAAGAATAACACAGTTTCGGCATTGAATTTCATGCCTTGAAATCCTGGAGCTTGGATGGCTTTGATGCAACGGCTCATGATTCCGTGCGCCCGAAGTCCTAGGATTGCCTGCGAACATGTTCAAACATGATGAATGGTCAAACATCGCGTCTCACGGACCTGCGATCAGGTCATTCTGAGTAGTGCGCTCGACGCTTTCGTGCGCATCCTCTGCCACCACCCACCTGTTCGCACTTCCTGAGTCGTTGTGACACACATAGTTGCACCAGGCTGCCTTGAGTTGGAAGAACACTTCCGAAGCAAGCTCGTGTCGTGCCCCCGACAAACCTCTATCTTTTCTGGAACGTTTTGAGATGTCCGACGACGGATTCCTGTCAGACTTTAACAGCGCATTTGGCAAGGAGCGCGAACCTCCGACAGAACAGTGGATGTTGCGGTTGACCTTCCGTAGCGGTCCACTGTACTGAAACAGGCAATTATGGTCGACCATCTTTCTTCCTACCCACGGTCCGAGATGGCTCGAGAGCCGAAGCCCACGCTCAGCGCGAGTCAAAAAACATGTCTATAAGAAACAAGACTTATCTTTTCCACATTCTTTGTGTGTGCGTGCGTGCCTCACCTCAGCAGCCACAGTATTGAAATTTGAAGCAGCCTTGCTTTGCGCATCTCACGTACTCTCGGCAGATTGCTGTGCTGGCATGCAGACCCCATACCCAACTTTAGATGCGGGTGCTAACGGCGATGCCTCGATCGCCCCAACCTACTGGATCACAGTGGTTCTCGTTGAGAACCGGTTGCTTGTTAGCTTTGCATGCGAAACTGAGACCGGCTATGTGCTAAACGGAGCGTATGACTCGCGAGAACACAGGAAAATTCCGAAGCTGGGAAACCCAAGCTCGATCGTGCAGTCAAGATGGGGCGGATAGTGAAGCGGTGTTGACGTATGCTCGGGATAGTAGTCGAGTCGTGTGTTGTCCACGGAGTTGCGTCAAGTTAGGCAGACTTGGGACCGGAAGGGCTAGGGTTCTCGGGCATCATCGACCATCAAAGAAGGTAATGGAATGAATTTGCGAGGAACCTGCTCTTGGAAAAAGACTAGGCATCGCGAGAAGGCATCCGTTTGGATGGGGAAGTTGCCATCCAATCGGTCGTCCAGATTGTCTGTTCGCTATCATCTCCAGCAGGCGTCAGAGCCCCTAATACGCCGACAACATCACGACTCGGATCGATTATGAGAAAGGAAAGACCTCAGATCAAAGCAGACACCGGGAAGTCTTCCGTGTCCCAATAACGGGTCAGAAGAGCGATAGTGGCGAGGATGGGACGGAAATGAACGCTCTGTTCTAAAGTTCGGTCATACCGACTTCACTTCTCTCCACCACCATCAGCTCCAGTCGTCTAAGCCTGAAAACTTCAAAAAGACTTCAATGTCGTCATAGCTCTATGACTCGTAACCGAACTTGCCCCATATTCTCCCGAGAATACATAGCCCATCACTTCAACGAGGAGCTGCTCGATCGCGTTACACAAGACTGACCATATCCAGAACGAACTGACGGAACAGTAGCCTCGCAGCAAATACCCCTAATACAACTTATTGTCATACTCATCGTTCAAAAACTCTTCCAACAAACACTTTTCTCACCGCTCTACACCGCTCTTCACCCGCCGCCATTCGTTTACCCTCCTAAACAACAGACCATCTTCAATGGCATGAAACCGAAATTCAGACCTGCATCGCCACCGGTCTGCTGGGCCATTGCCACGCTGAAAGCGCCAGCCAGCCACACCGATCAAATTCCCGCCGACGAAAATGCCCACCAGTCGCCTTCTTCATCACTGTTGCACAGGGTCTAGGGGAAGCGGGCCAAATGTGTACAACTATTGACTCTGTGCCCAAGATCAAAGACATCGGTATCAAAGCGTTAGGGGAAGGCAGCCAGTCGCACAAGGCTAAGATTAGGATTCTTGCACTGGGAGACTCATTGACCTCTGGTGTGAAAAGGTGTGGTTGCACGAGCATGGGGCAACGTGTGTCACACACAACGGGGACCTGTCAGAACTTTGAGAGAACGTGAGCTGTCGGATTTCTGTGCGCCGCACAAACGCCATCCGGCGGTTTCCTGGAACGATATGGCTCTCCTCAAGATGGAGATACTGGGCGACCGCAGGACTAATATACGATTTCAATATCGATGAATTGGCCAAATCACCACGATACGTGCCTATGAGCTCTCTCTGTCTATCAGCCAACTCAGTATTGAACCCTTTCCGCTCTTCTAAGCAGCTACCACCTCCCAAACCGTCACGATCCTTTCAGCCCCACCACCAAGGTCCCACGGTGCCGGTGTCCAACCTCATCTCTCGTCTAGCTCCCCGAAGATGCTGCGGGGATCCGTCAGTAACATCGGCCCTCTCGATACGACATTCGCTTCGCTCATGTTACAACAATGGCCGCCTTATGCCGTACGCTTTATTCCCTTCACCTCTCCCTCAGCCGTGCGGGCTCATAGAATACACGCGCCCCTAATCCTAGTAATGGAGAAAACGGGAACGGGAAGGAGCAGATCAGGATATGGAGGGAAATGGGGAGAGGAAAACCGGGACAGCGGTGAGAGGAAGCGAAAGTCGGTGAGGAATACTATGTTTAGGTCTTTGGAAAAGAGGATGGGTATGGAGAGACTGGGGATTTTGGAGGAAAAGCCTGATGGATGTGGGACCAAGTGTTCGATCGAAAGGATATGAAGCAAGGACCATCATGATCATTCCATTACTTGCACATGTGAACACTTCTATGCATCCGCAACCACCGCCCATCATCGTGAACGCAAGTACCGAAGCTAGACGTACACGCGCATACACTAACCCGGCGAACCCATTTCGCCGAGAATGAAAAATGGTGAAAACAAGGTTAAGAACACCATATTAACTCCACCATCAGCAGCCTTGGAAGGAAGCCGAGGCCAAATTCCACGCCACCCATTTTACCCCGTTGCCATTTTGCACCATACATAGTACCACTTTCCAACTTTGCGGTCTGTCACCGCCAGATAGGCCCTCTTCACCGCCAGAACTACGCAAGTCTAGGCTCAGCGAGAAAGACAGACCTAGTTGTCCTCCTGCTCGTGGTCTGGCTCGACGGGAGCCTGCTCATGGGCCTGCGCAAAGAAGATGCGAGCGACCCCTTTGCCCACATTGGTGATGCTGTACGTATTCCCTAAGAACCATGGTACATTAGCCAAAAAATACCCCACAGTACAGGTGCATATGCGAAACGAGAAGCTAGGCGAGGAGCTTTAACACGAAACAGGTAAAGCGCCAGACCGAGACGGGAATTGAGTAGCTCGTGGGGTTGGGATGGGATGTGGACAGGTGATGTCGTACAACTCGACGGAACAAAGATGCAGCGAAAAAGGAAACAATATGGGGAAATGTGCAGGCGCTTCTCCCAGCAGCAAATGCAGCGAAGAACAGGAAATGTTGGTAAGGCTCAGGTTACACAACATGCGAGGGATGCAGCTAGCTCCAGCCACATCTGCGCGTGACCGAAGAGAAATCCAGCTCCGTTTGACCTCGCCCATTCGGGCTGTGCGAGGTTGCAGCAACGCTAAGAATGAAGTCCCTCTCATGCGGTCTCCCGTTGGTTTCGAGCCAGGGAGATAAGGTTAAAGTGACTGCCGTTGTACAGAGGCAAACACGCCTCAAGCACATTGTTGTTGTTGGGTTCTTCCTCTCCGATTGCTGTACTGAGATAAAGCTCTGCAGCCGCTGGGGAAATGGGACAGAGCAAGGACTTCGAAAATAGAAGGCAAAAGAAAACAGTAAAGACCCATTGACATGAAAAGATATAATCGCTCACCTCGAGGAACTTGCCAGAGTCCACCCTTGCGGATCGTGAACTCATTGTCGTGAACCCTAACCGTCACCGTTCCAGTCTGAACGAAGAACACCATGTGCATTCGTCGGCAGTTCTTCGTGCGCTTACTACCGTTCACTGGGAGGTCGATTGCTCCCCAGCTGAAAAATGAATTGGGAGCCGACGCCAGTTTCGTGAACTTGAACTGGGCTTCGGGGACATCTACCGGCCTGATCCCCTTCTCGGACCAACCAAGTGCTATCACAAAGTCAGTGAGGCCCACAAGGGGTTTAGGGGAGTAGCTGGGCATACCATCGTCGTAATAGTTGCTCGTGGGAACCTCTGCGACTGGATTGAACCCTCTGAAGGTACCAACGAACAAGCCATCCCTCTCTTCCCAATCCTCAAGTCCGACATCATCGTCTTCTTCTTCAATGACTCGAAGAGCCCGCTTCTTGCCCTTTGGTCTCCCAGTGTACTTTTTCGGGGGAGGTTCTTGTGTTTCGTTGACAACAATTGACTCTAGACTGCCATCCTTGGCATACGTGACCTTCTCACTCTTCCAGAAGTCAACTGGTTTAACAAGATGTCTTCCTGAATGGCGAGCCATGGAAACATTTGTCGCCTCATCGGGACCCATTTCTCGATACACAGAAAGCAAGGTTCGGCCTCGTCCGTATCTCGATGCTGTAGAAGTGGTAGACAAGTGGTCAATATCGGCTTTGGAGAGTGGGTTCCCAGCACTATCAACAAGCTTTCCACCATTCGGTACCTCAGGTTCCACACTCTTACCGTTGGTCTTTGATTCAGACTTGGATCGTGCAATCGCTCCAGGCTTCGTAATCGCCTTTGGCTTCTTAAATGCTGGCTCGCCTTTCTCCTTAGCTGGTAATGCATTTTGCACTTGGGGCTTAGCCTTGGTCAGATGTCGTCCTCGGGATTTGCCTGGATTGGTAGTAATAGATTTCTCCGTGTTTTCTGTCTCATCCACGGAGTTGTCCAACGCAGTGCTTGATTCCTGATCGGTCATCTCAGAAACGCGTTTCGATCGGCCCTTGCCTCGTGGTTTGGCAGTTGGTGGATGTTCTGCTACTTTGCTTTTCTGTGAGGAAGCCGCTTGAACAGCTCCAGCACCCCTCCTCCTTGGCCTAGATGATACGGAGGATGGTTCTTCAACAGTCGAATCAATGGCATCGCTCTTGCGCTTCCTTCCCCTCTTCACGGGCTGTGGAGTAGGCTCGGGTTCCACCTCTGGTTCATCTAGATCTGCAGATGCATCCACCCCGTTGGTTCCTATCATTGATTCATATCCGTCCCCGACGCCCCCGTCAAAGCTCTCCTCGCCAAACCCATCTAGCATTTCGGAAATCTCATTCACTGAGATATCTCCTTGCACTATACTATCCTCGAGAGCTGCACTGACATCCCGACTTAGCGAACGCTCGATGTCATATATATTCGCCCGCGCTTTGCCACGCGCTTTGCCACGGCGCTGGCCCGAACCACTCAAGGCAGGAGTCTCCTGTAGACTGGAGTCCTCTTGGTCAAAGTCCAAGCGCCGACTGACTGCCGGGTGTGAAGATTCTCGGCTTGGGCTGGCTGTTGCTTGGTGTAGTGAGGACCGAGGACCCATGGAAGTTTGTCGTCGTGGGGATGATCCGAGGGCAGTTTTCATAGGGGAGCGCGATTTCGGTGGTGGCAGTTTCGTTCGAGCGCTGCGAAGGAGGTGGCCGGCGTGGATTGTGTCGGTGATGTCTGGAATGGTGCCTAAACACAAACACTATGGTCAGCAAATAGATTCCAAACACGATTAGCCACGCGTAATTGGCGGTACAATGTCGTAAGAACATACTCTCTTGGATGTCCATAGACTCTGATGTCGTCACGGTGCCTCCAGTCTTGCGAGAGCTTCCGCGCTTTGGTGGAGACTTCACCGGCGAGGAGAAGATACCGGAGATAGGTTCCATGCCATGTTCATCGCGAACACCTCTATCCTCGAGAGTGATGCCGGTTTTTCTTGGATTATCTGTCAAATTGCCGGGTCGTGGAGCTGTCGCGCCGATGTTTGATCAACTTACCTGCCCTGCACTCCAACATTGAAGAATTGATTCTCGCGTTTCTTTGTGGGCGCCATCGTTGTCAAGCCTGAAGAGGTGGTCCGAGGATCCAATTGACGCGTTGAAAGTATGTCGACCGCGGTGCGCGTGCTTTCGCGGATCAAGTAAAGTTGTTGTCCTGGATCGGGAAGTGTCTTGGTAACACCAAAAATTGAGACATAAATGGACAAGCGGGGCGCTAAAGGCTTGGCGGAACCGACACCTCTCTCGATCACATCTATCTACGAAATGTTCTTCTCACATGACACCATCGACCTTGGAGAGGGCGTGAGGCATGCGATCAAGAATTCCAGAGCAGTGAATTCGTCGCCCTACTCTTAGCCTTGTTGGCGCAACCACAAAAACGAGAAACTGCTCCCAAACTTTCGATATATGAGCAAAAGGAAACGAGAAAGGTATCACTTTCTCTACGTTATCGAACTTGAAAGCCTGGAGAGCTTTAGCTCAATCATCAGTTCAAGTGAGATTCGTCCCTCCTTTGCTTCATTCTCAAGTGCTTCGTTTCAGGAAGACATCCTTTCGATTTTGGTGTAAAATGGGTACTAAGTTCTTATGACCATCGACGCAAATTTCCATCGAGCGGCTCAGAAGATGCTACGAAGTATTTATCAAGCGAATGGCAACCATGGAATTAACGGGGATAGATACTTTCATGGAGACATTCAGCCTACCTGTCAGGTACCGGCGTGATCAGAAGGATGGCGTAGAGCATGAAGCTTATAAAGTGGCTATTGAGCAGTGAGAGAGTTCAGGCTCCACCGTGGTTTAATGATACATCAACAAGCGTACTCTAAGATAGCGTAGCGCTTCACGCCATGAAAAAGAGGTCGCAACAAGCCTCTGCTTCGCCTTACGAGATCTAGGTAATCGACCATTCCCATGCTCAGATCCAATTTCTCCATCGAATGCTTCCCATGAAGCTTTCTCAACAACTACAGTCCATTACCTTTCAGGTCACTCTTGCCCTCCAGCTGCATACCCCTCTCACCTCCTCTCTTCCCACAATTCTCCATCCGAGATCGGCCTTCGCCAACTCTTCTTAATCTCTCCAAAGCCCGTCCAAATTACCCCCTTCAATCCCTCTAGCGCCTGACCTCTGCAAGACAGAAGCGAGAGACCATCTACATAGATAACGCATATCGCGTTTCCCGGTTCCGTAGACTTGAGCAGGCTTCTAGAATGAGCTTGTTGCGTAAGGCTCACCTTATCTGCTGCAGGTCCATTTAGGCGAAAGTATAAACTAGACAAGATAGTCAGGTGGTACCCATAGGGGAGACAATGTCGGTCATGCAATATATTTAGCCAACTTCAACTTCAAAGCGAGGTCATGGCGGAAGAGACTGAATCTAAACTAGGGTCCTTGAAACCACGAGGACGCTCATGCAGGATAGGTTGTTCAAACTCAGTGCAGGTCTGGGTGTAGTTAGCTGAGAACAGCGGCGATAACAATCGAATAAGCAAACAATCACAACCGTTCATACACAGCCATGCAAGTGAGGACCCAACTGCTGTGAAAACATCCTATCCAAGCCAAGAGGGGATAGGATAGGACGTCCGCATCTCATGTTAACCGGAGAGACGCTTTACATGATCAACTGAACCATCCTTCACCATAGCAATTCCATCTTCGCCAGCATCTTAGCGACAGGCCCAGTACAATAAGCCTGCTACTACTCAACCACCATTGAGAAGTGAAAGCCATAATTCGAGACGACCGCAGAGTGATGAACAAACCCACTTTTGATAAACCGCATTCCATCGATTCGATCATCCGCGACTCGAATGATTCGTTGCAAAGAAAAAGAATCCACACCATTGCTCAGCTTGTAAACTTCCCATCTCCACCATCCACCATCGAGTTCCCCATCAATGCAAAACTTCCTAGCCCAAGACCTTTGCGTAAGCCATTAAGCTCTTGACAGATGGTTCCAGCCAGTCAAGTAACCAGTCGTTAATGCCGGGTAATCAATGCTTTTGTTGAGAAAACTGGAAAAGCGGCACCCAGCCGCAGGACGAGCAAGCATATACATGTGAATGAAAATCGTAATCGTGATCGGGGTTCGACAATCAAGGACAAACATCTGAAGATACGAACGACATTCCTGATCCCAAGTTAGAAAAGGCAATCCGCAGTACCAAAAAACCGAGTCCCGATCCAAGAATCCAGTGGTGAAAGTCAGTGATCAAGAAGAGCCTAGTTAGGGCAGGCATTCTGGACGTGGCCGGGTTGCTTGCAACGGTAGCAAACGCGCTCGGCGGAGGTCTCAGATGGGCAGTCGCGAGACAAATGTCCAACCTCGCCACCTGTTTAAACTGTTATTCAACGAAACGACAAAGGCGTGTAGCGTGTAGCAATTTGTAACGACTTACAGTTATAGCACTTCTGACCTTGAGTGCAATCGCGACTCATATGACCGAAGCCACCACATGAGTAGCACGTCGTCTGGCGCGGACCACCGAAACCGCCGCCACCACCACCACCACCTCCTCCATAACCTCCTCCTCCATAGCCACCGGCACCATAGCCTCCGCCACCCTGGGTGCAGTTACGGGCAATGTGGCCCCGCTTGCCGCATTTGTAGCATTCCTGGCCCGTGGCACCTGCAGCACCGCCGCCCATGGAAGCGCCTCCATCCTGGGTACACTCGCGGCTGATGTGACCTGTGCCACCGCAACGGTAGCAAGTTTTTTCGGCTTGCGGAGAGGTGCATTCGCGGCTAAGGTGACCCTTCTCCCCGCAATTATAGCAGGTAGGATTTCCCTTTGATGGGCAGTCCGCAGCACGGTGGGACGAGTCACCACCTATCAAAGGAATGAGTTTTATCCAAAACAAATGATGATGCAGATGTGAAGTGAAATGGTTTTTGAAAGCTTGAGATTCTCGGAAAGGAGAAGGGATAGGAATGGTGGACATGGAATGTGGAAACAATTTGCTGTCACATGACAGAAGTGGTGAAAATATTTAGACAGTTCCGTGTCAGATTGGCTCTCATGACGATTTGCCACAAAAGTAACAACAGAGATCCAGATTGGCAGGAGTGGACAGGAAAGAAACAAAGCCACTTACAATTGTAGCAGCCACGGCCACCAGCGCCTCCTCCGGCAGAGTAGTCCATGCCGATTTGGGGTGAGAGTTGTTGTACGACCTGCGTCACATCAATAAAAGCCTGAAAAGGGTACAGATGCGGCACGCAGAACGGCCAAACGGACCTTCAAGGCCTGACGAATTCGATGGTGATAGAAGAATGTGTCGCAAAGGAGCGGAATCGACTGCCGCGTCCGCCACAGCAAGCCGTTATGCCAATTGAGGTTCGTCCGCGTGCAGAGAGGGTTGTCGAGCGAGGTAAAGGTCGAGAGAAGAGGCGAGCGGAGAGTTTTGTATAAAATCGGTGTGAATTTTTCGGTTTGTCGCGGCTAAACCGAAACAGGACTAGCGTCGACGTTTTGGCGACCCTGTCCGTGTTTACACAGTTTTTATCGGGAACGGGAAGATGGGCCGTGGCGTTGAGGGCCTCATTGGAATGCGCAAGGATTGCGGCACGTAATAACAAGATATACAGAGGGTTTATAGCACTCTGCTGACAGGTCACCGACGACACGGCTTCGCCCGGCTAGCATTTGATTTACCAACAACCGTGAAGTCCCGTTCCAAGGTTGTGTTCAAGCGCGCCAATGCTATGACATAGGTTGGTAGTCCGAGTCCCACCTCACAGCTTTAGAAGCGGATGGCCTCGTGCCGACTCAGACCACTGCTAACCAGACAAAGAAAGACCCAAAGGACTTACGAGTAGCCGAACAGCAATCATTTCCGATTTTGCCATGATAGTTAGCCGTGCTTAGCGACTCGAAGCGGTCCACATGATTTGCCATTTGCCCCACGGCAAGAGGGGGTGGAGAACGCCAATAGGCTATGTGTCGACGTCGCAACCGTCTACCGACTAAAATGTTATTATTATATATCCTCCAATAGTTCGCAGACCTCTCCCTAGCCACTAGAGAGATGAGCTAAGATTTGCCTTATCGAAACAGCTCAAACCCCCATCCTCCATGCGCTTTCGCTAAGTGAAATCGTAGACCACCAACGATTGTCTACCATGGCTCTTCTCACGGAGGACAATGACATTCTCTTCGTCAAAACCCACCCAGCCTCGAGTAACAGATGGATCATCAAATCTCTCCTCCAATGCAAGACCGAGTCCAGAGCCTCGTTGAGATATGGCATCCGACAAATCACTCAAGTCTTTAGCTGCCTTCTCGGGCTGGATTCGGACGCTGAGGTTTCCTGTCATAAAGCGTCTCCTGACAGCCGAAGATGCCATACCGCCTTCAAGGTCCCAGACACGAAGTTCGTCACCAACGCGACTCACGGAAACGGCCTTTCCATGTCCGCCAATGTGGGCCCCAGAGACAGATGAGGTATGACCCCATAAACGACTTCCTGCACTGATAGAAAGTGAGGACGATGTCGAAGTAACAAGGTACAACGTCAGCGTATTGTCTGGATGGGAAGCGAGGAGATATGGATGAGAGTATGACAGCGAGGTCGGCTTAGTACAGGCTGGATTGTCTGATACTACAGATTCCTGAGTGTGGCCTGGGAACGGAGATGATGGGCGAGTGGGTGGGGACAGCATGGAAGGGTCTCTTGCAAGAGAATGGAAGTGCTCATCCGCTGCTGTCGCTAAGCGAGACTCGATGAGTTCGCCTGTAGGAGAAAGCCGCGTTTCCTGAATTCCGACCGTCCAACCAGAAGGGTACGTTGGTAGTGCGTACGCGGTGGATGCCGTTACGCTTGTTGCTGTGGTGCGAACCGCAAGTGACACGGGTGGCCATACAGTATAAGATCTAAGGGAATACAATAGTCGCGGGGGAGTCAGGAAGCTATCAGAGAAGGTATAAAGTGAAAGCAATTGGCCATCAGTCATAGTCAATAAATATGGAGATGAGTAGGCGAGTGCCGATAGCATCCCGTTGGAGGATGGGGCGTGGTTGAAGAGAGAGAGGAAGTCTTTATCCTGCTTTCTGAAATCAAAAATGGTGAAAGAACCATTGTTGAAGCCCACGACGACTTTCTGATTTCCAGTGTCTCGTCCCGAAAGATCAGTGGCCAAGGATGTTGGGGATCGAGTAGTTCCATTTCCCGGCGTATCCAAAGTTACGGACGCGATGACTTCTCGTTCTCCCTTGGCATTCCAAGCTCGTAGTCCAGATATCGAATCTGTAGTAAATATGATGCCATCATGCATCCTAGCGAGTAACGGCGGCACTGAAGCACGTTCGGAGACAGGGATTTCCCGAACTGCACATTGTCCTTTAGACCACTTATGCCTCAACTTATACCGTTTCTTCCAATCAGTCTCCTGTCCATTCCTCACTAGATCCCCTTCACCCAGCCATTTCGACAGCCTCGAGGAGTATGAAAGATGATTGGAGACACCAGCATCTTTGATCCTGGGTATTCGTGATGCTCTTGGGCGAACAAAGCGGTTGTAATAGGCTGCTTTCCAGATTTGAGAATCTGAGGAAATCTGGTAGAACTTATGCGACACCCTGAAATAGTTAGCATACGAATTTCTAGCAAATTGGAGAGTGGCATACCTTAGGCAAGCTGTTAGATTTGCAACCGGAACAAAGCCGAGAATGCGCAGAAGTAGCTCATCGCTCAGCCGAGAGATCCGATCCACGCTTAGAGCACGAATGAGCTTAGTAGGACGTCCCTCGGAATCGACGTCGGCGCGAGGCCGCTTCATCGTGTAGTGTGTTGCGGAGTGGAAGAGTCAGTGAAAGTTGAGGAATGCTATCGGCCTGAATTGCCACTGCATCCAAATAGGCTTAGCGCGAGGGCCAAAATGCCAAGCTGATCCAGGCGCATGACTGCGCGAAGTCGCGTCTGGCGACCTCTCCTAGCGCCCCTTTGATAACGTTTCCACAAACCCTTACCATCGTTTGTGGACGCTCATATCGGCATCTAGATAAGATGTCGGGAGACTCGGCCTGGCTGGAGAAACGAAAACATGTTTGGGTGCGTGAATTTGGGCGCGTCTATGATGAGGTAATTGCGGACTGGGAGACGGAACTCAAGCGGAGTATGTGCGTCATCACACTTGTCAAGAATGAATAGTTACACCAATCTAGGGCACGAGGAACAGCAACAAGAATTGAAGAGACGTCTGTATACCATTTTGAATATCTGCCCTAACCACTGACGCAAGTATAGGAGATGAAGCATACCAGATTATTTCCGACCGCATCATCGAGGAATTGCTCAAGAATTCCCACCTTATTGAAGAGAACATCAGGCTTCAGGACCAGATCAAGAATCTGCAGGGGCAGGAGCCGAAATCAAGCACTACTGCATTTAACTCAAGCAATTCAGCCCAAGAAAAAAGAAACTCCAGCTTGTCAACAGCACAGCTGGACGCAAACCCTACCCACGCTACTATGCCTTGCAATGAATATCGGCATCTCGCCAACAAGTATAATGAACTGAACAAAGTACACAAGGAGACTATAAAACAGCTCAAGTATCAACAAAGGAAGAACATTGCCGTTATGGAGAAGAACCGAGAGATGAAAAAGAGTGTCAAAGATTGGCAAGAGTACACCGATCGCCACTTGAAGAAAAAGACTAAATCCGAAGGAGAGTGTAAGTCTAAACTCGACGCAGCGGCGATGTTGTCGGATGAAAAGGATAGGCCTACTCTTCTAGCCTTGTCAAGCCCTGGGACTTCAGATTTTAGACCGCCGGCATCATTTCCGGCACTGGACAGATTGTCGCCCCTGCCAACTACCCCAGATGCACTCGAACGCCCCGGCTATGTTCTTGGAAATTCCGGCGATACTCTCGTTACAAACACAACTGGCGTAGAACATCATCAAAATGAAGATCGACCGCAGAACATCTCACATGACATTGACTTGAACCTACCCGAAAGTCATGATCTTCATCAACTTCAATCAACAGCGGTCCATAAAGAAGTTACTCCCTCTCGGAAGCAGCCAAATTCTGACAAGATAACCTCGAGTCAACTGACAGAGGACGAAATAGCCCCCCAAAAAGCCCCACAAAATCCTCTTACCACCGGTGGCGCAGATGATGATACGCCTGAAATCGTCTCAGAGAGGTCCCTCAAGCGCAAGCGAGCGAACACAAGGAAGCTCGAGGTATATGCATTTCTTGGATCATCTGACGGAACACCTGCCAAGCCTTACGGCGTCAAAGAGGAGCCATTCAGTAGTCCTCCTCTGCCAAATACGCATCAGCTCCTTCGAAAAGAGACATTTGATCTGGATGAACTCGGGCCAAACATGATTTCAACTCCCCATCGACGGTTCAGGAGTAATCAACTCACTTGTTCAGACGCTGTAGGACCCTTGCGTCACCAGAGGTCTACCAGTGTTTTAATCATCAAGGAAGAGGTGACTGAGGGAACCGACCAGGGCATAGACACCAACGGTTCCTTGAAAACGGAGAGAGCAGTGGTAGTTCCAATGGCGATTGCTGAGGCAAGGGCATACAGTGAGCCCACTGACCAGGCTCGAAACGATACATTCGCACTACAGCCTTTAGATCCGAACGCTAGGACTGCTAATCGAGTGGATGACGAGACGCCGCACAAACGCCAAAAGCGAGAGGACGCTCGGTTTCACGCGAAGTATCAAACCCTGACAGAATCGGGTGATGAGCTACCTCCATTGGATGAGAAAGATCTCAGATTAGCCCCCAGTGCTGCCAGAGAGAAGTTCAATCGTCGATTACAAGCTGACAGGGAAGCTCAAACATCAGCGAAGAGTACTAGCAAGACGCATTTAGCAGCTACCAACGCCAAATCTAGCGCTAGGCAAATTCCAACAACACTTCCCAGCGTTGCAAGCTCGGGACATACACCTTCACCACATCCAGGGTCCCGCAAAAGTTCACTTTTGAATTCTCATCTGGGGTCAAAGGCTGGTCCTGTCTCCAAATCTCCTCCGGCTCCTAACCCCAGGCTTGGCTCTCGAAAAGGTCCAGCGACTAAACAAAAGCAAAGTCCTCCTTCACGATCAAAGCCATATTCCGAGCTAAAGACATCTGACTTCAAACCCAATCCCGCCTACAATCAAGGCTACAGCTACGCTTTTGCTGAAACGATTCGGAAACGTGCAGACCGCGCGTGTCTTCCAGGCTGCACTAAACCTGAATGCTGTGGCTCGACATTCCGTATGCTTGCCGCCGAGGCACCACCCCTATCTTCGTCTCAGGAAGAAGCTCTTCTAGAAGATTATCTCGGTGATGCCTATGACACTATGCTACTCACACGGATGTCTACCGCGGAACGGCAAGAGCTGGTCCTAGACGCTAGGACGAAGCAGATGGCTGATAAACATGGAAGGCATAGACACGCATACGAACGACGCCCATCTCCTCCGGGTTTCTGGAGAACAGACTTTCCGACTACACAAGAGGAGCAGGAGGATAGACAAAAGGCTATTGAAATGGAGAAACGGCTTGTGGGAGAAAGGTATATGGAAACAATGAAGAAAGGTGGAAGGTGGATATTTAGAGATGAGTGATGGCCCAAACTTTGATGGTTGGGTTAAAGCTGTTGTTGCTTGCGGAAGGGTTTACAAGCACAGCATGAGTTTCCGGGTTCCTTTTATAACTCTGTTGCTAGTGCTCATACACTAGAGTCAGATAGAACATAGACAACCATTAACCGCATAGATCTTAAGAAGCAAAGTTTTAGTGGTTGCAAGGGAGTTTCCCGTGCTGGATTTGAATGATGACGACGTACGATCAAGTTCGCGATATAATTCGGCTCGGGAATAAAGAAGCCGATCTTAGATCTGTACAATCCGTAATCACCAAACTTCAAAGACTTCGCAATCCGCAATGCGGACTGTTTTTCTTTGAGCTCTGACTCTCCTTGATACATGATATTACGACCATCTGATCCGTCTTCCTTCAGGGATCTGTCATCATGGTTCTTTCAGAAGAACATTGTCATGTCCTCGTCATTGGCTCCGGCAGCGCAGGTTTCTCCGCTGCACTGTCTGCCAGGCAAAACGGTGCCAAGAATGTCACTCTAATTGACAAATGCCCCGAAGGATGGGCCGGTGGAAACAGTTACTTCACGGCGGGCGCCTTCCGAACCGTTCACGGCGGCCTGAACGACTTGCTGCCCATCGTTAACAACGTAGATGAAGACACTTCGAAAATCATTGATTTGAAACCTTATACAAATGAAGACTTCAGCGGCGATCTTCAGCGGGTCACGGCTGGACGAAGCGATAAAGAGCTGGGGAAGATATTGGTGGAAGAAAGTTATGAGACTATTAAGTGGCTCGCAGAGCAAGGTATCAGATTTCAGCTCTCGTTTAACCGACAGGCGTATAATGTTGACGGGCGATTCAAGTTTTGGGGTGGGCTGCATCTGAAGACGCAGGATGGTGGGAAGGGGTTGATTGAGAGTTATTTGTCTGCTGCCCAAAGACATGGGGTTTGCATTTCGTTTTCTACCGCCGCGAAACAATTACTCACAGACCCTATGACTGGTGCTGTAACAGGTGTGCTGGCTGAAAAGGAAGGAAAGCAGAAGATCATCAAGAGCCGTGCAGTGATCTTAGCTGCGGGAGGATTTGAGGCAAATCCACGTATGCGCAGCCAATATCTAGGTCCGGGGTGGGATCTCGCTCTCGTAAGAGGGACACCGTTCAATACCGGCGATCTTCTCGAAATCGCTATGCGAGATGTAGGAGCCAAACAAGCGGGGAATTGGTCAGGATGTCATTCCGTGGCTTGGGACGCGAATGCTCCTCCGAATTCTGGAGATAGAGAGATATCGAATGAGTTTACGAAGTCGGGGTATCCGCTTGGACTTATGGTCAATACTCAAGGAGAAAGATTTGTGGACGAGGGTGTCGATTTGCGTAATTACACGTATGCGAAGTTTGGGAAGGCGATATTGCAGCAACCAGATGGGACTGTGTTTCAGGTCTGGGATGCAAAAATGACACCTTTACTGAGATCGGAAGAATATCGAGACGAGGTTGTCAAGAAGATTACGGCGAACAGTATCCGAGAACTCGCAGCAAAATGCACTGAAGCCGGACTTCTTTCGCCAGGGAAGTTCATCGAGACTATAGAGAAATACAACGAGGCAGTGCGCCAGCACCGGAAAGAGTATCCGGACATGAAGTGGGATCCATCAATCAAGGACGGTCTATCGACACAAACAAAGAAGATCGAACTTGCTCTGCCCAAGTCCAACTGGGCACTTCCACTTGATAAAGCTCCTTTTCTAGCAATCAAGGTCGCTTGCGGGATCACCTTCACGTTCGGCGGCCTAGCTGTACATCCTCAGACCACGGGTGTGATTAGTGGGATGACAAATCGAGAAATTCCGGGGCTGTTTTGTGTTGGAGAAATGATGGGAGGCCTATTCTATGGAAACTATCCCGGCGGTAGCGGTCTGACGAGTGGAGCAGTGTTTGGAAGAAGAGCTGGTAGGGCTGCTGCGCATTTAGGCCTGCGTAGTTCGCATGCCAATCATGAGTCCGCGCGATCAAAGTTGTAGGAGCAAGAACAAGCATGTACTGTGCATTAGGTAGAGGAGCCTGGCTAATGGGCAGGTGCCACAAGGATGCTCCGCACACAAGCCTATCACGAAGTAGTTCAAGCCGGCCAAGGTGAGGGAGGAATTGAAGAACATCCAGGGCAAGTGGCAGCTCAAAAAGACATCGGTTCCATGGACAGTCCACTGCATTAGTTAGTCCAGCGTTCGGCCCTATTCCGCCAAGACTCTTTGTGAGATCCGAAGCTCCACTTCATCTTGCAGTCATTCATTTCTGCTCCGACTTTGTTTAACTTTACACTTAAGATGGCCGTATTCACCTCTATCGCTTGCAACATCCACTACAAACAAAGGAGATGATGCTATCACAAGTATCTTCCTTGTCTCCAACGATGATGCCAATGCCGAGGCACGACTGGGCTCTGACGAACCCGGAGCTCGCTCGAAGCCCTCCCCTCAGGCCCCTCACGCGTCGCATCGGATCCGCACCCCCAGAGGTACAAAACTGATGTACCCCCCTGATTCCTCTTTCTAGCTCTCTCGAACATCTCAAGCTCGTCACAGTCGTTCAATTCAACATGTCGAACACTGTCCAGCGCCTCTCGAACCTCATCTCGCTGACAGTCAACAACATCGCACTCAATCCCATCCTCGCGGCGCCGCTTCTCTTCATACTTACTAAGGGGCCCCCTCAGTTTCAGGAGCATTTGTTCAAAAGAGTTGCAGCTCTAAGAGACCCTGAGAAGCTAGCGAAGATTGTGAAGGGCCTGAAATGGCTGCTCGCATTGGGATTAGTGGGGAGCGCCAACAAACAGCTGAATAAAATTGCGCTGAATGCATGGAGATTGAGGGGCCAGAAGAAGAAGTGGGATTGGAATAAGGAGATTGCTGTTGTGACGGGTGGATGTAGTGGGATTGGACTGCTGGTGGTGAAGGGACTGGTGAGGAAGAACGTGAAGGTCGCGGTGCTGGATATTCAACAGTTACCAGTGGCACTGCAAGGCTGTAAGCTTTGAGCCCAACTTTTCGAAAGAGAGTATGAGTTGATTTGTGGAATCAGATGCCAACATTAAGTTCTTCGCTTGCGACATTACAGACGCTACAGCCGTGAACACGACTGCCGAGCGAATCCGGGCCACAATGGGTTCCCCTACAATTCTAGTCAACAACGCTGGGATTGCCAATGCCCACAGTATCCTTGAAACCTCAGATGAGTGGTTGCGCAAGATCTTTGATGTGAATTTGCTCAGCAACTTCACAACTGTGAAGGCCTTCCTGCCCGACATGATTGCGAACAATAAGGGACATATTGTAACCGTCGCGAGTCTCGCAAGCTTCATTGCTGTAGCAGGCATGGTGGACTACTCTGCCACCAAAGCTGGTGTATTAGCATTCCATGAGGGTATGTTACCTCACCCTGCACCTCTACTTGGAGCGTCTGTTGGCTAATACTCGTGTAGGACTCAACCAAGAGCTCAAGAACCACTACAAAGCCCCAGGAATCCTCACCAGCTCAATTCATCCCAACTGGGTCCGGACACCACTTATCCAATCCTGGGAGAAGGAACTGCGGAAGACAGGCTCAGCGCTGCTAGAACCGCAGCAAGTTGCTGATGCGGTTGTTAATCAGATCGCTAGCTGCTCCGGTGGGCAGGTATTCCTTCCGAGTAATTCAGCGAAGATTGGTGCGTTGAGGGGTTGGCCGAATTGGATCCAAGAGGGCATTAGAGATGGGACGAGTGCGTCTGTGTTGCCCAATGTGGCGAAATAAATAAGAGCAGCAAGAGGAGTAGGTCGGTGAGAGAAAGAAGTATTTTGGTTTCTTGGTTTGTTTATCTTAGTGTATTGGATTCCCCTCATGCTGTCATACTGCATTGGACACTAGTTTATGTGAAGGGGGGTAATATGTTGATGCGTTGGACCCAAAACATTTCTTTCAGAAGGAAAAATTGCAGCGTGTATATATGTTGGTATACACTCAGGGATCTCAAGAATGAATCTGAATCAAGACCCTGGATTCATTGAAACCAGCATCGTGAAACAAAACTCGTTTCAACTCAATATACCCGATCAGGCAGGTTCTTAATCGAGTGTGGGTAGCTGTATGCAAGATCCCGCGCGTGCTTAGCGTGAATGTCTCGGGTGATTAGAAGGGCCGAAACGCGTCGCGAAGTCAGACAGGCGCCTCTCACACTGCGTTGTCCCGCTTTGAACTCTCACACCAATTTCCACATTTGCCTGCACAAAACATCGCGAACTCAATTGACTCTCCTAAAAATGGCCGACACCAGGGAAGACATGCAAATGGACATGCAGGAAATTGAGCAAGAGACATCACCCTCGGACGTCTTTATGGCGCCTTCAATTCACAAGCCGGACATCCTAACAGGAAAATCATATTCCCACTTTTCCCCCATACCGTCGCAGATTGCGGACGACATGTCGAAGGAATGCGTGCTGGGCGTTGACGAAGCCGGGCGAGGCCCTGTTCTAGGTAGGCCCCCCACACCCACAGTCCAGCACCTGGAGCTAACGTATCTACCTTCGCAGGCCCGATGGTCTACGCACTCCTCTACCTCCCGATTGAGCTCCAACAGTCCCTTCTTGCCGACACCCACCACTTCAATGACTCCAAAGTCCTGACGCCCCAGGTCCGCTCTTCCCTCATGCGCAAACTATGCACAAGGGATACAGACCTCCATGCCTCCTGCGGCTGGGCAACGCGACTTCTCTCCGCGCGTGATATCTCCGCCAATATGCTGGCTCCAAATCAATACAACCTCAACGCACAAGCTATGGATGCTACGATAGCCTTAATCAAAGAGGTGCTCGCAAAAGGTGTTAACGTGAAAGAAATCTACATCGACACCATCGGCAGACCCGAAACCTACCAGAAGAAGCTCGAGCGCATATGGCCTACAATCCAAATCACTGTGGCCAAGAAAGCGGACAGTCTGTACCCCGTCGTATCAGCAGCCTCGGTCTGCGCCAAAGTGACCCGTGACGCGGCGTTGGATGTATGCTATGAGCCGTACCAAACTTCGACGGAAAATGAAGATGCGGTCGCGACCGATGCAAAGGGAGAAATTGTATGGGGCTCGGGCTATCCCTCTGATGCCCGGACATCGACATGGCTGAAGGCAAACATGGACCCCGTGTTCGGTTGGGGCAGTGAATGTCGCTTCTCCTGGAGCACTGCAAAGGAACTGCTCGAAGGCAAGAACGCAGATGTGAACGTCGAGTGGCCGGCCGAAGATGACGGTAATGGTTTGCGCATGACTGATTTCTTCAAAGGAGAAGATGGAGACGAGCTTGTGGACTGGTTTGGAATGCGCGTTACAGAGGAGATGGAAGTTTTCTGATTCGTGAACGGGACGCCTGGATGAGTCGCGCGTATTTTCCGTCCAGAGGTAAAGCGAAGAATACGAGCCTGGGATAGGAAAGAGACCGTAAGACCATTTTGACATGCGCTGTGCAGTTCGGAAGACGCTTGGATCTGAGGTAACGGATTCCGGATCTAACAACACTTGGTCCCCGTTCGAAATCCGATGATGCACACACCTCAACCAATGCGCACCAATACCACCCATCCTTCCCGAACGCCTTAACATTCCATGCAAAAGTTTATATTAGGCGGAGAATGCTACGATCAAGTTTCGAATTCAACAGCCGCCATTCTCTTCTTTTGACAGATTTTTTGCCAATGATCCTTTCGGTGTTTCGGACTCGTGAATCATCATTCTCTTATCATTTGGTGGTCCTAACTCTTACGCCCTTCGTCGGAGGCCATATTCACTGGTCACGTTTCAAAATTGTCCGTTAATCTGATAGCGCAATCAGCATCGAAGACGTGCACTGCGAACCAATCTCCATCAATCCAACGTTCATCCTCCGCTTACCGTCTTGCTGCGCCTCCTGGGTCGCAATAAGATCTTGAGGCTCCGCGAGCTTCTCGAACTCCACGTCCTCGCCCCCATTTAATATACTCGAAGCCCATTTTTCCTTGTTCTATCTTTCAAATGTGCATCATCCTCCCTGTCGATCACCTCCCTTGCACTCATACTGTTGCTATCTGGCAACATTGTATCAACGCGCCTCGCTCCAAGATTCACGGCCTAGCTCCTTGCTCGCATATTCGACAGCATCCCAGACCTATCCTCACGAGGAAGCTGTGTTTTCACTGTGGGGGGCCAAGGTTCTTTGCAAGAAGGGGTGGAATTGCGGAAAGAGGGAAGGGAAGTGGAAGTGCGGGTTTGAGGAAGAAAGTGAGTCTTGGTGATCCCGAAGACTCAGGGTACCATAGCGACTCTATTATCGGGGAAGATGAAGTAGAGGACGACTGGAATGGCAATGAGAATAACGAGGATGAGCAGGAGAATGAAAACTGTAGTCCCTGCCACAAACGCCCCCATCGCTCATTCTCTCAAACCATTCACGCAAGGCGAGAAAACGAGAAAGAAAGGAACGAGACCAGGAGAAAGCCAGAGGCGATCCCAACACGCAAACCCTCTTGGCGCCCGAATCTCAAAGCTGAGCTCGCTAAAATGCAACCCCGTCCATCGCCCTTCCCTCGCCGCGAATCCAACGACTCGCAGTTCGAAGACGGCATCGGACGCGCAAGACGGTCAAACTGGCCTTCTCTGTACTCTTCCACTGAATCCCCACTCGCGCCAAACCCTCTCAGGTGCCGTCGAAACGCTGACTCCTTCCCCGTTCTCCAAACCAGTATAATCAACACCAGCTCGCACAACCCGCTCCAGGACTTATCCCCATCATCAATATACTCATCCCACTTCGCCTCGGATTCAGACGTAGAGTCCGACTCTGAACACGGGGAAAATGAGCTGAATGATGGATACGGAAACCCAGCTTCCTTCCTCCAACACGAAAGCACTGATGTTTTCCACGACGATAACGAACCCAGCACATCTGTAATCCTAGCGCAATCTGCGAAGATGGCGAGAGCAAGTCGAATCGAGTTTCATGGAGCACAAGTGCGCGTTCTACGAATTTGATATAGTATGCCTGTTTGTATTCGGGAACTTCGACATTAGGCAAACTTGGGCAAATGATGCTTGCAAGGAAAGGGAGGTTCTTGTTTGATGTGTGCAGCTCGTGTAAATTAGGAGATTGTAGGGATTTTTTCTTCCAGGCAATTTTCAGGCGTTTTCACATATCGTGTTAGCATCGGCTTCGGTGTTGGTGGTGGCGGATGCGCGACTCATGCATGGTTTTCGGTGCGAGGCGTTCGGGGTATTGTTCTTCCACGGGATATCAATAATAGATATTCGGGCCGCGAGGCTGACAGATCCAGGATACATCCCTCCTTCCTTCCATGTTGATATGTAGTAGATTTTTCTACAATAAGTTGTACATATTTGTGTATATAAATGTACTTTGTGTTGCTGGTTATTTACTATGTATGCTTGTATTGTTCGTGACTTTGGCTCCATTAATCCGCAGAGTGTTTTACAATATGTTATCACGTAACATGGAATATAATTAGTGCAGATATTATGTGTTGAATTTCCTGCTGGAATGAGATAGAATGTCAATAAGATGCAAATTTTGGTCCTGACTTACCTCGATCATGTTCCACCTTAAGTAACAAGATGGGGTAGGGAATTGATGCCGTTCACTTTCCTCCTTGAACAGTGCCCGCATTTAAATGTGGCAGAAGAAACATGACTTTAATCCAGGTTCCAGAAGCTAGCATTGTCACGCGTACAGAAATACCTCGTACAGCACTACTCCTCAAATGCACAGATACAGACAGATACAGACACCCACGCCCACGCCCACACATTCTCCCAAACTCCTCCCAACAAACACCACCTTCACCACCATAAACAATCATCCTTCATAAACCCCACCAAACACCCAAGCCTACACATGCTAACTAATCAGTCGCCGCCTATGACCTCATCCCAGGATCCCGAAGATCCAACCCCACGGTGTCCCCTCGTGAACCCCACTCATGAGCATGCCTCAACCCTGCACGAGTCAACGCACCCACGTGGGTCTCAATCGGGCCTTTTCTAGTACTCCGCCAATTTCAACCTCCTCCCGATATTCCTCCTCACCACATCCCTTTCGACCGAAGGTGTCGTCTCTTCCTTGGCTTTGAGAGCCGATAGGAGCATTCCCGCATCGAAGAAGCCATCTAGGAAACAAGGAAATCAGCGGATGAAGATAAAAACGATCGATGAAGGGCATGGAAACGAAGTGGAAGGCGAAGGGAGAACGAGGAATGGGCAGTGGGGAATGATGAAATCTTGTCATCTATAAGGGGGTATATGTGTAGTGTGTAATGTGTAATGTGTATTGCGAGAAAAAGGTGAAGGGGGGTAATGAAGTATAGACGTGAATAAAAAGAAATCTAAGAGAAAGCATGGGGGTGAAGTCTCCTGACCACTGCTTTCGTACACTTCCGCTGAAGCGGTTTAACAGCAACGTGTTTCCGCGAAGTCTGGACAGTGGTGAGAGGCTTAAACGGGGGGGACTGGGGCGGGGTAGGGGGTAAAGCATGCAAGGTAATCTTTGCAACTTGATGGTCGAGAGTCAAGGAAGGGGGAGTCCTACATCCACCGAGACCCTCATCATCAGACTCGGTAATGCTTTCTGTAGCAGGAGTCTGAGTCTTTCCATCCGCGAGAATAATTCGTCCGCGGCTCTTCAGGCGGCCGGCCTTGTTGGGTCGGTCTTCGGCCTCTCGCGCTCGCGAGGCTGTCTTGTCGGCAGATGTTCCGCGACGCTTCAGTTGCCGGAGGAGTTTTCGAATTTCGAGGAAGTATGACTCGAGAGCGTCGATAAAGCGGGAAGTTTGTCGGTGCTTAGACGACGCGCATATGGAGATGCTACCGTCCTTGATGATATATCCAATTCCGAAACCGTCACCAGAGGTAGGCCCGAAACCGAATTGTCGTAGCGAGGGGTTGCCACAATTTGATGTTGACAAGACGGTCGTATTGAGCTTATCCCAGCCAGAGTCTGCGAAAAGAGCGGGCATTGAGTGTTGCACGGGAGAATGAGGGGAGCTCGACAACGATCCATTCTCTGAAATGACAGAGTTGCAGTTTGGGGATCCAACGACTGAGTTAACTTTCTCAGAGACTTCAGGGCTTGAAGGTCGTGTAGATTCATAGCCGTCGCTGCTAGCCATCTCCATGCCCTCTTCATCAATCGCCCGTTGCCATATGCAGTACAACGCATACAGATGTCGGTCGGGGCCTTGCGCTTTCGCACAGTCCCTAGTGATCTCAGAGTGCTTCGTACAGGCCTTGCGAAGTGTTTCGACTTTCGCCGCTGCTGGATTTTCACCCCAGAATGTCCTTACAAAATCTACAGATTCCTCTGTAACTGATCGAACCGCCTCCGTTCTGCCATGGTAGTAAAATTTCGTCATTGCAGGTTCATAAATGCACTCCATCCTGCCGTAGAGGCCGTAGTAAGCAGCCTGGAAAGCCATCTGTACAAAAGCATCTGGAGAGAAACCCATCGATGTCATGAAGTTCTTGCCATAGTGTGGGAACTCAAGGGTCGCGAATTCATTCTGCTGGATCAAATCCGCCAAACGAGTCTCAGCAAATCGCAGGGCAGTGCTCAGCTCAGGCACCATATCCCACTCAAGTTTGTGTGGAGTGGTCTGTACATCGCCGAAGCTGTCTGGGTCTCGCTTCGCTGGGTCAGGGCTCGTGGAAGCCCAGAGGCTTGGTGCGCCTCCATTAATAGTTCTCGCGAATCGGAGGATAGTGTCCGTGTAAACGTCTGAAGCGAACCGAAGGACAGTATGACCATCGACACCTGTGTGCTCAAAGTTGATCCCTGCGCTTCCGTTCTTGCATACGATTATTTGCAACTTATCGTACCAGCGGTTCGTGCATGTGCCGACTTGAACGCCTTTCTCCACCTTGCTTGACCCGCAGAGCATGTTCATGCAGAGTTCTGCACCAGTCGTAGGCTCAGTGTAGTCCAAGCACAGGATGAATAATGCAGAATCGACTATGTTCAAGCAGTCGGAGTTATTGGAGCCTTCTTCCCGATGGAGGACATCGCGTAGACCGGACCAGACCTTTCTATTCTCGGTACTTAGGACACCTAGTGCCCCTTTCGCAGCCTCTTGAATCGGCACTTCCGCTGCATCCTCGATAATGACTTGCAAATTGAGAGCGACATCTTTCTCCGTCATGATGAGATCAGAATTGTCATCTAGGACGTCGAACCAATAGAACTGGCCATGGCAAAGGACGACAATATGCTTCGAGGTCGGGTCCTGGCCAATTTGGCATCCATTTTCGGTCGGTATTCGCGCGGTACCGAACAGCCTTGAATACTGATACATGCAAAGGGGTTGGCCACGAACCGTGTCAGGTGGCAACTCCTCTCTCCGCACTGCTCTAACGAAAGATAGTGCCGAGACAACTAACGAGGCTGCGCGGTTGACTTGATTGTTGCGGGCCGGGGTCGGGTCATCCTCCAGTAGGAAAAACGGATTTAGATTAAGTACCACTGGATTATCAAAATTGAGATACGAATCATACCCTAATGCGTGGTCAATGCTTGTTTCTTCATAAGATGGAACGGGAAGGGTTTAGTTCAGATTGAGATCCATCTGCAAGGATCCTGATGGGTATCTCAACGCCAGTTGGAGATACTTACAGAACTGCTCAATGTAGTTGGCCCTGCCATTGGCATATTTCTTGAGCTTCTCTTGCAGAACGGCTCCATCTGACTTGACGAACTCTTGAACTGACATGATGGTGTCGTGGTGCTCCTTGGGACTTTGAAGCGGCTTCAAGGCTGAGAGGTACTTCTGGCATGACTTGTCGAGGTCCGGTATAGGTAGCTTCGGGAGCCTGTCCTGGTGCGCGAAGGTGATGCCAGGCTTCGAGTGCGGGTTCGTGTGTGAAGCGAGAGGGTCCTTTGCTTCAGCTGGGTAAGACTGTTGACTCTCCTTGGCTGCAGCCTCCGACCTAACCACGCCGTTCACCTCAGTGCCAGACATGACGGTTGCCAAAGATTCGTTCAGGGAACGAGGTTGGGTAAAGGTGCGTACTGCCATGATAAGAGAGCGGATTAGCTAAGCGTAGAGAGGCGAGATATAGGTGCTAATAGATAGTAACCGCAAAGCGCTGCGGTAAAAATAATGACAATCCTGGAGACAGTAGGCCGGCATTGGAGTACGCAGCGCGAGTGGGCGTCCGGTACACCAGTGCAAAGGCATACAGGGAACGAAGAAGCGTTCTTATACCAAACAGGACGAATGGGGAAAGTAGTGTAGGGCGGATACACCCCGCCAGCAGAGGGCAGAGAACATGTGAAACGCGCGATAGCCTTCGTAATATCGGGCAACTTAATCCAAGTAGCAGAGGTAGCGCACCGCCGACTCGGAAGATGACCCGCATATGGCGAGATTGGAGAGATGAGTGGGCCGAAGTAGGGGGACCAAAGAAACGGCCGCGCATAGGAAGGGAAATAGTAGACTTACCGCGTAGTGCTGAGCCCGAGACGGCTGCGGTCTTGGAACACCCGCCAAAGATGAATCGTATCGGGAGCTGCAGCAGTCAGTGTGAAGTCCCACGTTTCTTACCGCGCTATCATCAATCCTGTAACTAGGAATGCCTTCCAAAGGGCAAGGCGACGAGGGTAAAGACCGGAAAAGGTCTGCCGCTGCTGACTCCGGATCAAGTATTAGACAATTTCGGCCAAGAGGATATTGTTTTCGTGAGAGGTTTGCACCGAGGCGCACCAGGAACCCTGCTGGAGAGGCAGCTATCAGTTGCTGCGGACGAGTGGAAGATATCAGTAGTAGGGTGAGCTTTAAAAAGACGCACCGCGCGGTCGACGACCTGGCTCGCCCGGTTAATCGGAGGGTTGAGGGTCGCAGACGGCTGGGCAAAGCGATCTGGTGCTCGTGGTGAGGCAGTCAGGCAGCGTGAAGGCTGAACGAAGCGAATCAAGGAGTGTGCTGGCTGTTCATGCGGTCATTGTTCTCAGATGCTGAGGAGCACGCAAAGCATTCACAAGACATCACGAGGCACGATGGGTGTGGCCTGGACTGCATGAGTGGCTGAAGGCTGGCAATTCACACGGCCCAGGGCGATTGGCTCTGAACCTGCGGGGAAGCCCTGGGCGCTGTGACATCCGTGGCGGGTGAGGCTTTGACATGTGCATGATGGGCATGAGAGGAGGGATCCAGGGAGGGCAAAGCAGAGACAAGCATCGATACGAGCTCCCCCACGCGGAGGAAGGGAAACCCCACCAGCTCACACATCACGTGATGATGATGCAGGCCTTCGACTTCATGTCCGCGAGAATCACGCTGCCGGCACACCACGCCGCGCGCCACAAGCTCGCCATCCAAGTCTGGGTTGCTGCAATCCCCTGCGAAGGTCACTGCCATTCCCGGGACTGGGACTCGCTGTGCATGCCATTCCGCGGCTCTTGAGGGGGTTAAGTGGCCGATGCCCAATGACGGATCTGCTGCGTGTGCTCCCTGATTTTGATACCAGGCCGCATTCCCATCTGCTGCCTTTGCTGGAGAAGGCCCTGATTACCACCACCGACCTGCTTACTCTCGAGTCTGCTGACATCGCGCGACGTGCCCAGCTGTCCGCCGGCGACCTCAGGAAGCTCGTCGATGCCGTTGTCGTCGCCTTGCATCGGGACCTCGGTTTCGGGGGAGAGGAAGGTGTTGGACACGCCTTTCGGTCGACCTCAGGTAATTCACGCGTTCTCGGCGGCGGATGGAGCAGTATAAGCACCTTGGACGAAAACCTTGACGCGGCTTTGGGCGGCGGCATCCCGCCAGGCTACCTTGTTGAGGTTACTGGAGAGAGGTATGCAGAAATAAACGCCTTCTAGATCGAGTTCCTGTACGCCCAATATCATGCAATATATCGTGCCACCGCACAAGCTTTGAGCCTCGCCCGCTCATGCAGTGTGCTAACAGTTCCCAGTGGTGCCGGCAAAACCCAACTGCTCCTGACCCTCCTGTTGGCCTCGCAGCTTCCTCCTCCCCGCGGTCTATCAAAGTCTGCTATCTACATCTCGACCGAGGCTCCTCTCGCAACGACGCGCCTGACTCAGCTGCTCTCCACTCATCCCGTTTTATCCTCGCTTGCACCACACAAACGACCCTCATTATCGAAGATATTGAGCATACAAACGCCGGATCTTGAATCTCAAGAGCACATTATTCGCTACCAGCTGCCGGTGGCTATTCAGCAGCATGGAGTGGGCCTCGTCATTCTCGATTCAGTCGCTGCAAATTACCGTGCCGAGTTTGAGAAGAAAGACGCGCGAGACGGTGCCGCATCAATGGCGAAGCGCGGCACTCAACTCGTGCAATTAGGATCTCTGCTACGAGAGCTTGCACGGACAGAGGGTATTGCCGTGGTGGTCGCAAACCAGGTCGCCGATCGGTTCACTCGAGTCCCCTCGAATACTGCATCGAACGCCGTGTCGAGAACTGCATCTACCAACAGCCAAAGCGCCGATCGTGATATTATGGCCCAGCACACGCCCAATGCCCCACCATCTAGCCAATCTACGCAAATAGATGAAACCATAACACTTAGCCCGGATCCCTTAACACTTGACCACCAGCAACGTTGGTTCACCGGGTGGGGAGATTCACAGTCTGACTCCCTGCAAAGTTTGAAGACTCCGTCGCTTGGTCTTGTCTGGACGAATCAGATTGCCTGCCGTATTGCATTGATGAAGCAACCCGTGTACAGGAGTAGTCCCCTCGTACATGCAGTTGACGGACAGGGTCAGTGGGACGACGAGGAAACCCACATCTCGAAGTGGCGGCGGTGGTTCAAGGTTGTCTTTTCTTCATGGTCTGCGCCGTCCGACGGCCTTGGGGTCGAGTTCGAGGTTCTGAAGAGTGGTGTACGACACATATCTAAGGAATCTTAGAAACATATCGAATAAGATGCATGCGATAATATACACCGCTGCATGTGTTGTACCCCATGGCCTTTTGGGGAAGCAAAAGAACGGCAGTCCCACGCCCTAAACTTGACTCCACTTCGAGTGCTTTCTATTCCTAGGCATTTGAATATCTCTGTTCTAAATGCTCTTCTCCGCATAATACTTCTTTCTTCCAGACTCGCTACATTCTGCATGACCGCGCTTCAGAATTGTGTTTCTAACCCTCAGCTATCATCAGATCACCTAAAAATCCACTTGAATCTCTCTATATCTTCTTCTTCTAATGGTTCACTGTCTATCTAACCTCAGTTCCACTTGATCTATCAAATCTCTTGCTAGTTTTGAGGGAGACGCTCAGAGGATACAGACTTTCGTGGTAAACGAGACCCTAATACCGACTGTTGAAAGAGCGAGAATCCTTCTAGCGAATCCCCTCATCGGCGACAAGCTTCTCTCCTTCGATACCATCATTCTGCTCTACTTTAGTTTTCACATGCTCTTCTCGGTCTTGTTCAACCCTCTAGCAGCCCTCTCTTCTTCTCCCCCTTCCCTCTCCCTCTGCCTTTCTCTCTTCAATCTTAATCTCTCCTCCTTCTCCCTCCTCATTCCAGGCCCCCATTTCACAACTGCCCACAACGGCGGCACCAACACACACCACAAAGCCGCCACAAACGTAAACGTCCACCCCGTCCCAATCCTATCCACCATTGGCACCACCATAGCAATAGCCCCTGCTCCTAGCCAACACCTTGTCATATTCCCAGCTGCGGTTGCCGTCGCCGGCTTTTCGGGAAATAAATCCACCACCAACGTACTCAAAATCGTAAACGCTCCAGTTGTCGCGAATCCCGTGAAGAATAATAAGATAAGGGGTCCTGCGATATGTGTCTTAAACCGCATAACCCAACCAAAAGCCAGGATGTTCGCAGCACCAAGGAGGATTAACGGGAGCGCGATTTCGAGGCGTGCGGCTTCGATCGGGAATGTGGATAGCGTGCGCAGCCGACGAGTATCGGTTGCATCCAGCCCGAGTTTTCTTGCGTAACGTCGGAAATTCGCGTCCATCATTTTACCGGATATGAGAGCGACGATGGAGCCTCCGGCACCAGAGGCGAGGAAGCAGAGTCCGACTTCCAGCGAGTTGTAACCGTAGTTAGCTTCGAGTTGGGAGGGAAGGCCGGCCATGACGGCGTAAAAGCCCGCGAAAAGGAAGCCTGAGGAAATCAGTATGAGGCTGGCTTCTTTCTCGAAGAGAACGGAAAGCGTTTTGATAGGGTTTGGAAAGCGGAGGGGATGAGGGGGGATTGGGGGACCAAGCCAAGATTCGTTATCAGCTATCCGCTTCTTCAGTCGAGGCTCGAGAAGGCATGAGTTCCATTTTGGCGGCCGCTGGGCTCCATTTCCGACGACAGCTCTGCAAGACTCGGGAAAGAAGAGCACGATTGGAATTAGATAAACACCGCTGAAGATAGTGAGAAACCAGAAAATAGACCGCCACCCTAGGTATTGAGTCAGCAATCCTCCAATAACCGGGCCAATACTAGTTGTTCAATTATCAGCATTGTAGAGAGAAGTCAAGAATATCTATCTCTTACGTAGGACCGAGCAGTGCTCCACAGCTCGCCCACCCCATCCATGTTCCTCGTTCATGAGGTGTAGCTATGTCAGCAACGACGGCATTTGCAAGAGCTACCGTGCCACTACTTCCTGAGCTCTGAACGCAACGTAGAATGAGGAGGGCGGCGTAGTTGCTCTGTAAAGCCAGGCCTATGTTTGCTGCGATGTAGATGGTGAAGCATATCAGGTATGCTGGACGACGACCCTCCGCGTCTGAGAAGGCTCCCATGAATGCGGGTGCAAGTCCTTGGAAAATCTAACACAAATCAGGAATCAGATTTATTATTTAGTCGCTTGAGTGTTGGTCATACGCTGAAAGATGTAATCGTTAAATTGATCAGGGAATTTGAAACATGCAAGTCCGATGCCAACGGGCTCAGAGCAGGATAGTAAATGGTAGAAGATATTGGCGAGAATAGCGATGCAAAAGTCAAAATAAAGGCCATAAAACGCTTTTCGTTCAGGGTGAATATCGAATAAGGTATATTCTCGCTTGGTGTGTTGCTCGCATTTCGGACTGCCTCTATATTTTCTTTTCCGACCAGTTGGGATGGAGGTGAACTTGGTTCAACGGCGGGAGAAATCGTCGCCATGTGTGAGAGAAATGTTACAAGTCAAATGAAAGCTGCATTCGAGGAGTGTAGACATGAATCTTCAAAGGACGTATACGAGACCTACAAAACGCTTACCTCATGGGGTTAGGCACAAAAAAGGGAGTAACGGAGCTAGGGCTCTTGGACCATTTAAACCCGAATACCGAGCTGCCACAGTAAAGTAAAGTCACGGGAACTAAAGTTCACTAATAGCGTAGTTATTGAAGAAACAATAATGAAATATCACGGCTTAGTATAATAAAGAGAGCGCTCCACATGATTCCTAAGTTTTTCCTCAAGAGTCTCCCAAGGCCAATCCAACACCGTGGGTATCATCACCACATACAAGCAAAATTTGAAAGACAAAGGATTTTAGAAATTCGTCACAAGAATGTAAAATGAATACAAGAGAAGTGATGGTTGACGTAGTGAAGAGCAGAACCGTAGTGGGAATAGGGCGAGTACTCATGCAGGAAGCTCAGCAGTGAATTTCTTGTCATCTTTCGGCGGTGGAGCTGGGGCTTCACTGGGTAGCTCAGCTGGATGCTGGGATGGATGCTGGTTTTGTTGTTGCTGTGGGTACTGGTATGCATACGCACTCTGTCGGTGATCGGCTTCATGCTGCTGTTGATACCTTGGATCCAATGTCTGATAACCTGGGCTAGGCTGCCACGAGGCTTGCGGGTCAACCTTCTGATCTTGAATACATGACAAGCGTGGGTCTGCTGCTTGATATGGTGGGCTTCCCAAATACGGACTTTGGCTTCCAACTGTCGACACATGCGATAGGCCAGGGCTGTTGAGCGGACTATGTCCACTACCGTTCGAGTACATGCTCAAATGACCCGAAGCGTAGCCAGGTGGCGGAGCAATCGGAATCTGGCCATGACCCATGCGCTCGCCCGGCGCAAGCTCCTTTAGACCATTCAGTCTCTCATTCGCCAACTTCGCCTCGATAATATGCGCCTTCTCTACTAGCCTATCTGACAGTTTCGAATGCGATTCCTTGAAGGTTTTCTTGACAAAGGATATCATCATTATATTGCATTTCATCTTGACATCTTCTCGAATGTATAATCCTTCCCGAGGAATGCCTAATCCAAGCTCAGCAGCTTGCTTTGGCTCCCCGGGAAGATTCCCTCCAACTGTCCATTTGGCGCGAATATCGAGACCCAAGGGAGCATAGACGTGCGTCTGAAGGCCCTCAGGGAGATCGTGGAAGCAGGCGTGGTATGAAATAGAGCCGGTTGCGAGACCGCCTGGAAGGTAGGATACCTTGTCTGTTCATCGGTTAGCATTCTATCTTTGCACTAGGTTGAGAAGGTGGTGTATGAAAAGTACCTTTGATGGTGTACCATGTGGCATGGAACTCTTCGGCCGTCGCATAGCTCGGCGGCTTGCATTTAAAACGTTCCACGACCAGCGGGTTCAGATTGATCATCTCAACATGATCGTGGTATGTATCGAGCACACTCTGCCTCGTAATGCCTGCCGGCAAGGGTGTTATTGTTGTAAAGACACTCGTTTTAGACATAGTGTATCTAGCCCTTGCACTCTTTTTCCAATTTGGCTGCGATGGGTCCGTTTCAACGAGAATCTGGATCTATCGGGCGCGAAAGAAATAGAAAAGAGGGATTGAGGGGAAAAGAGGGCATTGGAAGGAGAAAGGCAGTGTTCGGTGTTGTTTCGAGCCGTGAGGCGTGTCACCCTGACAAGATTCAGCCCCAAGCCACTGGATCTTGACCTAGGACCAATCCTACCCACTTTGACTCGGTTGCTTCGTCTTCCATCCTGCGCCACTAACCTGTCGAAGCAAAAATAAGCTCTTCTAGGTTCTGGGCACGAGTTGGATGCACCCTATCCCGCCATTCTTTCAATAGGATCAAAGAAATCGTCGCTAAAAGTCAAGCCTCCAAACAACGGAATGTACTTGAGAGGAGTCCGAGCGACGACACACCCACACCCGAGCTGATTTGCTGCTGACTGATCCATGATTATTTATGGAATTGGTTTGGAGTGTGGGGAGAAGTGGGCTAGCCTAAACGAAGATCCCGCACTTGAGGTTTCAACGTCAGGTTTTGCGCTATACCATCTTAGGTGGTGAGATGAATTGTTACTGGGTAGGCACGGACAACGAGAGGCGAGAGGGCTGATGCGAAAGATCTTTTTAAGCCTGCGGAGGATTCATTTTGCAGCACTCGTAAGGCTGCGAAGATGGAAAGAAACAGTTAACGAAGGCTGTTGAGAGGACCTCCGGAAGCTTGAAAGACGCCAAGTTTGCGCCTCTACGGTTTCAGGCACAATACGCCTCTTACAAGTTTCACACGTCTTGGTATGATAAGGCATTGTTGAACATGAAGGTCATTTTATTAACATTCATTCGATGGGTAAGTACCCGGAACCTAGCAAAAATGAACAAGAAAAGCACCCCTACTTGCGCTGCAGTAGATCCAAAATAGTGATTTAGATAGTAAGGTATCGTGTGGGTGAATAGCTTCTTCCGCCGCAATCACAGCACCAGTCTTGATGATTGCTACAATAACATTTCGTCCATCGCTTCGCTTGCTGATATCATCCGTGATTCATGGTCGGGGTAATTGAACTCAATTCGTTACCACCCAAGGTTCATCCGCAATTCTTGCCCTCTCGTTCGAGTCCACCGCAATCTTTTATACTCCCTGATGCATCTCGACCTTAGGCTCCACACTTCCACCCATCGAACTTCCACCCCTCTTAAACGTCCTGAGCGCCGAAAGCACTGTCGTAGCAGCAAAAGCAGCCCACTGGAATGCCGAAATAGCAGTACCAGCCTTAGCAACTGAGCAAACAGTACCGAAGCAAATGCGGTCGCTCAGGAACACAGCCAGAGCGATAAAGCCGCCAAACCAAAAAGTCATAGTCAAGAACTCAAGGCCGAGAAGCCCGAGCTTGGGAACATTGGAGTTGGCAATGTGGGGCATTTTCCACGGGACGATGATGAGTGCGCAGACGGCGAAGAGCGTCCATACAGGCGAGAAGATCATCCAGTTAACTTCAGAGGGGGAGAGTTGGCGCCAGTGGTTGTTCCACCATGTTGCGACTGGAACAAGTCAGTGGCCATTCTGAAAGTATTATAGGTTTGCGGTACCATATGCCATTAGACCTAGTACCACGATGGACAACACCATCTGCAGCCCGCGGACTGGAAGAACCCAGTTGATAGCCATATTTCTTAAAAGCGCTTCTTCGTAAATGTTTTGATTTCCTGGAGCAAAAATCGGTCGTAGGACAGTGGTTGTCAGGGAGCGAGCGTACGAACTCAGTCAATAAGTTCAGAAGGAAGAAAAACAAGGACGGCGTGCGGATAATAAACCACCAGATAGGATCAGAAGGAGACGAAGGGAATTAAGCTCGAGGAAAAGAGAAAACAAGGCCGTAAAGTGCAAACTCATTTGCCCATCCATTTTCCATCCTGCGACAAACCCGCCCTCAGACCACGCCATGCGTCACCAAACCTCCCCAAATGCCTAAATACAACCTAGAGCCGTGACACGGCACCCGGTTTCTGGAAAGGGATGCTTAGGCCTATGCAGTGGATCGTTGTCATTTGTAACTGGCTGCCGTGTGAGAGCTGCGATGGCTTTGTGGAGGGTCATGTTTCAAGTTGGGATGAGACTGGCCTTGATCCGCTGGCCTTGCATGGTTCAGACGGTCAGCATCCTGGTCATGAACGCCATTTTATTGGCTCCTTGGGTTATCTGAGGCAGCTTGACGCAGTGGTACTGCAATTTTGCTTTCGATTAAAATTATACCCAATTCTTCTATTGGCGAATAGGTTCTCTTTTAGGTTCCAGGGAATTCGACGTTCCGGTTGACTCTATGCGCCACTGCCATCCTATCGATAACGAGAAGATATCGTGAACGTCCGTGAACGTTAACATCGTTCAGCCTCACTGTTCTGAAAGCTGTGAAGCAAGTGATGGGGAAATTGAAGAGAACTAACCCGCCCTTCACGCCATGTAAAAGCAAGCGATGAGGGATTTAGAGGGAATCCTGCTAATTCGATCTGTAACCATCGGTCATTCAAGTGTGAACACAGCCACTCCGCCATCACAGACATCAAGAAAATGTTGAACAATTTGGCACCGTTATGATTGACTACCTACTGCTGAGCTCCAAAATATCATACACCTACTAGAAAGATTGTCGTGAAAAGAAATTAGTAGCAGGCCCAGTACATAGACCCGCCGGCCGGAAATAGGGCCGCATCCACCACCATCTATGCATTTGTATCGAAAGGTCTTTCATCTCCAAGTTGATAGATATAAGCGAAAGAGCACGCGAGCATTTCAGCACCGCGAGATCCTCGCAAAGCCACCGGACTTGCATAATTTTAGAGACCGTACCGAATAGGAGGGCATATACTGGGGGGATATAAGGGGTAGGAGCCGCCAAGATGTGCAAAATTGAAAGAGAAAATCCGATGGTTTTTCACATCACCTTATCCATGAACCTTTTCCATCATTATCGAACCAATCCGAAGACTTCCATAGGGCCTCCCAAACCAGCCACCCTGAAGTGAAGTTTTTGAACCGTAAGACGTTACGGGAGGCTTATAAGATAGAACTCGTCGGGGGAAAAGTTAGTGGCACAGTGGAAATACAGAATAGAGTGACGAGGAATCCGCGACGGGAGAGCAGGTATGAGTTCAACGGCGTATTTCAGCGCAGAGACATCCTACGTCAACGATGAGGCAGAGGTCCGACGTCGGGTTGCTGTGGCAATCTCATTCGCGATGAACCGCAACAGCGCGGGTCAAGTCGTTGACTTTCTTGACCAGGGCCGAGATCCGGCGGAGCATTTGGTTGCCAGGGCTGCTCTCATTGAGCTTGATATAGGCGGCGGTGAGGCGCTGGTTCAAGACATCCATAATGCGTGGGACAATATCGTGGATCTCGGGGTCCTGCACATTTCTGTTAGTATGACTGTTCAGCTTCTGGAGGCTACTGAGCTTACATGTGGATCAACGCTAGCGAGGACTGTATCAAGCCAGATCAGCCGCTCTGGTACATGTTGGTCCAGCGACTCAGTTACCACGGCACCGGTGGAAAGAGCAAGAAGTGCAGACACCTGCCTTAAGTATGCGGGATTGCAGCGGACGAAAACAGACTCAAACAGCTCTGCAGAGCGGGGTGACTGAAGCCATTGCATTGTGCCTTGCTCGTAGTTGCCTTCCGCCATTAGACGAGTAATGGTCTCAGCTTCAACCTGTTCGGGAGTCTTTTGCTTGATGGGAGATCCGCGTGTGGCACGTGTAGTAGTGGGTCCGATAGATGGCTCTTTGCCCTGAGATTGAGAAAGCAGCTGCTGAAGCTTCATGACTTGGCCTTGAAGCTCAGCCTGGCTGGCTACCATGGACTGGACTGTTTCAGTCAAAGTTTGTACCGTATCCGTAAGCTGAGCGATCTTGCCTGCGTCATCGCGACGCTGGACCTGAGCTTGGCGAAGCTGATGACCAATTTCATGCTCAACAGTATGAGTTAAATTTGAGATTGCTGGGCTGACAATGGACCCAAAGGCTGCGGACAGTTTCGGCTCGAGGGTTCCAGAAACTCTCTTTGCCACCGTATCAGAAAGTGAGTGCAGGTTTTGTGGATTTTTAAAAGCTCGGGAAACAGATTCAGGCAGGTCCTTTGCAAGCTGGCTCTCCAAAGAAGACTTCAATCCACTGCCCACAGTCTTCTCTAGAGTTGACGTGGTGTGTTCCACCACCTGCGGGAGCAAGACTGTGCGAACGGTATCTTCGATCATCTTCAAAAGGAGCTTTTCGACATTTTCTGATAAGGTGCTGGACACAAGTCGAAGGATGGCCTCTTGCTTGGTGTTGAAATTAGCATGGAAGATGCGTTTCTCCTCGTCGAGACGTTTGTGAAGAACCTCAAATTCACGAGACAGAGTTTTGGTCATCTCCGCTTGTACTGCATTTTCTAGCTTCTTGGGATTAAGCTCGACGTTACTGGCTGTAGAGGAGCCGGCCTGTTGGAAATGTTGGCTGATCAGTTTCTTTGCCCATTCCGGCGCTTCCTCCTCAGAGGCCTTGTATGTAATCGTCTCCGTAGCTGTAGCCTCCGGAGGAGAGGGCGACTTAGATGGAGGAGCTTGCGTGGCTTGCGCAGCTTGTGCGTAGGATGGAGGTGGCAGGCGAGTAGAAGAGGACGTTTGAGAAGCAGTTTCTGCGGTCACACGCTTCTTTTTCTTCTTTTCTGATTTCTCCCCACCGTTAATAATGGCTGCACGAGCGGCATCTTGCTTGCTCTCGACCTTGGCGAGAGTGGAAGCCCGCATAGCAGCTTCTGGAGTCATGGACTGCCGTGAAGCAGCACTGCTCTCCTTCTTAATGCTCTCCCTGGCAGATCGATCAGACTTGATAAGTGGTGTGTCCCCACCTGTTGAAGTCGACTCGTCGGGGACCGGCTGTGGTGGCTTCAGTTGAGCCAGCGAGATAACTCCTTCCTCCTCAGCCTCCTTTGGATGCAAGGGCTCGCCTTCCTTCTTCCATCCCAAGTCGCTTCGGCGTACCTGGATACTGCAAACCCCCTTCGAGTGCATCACATATAATTCAAACAGGGCTGCGTTGTCAGGGTCATCTACGTCCGCTGGTCCGGCGGGTTCATGTAGCATATGAAGACTTCTAATCTGACCTTTCGAAGAGAATGAATATTCGGTTATGCTGGTCATGATTGCCGTGGCGTTGACAGGAGCCAAAGGTGTCTGGCTCCTGTCATTCTTGGTGGCCAGGCGGGAGATGTAACCTGCCTGGGATAGGACAGGTAAGTTATAGCGTGGGCACGATACGTGAATGAAGAAGATGGAATTGCGAGTTGGGTGAGCGACGGCCATGATACCAGTCCTAGGGTGGAAAGCAACGCTGCATATCGCGTCGGACTCTTTCTCATGCGGAAGGTTGATTTCCTGGACGGCTTTACCGAGACCCAAGTCCCACAGCTGGAAGGCGTGATTCTGCTTCATACCAACCATGACATACCTCAAAGCAATTCCTTTGTTGAATGGTTTGTCTTTATCGAAGAAGAATACTGAGGTTGGCCAAGACTTAGCAGTTGGTGAAGTTGTATGGAACTCCAAGAGCGTGTCCTTGACCTCAGCGGTAGCTGGTTCGGAAGGAATGCCCTTGTCCGGGTTGGTGAGAGTACGGATATCCCAAAAACGCATTCGGCCGGCCTTGTCCAAGGAGACAATAACAGTGTCATCTTCACTGAAGGTGAAATCTTTTCCAGCTTTACCGGTCAAGATCTTGAGAGAGCGCTCCTTTAGATACTTCTCGGTATGACACACACGGCTCTTCCCGCGGGTGTATTCAGCGGCAACCCTAGGCCACACAATGTGAATGGACTTGCCTCGGCCAACGGCGAAGAATTCTGGGTGACGAGAAGATGGCTTGGCCCGCGTCTTCAGCTGACCCCCAGAGGTATTGTCGTCTTGTGATGGAGAAGGTGGGAGGATAAGGCCCCGGGTATCAAGATCATCGCCGAATTGATCCTCGCGAGCTGCCTCAAGCGATGTCCAAAACACGGTGCCGTTGACGCCAATGCCAAGAATGCTCTGAATCGGCTCGTTGGACTCCTCTCCGGGGGCACAGATCGCAATGTTGAAGATCCGCTCGTGGTGGTTTTGGAAGACCTGACGGTAGTCTCCATTCTCCTGCTTGATTATGCGGAAGCCGCCATTCTTCACATTGGCGTAGATAATGAAGTTCTTGCTTGCTGAAACAAGTGAGCGATCAATCTGATCGAACTCCTTCTTCAGTCGAGCAATGTCCATGAAGGATTCGGGACGGAAACTAATACGACGTTGGGGCATATCCTTGACCGTGATGGAAGAGAAGGCCCGCATCGGGAATCGGTAGACTATTACCATCTGTTCTTCATCCTTTGCAGGGCTGTCCTCGGCCTCGGCGCTCTCCCAGCTGTCGGCGACATCTGCTTGAGCGACCTCGTCGACAACTTCTTTGAGAGCGTCTGCCATGGGCTTTGGCAGAGTTTCTTCCAAGGCCTGGGCATTTTTCTCATCTTGCAGTTCCTTCTTGATTTCAACAGCGGTCTCGATGATTACCTCCTCCACTTCTTTTACTTCTTCCGGCGACATCCGCTCCAATTCCTTCACGGCTTGCGCCTCGGATCGAGTCTCGGCTTCAGCAAGAGCTTCGCCGACCTCCTTGTCGATCTGTTCTCCAAGGCCGCTCACAGCATCAGACACCGTTTCATGCTGGACTGATGCTCCTGGCGACAGCTTCCGAGCTTTGTGGGACGTCCGACCTCTGCTGTCGGCGCTAGCAGTTGAGGAACCATCTCGCGCATGCTTCGGCTTAAGGATCTCCATCTTTGGAGCGGGGGTTTGAGAGCTCTCAGTAATAGGAGTGCGGTTACGCGGGCTCGCAGCCTCTAATTTTTCGAACGGGTTAACGTAAGTGAATTTAGGTGGCCTCGGAGCGACGTCTGGCTCAACGTGTGATGACTGTCCAGAACCATCAGCGCCAAATATATGCATGACAGGCCTGGCGTTTGCTCGCGCCGTTGGGTCGGATGGTACCTTTTCCAACTCCGCATCGGCGAAGTCTTGAGCGACATCATCTACGGCCGTTTCAGGCAACTTTGTAGTGGATGAAGCGAAAGACGTTGTAGATTGTCGGGCAGAGTGAGAGTCGGTCTGGGACGGCTTCGGCTGGTTCAGCAACCTCAACAGAAGATTCTGCGGGTTTTCTGAAGAAGTCAAGGACGGCTCCGGCCTGGCGGCAGGAACAGGGGTGGCTGACGCCGACGAGTGCATTGGAGCCCGCGGAGAGGTCTTTCCCATGAAGCCGGCAACGAGATCAGAGGCAGATATCGTGCGTCCATGTGATGGAGAGCTGTCCTGGGCCTGAGTGTTTTGTGACGGGCGCGGGCTGGAGATGGCGGGCTGGGAAACAACGGGCTGCTGATTGCCAAAACGGAGCAGGTTGAGCAGATTAGCCGACTGCTGCTGCTGCTGGGTTTGCGGACGAGCAGCGCCGTGGTCGGGAGCCGGAGTGTTTGCGGCAGACGTGTTTGGCGACATGACAGCCGATTGGTGATGCGGGCGAGGGCCGGTTGGCGATGGGGAGTAGATTGGGGAGGAAACGGACGGGTGGTGGTAGCTGGACGACTGGTTGCCAGCAGACGCGCCCTGAGCGGCGGCGCCTTGCTGGCCGTTGAGCCGGGCAAACAGCTCCTGCAGATCCGCCATGATGGAATTGTTGGCAGAGCGGATCTGAGCGACAGTGAGTAGGGTGGAGTGAGATTTTGAGAGGACGCGAGGTGGAGGTAGACAACAGATGAAGTGGTCGGCGTCGGCAACTTTCACTCACCTAAAATTCGCGTGCGGGCGGATGGCTTGATGCGCTTCCCCAGCCCCCTTCCAGAATTCTGAAATTGCAGCAGTTCGCAGCGTTGCTCTTAGTGATCGCAAGCTAGCATGCAAAGCGGAAGAAAGAAAAGGCTGCTCCCAGGACAGCTGGCGAGGACAATGGCAGAGGTGCTTGGACAAACAGCGCGACAGCTCTTCAGCCAAGCTGAGCTAAACCTAAATTGGAAGCGCGCGATCAAGGGCGGCAGTCACGTGAAAGCCGTCAGATAAACAATTTGGGAATAGCATGCTAAAGCTAGACATGTCTTGGAGTTATTTGCAATTTTTAGAGACGGATTTTCGCATTGAGCATGCCCTATTCATTCAATGCAAAGTTTCACCGCTCGTTCTGTGAGTCGCCGTCCGTCAAATCCAACAGCCGCTACCTTCACCTCTGCGCCTTGGCCAATGAAACTGTCCACCAAAGCTGGACACAAAATGAGCTCGGGAGCGTAGGCCCTCCCTACAAATAATCCAGAGACGTGAACCAAGAAATGTGAGCAGTGCCCAGTGATCTCACTGTAGGGCAGACCAGAAGATATCGCCCGGATTCCCCCATCACAGGCCCAGCAGAGTCTCCAGTGACTGGTCTCTCCGGCCCCACGATGTTCGACTCGAATAGCATTGATAATGCAATAGCGAGGAAGCTCAAAGTCAGAGCAAGGCATGATGACTATCTCCATGACTTCGACAACTCGCACCGGGTCCTCTCCAAATGGTGAGGCTTTAAGATAAAAACCGATCTCTTCAAGCCGGTTGCTCTCGGAATTGTCGGAACCAAGACTCATAGGAGCCTCGAGCCATTGTACGCCCTCAGTTTCCTGGAGCGGAAGGAACTCGAAGTCTTTTGCAGACCTAGCGTAAAAAGATGCACCTCGGGCTCCTAGAAGATATTTGCATCGAATTCTGGCCTGCAGAAATCCATTCGCCGGCATATCGAGTCTGAAAATTGGCAGCCAGCGCTCGTACGCGCCAGTGGTTGCACAGCCTATAGGCATTGTGCTTCCCACTTCTACTACAAGTTGAGAGTGAGTAGGTAAGTCTTCGAGACGTTGTGAAAGAACGTTGACAGAACTGCCAATTTGGTCATCAGTCACACTGGACCTACTTACGTAGGGTAGTATTGACTGTGAGGCAAGCTGGGAATGGAGGGCCTTTCCTTCATGTACGCTATTCTGTTCAGATTTCTCGTGGCGACCGAAGGCTCTAGAGAAGTCAGTGTAGAAGAACATCTCCGAACCAGCGGCATACTGCGCCGCCGAGCGAGTGGTAGGAGAACCTCGATTTGAAGGATGTCGGCCACTCCGGTCACCGCATGAACAGTCCAGATCATCCGACAAATCGTATCCGTCCCATACCGCCCTTTCAACTGTCCTCCCGTATCCCGGGAAGTGTTCGAAAGACCAGGCCGGGGCAAATATCCCCACGGAAAGGCCTATGTCGGCCAGCTTCGCTACGGCAACTCCGGTGTTTGTTCCGCCGCCGCCTTTCTCTGGATAGGTGACCCTGGGGCGACTTAGTTTTGTGGCGTTTTGAGCCCAGACATCGACTCCAAAGAAGACGTCATCTAGACACATGTCCCTTTCTTGGACAAGTGACCTAGTGTTGTAGGCGTTGCTTTCCTTCCAGGAGTAGTTGGTCAGGACACTTCCACATGCCTCGCTGAATGAAAGATTCTGCTCTGTTAAGGCGTTCTGGTACTCGACCTTGTTGGAAACGGTGATCGCGTCGTACCTGTCTCAAATGAGGACGGCTATTTGAGTAGACTGGCTAGTAAAATCAATCTAGAAGCTAACGGTACTAACCATACGACACTCCTTTCTGGCCCCAGATTATCCCTCAGGTACTTGAGGAATGCCTGTAGAAGTTTGGGGTCCCATACATCTCGTGGAAAGGGCTTCTCGATATTGATGAGCCATCCGTCAAAGCCACAGTATCTTGCAAGGTCAACGAGCCTTTGCGCCATTGGAAAACTTAAGTCCTCGCCAGGACTCCCGATAGCAGGACCGCGTGTAAGCAATCTCCCTATCTCTTTGGTCTGAGGCTCAATAAGGAGGGTGCCCAAGACCTTAACGCCATTGCGGTGGAGAGCATTCGTCCACGAGGGAGGGGGTATACAAGCAAGCTTATGGGAAAAGTAAATGAAGGTATCAACAAACTGAAGATACTCGCACGAGTAGCTCTCCTCGTCAACCCCTTTGCCTTGAACAGCCTCGTAGTCATGGTAATTCCCCGAGTAGTCATGGCATAGAAGGACCCTCGCTTTCTTCTTCTTTCTGTCCTGCTGGGCCAGCGGAGCGCGCGGCAGGAGCGGGGTGTTGGCTCTTTGTAAGGCATCTGATTCGGCCTCTGCCCAGTCCTCAAGCTGTTGAAAAGTATCGAAATAAGTGAAACCTTTCAGCCGGTCAAGTTCACGTTGTTTCTGCCTTTCCCCCGGGGTCGGACCCGTGTCCGGTGAGGGAAACACATGGCGATAACCATCTCTGATGGGCCTCAGGATGTCTTTCCAGCCAAGCAGGCTCAACATAACGTTAGCGTGAAAAGCGAGAGAGGTGAGTGAAACGCGATGGGGCGCGGGTTCCTCTTTCGACAGGGGTCGAAGCACCCGCTTAGCTCCATGCAAGGTCTGAGCTCAACCGTGTCAACTTTATCTCGCCAACACTCTGCTCTTCAGCAACTCTTGTCCTTCCACACTAGCTACACAGATTTCCTTGCGCTGGAGAGAGCACTCCACGACTGCACGCCGCCATGAATCTCTTCCGGTTACTAGGTACGCACCAGCATGTCCCGACACCCTCCTGATGCTCAGCTACCGTGGCCTTATTCACCATTCCATGCGCGAGCTAACAATTGCCCGGCAGGGGATCTATCCCACCTTCTCTCCATCCTAATTCTTTTACACAAAATGAAGTCGTCGAGCGTATGCCTCGCCCTGTCCTTCTCGATTTGGCGCATCTCCTAACGTCATCAGAGCGCGTCCGGGATCTCGTTCAAATCCCAATTTCTCTATCTCACCGTCTACGTCACGCGCTACATCGACCTTCTCTGGACCTTTTATGAGTCGAAGTCGCTCTACAACACTGTCTTCAAAATCATCTTTATCAGCACATCTGCGTACACCGTCTACCTAATGCTCAACGACTACAAACCGACCCACGACCCTAACTTAGACACGTTCAAAGTGCAATACCTAATAGGGGCAAGCGCTGTGTTGGCGATTCTGTTCCCCTATAAATATACTTTCTCAGAGGTGCTTCATAAATAGATTGGGATAATAGATCTAGGAGACGCTGACACCCCCATGCAGATCTTATGGGCATTTTCTATCTGGCTTGAAGCGGTGGCTATTCTGCCGCAGCTCTTCATGCTCCAGCGGACTGGAGAAGCCGAAACCATCACCACTCACTATCTTTTCGCGCTTGGCGCATATAGGGCGCTGTATATTCCCAATTGGATCTACCGGTACTTCATGGAAGTGCCACGTTTCTGGGATCCGATTGCGGTGATTGCGGGAATTGTGCAGACGATTCTATATTCGGACTTCTTCTGGATCTACTACACCAAGTGCGTGCGCGTCCAACATTTTAGCATAAATGTTGCTAATACTATCGCAGGGTCATCCAGGGCAAGAAATTCAACCTACCGGTTTAAGTATCTCAACCTGCGACTAAACCTCCGTTTACCGAAGCCCTAGGCTTTGGCCTAATTGCCGCTTACCTTCTTGTATCATAGATCTGGGATCGGAACTATCGTGGGCCCCGGTTCGGGTGCCAGGTTACAACGGCGTTCTTGTGGTATGGCCTGCTATTCGCATTAGAATAAGGAGCAGATTAACATACGTGATTTTGAGGAGGATGGCTAGTGTCGGATTGGCGGTCTCCAGGGGAAAAGTCTGGTTGGATGGATATACCAAGAATGGAGTTCCTGTATCATCACTAGGCAATGCGAGGGAATTTCGCAAGATAATGTGTATACGGCTTGGCTTTGTGCTTTCGCATCATCATCATTATGCGCTATCATGGAAATTACAGTGCTGGGTTTGGCATTCGGCGCCTTTTTCAAAGCGAAGCGACTGTTCCTAACAAGTAATCCAGCTCCGGAGTCGCCACTAGAATAACGCCTTCGCATTCGACTGCAACTCGTCCTACGAGATCGGCCATCACGCGTTCAACCGATCCGATGTGTGCACAGACTAGATCTCGGAGACGAAAAGTGCAAACAAGTCTATTAATTAGGAGACCTAAATAAAGGGGTACATAAAGCGGAGCCCGCAGCCGTCCTTATCAGCATAAGTGGTAAGCCCATTTGAGTGGACTTGTATCCTCCTAGAAAAGCCCCAATTTCCGTCGTCGCAAGAGTCTTTTGGTGACTCAGTAGTGGGCTTTAGCTGGAGGTGTGGCAGAGCGTGCAATTTTGTTCTCGGAAAGGTACACTATGGTCGAATCGCTGAATAGCAGGGTCTTTGGGCTGAGACTCTTCAGCATCCTAATTCACTGGGTAATCATTATTCCCAACTTTATAATTGCTATAACTAGCCGTGATCTAATCTACGGCATGTCTCCTTTATTCTTTTTCTTTCTTCTCTGTCGCAAATTGTTCCACTTTACACCTACTTGTCGTTTCAGCAACCATGCCGCCAAGACCATGATCCAAAACCAGAACTTCACTCGAAGGACAGCAGGGCTTACAGCAGAGCTTATCGAACAACCCACGGCTTCCAATATACTTCCGATACGACCTATGAGAACAGCCATTACGGAGGTGAATGCCAATAGCACCAGTATACTGCCAATGAACCACTTCAGACCCATACTCTCATGGACCACCCGCTGTTCCCCTGGGATGGCAAATATCGCCTGTAGCCTTAATGAGTAGAAGTAAGAGAGAAAGTAGCAGCACTCACAGCTATCAGCCCCAAGGGTAGATACCCGATGGTTAAATAGGTCAACCTCTGAATCGTGCGATTTTGGTTGAGAGATATGTCATTTTGACTTAATGAGGTACGACTGTCGGTCAGTGCCAGGACGGCCTCGAACTGATTACGATGTTATCAGCTAGCAATCATATCATCGTATGAATACATACTGCATCCTTGTAGCGACTGTTAAGCTCAATATCGCGCTCTAGATCCGCAGCAACTGAAGTCAATTCTAACAGGCAGCTTTCGAAGATGTCTATGCTTTCCTGACACATCCGTTCCAATGGCTCACTTCGGGTGCCAGGACCCTAGCATTGCTGATAAGAATACAGAGGCTACGATACACTGACACGGCACTTCAGGGAAAGACTTACGTATTTGATCTGAACCATCAGCTGTTCTTTTGCGCTCGTTACACTCTCAAGCGATTCCCTGAGGCTATATTGGAGTTTGTACAGAGACTCTAAACTCCAGAGTCCAAGCTGGAACTTATGAACTTCACGGTCGTCTTCTTGGCCCTTATTTTTGCTTGAAAACAGACCCTACTAGGCATTAGTTGTTGTTCCTGTTGATAACGTTAGGTAATCTTTGCTCACATCAAGATTGAGGGTGGAGCTGATGACATCGACAGCCCCCCGGTATTGCCTAGCAATTTCTTGACATAGTTTACCAAGTACTAGGAAGAACACCAGGCATCTCCCAGTTTGAGGTTGATGGATGAACCTCTGCCATAGTTTCTGTCCCTCTTCCCCAAGCTTCTTCAGTTCAGGGTATCCAATGAGCTCTGAGATAATGAAGCATTGGCTGAAGTCTCCAAAGTCGTTTGTTGAGAGCATCAGAGACGACACTCGCAACTCAAAACAACAAGAAAGAAGTGTTCTATGGTCCCTCGCCTTCTCCTCTGGCCCCGAAGTTTCGACTACCCGTTTGAAATCCGAGGGAAGGGAAATACGTTTACCATTTTGGAAGGCTCCCGAGTCCGAACGATTATGGCCATCAGGATTCTGATCTAGTGAAGATGAACACCAGCTTTTCAGGGTAATTTCTGCAATCCAGTCGTTGCGGTTCTGAAAAGAGAATCGCGACAGTCTGAGCAGGTGATTGCTTAGACAAGCGGTCGATCGAGGAAACAATACATAGACCAACAAGTTCAGAAACTCCTTTGTGAGAACATGGCTTGTCACGGCGCTAGTTTTTGTTACTTAGTGTGTGGTCAAAAAGCATGCACAATAGGTGTTCTTACAACAATCGATGGCGGACATCTAGATCGACAAGCTAGTTCAAACAATCAGCAAATTAATATCAGCGACGAAGATTTGCTTACGCTGTCATAGAGTCTACGAACTAGCTCATCCTCGTCATCGGTAGCAGCAGAAGCAACTAGACGACCAAGCAATCCCGGAGACTCTTTACCAATTCCGTCTTCAACAATATCCACTACATATATGGATTTCAACTCCTTCAAAACTTCAAGGTCTTTTTTTATGAAACCTTCGGGCTTTTCCTTTTCCAAGTCTTCTGGAAGAGTCATATATTTATGGAGTGGGACAGGGACTCTGACACTCTTCTTCAGGTTCCAAGCCTGATATAAAGCGGGTGTATCGTCAAGCGAATGAATGAAGGCATCCGGGTGATATCGTTGAGGAGGCTTCCAAGTCTTAACCCACTCGATCGGGGTTGGCAAATTACCTTCAGCAGCGAAACCCCCAAGGGCCTTGATCTGCTTACTCATGAAGTCCCCAATGTATTTCATTTCCTGCCCAACATTGCTTTGGCCTCCGGGTAGCCAGGGAGAACTGAGAACTTTCGTTTGATCTGTCAGGGGGCTGGTCGACTTGACGCAGCATGAAGGATCATACAAGCATTTTTCGTGGAGATCTAAAAGGGTTGAAGCAAGGACCGATGACGCCTCTGAGTGAATCCACCCTTGGCGTGCTTTTAAATGTGACCTCTCCCAACACGGAACCAGGGTCGCTTCTGAGTTGATGAAGTGGCATTTCTTTTTGTACAACTCAACTTCCTCCGCCTTCTGCTCCAAAGTCTTCCGGTCTTCCGAATAGTGGTATTCCAGGCTCAGGGTCATCAATCGGCTGTGGTGACAGAGAGCATGTACCTCCCACGGACCCTCGATGTACCCCTCCTCTTGTGGCGATAGCCACCCAGGGTTGAGATATCTCGTGAAGTCACGCTCCTTGATGCGCTTCATAGAGAGTTTTGCAATAGTAGAGGCGGAACCCTCGAGCTCTTCCAAGCCCAATTCATGTCCTAAGAAAGAAAGCCGGTCAAAGATTTCGTCATTAGCGCAATATGGTGATCTTGATATCTTGATTGCTGAGGTGATCCAAGCTGCATTTCTCAGTCGATGCACTTTCTTCGCGCGCAACCCGTTCTCTTCCCAAGATTTCGAAAGAAATCCCTTCCCGCAAAGTTGCAAGATAGAGCCATGGTGATACCATTGGAGGAGCGGTATTTTATCCTTGTTCATTTCCCCAAAGTTCTTGTTGTCGTCGGCGGGGAGCGGTGGCATTTTAGTATTTGCCTTGCTAATATTCCGCATGCGAGCTCTAGGCCAGTCAAAATCAGGAAGATTCCTGACGACATACCAGAGGGTAATCATAATATAGTAGGAATCAGTTTCGTCTGCTGAAGATTGAGTTTTGAAGAGACCAATCGTTCTGTTCAGGCTGCCATCTGGATCAAGTACTTGGACCAGGAAATAGACGATCCCTTTAATTCGACCTTTAATGCGACCTAGCTGCTCCTGAGCGATATATCTCATTATAAGTATATCCTCTGCATCAAAATCTAAAGGAGGCATACCACCACCATCATCCACTCTGCTGCCACGTTCATATATCTCGTTGCCTTGTTCGTTTCTATCTGTTCTGTTCGACTGGAGGTTCTCGTTGACTGCCGAGTTGGTCGCAGTGAAGGGTTCAGCAATCTTAGAGAGGAAATGGTAGACTTTAGTGAGGAATCGAATCTTCCAGCTACGGATCGTTGTCAGACTGGTAACTCGTCTAGTTTGACCGTATGTAAGGAGGAATATACCCACAACAATGACTTGAAATTGACTTCCGGATGCATGAAGATATTACTAATAAGAGCAAAAGGCAATATTGGTTCATCGGTCTCAAACGACCAGATAGGGACCATGTCGACCTGCATGATCTTCTCAAAACAGCGACCGATCAGACTGACTTCAGGAAGTCGACCGGGAAAATCAGGTCGCAGATATTGCTCGAGGAAGATGGTTTCCCACATGGACCCAGTTTTAAACATAATTTTTGAAGTGTCATCGCTCACTTTTGGTGGGCTGGCACCAACATATTCGTAGATATCTTGTGACGATGGGACATTGGGCCAACTTGCCGTAACCCAATGCGACCCTTCGAATAGACGGAAGGCTGCGATGAAGGTTGCACTTTGCTTTTCGAATAGGCCATTCTTGAAAGACAATCGGTGAAGAGCACTATTCACAAGTTATCTCTCAGGTTGAAGGTTGGTGTTGGAGGCCAATTTACTTACCGGCATGCAGCTAGTTTTCCACCACCATCTTTTGAATCGCTTGATTCACACCCATTATCCTCTACTGAATCTGAGACAACTAGTGGAAGCGGTACGGGCTGTTCTCCAAGAATTCGATACACCACTGCTTCTAATCCGATCCCACTGACCGGGTCTAAATATTGCACGCAAGTATCTGGGGGAGGTTGAGTCATCCCAGGTGCTAGTTGAGCTGGCACAAGTCGCATTTTTGGAACCCTCTGGCCTCGTTCGCTCTTGCTACTTTCATCCCTACTCTCTCCCGTCTTGGCACACTCATCTGATGTCATCGGAGTATCGAAGGGTTGGAAAAGTAACGGACCCCCAATCGTTAGGGATCTACACACTTGTTAACTCCCCTTTCGTTCAGTCAGCGTAGGCACCTACATAAGGCTCTCCTCGGGGAACGAATAACATATATTAGATATTGAATCCGACCAACAGCCTTGCTCTATGCGCAGAACTTGGTAGAGTATGCCGTCCTTGATGAATGAGAATACCGCGTATGTACCCGTCTCCGAGTCCTCATCAGCAATGTGTTCCTTTTCCCCACTTAGGATATTCTCTTTCCCTTGGTTTGAGCTTTGGTTTTCCTGTCTCTCCATTCTTTGATAGAGCTCCTTTCTAGTAGCTAGTTGCTTGCCGAGAAGGGAATACTCGTTGAATGGCCATCGGTAATTGAAACACCCTCGGTCAAGCATGTTTCCAAGACGGAACATCGATTCTTCTTTAGGGTCGCCGGAATTCCCTTCGGGTTGGTAAGTGTGTTGGGTTAGTTCAAGCCCAAAAGTGGATGGTCCCCCAACCTTGCGCTGACTTCTAGCAAGTACGGAATACAAAGAAGTTGAAAATTTGCCTCGCGCAAATACCAGTCCATGTCGATCAGATGGTGAAGAGAAATGGAGCAGTTCGCCTCCATAATTGCAGCAGCCGGCGTATCCGTTGTTACCAAAATCAAATGAGGATGCCGGAAGATGAGAGAAGTGAGCGTAGCTTATGTACGCAGTCCCTATAACTGAGATCAGTTCTGGTCTTATCTAAAACATAGTGTAGAGTCCTTACCCCGAGAGCCTCGGCTGAGCCAATTAAAGGACTGAGAAATGTCCCCTCCAGACCTTGAGCCAGGAGTTCCTGCCATAAAATTGGGGCTAGCCACGAAAACTCTTGGGGTATAGCGCCAATAGAATTAAGTATTTTTAGAAAACGTGAGATGGGCTCTGTCCAAAGATGTGCGCGGGCCCACGTTTTGGTTCTTATACATGTTGCAGATGCTTGCGTCTGATACCGCCGAAGCCCAACAAGCTAACGGGGGAACGGGGGCACGAGGGCCCATTTTTAGTTTCAACACTTTAAGAGCTATCGCATAGAAACCACCAGCTCTGGTATTCTCCACATGAGTTCATGTAAGAGTGCCAAATCTGGCGAAGATGGAAACAATTAACCTTCAGCCAGCCACATGTCAGCGCTTTCTTCGAATCATTATCGCCCTCGCCTACCTCCCCTATCTAATAGCTGGAGTTTGTAATCATAACATTGCTTAGAGTAAGCTAAATCTGAATGGGCAGATATATGGTGGCGCGTAGGGAATGCCTATTCGCACCAAATCTGGGGGTGACTGCGTTAATCGGGATTTCAGCTCGCCCGGGAGTAGGATTGCCCCGAAGGCGAGATATCTACGACCTATCCAGCAATTACTCTATCAATTATCAAGACAATTTCCATAGCTAAAGGTGCGGAAGGGCTACAGCAGAGTGAGTATAGGACAATAGAAGATCCCTTTACATGTAAAGTACCCTTATGATGCGCGACAGGCCAAGCTTCAACCCCAGCCTCGTCTCATCAAATCCCAACTGCACCCCACCCCAGATCGGAGGACCCGAGAGACACATGCCAGGCTCGCGTGAGTAAAACGCCCGGAGAGTCGGGCGAGTAGGGACTCGCATGATAGGCTACGCAGGATTTGGAGCCACTTCCTATCGTCCATGAGGGATTGGTTGAGCAATTCGCCAACTTTGCAGAGAATATCATGAGGGACGACAGTCCTTGCGAGTGTGAGATCGCCGATGACGAATGGCCTTGGTTAGGGTGGGAAGAAGTTGGATGTTAAGAAGACCTAAGGCCTCTTTTCACACTCACCAGTTTTAGCTAGTGTCATAGGAACATCTTCATATAAAGATTCTTGCAAGCCCGCGAAGGAGAAGGATGTCTAGAGCGCTTGATAGCTTCCCATCTCTGGAATTTTACCTATTCTTCATCCCATTTTAAGTGATAGAACCAATTGCAATTATACCCATGAATATTATATCGGTAGATGTCTACTTTGCTATCCTGTGGCTATCCCCCCAAACACCTAGAATTTCATTTTTATTACATTATCCTCCTAACCTTCCTCAAGGCTTTGGCAGCTTTTGACGATATTCTCAAGAGAGCATACAACATCACTATAGACTGCATCCTGCAACTCTTCGCTAGAGAGGTCCGAACCAAACGCAAAATCGCAGTGAATACATTTGCGGATAATCTTTTGATAAGCAAGTCCCAGGGGCTGAGACGCATCCGCCAATTCGCGAGCAGTGGTGAGGTCAGAAATCTCACTCCTCTTCCGTAGGCGCCCAATGTCCTTCTTGAAGCCAATCTCCAACAAGGCGATGGCTAGATGGCCTAAGGACAAATTTCGAACTCTACTATCACCGGTAGCGTTGAAGCGGACAGATGGATATGTCTCAGTGTAAGCCATTGGATCCGGGAGGAAGCCATTACTGAGCTTATTGGGAATTTGCGTGCTCAAATGTAAAGTTTTTAATTCCTCGAAGGTCTCTTCATCTGCAACCTGTCCTAAGCGTCCGAAGAAAGCCATATCTTGGAGGCGCCAGTCTTCTCGCAACCATTTGGTGGAATGGAATTTTAGAAACGCCGTGGAAACTTGCAGAGCCAGTTTAAGTTGATGAAATTTGTCTAAAGTTGTGAGAACTCTTTTAAGTGGAACGGCATCTTTCAAAGTCCGGATAGTTTTGCTTCTTTCTTCATGCCCGGCATCGTAGAAGACTAACTTAAGCTCAAATTCGTTCTCAAGATAGCCGAGACATGATCCTTTGCTCCCATTGGGTTGTTTAGCCCCAGCTTTGGTAAGATGGTTGCATATGCCTTCAACTGACTTGTTGAGATCATATGTGGAATAGCACGAGCCTTCATAATGTTGTGATCGTAATGGCGTTGCGTTTCTTTGTTGGCTCTCCTCTAGAGCCTCGTGGGTCTCTCCATCAGATGTAGAGAAGAATCTAACCCTTTTCTTACTTTTCCCTTGATTATTGCTTGTGGTGAATGCGCAAGGGTTTGGCCGTGGGGCTCCTGGAAGCCGTGGCAAATCTCCTAGTTCTTGTTGCAGATAACCTGCATTTCCCTGTGCCTTTGGTGGAACCCCAGATTGAGTCATGTGTACACGGACGCATATTGGCGACTCGTCAACCGTTCTGTGCCACCACAATTAGTTCATCTATGATAGAAGACATGCATGATTTAAGAGAAAGGTTGCGCGCTTACCCTTCCCTCTGATGCCTCTCACTGAACAGAATGGTCAAGTGAAGGTTCGCCTCAGAATCGTCCGCAGCATTAACATTTAGTTTCGCTATGTGATTTGTGTGTGTGAAATTTGCGCAAGTCCAGGTATCTGTCAAAATTGAATGAAGATTTGAGGAAGTTTTCTGAGCAGTAGAAAATATTTGAGGTAGTCTCCTTCGTGTCAGGCATGCCTTGGAAATCGCTGGTCTCTGTTCACGAAGTTCGCGGATTTGAACACAGAGGGTGTTCAAGCTTGCGAGCCACCTATGCAGTTCGTCAAGCTTCTCCTTATACTTCGACTCGTCAATAACAGAGAACTTCAATTTCTGGAATTGAGAAGAAATTCCGTCTTTTTTGATGTGCTATGAGTGAGGCGTTAGCTTCCTTTCGAAGTTACGTCATCTAAGTTTTTAGAATTTGGACCGACCTGTGAACCTTGCGCTTTGAGCTTGTCCAAGTAGCCTGTCAAACCGTCCGAGACTTCAAACAGCATCTCTCGGATGACGATGAGGTTGTCCTTCAAGTCGTCACAGATGTCGCCAACATACATTCGTAACCGGCTATCCAAACTCTCGTCTTCCCAAAGTCTATGAAACGGGTCTTGAATCATCTCTTCTAGTTGCTGTTCATCGACAACCAGCCGAAGAAGCAGCCGGCATTCGTTGCGAAATAAGACTCCTCCACTGTTAAAACGAATTCGCAGTCTGCTCAGTCGACCCTCAAATCCATCAAAACTGCGAAAAGTTTCACGGGTTCTCTGAAAAACAGTGACAAGCTCAAGAAGCACAGGAACAATCCCAAGAGCCAAGCTTCCAATCTCGAAGCCAGACATGGTTCATTTTTTGGGAGTTCGTAGTATTGTGTGAAGAAATTTATAATTCTCAATGTGAGTTACTCGGATCAGGCCCGATGCTGCCTCGCTCAGCCCCATCACAAGAGCCGCGCTGTCAGCCGACGCGGGTGTCCTCACTCACCGTTTCAATATTTCCACTTGCGAAAAAGTCTTAAATACAGTCATGGACGAATTTGGAAACATATATTCGTAAGACCACAGCGTCAGGTATACGCTTTTCGCTACTCTCCGATGGAGTGTGCAAAGAAAGACCCGCCGAACCAGCGCAGCCTTACGCCTTCTGAAAGGGCCGATAGATCTGCCGTCATTGAAGCATGGCGAGATAATTTAGATCCCTTAGACTATGGCCGTCAGTCTCTTAGACCGAATATCATTGCAGATTTGTTCGGAATATGCGTACGCCTTTTGCGCCTAGCACTTCCTAGTTTGTTGGCTTCGGAGGTGGGGGATTCACATCGAGACATCAAAGACAACCTCACAGCCTTACATCTCTGGGGGTATGGTCACGAAGTCCTTGACGGGGCTTTAGACTCTGCTTTGCAAAGATCACAAGAGTTGTATGAATCCACGCTATCGCTCCTTATATCTGTAGCAGAGCTTGTAAAAGGTATTATCCATCATTGCAACTCTGATTTCTTTGTACTAAGCTATCTAGGTCTCCTGGAATTTGCGTTTAAAAACCCCCGCGATCGTGAAGAGATCATTGAAGACTCGCAAATTGATGACATCGTACAATCGGCACGTACCCTAATCTCTGACCCAGAGGCATGCATGCCTACGTGGGAAGACCCCAGTGACTTAGTAGACAGCCTAAAGAATCAGATAGACTGTCTTGGCCTTCTCAGCCCTGCCCTTGAATTCCCAGCAATTGAGTATTCCGTTCATGACCAACATCAAGACGAGGAATTCTTGGCCAGTCGTCCTATCCACGAAGCTTACACGGAGATCATCAGAACCAAGTTCCCGAGAGCTAACCCTTCTCTCCATGAACGACTTGGAAAGGCTTGTTGGGACAGATACCTCCACATACGACGGCTGCAAGAAAAGGTGGCCACAAAGCAAACATTGGATCTCATTACTCAAGGAGAAGATGGGATCAAGTCTAGATATGAGGACTCTGGGATTGGTGGCTCATTGGCAACTCGACAAGATGGCAACGATAGCACATCCAGCTTCCAAGACTCTGCATTAGGAAGCCTTGCCACCAACGAAATAGCATATGCAGAGACACTATACTCAGCTCGAGCTATAGCCAGTCATGGCCGCCTTCCACGACTACCCCCGGAAGGGAAACTAGGGCACCCTTTTATGTGCGAGGTATGCTATGAGGCAGTTGCTATTCAGCGAACGAGAGATTGGAAGTAAGTATGATGACTACCCTCCTGCTACCATCTGACTATTTTCAGACAACATATCTTCAAAGACTTACTCGCTTATTCATGTGTTCTCGAGCACTGTCAGACCTCTATAGCCTTATTCGATAGCACCGAAACTTTCACGGCTCATTTAGCCTCTGAGCACTCATTGGGATCACATTGGCAGAGCTTAGAATGCCCTCTATGTCTTCAACAGACAGGTGATGGTCAAGACATTGTGTCGCTTCACTTGATTCGGCATGCAGAAGAGATCGCTCTATGCGCCTTACCAACTTCCGCGGAACTAGATGCAGATTCGGACCACACCGAATCTGAAAGTGGAGAAAGTACTGGCCGAGGCGGGGGTGTCTCAGCGGAAACCGAAGCCCCGAATGACAGAGCCTCTGTTACTTTCTCACTCGACGGCGTCGACAAACTAACCCTTATAAGAAATCCTAAGAGCAGAAAGAGCAGTTCTCAGGCGGTCAATCTCATTGATTCTTGGTCAGATAAAGGGTCAGCGGGTAATGCTCCTCAAGATTTACTGGAAATATTAAAGACTTCATCAACGACTCTCCCGAGAAGGCCAGACAAGGCCGAGGAAATACCTAGAACCGCTTCAAAAGGCTCACCCAAAGATGCCTCGTTAGTTGCGTCCCCAAATCTTCACGACAAGACATCGCCACCCCCTCTAGGGTCATCTGATCAGAGGCTGCTACGATTACCGACTCCCGAACCAAAACCTCGTAACATAGTGGGTTCGGCTAGTGCTGTGAGTGGCTTAGCAGATATTGGGTCTCCTAGAACCGGGACTCCTATACCCGCTATTCTCAAGTGTGACCACCCTGGCTGCACCGCTCCGCCATTTCAAACTCAGTACCTTTTAAAGTAAGTGAAACCCAATGCAACAAGACGGCATTTTCCTCTTAGCATATACTAAATCCTGACTACCACTCTAGTTCACATGTCATCGTTCACGCCCAAAGCCGACCGCATTACTGCCCAGTAGCTGGTTGCCCACGGGCAGAAGGAGGAAGAGGGTTCAAAAGAAAAAATGAAATGATCCGGCACGGACTTATACATTCCAGTCCTGGATACATTTGCCCATTCTGCCCAGACAGAGAGCACAAGTACCCTCGGCCAGATAATCTACAAAGGTGAGTAGAAAAGAAATCCGTAAACTACCTTCATGGAAGCGAGATAGGTACTGACTTCTAACTCAAGGCATGTGCGAGTCCACCACACCGATAAGAGAAGTGATGATCCGCAGTTACGCGAAGTACTATCGCAGCGTCCAATTAGTGGCTCCCGGGGAGTGAGACGTCGCGCCAGAGACGTTACTAGGGAGAGTAATTAGAGCCTTCACCCTTCCTACTATTATCGAAAGACAAAAACTCTTGACAATACATGCTAGATGTCCGTGGCACAAACTTACCCAAGACAGGAGACGTGTGCGCTATTCTTGATTATTGACACTAGTGTGAAAGCAATCTTCCACTTACGTGATGATCACAATACCACATATCGTAACTGATGAAACCTCAATTTGCTTCCCCTTCACAATTCCAAAACCCAAGCCCTCATTCTCAAAGACAACACCCACCTTCGCATGTCTATCCGCCTCGCCCGAAAATCTATAGGCCACATAGACAATCATCAGGGCAGTCTACTTCCCATACACGGATAAATGTATTGAATTATTTTTCCAAAGACTTGGAGCGCTATCCACATAACGATATCGTTGACTATTTTCTTTGCACTTGCCATAGATCTGTAGCTTTATAGTCTTAGGTAGGCAGCCTAGCATGAATGGCGCAAAGCACAATTCTCAAGAGCTAGAAGTCGGTTGCATCGTTGATATATATTGGTCTTTTAGTGCCAGATCTGGGGAAGGGGCATGAGGTTGAGCAACGACTGGCTTATGTCTCCGAAGGAACTAAGAGTCTGTAGAAGAGATATATGAATGAGAACTAGGGCTTTATATGGCTAATCCCAGTCGTGCTGGGAAGGACTCACGTGAGCTGAAATCCCACCCACAGACATTCACGTTCAAACATAAAGCCAGTGAGGGCGCCATTAATCAAGTTCATGCATATTTCCATTCATTTATCCACTACACCCCATCAAAGGTCTCCATGTCTATACGTTGCCCAGCGTCAAACACTCTTAGTTCTACTCGCGGAGTGTGAAAAAAGTGGCAAGAGACCCCCCCCAAAGCCATGCATGTGGCCCTTTTAAACCCCAAAACCAAAAAGAAAGCCTGAAACGGCTCCACCCGAAAAACGCCGCCGAATGCGTGGCAAGGACCAAGGTCGTGAAGTGGTAGATAAGAATCGTAGGTAGACTAAAGAAACGAGGAAAAAGCAAATAGATACTTGATACATCATATCAACACATAGGTGTGTTTACAAGCCATTAAAGCCCATGAGCAGACCCGCACCCGCTACCACCGCTCCAGCGCCTAACCATGGGTGTGGAGTAGCGACTGGCATAGCGGCGCCCGTGGACTGCGCACCTGCACCTGTAGCGCTGATTTGGGGACCGCCGTTCCTTGCACCACCGGTGCCGACGGCGACCGAGGATACGGCATTGGCGACACCAGAGGCGTCTGGGACGCCATTTGATCCGGATTGTATTTCTTGGATCGAGGTTTTGGTGGCGTTGAAGTTCGTTTGTGCGAGCGCAATTTGGTTGTTCTCGAGATCGTAGACTACGTAGGCGGAGCGTAGGAAGGTGTCGCCCAGAACGCAGGTTGAATCTCCTGCGGGACCAATGCCGAGGATGCAGACGGGCTTCCCTCGCTGGTATCCTGCGACGATGACCAGCTCGTTCATGGGAACTGAGATAGTAACGCCCGAGAAACTGAAATCCAATGACCCGTTCTGGTCAGCCAAACCGCAGTCAACGAATGCTGCACCCTGTGTCGAGTCGTACTGGGCGCTGAATTGGGAATACAGGGAGCGGACTAGGTTGTCTGGGAGGTACATGAGCGAGGATCCGGAGTCGAGCAAGACGGGAACTGTGTCGTTGTTGAAGAGAGAACCCGCCTTGCCGTTCATACCCATGGAAGTCAATGCAATAATAAATTCGGCATAGACACCCTGCTCGCGGATGATTGGAAGTTTGCTGAGCTGTCCAGTGTACTTTTCCGTATCGACACCACCAAACAGAATGCTTCCAGTAGATGCATCCAGATCGTTCAACCACAAGGAGTAGGCGTTCGTGTTGATGTTGCCATTATCCGCAAGGAGTTGAGGGAGGTTGGGGTACGCCTTCAGTCCAGCGCGGTTCACCTGGACTTCGTTTATGGTGTATCCAATACCTAAAATACCCTCTGGCGAGCTGGAAACGTATCCAATACCGAATTGCATGCCCTTGATTTCTTGCCCACCGAAATGTAACGTATCCTTCGCGTAATCTCCTGCCGCTCCTGATCCGTCAACATATGAAATATTGAATGCGCTGTTTACGAACTCGTAGGTCGATGAGGAGTTTGCATCGTACGTTCCGGAATCGGCGCACTGGCTCCCACGCGAGCTGCATAGCTGAGAGCTCGCCGCGTTTGCCCACAAGTCGCTACTCCCTGTATCAATGTGCAGACGGAGCTTCTGCTCCGGTGTCCCTAAACTCGCATTCGCGAAATAGAGGGTCTCTAGGTTGTCGAGCGTTTCCTGGACGGTCTTCTGCCGTCGTCTTAATCGGTCCCGAGCAACGGGGTTAATGACATGACGGCGCTGAATGTCGAGGTTGAGTACTCTGGGATTCTGGTTCGATCAGTGACTGTAGAATAAATACAATGAGGTTTTCGGCGTGCGGTGATGGTTGGGGCATGCCTGCGGACTTCATCGGAGGACCAGGATGGCGGGAAAGCCAAGACTCGTACTTACTTCTCGCTGGACCAGATTGAAAGCCGCTACCGACGACAATAACTGGGCGGCGAGCGCCAAGGTAGAGGATTTCATGGTAGGTGGGTTGGTGAAGTGTTGTGGATATTAGGGAGTTAATTGTGAGTATACGCAGCAAGTAAAGTAAGGGTCGCAGATAGGGCTGGAGCGCATGAAGTCAGAGGTGGTGCCAAAATAGGAGTGAGGCAGGGGGTGTATGAACGTTACGTACCTTTTTCGGTATTCACGAGGGACCCAGGAATTACGTGGCAATGAACGACTTGAGGGAGCCAGCGAGGGGGTAGGATAAACAAAAGGGAAAGGGAAACAGATGGAAAGGCAGACGCGGGCGTGTGTCACAGGACTTTAAGGACAGAGGCTCTGGAGGCGTTGATGACGCGGCGATTCCAAAATGACCTTCAGTCCCGGACGCTGTTTCAGCGACTCCGATGACGCCTGGACAGGGACGGATGAAGCGGCAGGTCCGATTCTGACTGAGCGCCAGCGGGTAGCTGCGCTTTAATAAGACGGCGCGGACCTGTGGGCCTCTCAGCGGTCGCCATCCAACTATCTTCCTTCCTTTTGTGCTCAGCTAGTGATCACGGTGGCGGTGCAGGTTCAACCACCTTGGAAACCTTGGAGCCGAGCAGCCCAGGTCATCCGAGCCAGCGGCCAAGCGCCCTGTGAGGATCACTTAAGCCCTACGTTACGCTGTCTTTTGATGGGACAGTGTTGCTTCTTTCGTGCTCCATCATGCCGAGCTACTTGGGGTCTAGCCTGCGGGTACGCATGGAATGCCAAAGAAATCGAACGAGGCATGAGAGAGAAAAAGGCTGTTGAACGCCGACTGTCCGGTCACACAAAGAAAGGTGGAAATCAAGATCTGGCGACGGGGAAAACAGGCCAGCTGATGGCTTGCGCGTCGCAAAGTTAGTCAGGCGTCTGGAGACTCCGACCGCCGTTGTGCTCTCTCCACAGCCACCGAGCTGTCGAAATCGCTAATCACAACTTATGGGATTGTTGAAATTCATAGGGCTTGCTGTTACGGCATCTCAGACACTTAGACAAACGCGCACTGCGCGTCTCGTTGCATGAGGCGAGGTCGAGCAGCTGTTGTTGCCGCAAGGGGGGAGGTGAAACAATGCTGTGACATGTCGAGATAAGAATGGCATCCAGGAACAGGAAGGTCAACCCAGTGCCGAGACGTGGCTGAAGGGGAACATGTGGCTCGCGTTCGATGTGGCCAGTGGGTTGTGGATGGCCGCGGAGACGAGGATGGAGATCCAAGCGGATTGCGGAATGAAGGAGGATGATTGAGAGATTCCAGCAATCTCCGATCCTCATATTACCTTCATAGACTGAGAAGAATGAGATTTCTACTTGGTATCACGTGCTTCTGCTGGCCCCAAATTCTGTCAATAGCTAGTCACCATTCCTTAGTTACGACATTGCGCGCTAATCCAGATGTGGGTAGCGTGAAAGCGTGAAAACGTGAAAGTGCTTAACGCGTCTCGCGTCAACCCCACGAGAAGTTCAACCTCAACCTCAACCCACCATGGCGAAAGCAGAGTCCTCGAAAGCGGGCGCCCGCAACGGTATCAAGGCAAATCCCAATGTTGTCGGTGGCGCAAACTACGAGCTTCCATGGTCGGTTCTAACATCTACAAGTTCTCCCCTATCAAATCTCTCAATTGACGTTGACCAGGGTTGAGAAGTATCGCCCCGTCTTCCTCGATGATGTTGTTGGTAACACCGAAACAATCGAGCGCCTTAAGATCATCGCTAAAGATGGAAATATGCCGCACGTTATCATCTCCGGGATGCCCGGTATTGGAAAGACAACCTCCATCCTCTGCCTCGCGCGACAACTCCTTGGTGACGCCTACAAAGAAGCCGTACTAGAGCTCAATGCCTCAGATGAGCGTGGTATCGACGTGGTTAGGAATAGAATAAAAGGCTTTGCACAAAAGAAAGTGACGCTACCGCCAGGAAGACAAAAGCTCGTAATCCTGGACGAGGCCGACAGCATGACAAGCGGCGCACAGCAGGCGCTCCGAAGAACGATGGAAATCTACAGTGCAACCACACGCTTCGCATTTGCCTGCAATCAATCCAACAAGATCATCGAGCCCCTCCAATCTCGCTGTGCTATCCTCCGATACGCCCGTCTTACGGACGCACAAGTTGTCCGCCGCATCCTGCAAATCTGCGAAGCTGAAAAGGTGGAGTATTCGGATGACGGTATCGCTGCGCTTGTATTTTCCGCCGAGGGTGATATGCGACAAGCTATCAACAATCTCCAATCGACGCATGCTGGATTCGGTTTCCTAAATGGGGATAATGTTTTCAAAGTGGTGGACAGTCCACATCCAATAAAAGTCCAGGCTATGATAAAGGCATGCCATGAGTGTAGGGTAGATGATGCGTTAACAGCGCTGAAGGAACTGTGGGGTTTGGGATATTCGTGCCATGATATTATAAGTACCATGTTCAAGGTCACCAAGACCATCCCAGACTTGAGTGAGCATGCTAAACTGGAGTTTATCAAGGTATGTCTCTCACATTCTAATTGCATCACTCGAATCTAGTGGATAAGTCCTATCACAGGAAATCGGATTCACTCACATGCGCATCCTCGAAGGCGTTCAAACCCTCCTTCAGCTCTCTGGATGCATAGCGCGACTGTCAAAGATCAACATGAACCCCCAACTTTTTACGGTTCCAACCAAATAAGGGCCAAGAATAAGATATGATTTGCATGGTCAGCATGGTCTTCGGCGTTAGGTCCTTTTGGTTTTCTAGAAATGTAGGAGCATTTTTTGGGTGGCATGGAAGACACAGTTGTTCAGTGACATGGGAGTTAGGAGGTGATAAACCCTAAGTTATTGAAGTGTTGCAAGAGACAGTCAACAACAACTAAACCTATCCCTTCCATCAGGTGCCTAGCTAATCGTATAACCGTCCCTTTAGCTTTTTGATTTATCCTCAAACATACTAAGACTGAGACTTCATTGCCCCTTGCCTCTTCTTACTCCGATTCACGTCAAAATTTCTCCCACTATGCAAATGGCCCGCAAGGATATCACCTTATCCCTCATCTTAGCCATAGATCCAGCTCGATCCCTCCCCCAGCCATTCCCTGCCTACGGCCTTCTAAACTTCATCCTCTCCCGCTTGCGAAAACACTCCTTACCTCGCCTGTAGCGCTATTGGATGCTCCCGCGAATGCGGCGGCGCGAAATGATACTCATCGCCGACCGACCATCCGGTTTACCCTGCCCAACCCTCTTTCGTCGGCCAAACGACCTTCCTTTGAGCTTCAAACCGCTTACAGGGTTTTGCACTCGAGAACGGGGATGATAGTGGGGCCGAGAGCGAGAATGATCTCGTGCAAGGATATGCCATCCAAGTGTGCGAGACTCTGGTAGTCTAGTCGCCCGTGTAAATTTTGGTCCGCAGATGTCCGCAGAATTAAGTCGCGTCTGAAGTATCTCAACCTACGACGCGAGTTAACGTGTTTCCTGCTTAGATACTACTTTCGCATGCCTCCTGAGAACATTGACAATTTCTGGCTCTTTTCCTAACGTGGAGGACGTGCTGAATAGTTCTCAATTCCCCGCTATCATTAGCTCAACGGCAGCAGATGAGCCCTAACCACAAAACTTGCGCCTGCCGTTTGATGAAGCTGCTGCTCTGCTTAAAAGCAGTACTGGTTACGACTTGAAGCCTGGTCAAAAACAAGCCCTTGAGGACCTATACAACGATCATAACAGTATACTCATTGCGCAGACTAGGTATGGGAAGACACATGTTATTATAGGGTATTATGCAACACTAGATCCTTAGTTGTGGCCTATTACTCTTATAATAAGTCCTCTAAAGGCAATGGAACAGGGACAGGCTTGTCCTTAAATAGTTGAGTTGCTGGAGGTGTGAGAGGATCCATCGCACAAAAGTTGGGCCCCCAAGGTAATTAATTGAACACAGGGTTATCTCTGCGACCTGTGGTGCGATTTTGCCAAAAGTTATACTAATTAACGCTGAATTAGATAAATTAATTTATTCTAGCGCTAAGCCTCGTAATAAGAGCAACAGAGAGATGGTAGGTCGCGTTAAAGTCAAGAGAAGGTGGATTTTCCCATACAAACCTGGGCCCCCAAGCTACCAAAAATTACACGGGCGACTTGACCCTCCTGCGGTGAACCCCTCACGGCACGTGACCCGGGCCAAAACGGGGGGTTGCTTATTACTAGACTACGAGACTCTGGGATATTGGGACGATACGTATCGATGTTTTCACTGCTACATCTAGGGCTGGAACTGGCATTGGGGCATACGCACTACGGCCCCCGCAGCGTATTTTTTTCTCCCTCTGCTTCCATCTTCATCAGACAGGAAAATCGCTAGTGTGGTGTCAGAATCTCATAGTCTCCTTTCGTCCTCTAAAGATCAACTAGACATTTCCAAATTCAATAAATATTGAACAGCATGTGCTGTAGTATCATCTGAGACAATGAGTCCATAATTTTGTGCCGCCATGGTTGGTTATTTCCCTTGCTTGAAGAAAGCCTAGAATCTCGATTGCTAGAAGTTCGGGCAACGCAAGGAGGTGAATTTCAACCCATCCTCTCTTACCCTAACAGAGTCTGACAAGAAATTCCAAAGGTGGTCAGCTTGTGTGAACTTCAGCATAAAGACTCTCAGCCCATGCATCTAAGCACTAGACAGGGCTTAGCATCATTCCAACTGCTCACCAACACATGGCAAGAAGCTTGCAGGCAAGTTCCTTTTCCCAAACATAAGCGTAAATGCCTCCGGCACGTCGCCATCTAGAAGGTAAGCACAGAACCTAGGTTCTTAAGCAAGTGCAAAACAAAGCGACACTTACTATTTCTTTACCTATTCACAAAGTGTAAGTAATAACCAGGAAGAACATCTACACTTTTGAACTTTAGCATACGCTATATAAACACATCAGGCACACAAAGCATGCATACGCACCCAAACCAAACCAGCTTCATTTATGACACTTTTCAGCGTCTCAAGAATTGTTTACAAGAAAACCGAAAAGCAATCTCAAACTAAACACTCCTGGTGTTAAAACAGGGCCGAAGCCTGTCCATCGTCAATCGTACCATAATTCGTTATTGAAAAAAACCCGCCAACGCCAAACAGGAAGAACCAGACCCAAAAAACAGTCTCAAAATGCGTGCAGAATGCTATCCGCTCGCCATGCCACGCTGAAACAAAATGCTTTTCGCTATGCTCGCTATGCCGCTCGAAAAAAAGAGAAAAGAAAAAGTGACCCGGTACAATCTACCGATTCCGAGGAACCGTTTGAGTTTCTTCATGCTCTTCGCCCGCTTTATACGCACTTTCAAAATCATCAGAACATTTCATGACCGAGGCCTCCATAGCCGTCATCTGCACTCACTGCGGCACGATGTCCCTCCACTCCGTTTGGAATAGATGGAAGTGGCGGTACAGTGACACCGTCTGGGACGATGATGACGACTTCCTCCTTGGTGACGGAGGACTTCTTCTTGTTGAGTTTGCGGCCCGAGGACTTGGCACTGACTGTTCGACGGGCTTTCTTGTTGCTGCTAGTAGCATTAGCGCTGTCGTTGCCATTACCTCTGTGCTTCTTGGAGCTGATGTTCATGCCGAAACCCGCCTTCTTGCTCTTGGTCTCTGCTTCGCTCTCGTAGTATGATTCGAGGTCACTGTCTGTGGTGACAGGCTTGTAGTCGTGATCGTCGGCGCCGGCAGCCGTGGCCTTGCGCTTCTTTGTGATCTTGCGCTTTGGGTTGTTCTGGGTATTGGGAGACAACTTAGTCTCAACCAATGCGTGTGGATTCAGTTCACCCTGCGGCCAGAAGTGCCTCGTGTTTGGTTCGGTGATGATGCTTGAGTCGTCGAGGCTTTGGTGGAGGATAGAGCGCGATCTCTTGGAGGATCGCTCGCCATTGGTGTTCTCGAGAGCAAGCGTAGTCGTAGAGTGCGAATACCCGAAACGGTACTGCGATGATGGCGTGAAGCGGCCATTTGGGGTGGTGACATCGAGGGTCGGGACGGGCGGGATGTCGTCGCCGAGGACATCATAGAGCTGCTTCCGGGCTTCTTGCAGCTTGATTTCAAGGTTTGAGACTCGTTTCACCAGCACCTTTTGCTTGTGCAGGTCCTTCTTGCTTGGGGACTTCCGCAGGGCTGGCGAGGGCGCCGGAAGGTCTAGAGACGGGTCTAGGACATCACCACCAGTCTTCTCAGCGGTGCCTGCACTTAGTGTCAATACAAGAGGCTCCTTGCATCCGCCACAAACCAGGGAGGAACTCACTGCTCTTGCGCGGCTTGATTGGCCGCGTGAAAACTTTGGCGGCGGGCAGGAGGCCCTCTGCCTTGGCCTTGGCATAGGCCAGTTCCGCCTGCCTTTTCCTCTCGTCCTCCTTCCCCTCCTCCTTCTCCGCACCTCCCGCCTTCCTCTTCCCCAGCACGCTCAATCCCGACTCCTTCCAAAAGGAGGACACGGCATGCGAAAATCGCCCGAAGGCACTTTTGGGGGCGGTTGGGGGACCGGCGGGGACAGTAGCAGGGGCAGCTCCTGCTTTGCCCTGGGTGGGCGGAGCGGAAGCCTCCTCATTGAACTTTGTAATGAGGTCGTCAATTGCTAGCTCCTGCCAGTAGATACTTGGAGGCGGATGAATGGAGCTTGTGGAGTTCATGGCGGCTTCCTTGAAGCGCGACCCGCGTGGCTCGGTGGCGGTCTGATTTGCCATTGTGGGTAAGGAGAATCAATCGTAGATGCTCGAAACGGCAAAAAAGCAAGCTCTGCTGGGCGGGGAAGGTGAGATGTTCCACGTGTTAGCCGGCACGTAAGGGAGAAAAGGAAAGCGAGGTTCGCTGCCAACACGCGAGGTCAACATTCAAAACGCGGTGCCCCGTGCGCCTTGTTACGTCAACAATCACATGCGAAAACAAAATCCTCCCCCCCCCGTTTGAGGGCTTCAGAGTGCACGCTAAGTTTCTAAACAAGGGTCCAAACCGATGGTCCATGCATTTCTTCTTTTATATTCTGCTCTCCGACTCCAGCCATACCACACTTCTCGGCGATGCCATCTCACCAATGCCTATCGTGCTACTACGCACATCAGGCACCACCATTACACACTCCCCATAGCTCAGATAGTCCGTCTCGCAGTTCAATTGCTGTCCGAGCTCTTCGCTCTGCCCCTTCTGCTCACCCTTTGGTGCAACCCTTGCTCTGATCTCAACGTTCGGCAACAGCACATTGCCTGGTTTTAGAGGGATTAAAATTATTGGCAGTTTCTTCTCCTCACCTTCCTTCGCCGTAAATTGTGCCCGCCGCTGCCCTGCCACAAGCCAAACATCAGGGTTTGCCTCAATTGAATATACAAAGTCCATGGCGTCATCTGATGACTTTAAATTAGCGGCTGCCACGAGGGCAGATGGCCAGCCCCAACGGCGTGTGTGCTTTATGCATAGCTCCGTGAGAAGTGGTTGACCGACAACAGCAATAGCTGTAGAATGCGACGGTGCCTGCTCCGGAGACTCGAGAAAGAGGGATGCAGTGTGAAGGATGTGGGTTTGTGGGATAGAGACAGTGATGATAATGCGGCGGGAGGGGTGCGGCGAAGGGGGTACGATTCCTGGCACAGAAGACGTGAGTTTAGGCGTCGTCGAGAGGAGGATCAACCCATTATTCTGGAATGTGTTAATTAAAGTCAAGTATTTGGAGATAATAGCGTCGTACCTCATGCCAGTTTCGTAGCCACTTTTCAGTATCTCCCCGAATGATGTGAGGAAGACTATCAATGCATTCAGCCCAGCCCATGTCCTCAAACGTTCCCATGTCAACTTTATCCAGCAGTGCAATTTTCTCATACTGATGTGGTAGAATACGGTGCTCCAAACGATCTGTGAACGTGGCAATAAGTAGGCGCCCGAGTCTGTGTACCTGGCTGTTTTCAACAGCCGTAGCAAACAGTTCACATACGCGAGCCAAGACGTCTTCGTTCATGCATCGGTACTCGACTGAAAGTGCCAGGCTTCCGGTATTGGGATTGCGGCTTTGCCTTCGTTTATTTGGATCCACGGGCTTCTTCGTGATCTTGTATGTGACTGAAAGTGGCTGTTTTGGGAATACAAGGGTAGAGTCCTTGATCCTTTTCGGGACAAATACACCAAACTCTTCCGACTCCTCCAGCCCGACATCTAGAATCTCTAGAGGAACGTGGTTAGCTGTCTTTATGTTGAACTTCGAATAGAGTGACTCGTTCTTAAAGTGGTCGTGTACATTGACATCGAGAGGAAGTTCAATGGGAATGATGAAGGATGAGTAGTACTGAAATTCCCCTTTGTCTGTAAAGTAAACCACTTCGAGTTTGATTGAAAGTTCGGGTAGGATTTGCTCGAGCTCGTACGGCACTCGAAAAGTTGCTGTGGTGTCTGGTGCCATACTCGCAATGTCAATGACTCCAGGGTTCGGCTTATCCTCAATTGTTACTTCGCCTGACGTCACAGTGGTATTCGCGGTACGTAATCTCAAGCCTGCAGAGGCAGACCTGAGCCTGATCTCAGCTCGTTGCATGTCATTCCAACCACTTCTGCACTCGATCTCGACAGATCGCGGCCGGTCAATGTGGATAAAGTGCGAGAGGTATACCCTAGCTTGGAAAGCTTCTACGCGTGGGAAGCAAAGAACCCTCGACTTCTTCGCTGCTTTCAGTGAAGTTGCGGACACCGAGGTGGTGATTCCGAGTGGAGTTGTTGCTTCGGCTTTCCTGAAAGGCTCGTGAATAAATATGATTCGTTTGGCCTCGATAACAATCTTGTCGACCATATATGGACCGGTGGTGTTTACCTAGAACGTTAGCTAGGAACGCATACAGGGCCTCTCAGACATACGTTCGATCCGAGCCAGATCCGGCAAATGCCTTTCTTCAACTTTATGGTACCTGAACTCTCCAACCAGATTTCTTTTCCCTGTGCCGAAGTTGCGCTAATTAACTGCACTTTGGCCCGTTCGATCTCTATCTCATCTTCTAAAACATGTCGAAATTGGAGTCGTAATTGAAAGCCATCCTTTTCGTCAAAATGGCGAACGTATGGCTCCACGATAATATCGCCAAAGTACTTCGTCATAGGAACTGTTCTGTCGTATGGGATATGCTCAGAGAACTCGACCAAATCGCTAAAAACACCGGTGGTGTCCACCTTGTCATCGTTTAGCCACTCTTTTGGCCACTCTTGCATATCAGATGAGCTTCCTCGCTTCAATGAAGAACGAAGCGACATGCGATGTGCTGCTGACTTCGCGAGGAGATTGAGGAGAGTCCGCACATACTCATCTTTTCGATTAAGCTTCTTAAGGCACTGTGCATACATCTTCAGCATCGTGGTTTCAACGTAGTTCCACCTACTCTCAGAAAACAGTGAAGCCATACGACCAAAGTACATGGCAGCTGCAGCAAAATCGCCAAGCTCACTGTTAGATCTGTCAGTGCGAAATTGTACAGGTATGAGAGGGATAGCGTACAATCGAAGAGCAGCTAGATCTCCAAGTATGCCCTCCCCGGACTTAACTTGTCCTGCAGCCATGTAGTGCTTGACGATCAAGTCGCTTAGTTTCTACCGGGTGGATTAATTGACGCTTTGAAGTCAAGATATTACTGACCTTACCTCGTAGGATTCTCGGAACTGGTCGATAGACGACACTCCACTGACAAGTTGCGCCGCAGAGAGTCCGACCGTAGGGGAAGTGACAGAATGCGCTTCAAGACCAGCTACCCCTCCTTCTTCGTCATTGCTCGTTCTATTTAAATCTACGTCTCTAAAATCCTCTTTCTGAACACGAGATGAGATTATAGCAGCCCAACCAATATTCCAGCCCATAGATTTACCAACATGCTCAAGGATTCGCCGTTCTACAACATAAAGTTGAGCCCGGGCGGCTGCTAATTCTTGAAGTCCAGACTTGGCTTGGGGTACAATAGACTCCTGTGCTGGGACTGGTCTATCTTGGTACTGCCCATCAGCAAACACGACCTGCCCGGTGGAAGTGGGTTGGGCATAAGGTGGATCTGCCGAAGCGGAGCGACCGTAGTTGAGAGATGTTGAACGTGTGGGATGGATCATGGTCTTTGGTTCGGCAACGCTGACCTTTAGTTCTTCGCTGTGATTCCCAAACGAACGCATTTTGCCTGAAGAACTCGTGGCTGCATCTTTTGAGAACTTAGAAATAGGAAGTGATGATGTCGCTGTCTCGTCTAATAGCTGCTGGAGAGCGGCAAATGTCCAGGATCGCACGAGATTATCCACGAGACGCTTAGGGAAAGTGGTTTCATGAGCAATAGCACTGTATTTATGTCAGTATAAATCGATGCATATCTGATGATCGACCCACCCATTGAGGAGGTCATCTCGCAACAGCCGACTTGCGGAAGTAATGAAATGAATGGCGCGGGAGCAAAGTTCAGCTAAAGAGAGTAGATCTTCGGAGTTCTCCAAAACTGTGGCATGCTTTGTACCAACATTTACGTCATCGACAGAGCGCTGAAGTACACCCGTGTTTGGTCTTGGTTGTAATTTTGCTGCTAGATCAGACCCTGTCGAGCGAGCGTTTCCTAACCGCAAAAGTAGTGACATTTGACGGGCGAATACATAAGACCGAAAATCGAAGATAGAGATGTTGTTTGAGAGGATTAAGTCTCGATAGTTCTTCTTCTGCGAGCTGATTGGTTTCTCGTCATGTAGGTGTGCTTGTGGTTCTTTCCGCCCGCCGTCATCTTTTTGTGATCGCTTCAATATCTCCGAAGCTCTCTCGTGGATGTCTTCAGAATAGTTGAGAATAGCGCCTCCTTGGGTCTGACCGCCCTCATCAGACTGATCACGGACGATGGTATCAAGTCCAATGGAAAGCTCGTCGTATCCAAGAAGCGCATCTTCGACCAGGCCAACACTCTCGAAACCCTTTGCTAGACCTTCTTTGAGGATGAAAAAGGTGCAAAAGTTCCAGCCGGGTAGGGCGCGCTGTGAATCCTTCTCTCGTATATCCTCTTCGTACTGGCTAACCCGCAAATCAAAGGAGAGAAGGATCAAGGTTTTGAACTTGACTATTACATCATTCCAGACCTTTTCCTGCTCCTGAGGGCTTTCATTGATCGGTGGGCTCGTGGCGGTTGAGGTTGATGGCAGCATGTGTGGCGGGACAGCATCTTTCTGTAGTCGCACTTGGGCTACTCGATCCGGAGCGGACTTGGAGGAGATGTTGAAATCCGCGCGGATTTTCTCAAGAATGGTAGTAGTCCCACGAGTCCATCGCGAGGTTGTGCTTGACTTTTCTTTTTCACCAGTAGCGGCGCCGGAAGATGCGGTTCCCCTAGGCTGGCTGGCGGCCGGTGTATCTGGAATTACTACATGAAGAATCATCCATTCAAAAGCATCGTGGTTTTCTTGTGTGCTTGACGAGGAACTGCTTTGGGACGGAGGTGTATGGGTCTTTACCCATTCTCTCAGCTGCTTTCGGGCAGTCGACTTATATGTGTCAGAATCATCGCATCTGAGTAAGTAGATCTTTAAATATGGGGTTTGGCGGAGACCAGGGATCTGATGTCGTCTCTCCTTTGATGGTGGTCTAATAATCTCAGAGCTTGTCGGTCCTGACATGCGCTGGCTAGAGCTCGTTCTATGAAGTCCTTCTGGCGGTGCCAGTCCTGGTGAGGTGACACCAGAAATGTGAACTGAGTCTTTGCTCGGCACGAGATCCACATGCAAAGAGTCTATTGATCTCAAAGGACGGTTTGGTGATTTCCAGTGTAGGTTTCGAAGGGGCAGACGTAGAGATAATTGTTCCTGTACAAGCGGAAAGAGGCCCGATGGGTCATGATATTCGACTGCATATTATGTCAGAATATCTGTAGAAGGTAGTACCTGAATGCGTGAGGGTTACCCGTGACTTTGGAGCTGGATGAACCATCCATCACACTGGAACCAGAGAGGTTTTGCCTAGAAACATCCTTTGCGGCACCCAAGACTGGCGCACCATCTCCAGTCGCGGTCATGAAATGTACGCGCCAGGAAAGTTCAGGAGAAGGCTACAAATGGGTCACTAGGGCTATGGACGCACTCAGGTGGATGATTTGTTAGCTCTGAAGTGAATGTCGGCACATGGTTAAAATGCCGCTAAGGGGTTTCAGATTGACTAGTCTCTTCTTAGTCTAGCCTAAGGCCGACATCATGTGCTCGCTTCGAGGAAGGAAGCTATGACCTCACTCCTCCAGCCTCGCTTTGATGAGCCTCGCTCCTTGAGCTTCACTTCGGTTTAAGATCCATGATTATCTGAACGTGGTCCTCGTCATTGTCGTCGGAGAAACGACCGTCCCGGTGCTACCATTTCTCGCTGTCTCTTCGTATCCATCGCCTATCAGAGTTGTCCAAGTTCTACCAAAACTCGTGATGGGAGAATCAGCCTTGTGCGGTGCCTTGGTGGCACCCAAATTTTGCCTTACCGGCAAAGCATGAGGCTCGCATTCGTCGCATTGGCGTTTCTACGACACCATCCGAAGTGTCGTGATGAATCTTTTCCCACCCTTTCTTTGATGCTCTGTCTCCTCATAAACCTTAGATTCCTACACAGCCCCTGATCATTTGACTAGGATCCATAATGTTCGCCTCTACTCATTCATTTTGTGTGATTATCCTTTCTGCTTGTGCGCCTTGCTTCTTGCCCCCTTTCACTATTTAGGTCCGCTATTTGCCCCTCATATTCGTCAGACAAGGCTTGGTCTCTTAAGCTTCTTACTCTTTACTTTATCTCCACGCCCCTAGAGTTCCTTCCGAGACCCTCTAAAACTTAGGTTCGAAATTTGGCTTTACAGGCCTGTAGTCAACGCTCGCCGTCCAACCCACTGCAGTCTAGGAGCTGTCGAAGAATATCCAACAAGTCATCGAGCAAGCACATAAAGACTTCAGGTAGATCTATCAGCTCAATAGATATCCACGACCTACGGATTCCCGGCGAGGATCTGTTCTACACTATGGGATTAGGAGACTATTCCCCCGGTAGTATCTGGTACTATGCGCCGACCAAAGTCGCGCCGATCATTTTCATCGTCTTGTTCTTCATGTCTGGGGTCATCCATGCCTGGCAAACTATGTAAGCAACACCATACGGAGCAAGTCAACCTTTAGCTCATGGCTTTTAGCAAACACAAGTCTTGGCGGACGACCATTCTTCTGCCATGGGCTGCAGCTTTGATGATCGCTGGCTTCGCTACCCGTGAATATGGGGCGTTCCACACCGATCGCCTCGAATTCCTCATCGCCTCAGTTGTACTTATCATGAGCGGTCCCCCGGTCTATGCCCTCATCAATTACTTCATCTTGTCCCGTATCCTCTACTACATCCCTTACCTTTCACCCATGCATCCTGGACGCGTTGTCACGACATTTGTCGGCCTGGATGCAGTGTGTGAAATCCTTATTGGCCAGGGTGCCTGGCGGATGGCGAATTCCTCCATGACTGAAGCCCAACGGCAACTCGGAGCCAACCTAGTCACAGCCTCACTATGTCTCCAGGCAACTTTATTTGGCGCCTTTGGGCTCCTAGCCGCCCAATTCCAAGTATGTCATCTCCTAGAATGCATCCCGAAGACCACTAGCTTATTTAGCAGTACCGCGCTACGAAAGCGAACGTCCTGACCAAAGACCTTCGTATTGTACTGTATGTACTGTACGTCAGCGCATCCATCGTCACCATTCGCTGCATCTACAGACTTGTTGAATACATAATGGGCTGGGATAGCACCATCTACAAAAACGAAATCTTCTTCTGGATTTTCGAGGCGCTCATCATGTTCATAAACACTGCGCTGCTCAATATATACCACCCCGGAAAGCGTCTCCCTCGATCCAACAATGTCTTCCTAGATCGCGATGGTGTTACCGAAAGGGCGGGACCTGGTTGGGCCGACGATCGACCTTGGCCTGCTACTGTATTTGATCCTTTTGACCTCTGGGGAATGTTCACTGGGAGAGATAAGAAGAGCCAGTTCTGGGATATGAACGATGATGAACTTGCGCAGCTGAGAGCCGAGAATAAAGCTAAAAAGAGGGGTATCATTGCGGGATTCTTCGACCCCTTTCACTTGTGGGGCGAGCGAGGATACGTTGGGAAGCATCTCTCGAAGAAGCCCGCTCAAAGTGAGCCAGCTGTGACTCAGGAAGCCAAGAATGAGGAGACCAAGAAGAGTGTTCGGGACACCGGTGAGCTTGTCTAAGAATTTGTTTGAGTCCGGCTGATAATATAGCGGTTAAACATTAGCAGTGTCAGCGTAAACAGCGTGAGGGTTGACGGCTAGTGACTTTTTCAGTAGGTGTTTCATGTTGGTTGTGAATATTTGGACTTCCCTCCCTTTTTTCCTTGTTGCTTCATGTTTCAGTTTAATAGAGTCATTTATGGACGTAGCCAAAGACCCAAACCAATGGTCTGAATATTTTGTACTTGTATATCTTTCATAGTAGACTGCCATCTCAAACAAGTGTTTCCCCTTCTATTTTATCTGCGGCAATTTCGAAACCCGAATACTTTTCAATTTCTCTTGCTGGCATTCAACAGACTGCCAAAAGAGGTTTAGACATTGTTGTATTTTGTACATGTACCCTCCCACTCGAGCCCCGTCCCTTGTCTCTAGTTTCCGGTCCCTCCCCTCAAAACCCAAAGTTCCCTTTGCTCTTGGCAATTGTACTTCACAGAGAGCCTCAATGTTCTCGTGTAGTTATATAGCTCGAAATCTGCTCCTCTGCCTCGATCCATATCGTCGAGCTTGAATATGACGTTCAACGTAGCGCGCAAAGACATTACCAATATATTAGGGATCGCGTGTCCATGTCTGAGAAGAAAACCCACAACGGCATTGATGACAATGAGTCACTAGAGCTGGCCAACTTGGCTAACCGAGGAGCAAGAATAAGAAGAACAGAATCAAATGCATGTCTACATCCTCCAATCTTCAGACTCGTTAATCCCTCTTACAAAACAGAATTAAACGAAATCTAGCTGCACATCATACCATTATACTGATCGTAGATTTGCCGTGTGTCCCTCCCATCGTACGCTCAAAGACTTGCCGCGGATGGACGAGCAAAATACGGATATTATGGTGACAGGGTTAACTAAAGCCAGGCCGTTCTACATCTAATAAAAATCTTGTTCGGGGACGAGCACCATTGCACTTGCCGGGCGGGTTTAGGACAGGGAGCAGCATTATTTTGCTTTCTTGTTACGTTCTAGTGAGAGGCTTAATAGATTAGCGTTTTCTTGGTTATAGAGAGATTCTTCTTCTTGCAACCTGAATGCTTTTCGAGACATTCTAGGCATTGAAGAGTGAACTTGGTTGCCTGATACGGGATTCTGATCTTTGCTGCATAATGCCTTGCCGCCAGACATGAAGGCAGAGTCTTCTTTGTCAGTTTTCTTAGGACGACGCTAGGAGTATACCGTAACGGGAACAGCTTGGTAGTAGGTGGATAGACCAAAGAAAAATCGACCATATAGTCCGAGGGTATCATACACCAAATCCAGCCCAGATCTAATTCCCCTACCCAACCCAAAAAAACAAAAGCATAAACACCTAAAACGCCCCCTGCACACCTGGAAAAGATATGTGACGAAAACTTCCATTCCCCCGCTTCTCAAGACCGCAACTTCAAGGCCCCATCAGATACCCCTACCTCCTCGCTCACCTCCTCCTTTGAACCTCCAAGCATATACGTGCCTCTTCTATCAAAATGCCGACTACTACTGTGCCAACATGGCAGGGCCTCTGGATCCTCATCCTCATTCCTACACCCCCTCCTGCAACCGCCGCCCTGTCTCCACGCCGTTCCCGCCCACTTCATACACCGTGCATACTCAGCACACCTTCCCACCCTCCTCTTCTTGCTGCTCGCGAATTCGGCAAGGATACGACGGTCCATCATGCGACGAAGAGTGATAGTGGATTTAGCGCAGAAGTCATCGATGGGGAGAGCGAGATGAGAGAGGGCGGTTGCAGTCGTTTCGAGAGATTCGAGATGGTAGAGTATCTCTTCTTCGGAGTCAGTTGAGGAGACTAAGAGCCAGGATCTGGAGTCATTGGTGCTGGTGCTGGTGCTCGATGGCGGTTTCTCGTCGGTTTTCGTCATGCTTTGGAGCCGTTTCTGAAACTGATCTTTCCCCTCCTCTTCCTCAGCTACCGACAGAGGTACAACAGCCCTAACAATCGCCTCATCGAGATCCTCAAAACTCGAAAATCCATTTAACTCCCACTCCAACACCTCCTTATCACAACCCACCATACCCAAAAACACCAAATCCTTCAGCTCCATTAACAATTCAAAAATCATGCGCTGTGGCACTAGGCGTTGGCTGAAGAGTGTTTGTATCGGGGACAAGAATTTCCGGACAATTTCGCCGCCGGTGTAGAGGTTTTTTCCGAGGGCGAAGGGTGCGTTATCAGCCATTTGAAGCTCGATTTTCGACATTTGGCGTGAGATACCAGCGGCGATGTGGCGGATTTGGATGAGTGGGTTGTGGGCGAGTGAGGATTGAAGAGAGGAGGGGAGATCTGTACAAGTCTCATCAGCGCTATATTTCTCTTTCAACCCATCTTGGATTTATCCCAAGCCCCTGGCTTGGCCAATGGAGTGAAGTGAGGAGAAGAGCACCAAGCATACCCGTAAACACCACCTCCCCCGCCAACACCACCAATGCCTCCGCCAACTCCCTCTCCTTCTCGCTCAACTCCCGTTTCTGCGACTGCATACTCCGCCACGGAACCACGAATCCAATACTCCTGCCTCCACTCCCTCCTCCCATCCCACCCATCCTATCCATCCTATCTCTCCTACTCCTCCTCCCATCCCTCTCTTCCCCTGAATCTGCGTTCCTCACCCCCTTTCCAAGGCCCCTCGCATGCCGGATGTCGTCGGGGTGGTATTGGAAAGTCAGGAGCAAGTCGTTCTGATCGCGGGTCGTTGCGCGTAGGTTGCGGAAGACGTTTAGCACTGTGTTTGCGCTGAATAGGTGTTGGTAGGGAGACATGATCGTGATAAATCTTGAATCTAATCATGAATCAATAGATACAGGCACTACATAGCTTGAAGTAGATTTGAAAGAAATAATGAGCAGGAGGAGCACTGTGTACACTTAGAGGGATGTCTGACGTGTGGTGGGTCCGCGCGATGACAAGGAGCTAACTCAACCGGGGTTTGTTATCATTTTGCCGAAAGAGGGCAAGGGCAAGAAACGTGGAATGTGCATGTGGCTGCCTACAACACGAGTCTGTGGGGAAATGGCATTTCACCGATTTCCTTGCAAAAAAATTTTTTTTTAATCGGTTTCATCGCCCGGCGCATTGAAGGTCAAGTCTTCCAAAAAAGACTGTGGTATAATGACCCGTTTGGAATCCACGGCTCATTTGACACTCGATGGGGCATTCAAGAAATTTGGTAGGGATGTTGATGGGAACGTTGACAGTAAAATATTCCAAGCAGCGCGGTCGCTAGATCTATTCATCCGCTCGCTTAAACAACGACACGTATAATACATTGGAGATATAAGAATGCGCCATCGCAATAGATCCAATCCATAGTCTCATCCAACCGGTACTCTACGAAGCCGAGGCAAAGAGATCTCCAAGTCTTGATATATGCTTTTGCGCCAGAAACACCAAAGTATGCATTACTTTCTTCACCCGCGGCGTTACTTATAACATGTTCATGAGGCCGCTCGCTGCATACGCCATTGGCTTCACGTTCGGATGCGGTACTGCGTCAAACTTTGTGTAGTTCAGCTTATAGTCTGGTCCGATCTTGATGAACGCGCCCTTGTTGCCGGTGCTGTCGCAGTAGTGCGGGGCGGAGAAGACAGTGATACAGCGTCCATCGTGTTCGACCTCGTAGCCCTCCATTCGGACTTCGTGTGATCGGATGATGGCATCAATTTTGTTCGCTTCGCAGAACCTCTTGGTGACATCGGGTCCGAATTGAAGACCAACGCCGCGCTTGCTAGGCCCACGTCCTGGTTGCGTCTGTGGGTCTGTCCAGAGCATTTCCATCATAAGACCAGATTGCCCTGGCTGTCTCTGCTTGAAGCGGTCGAGTTTCCTAATGTCGTCTAAAGTGACCTTGTCGTCCGAGAATAGCCCGCCGTGAAGAACAAAGTACTTCTTTCCGATGAGAGTAGCTAGGGGCAGCGCGGAGAAGGACTCGGAGAAAAGCTTGAAGACTCGCTCAGTGTATTTAGCTCGACATTCGCCCTCGAAGCCATACATCCTGTTCATGTCGTCCGTCTCATGGTTACCACGGTTCAGGAAGAAGGTATTGGGGTAAAGCCACTTGTAGGCGTAAAGCGTGAGAGCGACTTCAGTGGACCAAGACCCTCGGTCGACGAAGTCACCATTAAACAAGTAGGCGTTCTTTTTAGTGGGTGTGCCAGCGAGACGGAAGATCTCCATGAGGTCGAAGAATTGGCCTGTGGTGGTGGTCAGTATTGCTCTGAAAATGCCAAAGAAGGTAGTCAGTAAGAAGGAAGCTTACCGTGCGTATCTCCGCACACGGTGATCTCATGCCCCGCTTCAACATCGCACTCCACCATAGTTGGCTCCTTCCTGACAAGGTCCATAACGGCCAAGATGATCTGGAAGACATACTTCCTCGCAATCTTCTTCCCATTCTTGAACCGTTCTATCATGTCCTCAATAAACTCTACCGTCATTTCCTTGTCGAGCTTAACGCCGTCGTACCCTGCATCCACGACCATGGATTCCAAATCAAGACCCTCTGCCGCCGACGGGGCATCCTCAACCTCGATTGCCTTCAAGAAGGCATCCCGCTTAACGATCTTGTCACACTCAGCCATACGCAGCTTCGCCGTGGCATCATTGGGGGCCTTCTTGACGACAAGCTTCCAGTCGCGGAGGGCTTCACGGTGGTGTAGAATCGCCGTGTTTGCAGAGGCTCGACGGTAGAATGCCTGCAGTGTGACGTTAGCCTTGTACGGAAGCAGCTCCGAATGTGTGCTCTGATACCTTAACATTGTTGGGGTCGAGCTCGATGGCCTTGTCTGCATCCAGAATCGACAACCCATAAGATTCTAGCTTGATGTTGGCCTGAACGAATGGGTGAGTGAGAGGTCGCGTGCTGGGGTGGGAAGGCTACGAACTTGGGCGCGGTTAGTGTAAAACGAGGGTTCCCGGTCCCACTTCTCTATGGCCTCTGTGTAGAACTTGACGGCTGTGGGCCAGTCATGCTTCTTGAAGGCTTCATTACCCTTGTTCTTGAGCTCAGTCGCCTCTTCCAGCGGGCTCCCCATGGCTAGTGAATGCGTGGTATGTGCGAAGGAGGGGAGGTGGGGTAAGGGGAATGGTCACTGTCCACTGTTCAGGGAGGCGCGAGGGCCTGCAAAATCTTCCAACGGTCTTTCCGACGTTTAACGGAGAGGCAAGCAGTGAGAAGGAGCAGCAGGTACCTGGGTGCGCAGGTTCCCGCAGTCAAAAAGTCGCTTTTCCTCCGCCCTCCGCCCCACGAGCGCTCGCGAACAGACCCCCCACACCGCCTGCGCATCCCGCCAACCACCGGATCCAATTTCTCGCCGAGACACGCCGAAACCGCAGCGCCCGGCAGAATAGCCTCCAGGATGCCCTGTAAAGGGACCGCGCAGGTCACGACGACGTCGACGACGACGACGACGACGACGAAGAAGAAGAAGAAGAAGAAGAAGAAACAGCCGTCGAGCTACATCATCGTCGACTCTGAATCAGACGCGGCCGAGAGTGGCTCCCACAGTGGCAGTGGCAGTGGGACAGACGACAGCGCTGCGAAACCCATCGACGCTGCTTCCGAGGCGGTCTTGCAGGGCGAGGTTCCGGGGACGCCACAGCGGCGCGCAGAAAAGTCCCAGCCACAGGTCGAGCGCTGGGTCGCCGAACAAAGCGCCTCTCACAACTCGAACCAAGGCCTCGCTCAGGAGCTCTTCCGCGATTTCGTCACCCTTCCTCACTCTCCCAAGGCCCCAGACATCCAGCGTTCCTGCTCCCCTCCAGCTCAGCTCGCAGCAGCAGCAGCAGCAGCAGCAGCAGCAGAGTCTCCCCAAGCCCCACCGGTTCTTCAAGCTTCTTCATCAGAACGCAGGGTCGGCCTCCCCAATCTGCCTTTCAACAAGACAACCGAACCCCGATTCACTTGTCTTCAGAACGCACGAACGAACAGCGTCCCAGCACCCAACGTCCCCGCCCGGCCTTCGCGATCCACCCGTAGACCTCGCACCATCCCTCGCACCATCCCTATCGACCCACAGCTCCCGCCTGAAGACTCCGACATGTCCTACATCCCAAGCAGCCAGCAGCGCCACATGCGCGCCTGCATGGTCTGCTCCATCGTGCGCACGTACTCGCAGTTCATGCAATCTGGCTGTCCGAATTGCGAAAGCTTCCTCGAACTCACCGGAAACGGCGACGCCATCTCCGACTGCACCAGCCAGGTTTTCGACGGCCTGCTGTCGGTCAGTAACACAGAGAGGAGCTGGGTCGCAAGATATCAGCGGTTGGAGGGATACGTTCCGGGCGTGTATGCGATCCAGGTGGAGGGAATCGTGAGTACAGCTTGCGGGCGAAGGGGACAGTGAGAGAAGCGAGAACTGACTGTGAAATAGCTGCCCGAGGATGCCGTCGTGGCCGCTGAGAATGCTGGCATACACTACATACCCCGCGACGGTAGCGTTAGCGAGGCCCTTCCCACCGAGGGTTGAGCCAAGTCACAATCAATATATAAAATAAGATGACGAGGGAGCATTGTCCCAAGCTCCCCTTCTCTAGTCTACCCACACTGCATATTCAGCGACGGCGTCATAGGGAAAGATCACGGATAATTTTTCAACAGGAGCTCCAGAGCTCTATGTTTGCATGAGTCAAGGTGGTTCGGCTAATTAGTGGTATATATGTGTTCCCGGATACTAGAGATCGGAAGGGGAAGGAGCATCTTGCAGTCTGCATTGTGAGACTACCAACATCCACCTATGCCTAGACGGGCATCCAGTAGAGAAAATCAAGAACACACCTTTTATCATTCAACGCCAAAGAAGCAATTTCCAAACATGCCCCAGCGACCTGTTGCTGCTACCTGTGTAATGTTTAAGCGGATGGGATGGTTGCAGGTGACATCCCAAGATAGGCAGAGAAATAGACTAAGGGTGATTGAATACTTGAATCAGCGACAGTCATCTAAGCCAACGTATTTTGGATTCGGGTATACATCCAGTATTTTCAATGCCGACCCCAATCAATCCCTCGCGCCAGAAAACGCCTATCCATGCGCTGCTAACCAACTAAAAAACATTGTGCGAATTCCACATCTACCCACCCACTCAGAAGGCATTCAACCGTCCAGCACAATCACAGTCAAACCCATTCCTTCCGTGCCATCTACATCCAAAGCAACCCCCCAACTGCCCCTGCAACTGCCCCAACCATCCAAACCTTCACACCCCCCATCCCTACCCCCGCCGCGCCCCTAAACACGTTCAAATTCACCACCGCGCCCGGGAAGTTACAGGTCAAATTCAGACTCCCGCTCCTCCGCCGCCCATACGTCGAATACCGATTCGCACCATCCGGACATGCAAACCCCAGCTGCGCGGGACAACTCCTGACAATATCAAAGCACAGATCCTCACAGGGCAGCAACTCCTTGTACGGCCCCGGCTGAATTACCTCGTCGATCATGGGGTTTCGACTCGTGTTGAATGCGAGACGCTGGCGGAATGTGTCGTTGAAGTTTTTCGTCATGTTATTCGCGTACGCCAACGTGCCTGCTTGTAACGATCCGTCCTGGGGAAAGGGATTGCCGATGTTGCGGTCTATGAGCCAGGGGTTTGTGGCGTTCCAGTCTTCGCAGCGGGGCATGAGGACTGAGCAGAGCCATTGTTTGTAGTCGTCGGAGCAGTCTTGGCAGGTGCGTGCGAGGGAATATTGTGCGGTGCCCGTGGTGTCGCAGGCGACCTGCTGGAGCGAGTTTGTGAAGTTCTGGAAGTAGGCTGAGGCTTGGCTGTCGTAGAGCGAGGCGAGGCCTGTCATGTTGTTGGTGAATTTAGGATTTGAGGGGACGGCATAGGCGACATCGGTGCAGAATTTTAGGTTGAAGATTACTTGGCAAGATGTACCTGTGTGCATCCTGTTAGTAAGGTTGGAGGTGAGGAACGGTGGGGGTGGGGGGTAGGGGAAGGGGATGATGAGGTGGGAGGCAAGCAACTTACGCGCTTTAGTGGTCCACTCGAACTGTTTCCAAACTCGACCTCCCGCTTGTGGGACAGCGTTTCCAGGCACATTAAGCGCTTCCGTCGTTCCATTTCCATCCATGGCCAAGAAACCCACATACGTCGCGCCACTAGTGAGTCCCTGAACATGGAGCTGGGCTTTCGGTCGACCACCTCCACCATATCTTTTTGTCATGTCGCTTGAGACGGTTATATTTGCCGCCTTGTTAAACTGCTCTTGCAGCCCACAGAACGACCTCTCTAGCCCAGCGCCCGTCTTGCCCCAGTCGTTTTTAGCAAAGGCGTACATGGTGAACGGTGTTTTCATATCCATCCATTGCTTGTTGACTTCCTCCGAAGAGTTCTCCTTGGTAAGATTGTAGGTGATGAAAAGAGCCGAGTTAGCATCTGTGTCGATCAACCATAGAAAAGGGGAGGTGTCGTTGTAGCTGTGGTAGTATCCGTCAATGCTAGCGGCGACTTCGTAGTGCCAGTTTCCGGTCCAGCCTGTGGTCAATGAGGGCGCACTCACACCAATATAGACGTCCGAATCTGCCTGGATACTGAAATTGACATGTCCGCCCACGAAGGGGATAGGTGGAGTAGCCAGGTCATTCTCCGCCTTCGGACCTGGTTTCTGATTATTCGTCGACGTCGAAACATAGAGGATGAGTTGCGGCGGTTCGTTGGTGACAATACTAATGTTGGTCGAGGGCTGCCGGCATGTGTTCACGGAGATATACACCTTGTTCCCGCTCTGCCTCTTCTCCATCTCTATCAGTTCTGCCTCCTCTTCACCCTCGGGGCTATCGAAATCCCCCGAAATACCCCTCTTCGATGCATTCTCCACACCCCGCCCATCCAGCGGCGAAGGGAAGCCCGATCCAGGGGCCGACTTCTTAGCCTGAACCTGACTCTTCTCCAGCACGAAATTATGCGTCGTTCCTGGATTCGCATCCATGCCTTTCTTCACATTGTTCGTGAGCGCATCGACCCCATCCGCTGCCCTGCCTATCAGATTCCGGTCAAAGTATGCAAAGTCTGGTTCATATCCACCCCCTTCCTCTTCCAATTCTACTATCTGCCCATTTGGTATAAAAGGAGATATTGACTGCTCGACATGTGTCTGAACTTCCGGGGTGAGGGGTAGCGGATTGAGTTCGGCAGCGTAGACGAAGTGGTGTGGCTGGAACGAGATCCATATCAACACGAGGAAACAGGTTGCAATTACAGAGGCCAGAAGCCTCGATTGCAGAGGCGTGAGCTTCGGGAGCTGCATTTGGGGAAGGAAAGTTGCGATGTGGTCTTGCGACGCTGGCGCTGACGCGCAGCGCTGGATCTTTAGGTTCGCCCCAGTGGATAGAGAGATAGCATCAACAGTGTCTTGAGAGCCAGAACGATCTGTCAAAGGGTCCTCAAGGCAGGAAGTAAACGAGTGTAGTGTCGTGGGGGGTGTCTGATTACTGTTCTGAGAGAAAGCGCAAGCTGAGGACTCTCCCGCATGCGGCTCGTGAACTCCGAGGTGCCAAGATGCGAGACGACCGTTTCAGCCCTATCTAGGGGACGTGACACCTCGACCCACTACTGCGATGCAGTGCCATTGTATTGAGCCACACGCCGAAGTATTTGTTAAATTTTGACTGTTTCCACAGAATATACTCGTTATGCTCAGATGCCGTAAAGATACCTCAGGCTCTTAACCACGAATATGGTGCCCCATGGCAGCATCAGCGCTAGGGCATAAATTTTATACAGTAGGTGTCAATTCTCTACCAAATCATTTATGGCCTCGAACTGCTAGTCACACAGCGAGCACAAAATGCCCCTAGAGGCAGCTCACCACCCTCCAGAATCTTGAAATACACATGTATGAATATGCAGGACAATGCCACCACGTCTACTCTCTAAAGCAACCAAATATGCAAGCCATGAACAATAAAAAGAAGGCAAGGGGAAAAGGACAAAGTGTGATTCTACAACTTCGCCTTGATCTTGCCGTTTTCTTCCTCCTCCAACGCTTCAGCGTACAGTTCATCGAGGTGGTCCCTGAACCACCGAGCAGCTTGCGGACGCTTGAGCTTGAGTCTATAGCACCGTTAGCACTCTAGTAGCACAGCAAGGCCCGGGTTACTAACGTGGGAGTCAGAAGCTGGTTCTCGACCGTAAAAGGATCGATGAACAGCCTGCATGCCCTAACCTTCTCATAGCTGTTGAACTTGTTCTTCCGCCCCACCTTATCTAATTCTTTGATCACCGCCTTCTCGATCTTCTTGTTCTGAGCAATTTTCTCCAGCTTCTCTAAATCAACCGGATCCACTTTCTCACCAAGGACCTTGCTAGCAAAAGGCGCAAAAGCATCCGGTGCAACGCCAAAGATACCGACAAGGAAGCTCTGGTGGGAATCGCCGTGGACGTATGCAGTTGCTAGGTACCCACAGCTTGCGAGGTAGACGTTTTCGATGCGTTCAGGAGAGATATATTCACCCTGCGCGAGTTTGAGGACGTTCTTCCTCCGATCGATGATCTTGAAGCGGCCGAGCTCGTCAATCTGACAGATATCTCCAGTGTGGAACCACCCCTCACTATCCATCGCTTTTTTCGTTTCCTCGTCGTTACGAAAGTACTCCCTAAACAACGTCGATGAACGAATTAGCAATTCCCCCCGGGGATGTGGCTTATCGGTGGAGAGGTACTCCATATCTGGGACGTCCAAAAGGCAGCATTCGGACGTTGGCACAACCGCGCCGCAATTTCCCGCCGTCAAGTCGCCGTCGAGCTGAACCAGAGTGACCGCATAGGTCTCGGTTAATCCGTACCCCTGGATGAAGTTGTTTCCGAACACGATTCTCAGGAACTGTTGTAGACCAGGGTCAATCGGCGCCGACCCACTAACCATCACCTTACACCGCTCTAACCCAAATGCTCTAACAACCTTCTTCGACCAGATTCGATCGTACAGAGCGTGCTTGTTCGTAGGGTTCTCCTTGTCCTTAAGCGCAGCAGTCTTTGTAGCCACGACATGTCGCGACAATTTGCCCTTAAATCCAGATTGCTTAACAGTAGCCTCTTTTATCGCGGACCCGAATTTGTTGTACAGCCGCGGAACGCCAGCGAAGGAGGTCGGGCGCAGGATTTTCAAATCCTCGACGAGCTCCGCAATGTTCCCATGGAAATAGCCAATTGCGGCGCCAGTTGCGAGAGCAAGATGTTCACCTAGTCGCTGGTAGATATGCGCCAGTGGAAGGAACGAACACATGACCTGGTCTGGTGAACATCCAATGACAATCATACTTACACATATTCCCGCTATTGCGTTCCTATGCGTGAGTACGACACCCTTGGGGTCACCTGTAGTACCAGAAGTGTAGTTAATCGTGATGACATCGTCGGGTTTGGGGAGGCTATATGGAATTGGTTCCTTCTCTCCCAAGGCCTCTACATCCTCGATGTAGTAAATACTTACTCCAATCTCACTAGCCAGAGAGTTCAAGAGTTCACCTTTGGACTGACCTGGGAGCTCACCGGAAGAAATTGGATCTAGCACGACGATCATTTTGAGCGTAGGTAGGCGAGGCTTTAGCTTTAGCAGTGTGGTGACGTGGTTTAGAGATGTGACGACGCAAGTCAGGGATGCGTGGTTGACGATATATTCTGTGGTATCCGGACCCAAGGTGTCGTATATCGAAACTGTGAACAGACTTTGAGACATGCATGCCAGATCTACGCATATTAGCATGTGAATCCGGCAAAATGACGTCTCAAGCCATCAAAATATGGTGCCTACCTGTAATCTGCCACTCAGGTCTATTCTGGCACCATAAACCCACTCCATAGTGCCGTCCCTCAACCCCTGACTTGCGGTGTAAATGTACCAAGCCTGCACCTAGATTCTTTCTCCGGGTTTGAACTGTCTGGTAGTCTTGCCATTGGTATGCACCAAACGTTTTCGATACCGGGTCGTAAGGACGGCTGCCTAAGCATTTATTCCGTGGATATCTTGTAGCTGTAATTGGTGATGTTAGGAACTGGTGCTGTGGGGGAGAAAGGAATGATTTTCAAGCGTACCTGATGCCTCAAAAGCTTCGTGTGCAGTTGTGATCTAGACGCACACTTCAATCAGCACTTCAAATCTGCAACTCAACGTACCCAAGGTAAAATTCGAGAAATAAAGGGAACTCACGCTCTCGTCAAGCCTCTCCATCATAGGACCATCCCTGTACCTCCAGTGCCGATACACAGCACTGCGACCTTCCGACTGCGATCCAAGAATCGGTACACTGTAAGGCTGGCCCTTCGGCGGTGGCTTTGCTATTTCGGCTGCGCGCTGGAGCGTGGGATCTGGTTGGCCGAACATGTTCCTCAACGCTTAGATGTTGGTCCTTCTCTTTTGTAATTTCAAAACTCAAAAGTCAAGAGATCCCTTCAGAATGGTGATGGAATGGAAGAAGCTAGAATGAGATACTAAGAACTTGGGAGCGAAAAGTCTGATGTAATTTGGGGCAAAACGTGATACAATGAATGGAAGTGCGAATTAGATCCTACAAGCTGCTGGATGCCTCAAATTTCTGCTCCGTTGCCCAAAGTCAGCAACTCCAGTCCCCAAGATACGAAACTCCCAGCCCCAGGGCGCTGATGGTAGGATGTCGGCGAAGCCGAAGCTCGCATAACTTACCAGGGGTGAGACGCCACAAACTTGAATAGCAGATTCGCAACGTGGTGGATCGTGGGGTGTGAACACTCCTAAGCTTGACTCTTCAAAAGGGAAAAGGATTTCCTTCTTGAAAAGATAAAAAGGGGAAAGAGGTTTTAAAGAGAGAGGCGAAGCGCGAGGTAAGACAAAGAGTCGCGTCTTCGTCCGAGAAGCAGTCTCGAAGGCGAGCTGGAGCCTCGGTACGTCAGACCAACGCAGATGAAATTCGGGCCAAGCACACCAGATGAAGCTCAGGATTCGGAGTTACCAGTTCTCGGCCACCAGGTCTTCCGCAAATAGCCTCGAATCTGTGGCTTGGTACGGAGGACCGTTGACACCAACACCCGTGTTCGTCAGCTTTGTAGCTTCATGGTGCCGCGCAAAGTAAGGTTAATGTTAACCTTAATGCAGGAGTGCGACTGTGCAGCCATATGGAATATCTACTGTTTGTGCTTGCAAATAGATGCTTTCACAAGCCAAAATTCCTTCCTTCAATATGCTTGCTTTCTCTTTCACATGCCCCGGTGATCTTGCACCAGACCACGCGGACCAGATCTTTGCATGCCTAACGCGCACGCCACACGGAAGCGAAACTGTTTCGGGTAACGAGGCGTTTCTTAGGTGCAGATCACGGGACCATGGTTTCTTGTTCGCGCTAACAGTCAGATGCCTCGGTCCATGATGTCTGCTTGCTGGTTGGTGACATTTTTTGGTTGTGGGGAAGACTCGGATGGGTTCTGGGGAAGCTGGAGACATGTGAGCGCTTATCTCTCGTACGAACCACAGGCCGAGATAATGGCAAGTTCACCGAATGACTGTGAGAAGATATCGTGTCCTAAAACGCAACTGCTTGCGACGTCCCTAGCAGTTTTTTTCCTTGTCTTTCATCGAAAACTTGATCTAATATAGGTATCTACTATATAGGCCCTGAACACGAGCGGGCATCTCGTCGCTTCGGCAAAACCGGCCTCAGAAGGACTCCCAAAGACACTCAAAGTCGTGGTTTCGAAATCGGTGCATCTGAACACATTCAGCACGATTACACGGAGCCAGACAACGATCCGGCAGTCTCTCCGGTCTTCTCGGCATTGGAAGCCTCACCCTTCTCCTCTGGCTTAGTTGCAGATGCCTTGAAGGACTGCTCGAAATCTGCGATGATGTCGTCGATGTGCTCAGTGCCGACTGAGATACGGATGAGGTCCTATAAAAATATTCGTTAGTGTAGGGACGCAGAGTCAGACTTCATATGCAGCATGTTCGCTTACCTCCGTAACACCGGAGCTGACCTTCTCCTCGTCACTCAGTTGTTCGTGGGTAGTAGTCCAAGGGTGAATTGCTAGAGTCTTCGAGTCGCCGACGCTGAAAGCGAAGTTAGTCTTCACATTCGTTACAACGAGATGAACGGAGCACTCACTTCGCCAGATTGGAAATGAGCTTGAAGTTGTCTACGACCTGGCTTCCAGCGGCACCGCCTCCCTTGACACCAAAAGAAAGGACACCTCCAAAGCCCCTCGGGAGATATTTCTTGGCCAGCTCGTGGGAGGGGTGGTTTTCAAGACCAGGGTATGACACCCAGCTAACGTTCTCGTTACTCTCCAGCCACTTCGCCAGCTTGAGCGCGTTAAAAGCGTGCCTCTCCCCCCTCAAACTCAATGTCTCTATTCCGAGCAACAGCTGTTGCGCAGCGAACGGGTTCAACGCTGCACCAAGGTCTCGCAGGATTTCGACACGGACGCGGATAATGAAAGAAATAGGGCCGAAGGTATCCCAGAACTTGAGGCCGTGGTAGCCTTCGGACGGGTCATTGAACTGCGGGAAGCGCTTCGCATGTTTGCCCCAGTCAAACTTGCCACTGTCGACGATGACGCCGCCAATGGTGGTCCCATGGCCGCCAATCCATTTAGTAGCTGAGTGGACAACAATGTCAGCCCCGTGCTCGATGGGACGACAGAAGTAGCCGCCTGCGCCAAAGGTGTTGTCAACCTGTCAAGCGTGTCAGCACACTCCCTTAACCACTACATTATGTATGTCTTACAAGAACCGGCACTCCAGCCTCGTGTGCAATCGCGGCGATTTTCTCGAAATCGGGGACGTTGTATTTTGGGTTGCCGATGCTCTCCAGATACACTGCCTTTGTCTTATCGTCAATGGCGGCCTTGAAGTCCTCTGGGTTGTCTCCGTTTATAAACTTAGTGTGGATGCCGAATCTTGGAAGCATGACCTTGAGCTGGTTGTACGTGCCACCATATCTTGGATCTCGTAAGCCAACGTAAGTCAGTTGGGGAGGGGGGAATTATCATCGTACAGGTTCGAAGTAGAGACGATATTGTCACCTGCATGAGCCAGCGCAGCAATTGCCATGAACTGTGCAGCCTGGCCAGATGACGCGGCGACAGCAGCAACGCCCCCCTCTAGGGCTGCAATTCGCTTCTCGAAGACGTCGACGGTTGGCTGAAAGATGACATCATCCATCAGCTAATGTTTCAATGACTCGACATCCAGTTGATTTGCCGTTCTTCCAATTCAGGAAGTACTTGGAGCTGCAAAGCGGGCACCAGGGGATTGTCTATACTCACGTTCATGATACGGCTGTAGATGTTGCCAAACTCCTTGAGGCCGAATAGCCTGGCGCCATGGGCGGAGTCATTGAAGACGTACGACTGTAAACATGAGCTGTCAAACCAGGCAGACTACTTCGAATGATACATACAGTGGTCGCGTATATGGGCACAGCACGCGCGTTTGTCGCTGTGTCTGGAGAATGGCCTGTCAAGCTCTCGTTAGCCCCTTGATACTCAATTCCTCGTTGTGTGGGGGATAAGCTTACCAGCGTGCAATTGCAGCGTCTCGAAGTTCTTAGAAATTTCCTCGGCCATGGTGAGCTTGTACGGTCGAGCGAAAGTGGAGAATCCGGGGATGTGGTTCTGATTTGGAGGGGGAGAATCCGGGCCGAAGGGAGAACTGGTAACTGTGACAAAGGGTCGCCGAACAAGTTCAAGTAACAATTGTGCAAAACTCCGTTCACGTCACGTCATACAGAAACAAAGAGACTAGACCCCGCAATGTATTGGTGTGATATTCGTTGTATCCAGGCGCGTGGGCGATGGTCTATAGCTTCGCTGAGGGAGTCTCCCTTTATAGCTCCACCCCAAGCGTCACCTCGCCGAAGACGCGGTGTAAAATGTCGGCCGCTGACTCTTCCTCCCGCTGCTCAGCCTACTGAGTTGTCTCAATATAGTGAAGCCATGATCAGCCCATCCGAGATCGGTCGCGTTTGGTTGTTGAAAATCCTAGCACGAGCACGCAATTTCTACCCCTCCAATGCCCCGCGCCAAGAGAAAGCCACCGAGCACCATCGAGCTCTGGTACTTCGGAGGCCAGTTTACACTCGGGAAGGCCACTTTCAATTGCTAAGAGAAGAAGGATATCGTAAAGTCGAAAGACTGATGCCCAGATCGAGGATGTCCTACCGCGAGAGCATCAGCTTAGGCCTTCAGCTTACAGCCGCTGGCGTGGAACCCCAAGTCCCGCGAGACACTCCTTTCTGCCCCTCGAGACAGGTTGCTGGAAAGGCTGCAGCCCCAGGCGGGAGAGCTTGCATAATAAAATCCGCCGATTCACGTAGCGTGCATGTGTGCTCAAGTTACAGCTTATATCACACAATTTGTGTCAGGTCGCCGAATCCATTCTAGCCAAGTCTGTTCCGACGATTGGACAGCAGGTTCTGTTTGCGGGGTGGCACTGTCGTGGCGTTGGGAAAAAAGAATGAAATGAAAGACATACGGTTTAACGTTCACTATATATTTCCATTTTTGTGGGGTGCATCCGAGCTGACCGTATATACTCGCGAACCCTCTGAGGATTAATCATCACAAAAGGGGTTCTCGTGTTGAATAAGAAAATCGCCGAGGGCTGAGAGATGTACGATCACGGGAGAGACGATACGGCACGTTTTGTGATAAGGCTCGGAAGGCAGTGCTGTAAAGGTATCAAGACTTGGCAGCATCGAGAGGAACAGGTAGACTCTCGTATTAACCAACCTTAACTCCCTCCCATTTGGATCCCCTCTCGATACCCCTCACGAATCCTCCAGCCCTCCCACGTGCCTCCCTACAACTCCACGAATCCAAATCCCAGGCCTCATCCCAGCACAATCCTTTCTCACACCCAATCAACCCACACACCCAAATTACCCTCCCATATTTCACAAATTAACCACTTAGTGAAATCTTCGATACGATCTCGATACCAGTAATAAGAGGCGTGCCAGCACCCCAACTCTGATAAATTGTAGTCAATGTCAGCATCTGGATTGCTGGGAGACGCGGCGTGACGTGCAGGAGCCTTAGCTTGGATGGGAGATTTGGATTAATGTGCAAGTTTCAAGTAAGTAGGCTGTCAGAGAAAAGTCTTGACAACAGAACCTTAGGTGTTTGGGGAATAAAGTGTAAACGACGCCTGGGAACTTGGAGGGGGGTGTGGTCGGTGATGCACAATCGAGGAGGCTGGTCACACGAACGCTGCACCATTACCACCTACTCCAGCCGCCGCTGAGATACGTATACCAGGTGTGTAACCTCGAAACCTAGCGTCGTACACAATAACACCCATCAGTCCTCCCACAACATCAAATTCAACAACATCACATCCGCAGATCTGCTCTGCATGCTTCATTGAAGAAGAGAAGTAGGAGCTCCCATTGTTCACATCACATCTAGACAGTAAAAGTAAACCCCACAGAGCATATCTCCAATCATTCAACCCGCTCGCCCACCCATTTGCTCATCCGTAGTATGTTGTCTCTGTAACCGTCATCCCAGCTAGCCCGAGAAGACCTAGAAAATCAATGTTCTCTTTCAGCCCAGGTGTCTAGCAGACAGCCGCCCCAGCTTCCAAACTATCTGGCCAGTAGTATTCTTAGAAGGTGATCCGAAAGCTACGTTCAAAACCAAGGAAATTCGCCGATAATCAAGACAGACAACGACAATGAAAACGGTCCAGAGTAATTGTATAAGAAAAGAAGACAATAGTGTGTGGTAGGCTACATAAGCCATTGAATAGAATAGAAAATGTTTGCGCCGTAAGGCTGTACGTTCTTTGTGCGAGGGTGATTGTGTGTCCAGACCCCAAGGGTGCTTCGCTCCATCAGCTTACAACTACAAGAACAGAATAGGAGATAAGGTCGATAATGATCCAAAGAAATTGAGTGAGAGGATGTGGTTAATGACTGTGTGTTTTCTTGGTCGATCAAAACGTCAAGAAAAGGTGGTGGGGGACAGTATATCCCGAAGGATTGCCTGCCTTTCGAAGATCCGCGATATCAAGAGGAAGAGTACACAAGAAAAGGCTCGCTGTGGGTTGCACAATCATACGTTGTAGGTGATATAAGGATATGGAGTGAGCAGATCAGATCCGCCGTGACTAAACATCAGGTCTAAAGGAAATACGTTAGAGCAGATTGCCGCCTTTTAAGCATCGCTGGCCTAAACTCCGAGTTCAGGAACATGACGCTGACGATGAGTGCCATCTGCACGACGGTAGCTCATTGCTGCCCTGTCCATGGGCTCCTCCATGTCCGGCTCGTCGTACGTGCTGTCGTAGCCGTAGTTAGGTCCAGAGGGGTTGGGTCGTGCACCCTGCTGCAGACGCTCCGTTACATGTTTAGTGTCGAAGGTGCTAGAGAAAGAGCGCTTCTGTCCAATACCAGACTGAGGAACGAATTTAGCCAACGGTGGTCGAGAGTCCAGATAGCCATGACTCTGGGGGGCATCGGACGTCGCAGACATTGGAGCAGATTGCATCGAGTTTGGAGGAGATTGATACGAGGGAGAAACGGGTTCAAGCTTCTCAGCAGGGGCCGGTGGTTGCAGTGTCTTCAGGGGAGCCAGAGAGTGTGGGCCAGGCATGTGCAATGCAGAAGGTGTTGACGCTGGAGGTTGGCTGTGGCTTGGGGTCTGCAAGGGTTGGAGTTGCTGGTTCAGGTGTTGCGGCCGATTGTACTGATCCATTGGGTTGTAGGGAGGAATCATTTGGTTCGGACCGGGATACTGCTGAGTGGATTGAGGAATAGAAGGGCGGCGATATTCGGAAGCAGGCTGAGCGTATTCAACCGCAGATTCTTGACGGATAGGGGCAGGCTGCTCATAGTGCGATTGCTGGTAGTTCTGGTTCGGCATGTACCCATAAGACTGTCCCATATGCATCCCGGATGGGCTTGGATAGCCATTGTGAGATTGGTGGGACTGGTGGGACTGGTGGGACTGGTGGGACTGATGGGAATAGGGAGCTTGGGGAGGTTGCATCAAGGGAGCAGCGGGTTGGGGAGGAGCATACTGGCTCTGGTACTGGCTTTGGCTGGTTCCATATTGTGGCATCTGAGAATATCCTGAGGTCTGTGGAGGAGCCATGGACTGGTATCCACTGCTAGCCTGATAGTTCTGAGCTATTTCGTCCATGCTTGGGCGACGAGGAGGAGCGAAGGAAGCATTACTAGCATTGGACACGGATCTGGGGCGGTCACTTCCATCAAGGACCGGGTTGGGGGTGGGCATACCCGGTTGTTGGCCGTAGGAATCCGGAGTCGCGGTGCGCCTGGCTTGGTCATAGGCAGCCTCCTCATCATACTCATCCCAATCTTTGGATGACTTATTCTCACGGCGTCTCATGCGCACATCGCGACGAATGCGAACACGACATCCCTGTTCAGCGACCATGCGGCTCAAGGCTGTGCTTTCAGAAAGGCCGGGGAACTTCTTCGCCGAAAAGACCACGAAGGGAGAGGATTTAACCTCCAGACGGTGAGAGACGTGCGCATCGACGCCGGCCTGGGGATGGGCGCTCAAAGCAGAACGGTCGTCGGGATCCATATCCTTGGGGTCCTTCAATTCCTCGTACAGGGCAAAGCTCAAGCGATACTTGCCCTCGTGACGGACGGACAAATCCGGAAAGATGAAGTAACCAGCCGGGCTGGGGCGGTCCAAGTAGGCCATGCCAGCAACCGGCGTGCCGGTGAGGACAGGAAAACTCGGAGTTGTAGGCGGGGCGCGTCCTGGTGCGATGGCTCTGGCATTTTCGAGAGTAGCAAACAGAAAGAAGTTTGCATTGTAAGCGAAGGTGATTTCCTGCCTGCTTGGGCCTTCGCCCTCGTACACACGCAGCTCGACAATTGGAGGAGGGTCAACTGGGCGACGGTCGGCAGATGCTGCAACAAGTCAGTCACGGCCCACGGGGGGAAGGTCCGCATTGAGGGCTCACATTTTGCACCTGAGCCGCACGCTCTGGCACGCTCGGGCTGCTGGATGACCTGCAATGCGTACGTAATCTTCTTGCCTTCCTTCGTGACGCGAGAGGCAGAGCTATTGGTCTCATTCTGGACCTGGATGACGGACGCCATTGTGAATTTGATGTGTGCTACGGAAATTATAGATAGCAAAAGGAGCACGAGTGAGCCTACAGTCGCGTCAGCTTCAGGCGTCTGGACGCGATGGGTTTTAGATGTTTGATGCGGCAATGGCACAACTGAATGCTTCGTGCCCAGGCTCGGAGCGCCCGTGGCAGTGGGAAGGAACTTACGGGTCGGTCCACTAACCCAACTGGCTGGTCGGGAAAGAGCGAAGGGGCAGCGAGATAATTCAGACCCAAGGAACAAAGCTTCTGGCCAACGTCAGTCAAAGTCTCTGCACATGTTGTCGACTTGTCGACCCTCTTTTGCTGCGCCGTGTAGGAGGAAACTCCCCATAGTGTTGGCGAGCCCGAGCCCGAGCCGTCGGGGTCAGCCAGGCCACCCAGCGCAGCGCGACAGAGGCGAGCAACGACGGCGAAGAACTCAAAACACTTACCACGCAGAATTACAATGCAAGAAAAGTGGAGGTCGAGATACTGAAATGCGGCTCAACGACGTCTGCTAGCGTCGAAGTGGGACGAAGGGTGTTGAGAGAGGGCGGGTGCGCTGTGATAGGACTGGCGCTCGTCGGGCGATTGTTTCTTGTCGAGGCGACGAGGAAGCGTTCGAGCGGCACACACACGACTCGACCGAAAATTGGATGCGATGGGCGCTGTTGACTCCTGTATCGCCGTCGCTCCTCGCAGGCCGTCCAGATGTGTGGTGGAGTGGAGCTGAAGCAGTGGCAGAGAGGAGAGTCGAGCAGATGAGGGAACGGGGGAGAGGGCTGGGGGAGTGTCCAAGCGCCCACCCGGTTGAATTAGCTGTTGCTGTAACCCCAGCGCTCGCTTGGACTGCTTTGTGCCCACCTTGTTCCCAAGCCGCTCCCTGTGGGCTCGGTAACCTATCATCGCCCTTCACGGCCGCCACTCCTTTTGGGACTGCATGACTGATCCGATGCTGACGGCTGCCCTTTGCAGAGGCCCCCGTATGAAGAGCATCCCTCTAGCGGATGCCAAAGATCCGCGTTCGCTGCTGCTAACTTTGGCCGGTCGCTGGACGTGCGTCCTCAACCGTGAATTGCATCGGTCCATGCTATTTTTTTCTGTGGGCCAGCACGGGCGACCACGAAACAAATGGCAGTGGACCCGCCAGCAGCGCGGCTCGACTCGCGAGGAAACCTTAATGGGCGACGGGCTCCAGCGCTCAGACGGCCGACGTTTATCTTTTCCCCATGGGCCAAGTCCACGATTCTCATTGATCATTGTGCCGAAGGCCCTCGACAACCCAGCACAGTATTGCACGAGAAAAATCAGCGTGCGACTTGGGGCTGCAGACAGGCTTCGACGTGGCTTCTGGAACCAGCGCAGATTGATTTTGAGCATTGCTTCCTCGGCCGCATTGGCGGGTGCTTTTACCCGTCTGGAATTCGACCCTGGGGGGGTGGGGGGAGGCACGTCGCTAGTCGGTGCCGATGCACTTTGATTTCCCTCAGCCTTCATGTCCGGAGGCTGCAACCTTAGCAAGCAACAGCGCTCAGAGACGCGTGCAAGTGGCTGAATCTGGCCCTTGAACAGTCTCACAGCCAGCATCCACCCAGGGCTTTGCTTTTCCACTTGTGTGCGCCAGCTGCCGTCCAGCGCGTGAAGGCGAAAGACACAAAAGGCGGCGGCCAGCTTGACTAGGTGCAACCCACGTCGTCCTTCGAAACCAGTGCGATCACGCGGAGAGATGCACGGCGTGCTCTGCAAATACTTTGCAATATATCCGCCCCCAGTCACTTGCGCACGCCTACTTCTCAGGTGAGCGGACGACAGGCTGGGACCAATGACCACATTGATGGTGCCCTAGCACTGGGCGGCGGATGGCCTCGCAGAGGGGATTCCATGGTTCTGAGGGTGGGCCTTTGACCCTGCTCCTTCGAGTCGGAGACCTAACTTCCCCTCTCCGCGGGCACCTTCCCGTCTCTCCTGGCGCGTTCATTGGCCCCACGGGAATACGCAATCCCGGCTCTCAACGGCGCCCGCTGCGGGTCGTGTTGCGCTTCTTGTGAGGCTTTTGTATGCCGATCAGCAGATCCTGAGATCTGCCTAACATGCTCTGGATCAACGACGGCAAAGGAGGTGAGTTGTGATATTGAGACAAGAAGGGCACCCTTTTTCGGAGCACCGGCGCCACTCCCTTTCCCGCTGCCGGCGCTTGTGCACCAAGGGAACACTTAGTACGTCGGCGGGCCGCCACTCTCGTTGTGCTTCCTGGCAACCATCAGAGGGAGAATTGAGGCTTGGAAGGGCTTCAAGAATGTTCCGGCGCGGCCTTTCGATGATACCCGAACGCCAGGACCTGAGAGACACTTTCGGACTTTAAACACCCTTAAAGGTTACCACATGCTGCATTCTTCAGAGCCTCCAGAGACTGTTGCTTGCACGAGAATCTCTCGTTCAGCCATGGCCTCCTTCCCTATTTTCCGCACCGTCGCTTCCCCTGGATGGTTACAACGGGTATCTGCCTCATCAGTCAGGAATCGTGCCGATGCAGTTACCCGCCTTCGCGATCGAAACGAGAGTCAAAGCCGAGGACGTCCTTTCCTCCTATGCCAAGCACCGGCGGAAGGCACGATATGGGAGGAGCCAGTATAGTAACGAAGTGTCGGGAGACGGCTTTTATGCAACACGACCCGCCATTTTACAACCCCAAGGATGTCCCACGGAGTAGTTGAGACGAACAGCCTGTTTGGAGCAATAATGCCGTTCAGCTCTCAAAAGTCGCTCTGGATTTCGAACTGACAGGAACCTTACGTCCACCGGAATGTTCAAGCATGTTGAATTTCAAGCTCTGCACGAAAACGAAATGATTCTCGCGAATTCGCAATGAATTATTGCCGCGGACGTTAATTGGTAGGTCCAAAGCTTCTTTCCCAGAAAATCTATATACCGACTTGGCATCACCCGCCTTTCCTTGCTCATCAGAGAGGAACAACCTTGCCTTTTCTGTCGGCGTTCAACTCTTGAGGTCTCTCGGATTCCCTTTCACGTCGTACATGCTTAGTTTTGCCAACAAGTCGTACAACGCCTGGCCAACACAGCAAGTACGTCTTCAGTCCCTCACAACGCCTCATCGGAATCGTCAACCGATCGTTTTGCTAGGTCTCCACACTTCTCGCATGGGCTGAAACGCCCCCGTCATTTCGCAGACGCCACTTTATCGCGGTTGGTCTCTGTTGTGCTTGTGGCTCAAACAAGACAATCAAATTGAGGTGCAGTGGCTTCTCACAAACTCAGAGCACGTGTCGGTTACCCTTCCTCCACATCCCGGATTCGGAAAGGCACTGGTGCAGGTCTGTTGGTGGCTTGATGTGCTGGTTCGTCTTGAATCGTGCCAAAGGAGGACCAAAAAGCCATGCGATGCCGTACAATGAACGGCACTACGACTCTGATATAACGATTGACTTGTTTTGGGATGCAACGACCTAAGTGTTGAATAAATCGTGGCACATTTCACTTGTCACATGCCCGAACTCATCAGAAATATCTACCGTATCTACTTAATTCACAGCAGCGTATCCACCCGCCGCTACCTCGTACTTAGGAAGAGCACAAAATAATAGCCAAGTGGTCATATTCACATTCTTCACCGTTGTGTCGGCAGGCTTCCCCTCTATGCAACGTCACCAAGTTTCACGTTGACTTCTTCTCCCCGCGCTGCGTCTCCGGACTGGCGGAATGATTTCTTACTCGCCCACTCAAGGTAATGTGGGCGCAAAATTAAGTTGATTCGGCATTACTCCATCCCACTTCACCGATCATGCCTTTCCAGGATGTCTGCTTCCTACGCCATGGCTTCATTCTCAGGCCCCGGTTACCGTTTACCATGTTCAGCCCCCTTGCTTGAAGAAATTCTTGATACTTCTTAATTCCTGACTAACAAAGGCATCCCATTCCCCTGTCCCTGCAATGTAGCAGGCCTTCTTCAGGATGGCCTTCAAATTAATAAGGCACCATGAAGCAACTCTGGCGGAGTAAGAGAGTATATCAATCTTCCCAATACCACCCCAGATCACGCTTAAGGCACACCTAGACGCTGTTCCTTGGCCAGGATCTTGTGCTTAAACCCCATACTCAAGAGTTTCTAGCAGCCAACCTCATCTAAACATTAGTGTACCTTGTAGTGAACATGCACAGCCAAACATACACATTCAAGCAAAGCCGAGTAAGGACATTCAAGCATAGCCGAATATGCGCATTCAAGCACTGCCGAGCATGGGCGTTCAAGCACAGCCAAATATAAGCACTCAGGCACGCCAGTACAGTGGCCCGGCACAACTACTCCCCAAAACCCAATACTCTGCTTCACTTCGTACTGCGCCGTTTACCCTCAACTTTCCAGAATTTATGCCTTATGCTCGTCTAATACCGTCCCCTTGACACTGGACAAATAGACAATCTACTCTTGGTGTCTCCATTCCATAAAACTGTATCAAGCAGGCCACCCAGCAGTCCATGCATCATGACCAAGCCTACAAAACGCCATGTGCCCGATTCATGGTGACAGTTTACAAGCATCCGCGCCTTCGAATAATTGTAATTATGGGCAAGGTCACGAATGCCTGGCCAGGACAATGAAGTCTCGCCGGAGTAGAGCTCGTACTCGCAAGAAATACAATTTCGCATAACACTGAGTCGCGTTAGCAATACCGCAGACCCCACCATCATTGATCTCACCAGCAACAACCGCAAACTTGGATAGCTTCAGCCTATACAAAAATTCCTATGCTTCTGGTGGCACAGCAGTGTCGCGCCATGGCAAGGTGACCCGCTTCATATTCTCATTGCCACACATAAGGTGTAATTAAGGCGGTTACAATGGAGATGGACTTCTTAAGTTGAACCCCACAAGGCCTATAGTCCGCAGCTTCGATTACTAGCTAGAAATCTAGCACCTCTATTGGCCAAGTCCTTGGGTTTAGGCCCGCTCTCTAGTCGTATATCTGCTGCTGCTGCCTCTGAAACTGGGTACACGGGCTTGACTTTGTTCGGTTGGGACTCTACACACTTTCAAGAGCTGGGTATATGAGCTCTAGCTCTTGCTCTTGATACATGTGCATTCCTGCAACTTCCAATTTCAGAACTACATCTCGTTGTCACGTACCGTGAGCAATAACCAGAGTAGAGTCTATCTAGGGAAGCTCTTACTACAATCGGAGAAAATATTAACAAAAAGAAAAGAATTCCTGTCGTACGTTTCCCACGTCATGTTCTTCAATAAGTAACATTATCCCCCGGGCCGGTTATTCCAAGGGAAATCGCTGTGAAACATGCTACAAGAAGAAGTACGAAAGGGGCCATGATCTACAAAGCCATTTGCCAGACCGAGAGTATGGATATCAGTCAAAAATCAAACCCGTCACATTCCCTCACCTCTCCAACCATGCAATTCCGCAAAGTCCATACTTTGTTGGATGGCGGCCTTCAACCCCACATTGACGTGCGCCTCACACTTTTCCCTTTCCCTTACAGTCTTTCTTGTGGGCTTTCCAATCCTGTTTCTGATGCTCTTTGGAACAATATGCTACTAGCCTACAGCTTGTGCATAAGTGTCCAGGTTGGGCGCAAATCTTACACGGATGTTCTGTGCTAGAATATGTCTGCCCTGTAGATGATAATGTCCCTTCATTGTGGTTTCCCTCTGTATCGCTTAAGCTTGTATGAGGCTTAGGTTGGGAAGGATTCGGTATTAGATGGTTGCTAGGAGGGCTTGACGCTGATGTGGGTTTCGAATTTTGCGGAGGTGCAGGGGTTGAGGCTTCTGGGGGTGATTGCGATTGCAGCAGTGGTTCTGAATCATTACCTTGTGGAGGAGGCGCTGGATTAGGAGTCGGCCTCGTCGATGAAAAGGAAGAGGCAGTCGGAGTTTGTGAGGCCGAGATAGGAATGGTTTCTTGTTGCTGCCCGACCTCTACTGAACCACCACCTGATTGTGGAAGGGGCTCTGATAGTTTCGTATTCCTTCTGCTTACCGTAGATGAACTCTGTCCAGCTGTAGTAGTACTCCGAGCATCAACCTGTGTTTTCGGAGGCTGCTCAACCGGCACAAGCGGTGCATGATCTTTATCTTCACCAAAACTATTTTCCTCGGTCCACTTTAGCGGATTCTTCTCCAAGTAGTCGTTCCAGACACGTTTCTCGGTTTCCGTCATTGAGTACGAAAACCATTCAGGGAACCAATCACGACGGGATCGTTCCGAGGCCGACAATAGGCCCAGCTCAATCTCAACTTGTAGGGAAGCCATCTGTAGGTGGTAGAGATTTTCGGCGTTCTTGTCTGCGCGTTTGATCTTGAGATTTAGCATCGCGATTAGGGTGTTTAGGAAGAAGATGGTGATGATGACGATATAGAGCGCTCGCAGGGTTCTGATGGAAGTCGACGATGATTGATACGGCTCTAACGCTCCATAGTCCGATGATATGAAATTCAGCATTTGGCCGAACGCGAGGGGAAAGGTTGAGAAGGGATTGTCTGTGGGTTGGTCTATGTTGAGGTTTCGGAGTAGGAGGAAGGGCACGAACGCAAAGCCTTTTGCGTGTAAATAGCTAGACTGTCCGTTATTAAAGGGATGGACACATACCTAAGATGATGAAGAAGAGTAGAGCTAGAAACGAGAATACTTCCTGAAAGGTTTCCGTCAGTAGCAAGAGTAGCATGCCAAGAGGCCGATATATCCTCAGCATAAGAATGCTGGCGATCCAGATTAACAGTGTAGAGAAGCCTAGGAAGGACCGAGAGGGAGCCTTCTTCGATACAACGAGGAAGAAGGTTGTGAGGCCTAGGGATACGGCAGTGGCATCAATGTAGTTGAAGAAGGATCCGAAGAAGAGTTGTGGAACGCGATATAGTTGACGGAGCTTAACAGAGAGGACAAAGCATGCCACCAAAGCCTCGACTACGGCTAGAAGGATAATTGACCCAGGTATGCGTTTGGTGTCGTAATCACCCCCTGCAGTCAGTAGAACGGCGATTGTAAGGTGAACCGAGAAGAGAACTAGCATAGGAAGGGCAGTCCTCGTCAGATAGAGCCACAGTCCAAATGTCCGCATCTTCCAAGCGAGAAGCTTCTCCAGCCATATAACTCTCAAGAACGAGAGTTGAGTCTCTCTATCTTTCATGTCGAGGATCTCTTCTACCAGTCGTGTGAATGGGCTCGATGGCCCTCTTCCGCTCTTCTTTACAGCACTGTGAATCCAAACCTCCCATCTGGGAAATTTATCATCTTCGGTTGTGGGCATTGTAGCACGGACAAACTCCCAAAACGAATCATCGCGGTCGTTGAATGGAGATGCGGAAACGGGAGGAGGTCTATATAGTTTATGAGTGAATGAGCAGAAGCCGGGCAATGGCAGCGTCACATGGCTGCTATTCGGCTCTGCTTGAATCCCGTACAAATTCTTCCACACATTCTGGATCATGTTCTTTAGGTCACCAAGGCTATGGTAAAAAACCCCCCATTTACCATCATATCGAGCCACCTTCGATTGAGTGGCGCCATTTTTCACTGCAACAGGACCGATATTATTAACCTTGAATTGAAATAGCGCAACATGCCGCATGAAGGAGAGGGTTGCAATTGGACGAGTTCTGCACGCGAGCGGAAGTGTATGGCTTACTGCATGGGAGTTCTCAAGAAGGCACCGGTCGTCTTGATGTAACCTGCGGAAGAACGCGTCAACATGCTGCGTTTTCTGGGCTCTATGGTCCGCATTGCAAGCCAAGGCAAATATTCCTGGATAAAGAGGATTTGTGTCGTCATATGTTTGGTCTTTGTAGATCTGCAAATAGGAGCCCACACTATCAGCAAAGCGGCCTCCGCCAAAGAAGATATCATTTGGATTGCCTTTGCGGAGTCCACGGAGACCGTACTCTCGCCAAAGAAGATACTTGGGAAGGACATATGCAGAGCGATCGCGATGGCCATAGTTAGCGTTGTCTTGGACAACGAACGTATATGGTTTAAAGTAAGCATAGTAATTCGCCGTACTCATCAACGCAGGGTTTGGTGTTTGACTCCAATTACTGGGCATGGTGACGTGGGCTCCTCGGTGGATAATGAAGGTATCATACCAGGCATCTTCTTCAAGAAAATGGGGGGATATGATTGTCCATCTTGGAATAGGCATCGGCGCGCCAGAGTAGCCTCCAGGCCGATCCCCCAGGTAGGAAACGCGGAGGAAGAAATTTGGGTAGCTCTTGTATAATTCTATCTGTTCCTTTCCGTCCCCGGAAATCTTGATATCCGTGGCATAAAGTGCTCGAATGACAGTCTGCTCGGGGGAAATTGGCGAGGGACCAATTACAATGAGATGATACTCATTTTTCATGACTACGCCGAAAACGCTGACTCTTTGTGCCTGGTTCCATGGGTACGTAAAACTGAATAATTGAGGGAGGAAGAATCGCCAAAGCTCTGGGCTTGAGTTCATTCTCACCGAGGACCCAGGCTGAGCAAACACCTTCTCATAGAAGTCTTGCTGCCACATTTGCTCCAAAGATGTGGGGTTCGGTAACTGTCCATGCTCCAATTCAAACGCATCTGGGTCGTTGCGGTCTACGACTCCAGGCTTCCAGCCAAAGCGGCACACAGGATTCACTTCTTTATTGTCCACAGCCTTGACCAGCTTTAACAGTCTATCAGCGCTCGAATCGAAGTAGTCCTCTACCATCTTGATTTTCTCCAAAGCCTTCGGTAGGGAGATTAAGATACCAGAGACACCCCAAAGACGGAGTAAGCCGTTTGGAGTTCTTGTGATGTCCGCAGGGTACATCGCAAATATAGTGAGCCCGGTGTCATCATTAAATCCAATGCGCAAAGGAAGAAGTTGTGTCCATTGTGGGAGCGGGTTGGGTTCGGGAAGCCCGCTTAAGGATGGTCTTAGTGGATGTGCGACCTTTTCATGGAAGATTACTTGAAGGTTGAAAGCTAGTAAGGCATTGATGACCAACTCTTTGTTGTTCAGTGTGACGACCGTGATAACTTTGCTGTTGGAAGAGAACCGGACGGCATGAGTCTGTTCGGCGATGGCGTCCTTGATGGATGTTTCCTTGCCATGTATGACCCATTTCCGATATTGACTGTACTCCACACCCGGAAGTCTTACGCTGCCTAGTGGTTTCAAAGACGGATTTCTGAGGTCCCAGTGGTATAGCATAGCTGAATCGGCCCCGATATAGAACATTGACGAATCGTCCGGCGAGATGGAGATATTCGAACCCGATCGCATGATATCGATTTCGTCGAAATTCCAGTGCAGCTTTTTATCGGACGACACAATCAATGGAGGGCTGCCTCGTCCAATGCCCTCGCCTCCAAAGTCAGAGGTGTTGATGCCCATGTAGATTGTGCCACGGACCCTGAGTGGGCGATGAAGACATGTATTTCTCAAGTGCTGACCATCGCCAAAGGCAAAGGTCACAGCTCTCATACGAGCAAGATGTCGGATCGAGTATGCTTCGACAACCTTGGCCTCTCCACTCTTGCCCCAAGGAGTCCCATCTCGAGTGTAGAACAGGTATTCGCTATCCTCGGACAGGCTCCCATTGGGTGTCGAATATCTTAGGGCTGTGTCGGAGGGTGGTTTTCTCAAAGTGAATCCATCTGCATTGACGAGATATGCCACGGTAGCTCCACCTCTAGGTCTGTAGACAAGAAGGACAGCTTCCCCATCTTCGGTGATGCCGCCATCCATGTGATCTGTATCGTACCGGCTGGTCGATTGCGATGTGGGAAATTCCCCTTCTCTGCCATGGTGTGTTACGGTCCATTTTGGCTTGAGGCCATCCTTGGAGTGAAACGAAGTGACCTTTATGCTCTTGTCCAACGGGTATACCTCGACCGCGGCAATATGTGAACACCCAGCGGAGACCAAGACGCAGAAGGAGACATCTTGGCCATCTTGCTTGAACTCGATTGCTGAATTGGTCTTGCAGTATTGTCCGAGATCCCTCGGAATCTCAATGGAATCGCGGAAGTGCCATTCCGATGTTTTCGGAAGGATGTCATGCGAGAAGACTTGCAACGAGGCTGGGTCAGCCATGAATATCTGTCTATCAACTCAAGAATGGCAGTGAAGTTGAATCAACAGCATGAGATTTGACTACGTAGCGAGAAGCGGCAGGTATAAATGAGGAATGGCACAGCCTCAGCCTCGCGACGCTGAACACGAAGTTGCCTATCTCCATATTGCTAGGTATCGTGACCCCGCCCCTTTGCGCTCCACCATTAGCTTGGCATCTGTCTCGACCCCATGTTTTGGGGCGGCAACACTCGTTTCAAACGAAGCGAAGCGGAGTCGTTGGAACACGATACCCTTCTTGACAGCTGCCCCACTGTTCCTCCTATCTTGGCGCACTAGCTGAGCTTCATCTCATACCGCTGCCTTGATATCCAGCCCCCTCCACGTGGAGAATTTCGGGCGATGATGTTTCTCCATTCTCTCATTGAGGTTGTTGGGCCGACGGCGCTGGAGCGGTGTCGATGTTATTCATTTGGGTGGGCAGAGCGTATCACAACACTGGAGGCAACCGATGGTAGAGCATCTCATATCACTAAAGACACAAGGCCATTGTGAATACCAAAAAAAGAAATAAACCTGCGTTCATGAAGTTTATATGCTCTGCATCCATGTTGCATTTAGCTCATCTCAATCAACGGTCAAGAATCTCCAGGTGGCACTACTAGGAAGCGCAAGATATTTACCACACGTCCACCTCTTTGCTGTCAACCAAGCGCGCAGAGGAACTCTGACTATTTTACTCCAGGTAGGATTCAAAAACCTTCACGGATAACTCGAGGTCCCTACCCCAACTCGCGGTTGGGCTTGAAAAGCACAGAGGACGGGGAAGAGCCACACCCGCAGAGGGGGGCTAAACCGGTTCATAACTTCCAAGCTCAAATGACCAGTCTCAAGAGTATCAGCAACAGAGAAGGAGACGACTGCGCCCGCAGGGGGAGATTCGAGCGCATTATATCCATGTGAAAACATCTTGAGACGACCCGACCCTGGAATCCAAAGAAACGTGAAGAATGAAGCCAAAAACAAGTCAAGAACAAGTCACTAGTCGTATGAATATCAGCAGCAGAGAAAGGGACGGCTGCACCCTGAGAGATGTCCGAACCTGTGGTATCCGCGTAACATCCTGAAACTGTGAAGGGGAGCTAGAAGAAACTAGGAGTCATTGGAGCCAAGGCTAGATTTGGAGTCGGATCCAGATCCAATTAAGCAGAGGCTAGTCTAATGAGGAAAGAGAGAAAAATAAATAAAATGATTTGGAGGGCGGAGGAGGCTGAAATACTACCAGGCAGAGTGAAGGATTCCTGCACGTGACCAAGATAATCACAGCCACGTGCCCAAAAATTTACCCATCAGCAAAGCTAAAAGATTTGAAATATAGACAAGGGAGTGAGGCGTAGAGGAATTCTGTGAAAAGTTAGTTCGGTCAGTCGCCACAACAACAAACGCAACAACACGCGTCCGCGTTCAACCCACCAGCACCCAGTCACCCCTTCAGCTAAGCCTTAATTTTGGAGATAATTTTTACGAGCCCGTTGTCACTAATAACAGGTATGGAATGGCTATGACCTTCTACTCGCCATCTTCCATCAACTCAGCCAACTCCCTCTCTTCTTCCTCTGTTAACAAGCTCTCCTTGGTCTCAGGCTGCCTCTCCTTCTCTTCCCCCAATCTCTCTTCTTCCGCTTCCTTGATCGCCTTTGCTAGATCTGATGTCTTCAAGCTCCACTGCCTGATTGTGGCGTCAATGCTAACACTGACGACCTTCCTGTTTGGCAGCAGTAGAAGCCCAGTGACCTCCTCAAAGTGCCCCGAGAAGACATGATGTAACTTCCCGCTACTCTTATCCCATACTCGCACTTCTTCATCTCTGCATGCCGTGACAACCCAACCGCCTTCATCATCAACAACAACGTCTCGTACAAAGTCAGGGTGGACCAATTGAGTGTCTTCTTCCCAATGCCGAGTCCGAGACAGGCATTTTGCAGTCTTATCTGCGGAGGCCGTCCATAAGTCTCCATCAGAGTCGAAGTAAATAGAATCAATGCTCGTTTCATGTGTAACAATGGAGGAAGGTGCGTCGGATGTTGCTTCAATCTGTGATGCAGATGAGATACCAATAGTCCAGCGACGGATTTCCTTATCACTCCCCGCGCTGAAGAGTATGACAGATTCTTTACTGGGTTGATATTCAATCGGATCAACAGCCATCACTAGTATGCCGCGTGTGTGCCCTTTAAGCGTGTGCAGTCTATTCCCTGTCACCACATCCCAGACAATGATGCTCGCGTCTGCTGAGCCCGAGATCAAGGTTTCCTTGCCTTGTAGCTGGAGGACCAGAACCGCTTTTACAAAGTCGCCATGCCCTTGAAACCGCCGTGCGAGTTTCCGTGTGCTGATCGACCAAGACCATATAGACTTATCCCAACACCCTGCTAAGATGGTGCCCGACGTGGGGGAAATGGCAAGAGAGGTCAATGGTGCGGTAGGGCCTGAAAAAGTCGCAATCGTTTTACCAGCCTACAGAGAGTTGTCTCAAGTCAGCTTTCTGTGTGTGGTGGAACCTTGCATCCTTTGTAGAACCCTTAAAGGGAAGGAACGAATATCTGACCGACTTCAAGCACTATCCTCTTTACGGTCCCGGCGGCTTCGGCAATATAGACTTGCCCCTCATTCTCAGGGTCCGCGGCGACAGCGAGGATCTTCGAGGGGAGTTTGACGGGGTTGCCCTTGGTATTTTTCGACTTCTCAGCTTTACGAGCCAATTCACTGAGAGATGATCTAAGGGGACGATTAGCTGGTGCATATAGAGGTAGAATAGAATATAGTCACGTTGTCTGAAAGAAGTGGCCTGGATCGTTTGATCGCGACATCCTGGCTCATACTATTGTTGTCTTGAAGGCGGTTTGAAGTTGAGTTTGGCATTTTCTTGACCCCACTATTACCCCTCCTCCAATCACCGCCGCAATATTTCGACTACACCTAATGTACAGCATTGCCACTATCAACATTATTAGCACTGCCACGTCCTCCTGCCATTACGATTAGCGCCCAAGTGTCTAGGAAGCACTCTAAGAAACAGTTGAAGGAAACTTCATCAAGCCAATCACACCAAACTACTTGCATCTGAACATAAACTCATCAATTCTACTTCCCAAAATCATGCAATGAAGCCTGCCTCTATTCAAGAGCAACGGCAGCTCGTAAAATGTCATCCCAAAATCATGAATCATAAATCCATCATAAGAGTGAGGCGCGGTCATCCAACAACCGAATCGCCCGACATGACACTCAGAGGATATCTTAGGAAAGACGACCCAGAAGCCTCAGTCGTTTTGTGCAAACGCCGCTTGTACGCCGAACCCCTCGGCCATGCAGTCGTAAAGGTCATGATACAATGTGTGTATGGTACACCACAGTCATTATCGCCTTAATGCGCCTGCTGCGCCGGCAGCCCCTTGCTGGGCGAGTGACCGTATCTCCCATCTCCAACCGCCGTTCTTACTCTCGCCATTGTCGCGAATGCCACCGACCCAGCCTTCCACTCGGCGGCGCCACACGTTCTCCTCTTCTCGTTGTCTTCGGATGAAGCTAGGGCCAAGGTCGAATTCCTCGCCGACGAAGGTAGCTTCTTCGGGGTTGGGAGTGCCGCCAGAAACGTTACCGGTGGCAAGTGAAGCGCTGGGCCCAGGGATAGTGTTGTCTTTGAGGTCCTCAAGACCTGCGAAAGGATCTTCTTCATCATCCACATCAAAAGATGGAGAATGAGCGTCGCCAGACTTGCGTGGCATTTTCAGCCAGCACATCTTCGCGGGATCGAACACCATTCCTTTCTCCACTTGCACACCACGTGCATTTGAAATGTTCGAGATCAATGCCGGCCGTGGTGGGGACGGCGCGCCCACTTTCACAGCGCGGGAGGAAACTGACTTTTGCGCCGCAGCATGCACGGCCGATAATGCAGTATGCGAAATAGAATGTGATCGGTCGTGGGAATAAAAGCTGTGGTTAGGTGGGGCAAAGGTAGGAGTACTCGCAGTCGTAAGGGCGAGGGTAGTCGTAGAAGTATTAGGGTGTGAGAAGGGAGCGAGAGCATCCTCGTTACCTTCCCAGCGTTGCAATATGGGGTTGTATGTCATTCCTTTCTCAGCTACGCCTAAGGTCAGTTAAACGTTCTTACTAATGGTTAGGTCGTTCTTACTCTTCTCTCGCATCGGTGCCGCCAATCCTTTGATCAACATTGGTTTCTGTCCTGTACCCCTCTTTCGCTGGGTAGTAGGGCTTGCGTGAGGGCTTCGAGCAGCAACTTGCGCTTTCCAGTTGGTGTGCATCGGTGCGATTGGCCCATCACCCCGTGACCTTGTACCTGCCAGACGTTGTTCTCGTGCTATGCGGCTTGCTGCAGTATCTCGTGCAAATCGCGGTGTGCTATCAGGCTTTGTTGGGCTCCTGGGTGTTTGAGGAAGTGGTGTGGCCATTCGGTCTGGCATGGGCAAACGAGAGATACTTGGCTGTTGTCGGAGAGTCCTGGTACTTTGAGTATTCCGGGGTACTTTCTCAAATTGCCTTTCTTTGGTAGCAGAAGTAGGGAGGTCGTCGAAGATTTCTAGCTCGCTTCCGTCACCATAAGTCTTTTTGGTCACGGGCTTAGTAAGGGGGCGTTTCGAAGTAGCCTCACGAGCAAGGGTGGATGACGCCAAATCTCTTCGCATTCCTGTGCGACTCGGAGTATCTGGAGGCCTATTCGCGGACATGCGTGAATGCGACCTCGTCATCGATGGAGAATGAGGTCGGTTCGGATCTGAATCTCGGCGCAGTTGGACATGCGAGCTCCTAGCGGTGATGTGATGGGACTGCGAACTGGAGCTACCCGCTGGTAGGAACGGGACAGGTGGTCGAGGGCCAGAGTTATAGTTGTTGCCGCTGCGAAGGGCGGGCGCCGAGCGCTTTGCTCGAAGGAGCTGTGCGCTCGTGGTGGTAGGCATAGGTCGATTCTGGCCGAGCGCCGAAGGGCCGATTGTTGAAGCACCCGTCTCATAAACTGGAGTCAGTCTCGTGCGGCTGGATGACGGGAGGGGTCTTGGTATCCTGGATGCGGATGGCTTGTCGGTAAAGGTTAGGGTAGTCGCGGGTCGGGCAGCGGGAGGAGCGGTCGGTTTAGAGGATTGCTTCTTGACAACGACATTGCGATTGAGAGTGAGTTTCTTAGTATCTAGACCCTCGTCGGCGCCAAGATCAAGGCCATCGAGGAAATCTTCTTCCTCTACAGGTTTGGGCTTGACCTCTTGTGGGGGCTGCGCGGCCAAAGGTACGTTTTCGAACAGGGGAGAGGACCATGATGCATCAGAAGCAGGAGGAGCAGGGACCGACGTAGGCGGTAGCTCGCGTTTCTGTTGGGGTGGTAGTGGTGAGACGTCGGGCGTGGTGTGCTCGGTTTTCTTGAGCTTTTCAAGCCGAGCATGGAAGTCGAGAGGCTCGTTTGGGAGCATCAAGCCTGTTAAATCGTCGTCTTCGCTCTCGAGTGTCATACAGCTGCCCATACTCGGACTCATTGCAGAGACGGATGAACTGCGACCGCCGCGTGCCTCCCTCCTCGTTCCTCCAAACCGGATCCCCAAGCTACCCTCGCCCCAGTCGTCGAAGTCATCCGGGTCCTCGGCTGGGGTGCGCGGTACGGGCGCCTTGAGCTTCAGTCCCCCGGTAGAATTCGATGGCAGCTCGAGATCGTCTCCCCAGTCGTCGTCAACTACAATTTTGCGACTTGATTTCTTCTTCCCTAGTCGCTTTATCGACCCGCCGAGCAGCGCAGAGGACGGAACGCTGGTGGGTATTGGGATGCCGGCCTGTTTCGCAGATGTGATGGCGTTGAGTGTTGATAATTCATCGTTCGGGGCGATGAGGAGCTGCCAGTCGTCCTCGCCGGTGTTGGATTCAGAGCGCACGGAAACGCGAGACGACATGGACTGCATCGTGGATATGGACCTGGTGGAGAAGATGTCGCCCTGAAAATCGCCATCGTCGTCCCAATTCTCGATTGTGGAAGCCATGGAGGCCACGCGCTGTGCGAAGCTGCCCTTGTTGGTGGCCATGGCAGCGGTGTTCGCGAGCGTGCAGCAGGTGTGGATGGGTGGTGCAGGTTGCTGGAGGAAGGTGGAGGTTGGGAGTGGTCGACCTCAAAACCTTGCCGGGCTTGGCGAAGGCGGGCGAAGCGGTCTGCGCAGCGCACAGACTCAAGCAGGCCACCACCCGGTCGCAACGCGTCAGTGATCGCGAAATCCTTGGGATGCGCGCAAGACGTGCATCGGCGCATCACCCATCTCATAGCTCCCGTGGTACGGCCATCATCCTCTGTGTCCGCTGTTTTCAGATCTGGCCTCAAACACTGCGGTTTTGGGAGACCCCTAGAGTGGCTGCACCCTGATTCAGCGTGGATGCAGTGCGTTTGTGCCTGGAAGGCAACACCGTGTCAGACTCTTTCACCCTCCACCGGCCGTCGTTTTGCCGTCTCTATAAGCTCACATTGTTCCCTCATCACAGCCGCAAGCCTGCAGTTTCAATCCTCTCTTTTGGTCACTTGAAACGTTCAGCCAATTTCCCCTCTTCTTCCGGCACACCATTCCACAGTGCCTGTTACTCAGCACAGAGCCACTGTGACAGGCATTACCCTAACCCCTCCAGGGTTGCGTATCATATTTCCTAGGGCTGCTCCAAGATCCTCAGAAAAACAGCCACGACACCATTGGCCACAGCCGCGTTTCGGACCCAGCTCGAACCAACGGGCTTCACAGGACACTTAACCTGCTTTCACGCGTTCATGTCTCAGTCCGCCACAATGGCCCGCCACATAGTCCCCATCCCCGCTGCTAACGACGACGGCCCGGCGGTAGTGGTTGAAGTGAGGCAGAAACCCGACTCGCACCCGCTGGACGTCGAGCTAATAGGCTGCGAAGGGGAGAATCCTTATGTTGCAACGAGTAAGATTGTTTCAATATCGACTTCATTGCCCTGTTTAATGCGTCTCCGTAGTCCAGCAACGTGATATCGGGAAATTGAAGAGGAATTTCAAGGGCAGCGATGAGGAGTGGAAAGGGCTCTTGTCTCATTTCCTGCTACAAAAACAGCCTGAAGGCGGCAACTCAAAGATATTAGACGGTGTACGGATGGTCAGTTCTCTAAAGGCAGAAGATAGACTTGAGATTATCTTTCGCCAGGATGTGCAGGGCATCAAGGTGTGTGAACCTGCCGAGATTGTGCTACCCACGTGCTAAATTTAGAAAGGTCACACTTGGAGAAATAGTGCTGCCATATGATGAGGAAACTGAACTGAACCCTTTCGAATGGGCCCAGGTTTCTGCCCAGGCACATGCTTTGGCGCTGAATCAGATAGTTGAGCTGAAGAGCCAGCTAAGCAGCAAGCAAGAGGTCGTTGACAAGCTCAATTTCCAGCTTGAGGACTTCCTCAAAACTAAGAATGAGGGCGAAACGGCCATGCTTCAGCAGTTCATGCAGCTGTTGAACGAGAAGAAACGGAAGATACGGGACCAGCAACGACTGTTGGCGGGGGCTAAAGTTGACAAGTCTAGCGGTAAGCCCCTCAAGACATCAAATGAACGCGTGCTTAAAGTTGACATGATGGTTTTAGCATCCAGCGTGCAGGCTGCGAGAGAGGAGACCAAACCGCGGAAAGCTGGCCCATCGCGGGCATCGAAACGTAAAGCGCCTACAATAGCAGCACCAGCGGAGCCGGAGCCGGAGCCGGAGAGCGAAGTTATGGAAGTCGACGAGGTGAAGGCAGAAGACGACGAGGAAGAGAACGAAGATATCCCTGGAGCCAACACGCCCGATCGAACGACAGACGAAGAGACGGATGACGAAGGCAATAGCGTTGAAGGGAGCCTAGCATCATCCGTGCCGCAGTCGGAGTTGAGGGAACGGACAGCTGTGCCGGGGCGTACAAACAGAACATTCTCCCAAGCTTCAAAGAAGACATCTGCTGCAGCCGATCCACCAAGTCGTCGCGAGTTGCCCTTCGGTAGACCAACGGCTCGGACCAAACCTGCAAGCAAGCAACCGTCGCCGCCGGCAGTGGAAGACGACGATGATGAAACGGAAGATGAGGAGCTATGAAGCATGCGGCACAGTTGAGAGAATGTGCCAACGCTACGTTTAACGAACCACGAACACGGATGGTCCATTGGCTTCTGGCACAGTTGGCATATATTTTAGGCCTACCAGAAATTCGTTGGATGCTGACCCGCACTAAAGGCTGTCTCAGGCAACAAATGGATAAGGCATAGACAGATGGCAAATGTATAGCAATTCCACCTGAAGACGCTCTCTGACTATGGGTGCGTCTGAATCTTGTTAATATTCTTGTACGTCCGTGTTCCTGGACCTTAGGTTCTTGCGTGAGGGATATCATGTGACATGTCCGTCCTGTTGTCTTCTGGTCTGGCACGAGGCACACCAGGGGTCACGGTCGATCTCGCTTAGACTGGTTGCGCGGCACGACCCTGAGGCGCATTGCAGCGCGAGGGAGAATGGCGGGAGTATTTAACGTAAGGTACGGATGCAGCGAACACGTGCTGCAATCGCTCTGGATGCTCTGGGAACACTCGGAAAAGAAGGGAATGTAGTGAGCCGTACATGAAGCGTATGAGGGCGTCGCTGGGACGCTAACAGGACGCTTTTCGGATTCCCTCAGCCTGTCGCGTCGGCCAATGGGCTGTGCCGAGCGCATCGGCGAGAACCTCACGCCAAGATTCAACTTGACATGGTGAGCGTCCGCAAACTGATGGTCAACATCACCACCTCCCGGTCATCATCTTGCGGGCCCTCGCCGCCTTGATCCTCGCCATCGATTCCCGCTCTGTCCGCGGTCTGGGACGTGGCCGGCATGGTCGTCTTCTGCGACCTCAGCGAACCTGTGATCCAAAGGCTGCGGGAGCATTGACGCTGCGCTCACTGTTCACTCGGTGAGTTTCTCTCGGCGCGCTGTTCTCACGATAACCCTCTCCTCGCTGTTTTCGTGCTAATTGTTGGTATTCAGCTCAATTGCGCTGCTCGTAGCCCGCCCGCGTTTGCATCGAGGCCACCAACCAACTCAACTCCAGGCCCGCCTTCGCTCTCACTTTCACCTTCACCACCCCACCCGAGTCGCCGCCTGCAAACGTCCGTGAAAATTGCAAACGCCTGCCCTCTCTCAATCTTCATGTCCTCCCACACACTCGAATCTTTCCCACCAACTTATTCTCGACGTCGGGCACGTCTCTTTTCCTAGCTCGGACTATACCACCCCCACGATATCGAGCAACCGAGGACGGCAACAGCATGTCCGTTCCTGAGCCTGTGCCGGATGGTGCGCCGCCTGGTTCGACGCCAACCCCCCCACCTCGCTCAGCTAGAGATCAAGTCGAAATCGCCAAACTCGACGCAATATCCGACCGCATCAAACGCGCTGTCCCAGAGGCGCCGTATATCCTTTCCACTCCTTCGTTGCATCCATACTCACATTGGTCGCGGCAGGAGGCACATAGTTGGATGATGGGACATCTCTTTGACCCTCACGAGGAGCACCTCCAGTACAGGACGTACCTCTACCGAGAGCCATATCAAGACTGCTTCGTCTTGCAACCGGGTGAAGATGATTTGCCCCCACCCGATCGGTCCAAGTCGCAGGCCTTAAATACCTCGTCACAGGCACCGAAGAAGAAAATCAGCCTCTCAGCCTATAAATCGAAGCAAGCCAATGGCGTCATCACGCCTGGTTCTAAGAAAGTGTCGCCCACTCTTGCTCCAACCAAGCCTGATCCCGCCCAGGTCAACGGGTTCAAAGCGTCTGAAAAGCAGCCTCTTCCTGCCCAGAAGTCTCCTTCTAATCCGGCACGTCAGCAGTAGGAAGCTCTTGTCCCCCTTGATGTAGCTACACTAATTTGCAGCAGCCCCACCCCTGAATCTCTTGTTCCCGGCAAGCCTGAGAAACGGCCTCCTCCAAAAGAGCCTACACCAGAGCCGCCTCACAAGGGAGATTTGTCAGAACTAAAGCCAACCTCTGATGTTTCCGTCCCATCTAATGGCACTCCACATGGCCTCCCACCTCTTCTATCACCAGTCGGCCCATCTCTACACAATCCCTACGATCTGCCACCTATCTTGTCTCCGACATTACCCTCTAATGTTCAGGCTGAGCTCGACCGATTAGAGACCCAACGGAAGCGTGCTGAGTCCAATGCATCCACATCGTCTTCCGACAAGAGAGACAAGCTACTCTCGGCCCCAGATCCGCGCTCCGAAAAGCGGGAAGACCTCACGAGGATCAAGTCACGAGTCCGATCGGTCTCGATGAACGGCACTGCGCCCACCGGTCTTCCTACCGTTCGAACAAACACTTCTGAACCCACACTTGTAGTTAAGCTGAAGTATCCAAAACGATCAAGTGCCACTATCGAGAGGATTCTTCGCTTGCAGCCCCCTCGAAAGCCAGCCACAACTATTGACAAGAAGGAGCGACCAGTCAAATCGCAAATCAAAGCATCCGATGCTATTGCTACGAAGACCAAGGAAGCGCCAAAGACAACTGCACGTCGACCAGAATCGACTGTCCTGAACGCGAGATCTACTAACAGCAAGAGCACAACCGGGCCACAAAAGCGACCTCGTGATGAAGATGAAACCCTGTCGGCTGTGGCTCCAAAACGGCAAAAAGCGCAAGTATCTAACGATCCACCAAGTACTCCATCTGAACAAATAATCTTCTCGCCAACACTTTCTAACAAGTCTAGCGCGCAACGGTCGCAAGCCCTGTCGCAAGGCCAATATGTCACGCCTCGAAAAGATCTTATCGCGAACAAGATGATTCGGACTACCTCTGCAGAGGGGGATGATTCCACTCCCGGTCGATCTGGCGTCACTCCCTCCAGCTCAAAGCATCTCGATGTGAAGCCTGCTCCGACCTCTGCTCCTATTAACGGCAAGAAGCCAGCTGATATCCACGCATTTCAACGTATTTCAATGAAACTTAACACTCTCGGTCGATCGCTCAAACATGAAAGCCAAAGGTTTGTCGAGAAAGGTAGCCAAATTAGCAAAGACGATCAGAAACGCGCCGCCGTCACCAGCATTGAGTGTATTCTGTGAGTCTACCGTGTTTATATCCCCCCCAACCAGTGATCTTGTTGGTCACCCTAGCCGGTTCTTATTCGAGGAGAGCAACTCAGCACCAATTCCATACTCTTTACCCAACCCTCCCTACCTTCGTCCTAGCTGACTCGTCACAGATCGTATATGGCTGCCTACCACGTTCAAGACATCTCGCGCAATCTCAGTGGACGCCCTGGTGAAGTTGAAAACACTTGGAAAACCTTGTTACCCCTCTGCATGTCGTATTCCGTTCGGACGAGGGATTTCCCCCACTTGGACGGCCTTCGCTCTTATCTGAGCTCTGTTATTTCTGGATCCATCTGCACCCACATTGCACACCGGTTCCGCTCCATTTCCGCTCAAGCTCACGATTCCCCGCATGATGCCCCTACTTCCGAATCGGCGAATCCGAACCTCAAACTTCTTGCCGATAACGTTATGAATCAACAACGCTTTACGCAGGACGCGAGGATTGGTCTCCCTTCAGATGATATTGAAAGGTTATTTCCGAAAACTTGGGCTGGCAGAGAGAAAGTTGCGAAACTAGCCAGGGAGACGGAGAAGTTGGCTGGTGGTCACCTCAACGGTCCCTACTTCCTGCCCGTTGGGAGCGATACCACACCTATCCAGGCCGTTCGGTTTGGTCTTGCGTTTCTCAAAGAGTATAGTGAGAAGGAGAGCCTCAACTACTCCACACGCGTTAATCTCGAGAGGCCGGAATGATCTCTTGCTCTTCTTGCTTACTTTGATCTTTGCGTTGGTTCGGCATAGCGGTCTGGTTTGCCCTTCGGTGCACGGCGTCCCCCCATCTGGTTTTCTTTGCAGATTACTGGTTCATCACGTTTCCCCTATTCACGGATTAATGCCCTGTTGCATATGCACATGCACATGCACATACACCAGAATTTTTTACACGGCGTTTTCTCGGTAGCGTTTTATTCGGATGGCTCTTTCTTTGGGCGGCGGATCGGATCCAATTGGTACGGGTGATACCCAACGAGGCGGACTGGCTTAGTATGGCAGGCCTCGTTTCCTGATTTCATGTTTTCTTCCTCTTTCTTCTCTTTATCTTCTTGCCATGGCGATTAGGCAAGTACTTTTTTCCACGACACTTGGGGATGCAAGTAGATGTACATGCTGCGTGAATTGGACATATCGTCCGTGCTTCCAGATTTCCTCTTCTGTATACACTTGCTCGAGTGGAATGGAGCTTGGGTAAAGTGGTGGTTTACTTGCTACATGGCTGGCTAGAAGCGGCCTTTTGGTTCATGGACTGTGAGGCTTTTGCTTACGTAGGGTATATAGCCTTGGAAAAGTTAAGAGGAAGATAAGACAGACATGCAACAATCTAAAGAAGTTCTTTAATTACTCATGGCATGGTATTTGGTAATAATATTGGGATTGTCACTATGATGAGATGGGTTTTCGCTGGCTGTCTACTGCAGATGTCTGCATTGCGAGCGTTGATACGAGGTTTGAACTTGGCCAGACGTCTACTGCCAGCTAGTAACTGACATCAATCGCCGCGTGCGAGTGCTTTCATACTTTTACTGGGTATGGAATAATGCACCTACGGCTATCATAGTTGCGCTGCCTGAGAAGCCATCAAAACATCGGCATATGGCTGACCGGCGTGTCTCGGTGGAATTTAATTATCTAGAGGACAGACCGGCGATCGCATCGAGGTGAGTATTTCGTTGTTGAAGGGACGGGAGCGCCGATGCATTTGCGTTCCTACGTGGGGAGGGAGAGCATCTAAATGACTGTGCATACTTGCATGAAGCGTGGGATGCACGTCGTGGGGCACGGGAGGAGAAAAGGAACCATAGCGCGGGGCGAATATCTGCAGAGAGCCCAAAGTGTAAGTATATGTGTCTGTAAATAGCAGCTGAACAACTGTAAAGTGGTTGACGGGAATTCCCCCTCGGGTTTAGGCGGCCTTCCGGTTCGGGTATAGCTGCATGACTAAGCGCCCGCTGCTTTTGACGTCTCTATAAAACCCGCCCACCCTTCCCAACCTTCTCCTCTTCACGCCATCTTTCCTCTTTTTCCTATTTCCCTCCTTCCCTTTTCCAAATCCTCTCCACGGTTTCCCTGCCGAATCCCCGACCCAGTCTTGCTCTGCCACCCCCTTTCTCCACCGCTCATTTCCTCACCGCCGTTCCGGCTGCGCCGCTCGTCTCGTCGCTCGTTCTCCAAATCTTCCCTTTGGGGAAATGGTGTCAAGTTCCGTTTTTATTTCCCTCAGCTGGAGTGAAGGGAAGGGAAAGGAGGCTGGTCGCCGACTAAAACCAGCCCCTCGGATGCCTTGTGACCATTATTGAATGAGCATCGCCAAGGCCAAATTCATGCGGACCCATAAGGGGTGGTGAGCGCAAGCTGATGCGTGAGCGACGAAGGAGATCCACAGACTAAATCACATGTATGGGTGCTTTGTTACCGGACTCTTTTGCGAGCCCATCGTTCTCGCTCTCAGCACTCACTTAAAACTGGTGCCCGCTGTCTCCTGGGGGTCAGACGTGTTGCAACCCCTCCGCGGGATGGTTTGACGGAAAGGGGTGGTTTCAAACGAAGCCTAACGTCTAGCTCTTCGACACTGCGGTCCAGATTTTTTTCGAGGTATCCAGAATGGTGATGGTAAGGGAGAGCGAAGTTTCATGCACTGCAAGGGCTTTGCGCTAGCCCGTCCCGCTGAGCAATCGCAGCCTGGCGGCAAAGTGCGGAGACCATGATATTGGCCAAGCTGGGATGCAAACCCGACAGCCATTGACTCTGCAGGACCTTGCTTAAGAAAGAGCAGGCTTTTCTAAAAGATATGCTGTTTCGGGACGACATATTTAATTAAGCATGTTAAAATTTGCAAAAAAAGAACAAGGTAAGGGTTATTTAAGACATCGCTTAACTAATTGTTCCTTCGGCGGAGAGCCTAGCAACGTTTGGGGATTGGGCCCTAGACGTTCTTGCTGAAAGCGTGAACGAAGGCTGGAACAACTCTGTCCTATTAACTAGCACTCGTCCTTAACTAGATTACTTAGTGGGATTTAGGCGTGAGGCGTTTACAAAGGATTAGCTTAATAAGCTTTCCCCTTTTATCGGTAACTTTCTCGCAGGCGACTAGTCCTTCTTCATGGCCACATACTACATGTACTTCCCGTTCCTCACGTGCGAAGTCAAGTGCAGCGCTGCAGCGCTTAACATCGCGGACTAGTAGAACGCGCACAGCATGACCCTTGCTGTTAGGGCGATTGTTGAGCTTTTCTAGCTTGTTAAGCGTGAGAAAGAGCTTCACTGGAATATCCTCGCATTCTCGATTTCGCACAATCATCGAATAGTGCAAATCTACAGCCACTACCCTGTAATTAAGAGAAAAGACACTACCTTTTATCGTCACCCTATCTGCACGTTTGACTTTACTAAGCTAGACAGCAAGGATAAGTAGACAGCATACAAATTCACCAAGAATGTGTATAATGTATGGATGCCTGCGCTCCGTCATCAACGAGTTACCGGCTGATTTTGACTTTGACGTCCCGCAGCTACTGGACGAATCCGGGCTTTCTTAAGGCTTGGAAAGTCATCATCTCCGATCGTTCACGGAGCCAGATCCGTAGCAGGTGGCTGTGGCAGTTAGTCGGCTATTGACGCAGGAGACATCACTCCGGACACGTCCTTCACTGACAAGGGAGGATTAAAGAGGCTGAGGACAAACACAGAGGAGTAGAACCATTGGTTTAGGCGTAGGAAATGGAGTGGAGGCTTCTGATTTCTCTTGGGGCGACTTGGGGTTGGATGGGAACGCAAACTAGCCTAAGGCTGAAATAAAGGGATATTGGATAGTGGTGGGGCGTGGATGAGCGTACTGTATTAGACGGCAGCGTGGCTAAACTGCGGTGCAAGCAACGCAGAAATCATCGTGAATCTTAGCAATTTGCATTTCAGTTTCTGCCCTCTATGATATTGCAGAGTATTTCCTGACCTATTGTTTCCAGCAGACTCTCAATCTCTACGCCCCAGGAAGGCACTGAAGCGTTGAGTTCGCGCGCGCTTAGCCCCACACCAGAGAACCCGTTCACAGAACTCTACGCCACGGAAGCAAATAAGATAGAAGGGCGATTGCATGTCTCTGCGCCCTTCGGCCGTCTCAACGAACAGGGCCCTATAACATTCGTCCGTCTAAAGCGCCCGCCCTAAGCGCCCGTTCTATTTGTAACGCCACGCTCCCGCGCTCCGAAAATGTTGTTTCGGGAGAGTATCCTCTGTTGTATTCGCGCGATGATTTTGTTGTCCGACATAAACAGCTTTGGCGCCGTTCACGACTGTGCCTCACTTGAATGTCGTTTAACGCTTAGATTTATCGTTGAGCTTGCAGGCACGCGCTTTCAGCAGGTGGGCTCGCAAGTGAGCCTGATTAGCTAGTCACCCGGTGTGGCACGGGTAGGTGAGCTGATCTGTAGCTGCCCTCTAGTATGAGCAACGCCCACCACCGTCTATACAAAAGCTCCGAAAGCACTGACATCTCTTCTGAACGTCATCGCGATGGGTCCCACCAGGGTTGGTTGCGTCATCTGCGGGTTTCTAATCTACAACCCTATAGCATCAGGACCCGGGTCTTGGTTGAGAGAATTTCGCGCAAGTGAGTATGCCGTGAGAGAATCTTGACGATTCTGCGCTGATGGAACTAGTCTATTCATGTCCATCAGGCACCTTCGTATCTGGTGTCGGCTGCCATGAGGCCGGTATGGGTAGTACGTAGATCGCGCCGTCCGATCCCGCCATACGATGGGACAACGATTATCTTTTCCCTGTGATAGATAAGATTCCAGTTATGCGACAGCATCCCCTAAATGGTCGCCATAGCTTTGTACTTCATGATGCTTGCTGGCACCTTCTGCAGAGAGCCTTTCAGCCCAGCGAGATCCCTCTTAAGCGGCTGCTCGAGGTCTGCGAATCATTGCCATTTCCACTTCAAGGAAACGGCGTATGTTGGGGCCACGACTACAGAAGCCTCCTCGTCCTCGACAATCAAGACCACTATCCCTAGGAGGACCAGCTCATGGAGCATTTTCATAACGCTAAAACGCGTTTATACGCCAATAAGAACCCGTACAATGTGCCAGAGATCCCTCCATTACTAGTGATACGTCAAGAACATCTACCAGAGTGGTTGCCTAAGACGCAACAACATGACTGCTTTTCAAGGCTCCCATGGGAGATACTCAAGGCTATAGCCATCAAGTTGCCTACTAATAATGCCCTAGGCCTACGCCATGTTTCAAAGGCTTTCCTGCCCCTCCTGTCCAGTAATACCTTTTAGGCGTCTAGATTTAAGGCTAGCAGCGACCGCAGATTTCTATTCAAGAAGTAGAAGAGTCAAGATAGTACAGATTAGCTAAGTTTGTATCAGCTTACTAGTTAAACTCATAACCCACCTAGATTACAGAATAGAAGGAGAATCTAGAACTTAATCATGCCACTTACTAATTGCTTAGCCTACGCCTTGCAGAAGGTTCAAAGACAGACTGCATAGACCAAAAGTTTACCTGTCTGAGATAGAGCAAGGTAGTAAGAGATGTAAAGGACAAGGCATCTAACAGGCACCTAAGAGACTTCAACAAAGGCTGCTAACTCTTTAGCACACACCTCGCCCACATGCCCAAAGATCTCTTAAAGATTAGTTTCTTAATTAGCAGCATCAGAAATGTCACCTATGTCGCAGGCATACGCCTCATAACTGAGAAGGGACCCAACATATGTCTTAGGTTTGTATCTGACAAACAAGTCATCTGTGAAGCCACAGCACTAGGAGGGTTTGTTCTAGCAGCGGGCTCAAGACGCATCCATGCCCTGCAAGTTGTCAGCAAGGACGCAAGCCTATTAGAGTGGGTTGGCTGTCCAAACAACTCGCCTATAACAGAGCGCCTCGCCCGCTTCAACTCTATCGCTGCCTTGGAAGTAAGCTTTAATATAAGTACGCGATTAAATTACTATGCCTAATATTCTGCTAGTACTTACCTGTCTGTATAGGGATATAAAATAGTCAGTCTCCAAATTTTAGAGAAAGCCTCGCCTCCTGCCCAAGCACAGAAAATGCATGACCAGGGCTTCCAACGGGCCGTACTACGGTCCGTACAAAGTGAACCGTAACGGTCACGTGTTCAGTACGAACGTACTAAGTTCGTGAGCCGCACTGTACAGTTAATAATGCCCTAGGTACAGTACGTAGTACAGATTGTATTACCCTTTTAGGAAGTTTTTATAGCAATTCTAGAGAAGTAGGAGGACTCTAGTAAGTAGAAGGTCTGCAGGGAGAGCTTCTAAAGCTCTAATTAGCTAAAAGTTTTATAAGAGCGCTTAAATCTCTTTTTAAGAGGTTTAATCTATCTATCTATAGTCTGTTGTCTTAAAAATGCCTATTATAGACTATTTTCTATTATAGAGTTATCTATTTACACATTTTACTACCTTATAGGCCTTATTTAGTTAATTAGATCTTTTTATTATCTATTTTACATAGTCTTATAGGCTGCAGAAGTTAAAAGCCCTTTACACTATGTTTTTTACTTTATCCTATAATAGTACACTATCTGTAGCTAAAGATTAATTATAGCAGTTTCTAAAAAACTATAATTATAACACTAGTGTTAAGTTTATAATTAATTAGAATAATATATAGCTATTAGACTTAAAACAAGTGTTGCCTTTAGCATAATTAAGTTACTAAGTAAAAAATAAGACTACCTTATAAAGTAATTATACACTATTAAAAGTGTAAGCTTATAGCATAGATATAACACTTTTAAAAAAGTAAAGTAAGGTAATCTACCTCTAGCTTTGCTATTAGTGTTATAAGTAAGACTCTTAAAGCGCTATAAAAGTAGTAAATAGCTATAACTATATTATTTAGCACTTACTAAAAAAGTATAAGGTTAATGTTAATAAAAAGCTCTTACCTAATAGCGTACAGCTACTGCAGCACCTATAAGAGGCAGCTAGAGGAGTAGCAGGCTTGTTGCAGAGGTTATCTTATACACTATAGCAGAAGGGTCCTCTACGCAGTGCCCTAGTTAACTAAGTTATAGTGTAGGATTAGTTATTTAAAAAAGCTATTTTATTAAAAACTTATAGTTTTATTAGCTAAAATTACATAAATTTTTTTACTACTTTACTATATTCTACTACTACACTCTCTAAGGATATCTACGCTGCACTTATACAGTAAAAGAAGAAGATTTAAATAATACTAATTACTACGCTATTAAAAATTACACTAAGTGTAGATATATAGTGTTCTAAAAACTACTTTTTCTTCTTTACAGTAGTAGCTTACTTTGTTAGTATACGCATATAGGCTACTATTATAAGAACTTTATAACTAACAACAGCTAGATGCTTTACACACTTAGTAAAACCTTTTAATTAGCTTTAAAAACCTATATAGTAACTATACTAGTAGTGCGTAAGCCTCTAAGATAGCTACTGTCTGTACGCAGCAGCAGCGTCGCGGCCTAGATACAAGCGATCGCGCACAAGCAGGATCACGTATCTATGTCACATGATGCTTGTGCGTGAACCTCTGTGCACAAACATCTAGATATCCCTCTTTTCCTCTATACAGAGGAAAGATAAGAGTAATAGAACTAGAAATATATTACTCTTACTTTACCTACTTTATATGCTATGCACACTATACACTACTTTTACTTTTACTACTTAAGTGCTTATACTATAAGCAGCTAGCTATTAAAGCTTATTTAACACTAATTAGTAGTTAATTTAATTAACTATAAATTAGTAAGAGTAATAATAAAGTACTTATACTTTATAAAGTACTTTATTTTATTACTTATTTTTTAAAAAAAGTAATAGTAAAGTACTTATACTTTATAAAGTACTTTATTTAGTTACTTATTTTTTAAAATAGTAAATTAATTTTTTACATTATATAGTAAGCTCTACTACTATATAAAGTAAAAAGAAGATAGTGTAAAACACACACTAAAGCTACTAAAGCTACACAACTTAGTAGCTAGATAATAGCACATTAATTCTTTACATTATATAGTAAGCTCTGCTACTGTACAAAGTAAAAAGAAGATAGTGTAAGGCGCATACTAAAGCTATTAAAGCTGCATAACTTAGTAGCTAAATAATAGCAGTACTTATATAATTTACTAAAAAAGTAATTAACTATACTATTATAATAAAATTTTATTAGTAACTAACAACTTTATGTAATAATAAAAAAAATAAAAAATAATTCTTATTATATAAATAACTTATAAAAAATATAAAGATATTAAAGGTAACACTATAAAATAAAACTAGCCTAAAGTACTAAAATAATAAAATTAATATGTTAAAAGCTTTAATAAGCTTATAAACTTAATTATATATAAATTATATAATTACTAATCTATATATAATAACTTAAAAGAGCGCTACTTTTCTAAGTGTGTACATAAAGAATTTTAAAGAATAGACACTATAAAACTTTTTAGCACTTAGCTACATATTTAAAAAAAAGCTTATATAAGTACTAGAGAATAAAAAAATTACACTATAGCTAGGCACTAAAAGTACCTAAGCCTAGAAGCTGTATAATATAGCATAAAAGAAAGTAATTACACTAAAAAAGCTTTATACATAACCTTTATTACTATATAAGGCTCTACATAGAAGCAGACTAAATATAATGCTGCTATTAACACTAAATATACTAGTATTACCTGCTTTTACACTTTAGCTAGCACTACACTAATTACTATACAAACAATACATGCTACTCTACCTAACGCCTGCTCTACACTCTTAATTGTACACACTACCGCCTGCAGTAGTGTATGCACTACTAATACTACCTGCACAATCTATACTACATTACAACCTGTACAAACTTCTACTCTAAAAAGAAAACACTAAAGAAAAACTTTTAGTAGACAAAATTATATAATTTTAAAAAGCATAAAAAAAAATAATAACTACATAAGTTAACTATATAATATTTTTATAAATAAAATAAAAATCTTTATTAATTTATATTAATAGCTAGATATTTAGAAAACTTAGTACATAAACATCTTTCTAGATATTCTAGAAGGTTAGGTAAATATGCACTATATATACAACATAGGCTTTAGAAATAACTAGAAGCATTTATATAACACTTTAAGCATTATAATAAAAGATTTTGCATAAAGAGAAAAAAAAACTATAGAAAGTAAAGTTTTATATAAAAAGTAAAACTATTTTAGTAGAAAAGTAACCTATTAAGTTTAATAGCAAAAAAATTAAACTTACACATAACATAGTAGTCTTTACTTAGAAGAGATAAGTAAGCTACTTTTATATAATTAACCTAAAGAATAAGAATGCTACACAACAATATATTAAGTAATATATAAAAGGGGTATACATTATATTTATATGTTAACTAGAGGTAGCATTTAACTTATTTATTACTGCATAAACTATAGACTTTTTACATAATAATATTAACACACTTAACACATAAATCTAATAGTAAATAGATAATAGTAAGTGTAGTCTTACTTTTCTACTATTATAGCTTAATTATGCAAAGCTGTTTATCTTTATAAATAAATTATTTACTAATAATAAAAACCTTAGCTTATAGCTAG